TAAATAAAATTTTATGATATTTTTCCAATATTAGCCTTTGACTAAGGTTGAAGCAATTCGAAGCAATGTTGAAGCCATAATGAAGAATTTTTTATTTGAGAATATACACTAGATTAAGGTGATAAAATATTTAAAATATTTTTAACATGGAAACTAAAAAATTTTATTTTTGCAAAAATTTTCGATAGGCGCTCCAATACCATGAAATTTTCCAGCCGAGAATGATTCCATAATTAGTCAGAAGAGCCATAAAATCAATCAGACAATACCAAATTTTGATAGTTATCGATAAAGGTCCAAGAAGCCAAAACTGATAAAATTTTCATTTGCCGATAAATATTTGAAATCAACAAAATATTTCAATTCTTTCTTCCGTAATAACGAAGCCATAATAATAATTAATGATAATAATAAAGATATATATTTTATATAATATATATTTAATATTATATAAAAACAATAAAATAAGATATTAGCGATGATAATAAATGATAATAGTGATAATAGTAACAATAACAAGTAGTAATAATGTAATATAATAATAACAATGATAACAATATGACACAATGATGAACAAAATAAGAGTAAAATAATAATAATAAACAACAACTATAATGATACACGTAACAGTACTAACAAAAACAATAATAACCGACAATAACAGTAATGATGGTTAATAATAATAGTAATGGTCATAACTTTTATAACGTATAACATAAGTAAATAACTAAAAGTAGTTAGCCCTCATCATTTCTGTTTATAATTATTCTAGCAACTATTACAATTATATGAAATTTTTGCCACAGAGAATCAATTGACGATGGAAGTACAGAAGGCACAGAAGAGTACATCGAAGACGGGTTCGAATATTCGAATACGTAATTCGGATATTGAATTTTCCAATGAATTTTATATAATTTTGTATTTTTATATTTTTTTCTAATTTACTTTCATTCAAAATTTTGAGGAAAATTTCTAAAATTCGGATCGAATAAAATTTGTTTGGTGAAATTTATAAAATTTTTTAAACCTCTCATTTCATCAAAAAATCATTTTTTAAAACGCAAGTAAAGTAACCATGGAAGCATTTTCTAGTTTTTATATAATTAGTAGTGATGTGTTTCATCAAAAAATACGATTAAAATGGAATTCGATTTTCAAATAATTCCTTCTTTTTTAACTTTTATCTTATTAAAAATAGCTTTTTTTCTTTCTTTGTTTTTGTTGAAAAATTGATTTCAGATTATATATCTTCCACATAAATATATGCATAATTGCTAGCATTACTTTGATTTTAAAAAATGGGCTTATTTCTATTAGAGATGGAACTTCAATATCGACGCTCCGAAATGAAAGCAACAACCCATCGAACCATTTTATCTCTTAATTTTGGAATTGCCAGTCTTTTAGGGGAAAAAGCAAAAAATTTAAAGTTTTTCATCTTTTTAATAAGGTAAAATAGTTTAAATTCATATCTATGATTACTGATAATAAAGATGTAATTTAATAGATAATATTTAAATAAATTTGTAAGGACGGAATGGCTCAATGCTTTGTTGCCCTCATTTCGATGCCTCGATATTGAGGCTCTACTCCTGGTAGGAGTAAACAATGTTTCAAAAACCCAGACTCCTAAAGGCGATTTGCATTGTCCGCAGACTTGAGCGAGTCTAACTTAAAATAATGAACGCTATCGAAATGCCAATGCATGGATGGGATTTTATGCGGCCTAGGTGATATTTTATTTCAGTTAATATTTTTTAATGGATGGTTTTTTAATTCGATAATATTGCGTTCCTAAATGCTTATGCTCTCTCCAATTATTAGTCCTTCAATTAGAATTTTAAGCAGATCATTTAAGCTGGAACTTTACTTGCGAATCTAATATCTTTCGCTACTATAAATTTTTCATCAAAAGCGAACTGATTAGCATTTTTAAACCTTATAAGCCTAAAATAATAATTTTTCGAGACGTTTAATTGAATAAACTTTTCATTGTTATCAATTTGGTTGCATTTGGCCAATTAAAAACCATTTTTAAAAGCTTAATTAAATTTCTTTAATACATTTTTGAGAAATGCTAATTTTCCACAGCTGTTGTCCATTATATATGCAAAGAATTTAAGTTTGTTGCTATAATTTTAATTGTCGCTTTTTAAATGAAATCAATGAACGCATATATTATATTCTGTTACTACTTTTATTACTATTAGCGATGGCGTCGCACCGAGCGGCTTGGAGACACCTTACGCTTGTAGCCAGCGGAGCCAGTCTGACCAGTAATGGGGAGAGCTGTTAGAAGAAGAAGAAGTATAATGTTGAGCAAAAAAAGTTTTTTTTTTTCCAAATTAGAAGTTATCCTATAATTCGTCTTAAACTATTAAATTAAAGAAGATTCAACCAACTATAATAATTTTTTTTTATTATAGCATTCATCATTTTTAATTTGACTGGCTTCACTGATTGCTACGATGAAATCTTTTTGTTAGAGAATCACATGATGATTGAAGTATGGATGGATGAAACCCCAGTAACCGAATTTTAATAGTAAAATTTACTCCTATTCAAACGCATAACTAAATCTTTGCAAGCCAGAAATAGTTTTAGTACCAGGCGGCCCTCAGAACTCCACTACACGAACGAAGATATAGCCTTAGTAATTAATCTTATGTTCCCATTTTGCTTACTCATATAATTCAGTAATTGAGATTAATAATGAGCTGTATAAATATAAAATTTGTGTAAGTTTGTATTTTTTATTTATAAATTTCAGCAATGAATGTTTGTTTATTTAAAGTCTAATCTTTCTCCTCGGTTAAAGCAGATTCGTCCATCGTTTCCCATCTAATAGTTTATGATGGAATTGGGATTAATCACATTTTTCTATTGATCTACTGAAATTTCTCGATTACATCGACACCCAATGTCAAATTGATAATTTCTCCTATTTATTAATTTTTGCACCAAATTCTTTATATTAATTAAAGTTTTTAAGATTCTTATCACTTTTACCTTTTACTATTGAAAATAGCTAGCTTTTTTCCGAATTTCAGCGCATTTTTTTTCTTGCCTGTAGATGATTCGTTTCGACCGGAAAGCGTAAATATAAATGTTCTCAAATATTCACTGAAATAAATACAAAGGATTCTCATCTTCCTGAGGAAATAGTGGAGGCAATCAGTGATAAGTACTGTTAAAAGAAGAAGATAATGATAACGAAGAAAAGTTTAGTTGAAATATGTGAATACGTTTTATGCAGATGGTAGTACTGTTATCATGCGGTCTCATGCAGTACTGTCGATAACGATAGTTAAAGCTGAATTACTTCAAGCTATTGATACATTGTTGTTAGATATTCGTAGAATTTCCTGGGAATCGATTTTCTAAAAAATTTAAGAAAAATATATCTTGGTCGTAAGCAAATTTTTATTTGATCAAAGAAGGTATTAATGGTTGATAATGCTCATTGTTAATAAAATGGATTTATTGCTAATATTGTTGTTAATTATCATTGTATTTTATAATAATAATATAATAATAATTATTATTATTATTATCGAACCATCGTAATAATCTTTTTAATAAGCATTTCTTAACGTTGCCATCGTGATTAAAAGTCGCATCAAAAAATTTCATTTTTATTTCTTAAGATGAGCAATTTTATTTTCCCTATTTTATTTTATATGAGAGGTTTTTTTAAATCGCTTAATTTAAATGCGAAAAAAAATCGTTTAATTAGACAGAAGCCAATATAATATCTTTTTAAGCAATTTAGTTTGAAATGATCAATACGAAATTTGCTAAAATGAGATTTGACTTCTTCCTTCTCAATTAGTTCAATTGGCTTCCCGTTTTATTCCATAGTTACAAATTATTCCTTAGAATTTTGCTAAATCTCTCTCCCTTTTAATATTCAAAAAAATGAATTAATTATTAATTTTAAAGCTATATTCGTTGTCTTAGAGGAAATTTTTAGGAATAATTTATTAGAGTGATTTTTGAAAATCATTCGAAAAATTAGAAAAAGATGAATCGAAGGTCAAACGTGGCGATACATCATTAAAGATAATGGGGATTTTTCTAATTTGGCTCGAATAATTTGTAGCCAAATGATTTGTAGATGAGTTAGCGAGTTGCAGTGGAGATAGAGGTAATTATTAACTGCAGGAATAAATTTACCTTAATGTGGTCTGTGCGCTATCGCTGTTGATAACTCGGCATAACTGAGTGCTATAGGCTTGAAACAAAGATTAACATGATTGATATTCTTTTTTCTAAAAGCTCGTCGTTGCTGGTTAGAATTGCTCCGTTAACTTGTCGGGCTAGATAAATATGCCAGGGAATTCTTTGCCGGTACCACTATAGGCGAGTCTCCGGTTCTTTAGACGATAGGCTTACTCCTGCCGGATTTAGAGTTTCAGTACTGGCACTGGCGCTAACAATTTGGTCCTATTTGGTCATTCTTTAAATAACTATTGTTAATTTTGTAGATTTCGTTTTTGTTTTTTTTCTAATTTTTAAAGCTTTTCGAATCAATTTTAAATCTTTTTTAGTTTAAGAGCTAAAAAACTGAAAAACAATAATAAAAATAATATCTTAATATTACTTCGATTTTAAACCGATTTTAGAAATCGAAAGAAAAGCAAATTAAAGTTTTCAGATGAATAAAAGTTCGAAAATCTTCAGACAATGATATAGTTATTTTATCCAAGAAAAGAGTGGTTGTTAAATTTTTTTCGGTTGAAACAAATTAATTTCTTGCAAATTTCTGAGAATTCGACAAATATATCAAAATTATTTTTGCTTTTTCAGTGAGATCCAAGAGAAATTTGCTTAGAAATATATTATCGCTTGAGACTTCCATTTTCTGGATTTTATTTCAGTTAAGATTAAGATTTTTTGCATGCTACGATCTTAGCTTGCAAATGGCCGCACTTATTTCAAATCGTGCATAGTTCCACTGAACTTTCAGCCAACTCCAGTTTTGTATAAAATGGAAGATGGTAAATGTGTAAAAAATCAAAAGGGATGTTGAACCACCAGTTATGTTGAAGAAAATAAATCTCCATGAGCGACTTTCTCATGCGTTTCGTTAGCCAATAAAAATATTTCTCTATTTGTCTTTGTAATTCTTCGAAAAATATTTTCAGGTCAGCCAAATTGTATTTGCTTCTATTTAAATGGATATTTTATGAACATTCAACTTTTGAAATATTCAACGATTTGTCTCAAATATGCTATCAATGTTTATTTTTATTTTATTTCTGCAATTAGCATCAGCACTTAAGTATGTTTAGTAATGAATTAAACTATATTCTATCAAATTGAGATTCACAAATTGAATTTTTGCCTGAAACAATTCAAAAACTCACCTAATATTAGAAGAAAATAAAATATGTTAGAAATATTCTACAGATTGCTTATTTTCTCAAATTTCTGGTGGAAATACATCTCTATTTGTTACTGGTAGAATGAGATAGTTTCACCACGGAGTCAGTTGGAGATATACAAATATACCACTGGTCCTAGCACCATTCAGGAAATCGATATTAATTTTGCGACTTCCTTGAACTGTGTTTTGGTTCTATTCTAGTTCTCCAGAGCAGGGCAGGTTCATAATTTAATAACGAGAATTCAAATTGTTCTCATGGGATTACTGTCATTTCAAATTGTATTTACATTTACATTTTTTTTCACATTTCAGCACATTTGTAGCATTGTTTTTAGATGTTTTTCATGTGCCTCTGCGGATTATGAAATATTATTTGACAGATTCAAAAATCTAAAAGAATCTTTAAGTTATCCACACTTTGGAGATATTTGTGATGACGCCGAAAAACTTATTGCTATGGCACCTATCGAAATATGTTCTACTACATGTGTTTCAATATTGGAGCCTCAATATTTTGGCGGTGATGTTTTCATTTTTTTCTAAGTACCTACATTTCTCGTTAGCTTGTCGAGCCAGAAAACCTGCCAGGAGAATACTCACATTTCTTGCTCGTCTTGACGAGTCAGATAAATTTTGCCATGGAATCACTTGGAATGCACAGGGCAAACATTACCAGCAATCATTTTATTTTACTCTTCTTCTTCTAATAGATCTCACAATTATTGGTTAAGCTGACTGCGTTGGCTACAAGGGTAGGACACTTCTAAGCTGATCTGGTGCCATCGCCGTTCCTTTTTCCACTGTTATGTAATAAATAGGATAAATAGGTGCCTTCTGCAATTCAAAAATATCGGTAGCAAGAAGCTCTTCAACAAAGCGAAGGCTCTCTTCATTGGCACCTTGCCCTTTTGCCATATTTACATATAGAACTATAGAACTATGGCAGCACCGCTCTATACACTGCTAATTCCTCTGTATGTTCAAAATCTTCACTGACTATATCAGTCCAGGTCTTGATTGAACCATCTCGCTTTTGTCGCCGTCTACCACAGGGTTTAGCAAATAGCAAAATATGTGTCAACTCCCGTATTGTGCGACAAAAACGTGCTCTAACCAGCTCAATGTTAATCATGTGGTATTTGAGCGGAAGTGGATGCGATCATGCAAAGTTTTATCTTGCGATAAGCGAAGTGGAAGGCATATCCTCATCTATCTGCTGACTCGCAAAATTTCTTAGATTTGAGTGGTCAAAGGCAAATGGTCATTGGTCATGTCTCGACGGGGATTTTCGTTTTTATGGTGATTTGAGATAATTCCACAAAGTTGTAATTTGTAATCATGAAAACACAATATATATTCTGAATATATAGCAAAATTATGATTTATTGTGATAAACAAGTTGGAAAATAAAGCGCCAATCCCATTATATCTCGTCAGCTTATTGAATACGCTGAGTTCATCAAAAATAAAATTATAGTTTTATTGATAATTTCTTAAATAATACAAGAACCATTGTGTTTTAAGGTGTTCAGTCCATGCACACTCCATATACATATATTCGCGGCTGTACAGGCACGATATTCACCGAAGTAAAAAATCGGCCACCTGAAATTGATTTCCTCCATAATGAGGAAATATGCCTTCCACTTCGCTTATCACAAATTTGGCCTACAATTCAAACCGATGAGCACGTTCAGGTTTTTTTTATTCTTAAGATTCTTGCATCTAATAAAATTTAATAAATTTTTTACGGTTTTTACTGCTACTGAATAAATAATCATTTATCAATTGATATGGCCAGATGAATTCTTTCATTACATTGGAATTCTTTCAACCTATTTCCTTCAATATTTTTCCTCTTAGAAGCTAATTAATATTCAACCATGGGAACCACTAATGCATAGTGGATGATTTATTGCTCAGAATATTAGAGTTAATAAAGTTAGTATCCTTGTGTGGGTATGTTAAATTTATACAAAAAATAATGATGGATAGAAATTGGATTATTGCTCTCATTTTGGACTATGCTGGGATTCTATTCCAGGCGGGAGGCAAGCCTTTCTTTCGAAAACTCGGGTGTTACTGGCGATCCACCTGTAATTTCCTGGCAAAGTTTATCCAAGTCAGCGGAGTTTGGCCAGCCAGAAATGGTGAACAAAGTGAAAAAAAACTAAATTAAAACTTTAATAATTTAAAATAATAATAGTATAATGCAAAGTATGAAAAAGCAATTTTAAATATCTGATGAGAAATGGTCGAATATTATCAAAATGAACTAACTATTTAAAATAATCTGTTAAATAAAGGCCTCAAAATCTTTTAGGTATGTTCATGTACAGTTGATGGTTGTAATACAAATCTGTTCACGACAAATTCTATTTCTAGGCCAATGCAAGTGTTATTCCTCATTTTTATCATTATTTCCTGCATTTTTTCGCACTTTTTAGTATTTTAACTGATTGCTGGTGATTTTGCAGTTGAGAGCATAATTTTTGGTAGCGAATGCCAAATTTTCGATAAAACTTTTTGTAAAAGCCTGAAGAATTGAAAGCGAAAATTTTTCTTGTGCTTAAACTAAAGAGGAAAATTTTGAGCTTGTATATTGCTTTTCTTCGGAGTTTTGATAACTTGTTTGCACCTTAACTCTATCATTCTCATCACTCTATTTTATGTTTTAAAAAAACTATGGGGTCCTTCATTCATTATTTCTCTCAAATCTCGAAAACTGGCTAGATAGAGGCATTCAAAAGACTATAATCACCAGCCTTGTTAGATAAGGTAGGTTTCAATTGTGCGTTCAAAATTTTTTAACGATTTGTGTTGTACATATGAAGGATTAATTTGGTTAATGAAATTTGAATATGGCTTATTGTTTCCGAATATTTTATAGTCATTTATTATTTTTCTGGATTCCTCTACTTTTATTATCCAAATTCCATCTTTTCATTTCCTATTTAATCGCGCATTATACCATATTTTCGTTTAGAGAATGGCAAAATTGGATACCACATTGAAGAGTTATGAGTTGACTTCAATAGTTGAATACAATTTACCTATAAATTTCATATATTTGCAACAACAATTGTGCAAAAATTAGCCACAAATTTTAATAGCCGAATTCTTGCAAAAATTTTTGCCATAAAAAGTTCAAAAAAATTAGTTCCGAGATTATTCTTTATATTTTGTTAAATTGCATGTGCTTTTAGTCTCATATCAAAGTAATTCTAATAAAATTTTTATTTTTCTTTTTGAGAGATTTTGATAAAATAGCAAATTCGATTCCATAAAATTGAATATTTATCTCAAAATATTTGTAAATTGTGATCAAAATTTTCTAAGTTTTTTCATTTCTCAAGCTTTTTTTAAAAATACATTGTAATGCTTATGTAAATTTTTTTATTCAGTGGCTTTCTAAACTATCATTCCAGTACGACTAATTCGGTGATTTAGATGAATGGTGTCAACTAATATGGCAAAGCAGAGTTTGATTATAAAAAAATTTATTAAAAAATTTTATCATTTTACTTACCAACACAGTTTTAGATTATATCGCTGTGAAGTAGTTAAATAATGTAATATTTCTGAGGCAAAAGGCAATCTTTCGGAAAGCATATATTGAATAAAATGAAATATTAAGGAAAAAAGAAATGACTCAAGTTGAATTCATTAATTAATGTAGCACTAAAAGAAAATATTTAAGGCAGTGGTAATATGATGCATACGACAATAAGATTTTGTGCATGTTAACGTACAATAATATTCATGGATACTACGATGACACGTATACGAGAATAAAATTTATCAGATCAATCTAAAATTTCTTGCAGAATTCTTCTTATTACATCATCGAAAACAATAAAGCAGAAATCATTTTAAAAGATTTTTATTGTTCATCTTCGAGAACGTAAATCTTAGAAGATGAAGCGCTCTTTCCGGTGACAACTGATGAACGGTGTTTCGCACGAATCAGATGTAGCGAACTTTCAGCTTGATCTGCACGACCTTCAGCATCTTCTAATTCTCGTTGATATCGTCTCACTCGTTGTAGATTTTGCATTGTAAGCGATTCCTGTTTTATATCAAAAATAAAAATTGTATTATGTAATTTTCCATTATTTTGTTTTCCCCTTCCAGAGCATGTAGAAAAGATATTTGAAAAAGCACTGCTATGACAGCATCAAATATTTGCCTAGATATGGACAAGAATATTGCCATATTAAATATAATAATTAGCCCATTCTATCTATCTTTAAAAAGCAGTAGATGTTTATATTTGCTTTTTAATTGTGTAAAATCAGAAATTTAGCATATCAATTCTTATATATGGCCTATATGGCTTATAGGAGTAGATTTTGACTATAACCGTGAGAAGGCAATAAGGTTATCGAGTAATGTGCTGAAGTCATGCAAAAGAGGAACAAACTTTTGTTAAAAAAGAAATCCGGATGGAGCTAAGGACTCATCTGTCTTTTCTATCATTTTCATCTTTTCTATCATTATTTAATGTAATGACAAATGATAACAATCCAGATTGAAATAGAGTGAGAAACGTAGTATATAGAATGGCACAGTAGCACTTACTGCTTCTCCAAGTTGTCGCTTCTGGATATTTAGCTTCTCGAGGAGTCTATCAGCAGTATCCTGAGCCATAACGTAGTTTTTGTGTTCTTCATCAACTTGCATTTGAACTTCCTTAATACGTCGATCTTTCTTCCTGAGAGCGTTTTGCGTTTCCTTGTGTCGGCGAGTTTCTTCGTCAAGAGCAGTTTCTAGATCACGAATTCGTGTTTCAAGTTTCGCAATAACGCGTTTTCCTCCTAATAAGGCTGCAGCCTCGGCTTCTTGAATTTGCACTTGCAGCTGCTTTACCTGAAATTCATTCTTAGTTGAATTACTTGCAAAAGAAATGCACCGAAATTTGAAATCTTAACAACAATAACATAGACCTGTTCTTCAAGAGATTTTCTAAGCGCGTCGATTTTCATCGAATGTTCTTGTTCCTCATGCAACTGTTCAACAGCGCGTGCAGCATCAGCTAAAGCACGATTAGCGCGCTCATCAGCGGCATGTAACTCCTTGGTCACTTCATCAAGATCTGCTTGAGCAGTTGATAATTCGGTTTCCAGTTTATTCTTTATCGAGGTAAGATTATTATTAATCGAAACGAGATCTGCTATACGACCCTAAAAATATAAAACAATGAAAAATTTTGAAATTTGCCAAGCCAAAATATATTTTCGTTAGCCAATTTCAGCCAACTATTATTGCTATTTTAAATTTATTATCTGAGAATATAAAATCGAGAAAATTTCGTTTTAATTTTTAATCGAATCGCGACTTTTAAATATTTCTTGAAGCATATTTCATTTAAATATTTGAAGCTTCGATGATTTTAAGAAAACCAACGATTTGGATATATATTTAATCAAACTTCATGCGTTCAAACTTCAAAGAACTCAATTTCTTTAATTGAAAAAACATTCGCAAAAATCAAAATAATTTGCACAAAAAACTTAATTTAAAAGAGAGATACGTGAGAATCATTGGAAAACCATTGATAGACGATATCTACGTGACTGATTGATAATGTGCAATGTAATGAATTTAATTAATGATGGCGATTTTACGTTAAATTAAAAGAAGTCAATGATTGATAATTTTTGAGCTTCTTTGTTGAGAGAGAAATATTCATTAATAATGAATAATAAATGAGTAAATTTGCATGACTTCTTAGAGGCACATTGGTCACTAAACTTGAACGCCTTGAAGTCTGAATTAGTGATTTCAAATCTATTGCACGATTCTACCGCATTCCGCTCGAATAAAGTTGTATGAATGAGTGAAAAATGATAATTTAAGATTATTTAGTGATAAAGAAGAAACTTACATTAGCTTCCTCAAGATCAATTTCGGCTTGTTTTCGTGCACGAATAGCATTATCCAGTGCTACTTTGCATTCTTCAAGTTCAGCGCTTAGTGCTGATATTTTACGTTGAGCGAGTGCATACTACAAAGAGCATGCAAAAATTTAAAGAACTTTATAAAGTTCAATGAGAAAAATTTTTCATTTCACCGAATAATTTTTCGAAAATGTAAATGCAAAAAAGTAGATAAGGCTTTTATGAAAAGATAACGTGATAAAGATAAAGGAAAGATAACGAGCAAGAATTGCCTGATCAAGAGTCTGCTGTAGTTGACGTTGAGTATCTTCTAATGAAGCCTGAAGGACTTTGAGCTGCTCACTCTGTTTTTTAATCGTCTTTTGAGCTTCAATATTGGCGCGATTAAGATTGTCGACTGTCATTTCGAGTTCAGCAATTTCTGCTTGATATTTCTTCTTTAATCGAGCTATTTCAGCCTATAAAAATTTTTTTTAAACAGAAGACTTCGAAAAATTTTAAACAATTTTCAATATTTATAGTAAAATATTAGCTCGTAAACCAGCTATGTATTCTTAATAGCAAAAAAACTCGCCTTCATACGAGCTTCAGCATCGGCAAGTGCTGCAGTTAGGCGATCTATTTCAAATTGCATATTTTTACGTAGGGCTTCCATTTCTTCTTCCTAAATTCCACAAACTCTAGAAATAAATTTTCAAGAGAAAATTTTGAGTGGATAATAGGAATTAAGAAAAAAAATTGGACTTTTTCTTGCAAGCGCCGTTCCATTTCTACGCGAAGCTGTTGAAGTTCAGCAAGAGCACGTTGTGCACGATTTTCAGCGTCACGTCGTGCAGCCTCAGATTCTTTAAGTGCCGTTTGTAAGTCACGAATTTCACCAGCTAATCGAGCGTTCTCCAAATCAAGTTCGTGTAATTTACGATTCGCATCCGCAAGTGCTTCTTTGGCTTCATGTAAATCGTCTAAAATAATTTTTAAAAAATTTTTAAATTTTTAAAATATAAAATATTTATATTATATTACATTTTTATAAGAATATAAATTAATATTTAGAAGTAAGTAGGCGAAACCTTGTAATTTCTTATTTTCTCGAGCAAGCGCTTCTTTTTGTTCTACAGCCTTCTCATATAAATGTTTCATTTTCTGTAATTCAGCAAGAGCAGCTCGTGCTTCTCGTTGTGCGGCTTCCAATTCGACTGACAATTCATCGATACGAACCTAATTAATGCAATCAATTAATTATTAATAATGACATTAACAAATAATAAGCTAAAATAAAAATAAGAGAATTATCTTAACCTTAAGTTCATTGACAGTTTTTTCAAGCTGTTCTTTGGCACGCTCAAGGATAGCGATTGTATTTTGAGCCTTCTCGAGATCAACAATGAGAACTTCGACTTCACTTTGAAGACGTGATTTAGCTTTTTCAAGTTGGGAAATTTTTTGAAGCATTATTTCAATTTGTTCTTCATATTCAGCTTGTTTTTGTAGCATTTTCTTACGAAGATCTTCAACCTATAAAAAAAGGGCAACGAAATAAGAGAACAGAGATTTCTAAAATTTTTTCAGCGAATATAAGCTTTTATCTTTTACAACCTCTTCATGATGCAATGCCACTTCAGCATCAAATTTACTCTTCCACTGAGTTATTTCCGTATTTGCTAGAGCCAATTTGTGCTCGGCTTCAGCTCGAGCTGTCGATTCCTCATCGAGTGCTGTTCGCACTGAATCCAGTTCCAGCTGCACTTGATGTAGTTGTGCTTGCATTTGTGAACGTTCCTAGAACTTTCTTTTCATTCGAGAATTGTGGACAGGCAAACTTAAAGTGAAAAAATTTAAAATCTGTAAAAAAGAAAAATTGCGATAATCAAGATTTCAATTATCTAAAAAAAAATGAAAAAAGAAATGAACTCTTTCAGCATCCTCGAGGCGTCGTCGCGCTTCTTCAAGCTGTTGGGCAAGTTGATATTTAACATGTTGCAAATTATCGAGTTGAACTTTTTGATCATGAACCTTAAGCCAATAAGTATGTTGAAAAATGAGAAGTTATGAAGAGACCATGAAATATTAATGAAGAAATTTTATACTCAGTTCAAAACGAAAGAATATTCTGTAATTTCTCCTTTTTTTCTTAATTAAATAAATTTCTCTAGAAAATTCTTTTGACATTATCATTCATTTTATATGATAAATGAATAAATAATGATAAACAAAATGATAAAAATTTGTTTATAAATAGGGAAATATTCATAAATGACTTTTAAAAAAATAGCGATTGTTGAATTTTTCAAAAATTTGTAATTTTTTCAAAATTGAAATTATAAACAAAAGAGAAGAATTAATTAAAAGAAGAATTTATTTTTTAGAAAAAATTAATAGAATTTTAAAAAAAGATAAATTTTATTTATCTTAAAATACTAGTAGAAACCTCTTTAAGTAAATCATTATTTTCTGCTTGAAGCCTTTGCCGTTGTTGTGCTAATTCATTTACATGTTTATTTAAATCTTCCACTTTATTTGACAATTCAATGGTCTGCGCTTCGAATCGTTCTGCTGCCCTTTCCGCGATGTGCTTTAATAATAAAATATTTGAAACATGACGAGGAAGGAAGGTAACAAGAAAGAGAAAGGAAGGAGAAGAAAATACACAGCCAATATGACTATCTCCATGTCTATCAGAGTAAACCTGGCAAGAGTAAGCCAAAAGTAAAATGATCTCTCTTTAATTTTAATAAGGGTTGAGGAAAAGCAGTAATGCGATCGAGAAAACCACAATAATGTTTTAAACATTTATTACTTATCTGATTTTATTTAAACTATTTAAAATTCTTGTTTTCTCCTTCGTCTTCGCCTTCTTTTTGTAAAATTTTTGCAACTCTTCTCATTAATAATGATTTTTCTTTGATATCCTTTTCCTTATCCTTTTTTATTTGCAAAATCCTTATCATTTCCTTATCATTTTTTCAAATTGTCCATTTCTTCTTCCAAAATATTTTCCTTTTCTTTTTCCTTCCTTCCTTTTCCACCAAAAACATGAAAAAAAATGAAAAAAAACAAATGTAACAAAGAAATGAATGAGAATAATGAATGAAGTAACCAAAAACAACTGATTGGATAAAATTGTCAAATAGATGAATGTGAATTGAATGATGAATTAGGCCTGCTAGGCCTAAATTATTTCCAACCTTGTCTTTTTGCAATTGGTCAATTGTTGCAGTTAATTCGATAACTTCATGTTGTAAGCGTTGTCGTTCGCGATCAATTCTTTAAAGAAAAAAATTCACTTTTTAAAATATTAAAAACAATATTTTATTGATTATTTTTACATAATTTTAATTTAATCTCAAAAAATTTTCATCAAATTTGTTCTTTTGAAGAAAAAAAAGAATTATCGTTGAAAATTGGCAATCAAAATCTTTTTTTCTCTTTTCTTTCAATAATTTTGTGTAAACTTTAAAGTGAAAATTAAAGCAAATCGTTTATTTTTAATTTTGCGAGAAAAATTTGTTATATTTCAAAATCAAACTTTATTTTTATTATTATTCATTATTATTGTTAATTATTATTATTATTTGTTATTTTTTAGTAAATTTGGCGAAAAAATATTCATAAAAACTTTGAATTTTTCTTATGGAGTTGTTCGATTTGTTCCGTGTAATCGAGGCAAACATCTTGGTGCTTCTTTCTTAAAACATTCATCGCGTCTTCATTTTCGAGTTGTGATTCTTCAAGCAATTTACGCAATTTTTGCAATTCACTTTCACGCTTACGATTTGATTCAATCTTTAAATTGCAAATTATTTTAATAAAAATTCAGCAATTCAGCAATTGTCACAGTATTATCTTAAACGAGGCAGAGGATTACAGAATTGTAGGATGCGATAATGAATGATTGATTGGCCGACTAGCGCTAACGAAAACTTTAATGGCGGATAGTACCATCTTTCTTAGGTGGAAGAAGACGGCGAAATTGTGTAGAAGAATACCTGACTATCGGTAGTGCCTTCGGCATCTTCCAGACGATCAGTCAATGCTATTAATTGTACACTAAGGTCGGCTCTCTCTCGTTCGATCTAAAATGTTCGATTATAATTCGATTCGCATAATGAAATCAAAATATCCATCAATTTGACATCATGGATTTAAGGCATTAAGCCATAATTATCCTATAACTGCAGACATCATCGATCTGTATGTCTCAAGAAATAAGAAAAAAGCGTAATCTTTTTTTTATTTATTTCGAATTAATAACGCCTGCCTAGGCGTTTTTTTCAAATATTATTAAATATTAGTTTTTCAGAAATTTATTAACTTTTCGAAATCGAAAATAATAAAAAAACCGCAAAAAAAGCAAAAAAAATTTGCAAACTCGATTTCGAAGTTCACGTTCGGATTCCAAATCTTCTTGCAATAAACGAATTTTATCCTAAAAAAAATGAAATTAGGTGGATTTAGAGCCAGCAAAGTTATACAAATAGCAACAACTTTTTTAATTTATAAAACTGCACTTAAAGTAATTAATATTTTAATACCAAATAAGTGTATTATTTTGTTATTTTGTCGGTTTGAAAATTTAAGAAAAATTTTTTAAAAATTTTACTTCTAAGCGGGTAAGACTTCCTAAATCAGCAACAGACATATTACCGAAAGGTGGGCCACCAAAACCGCTCATCGAAGGACTTCTATATAAAGCAGCCGATGGGCTTCTGTAAAGTGATCCGGACATCCTCGATAGATAGATATTGACTGCAGCCGCCTGAAGGCAATCGAACTACGTTAAGTATTTAAGTGTACTGCGTTCTATAAGATATTCGCAAATAATATAGTGTAAAGTAAATCTCCCACGAATCCAGAAATAGTTCCTAGAATTTCCTCTCGAGCTCTAACTCGATCTCTAACTTGTTTTCTCTAGAAGTTTATTTAGTATTTCAATATGTACATCTTTTGTATTTTATTTTAAATTTTCTATCTTTTATCTACTATGAAATCTCTCTAATGGAATTTAATGCCTTCAAGGCATTCATTCTTTTCTTGCATCTATATAGATTTTATGTGCTCCGCCCGCTAGCCAACATACACATATTTTATAAATGGATAGAATCAATATGGATGACCAGCATTTGCTAGTGATGCATGAGATGTCGCAATATCCGCCTTTATTGGAACCATCATCATCCACGGTTCGACGTCGACTTCCACCGACACCGCGACGTTCATCGTCGCCTCGCATACTGCCGACACCACCACCATCATCACCTGATTGTATGAATCATTCAGCTTTATTTGAACGGCGACCGTCGGGTCGTAAATTGCCAATGCCGCCGAATGCAAATGACTGGTCTCTTCCTTCACCGACAGTTCATCGTAAATTCTCTGAAATGTCCAAAAATACTTCTATAATTATTCCTACATTAATTTCTCAACATCATCATCAAAGTTGCTCATTCGACCAGTCGTCAACAACATCGTCCGCATCGTCTGCAGCAGCAGGAACAGCAGCACTAGCGATAACAAGAGATAAAGAAGAAGCAGTTGGCGTGTCTTTGAGCAACATAATGCTTTCGAAAAACTCTTCACAATCTATCGATGAACAGGTGTAATAATTTTATGGAATTTATATTTAAAATTATTTATTCCTAAGCAATTCTTCGCATTAAAAAATCACGAATCATCGAAGTCGAAATTTTCGAAATCCAAGCATACAAATAATTTTATAAGCAATAAATAAATAAATAAATAAATAAATTATTAATAATCTTATTGCCATTTCTGATAAGAACGATTTAAAATAAACTTCTCTCCTTATTTCTTCATTTTTATTTTTTTAAGCGATTTTTCTAACCCGAAAAACTGACTAATAGAAACGATTAACATGCAGGTTAGCGAGAACTGAAATTAGCTTCGAGTTATTTCATTCAGTCAAAGTGAAAAATTATAAATTGCGACTTTAAGCCAACAAATTCGAGAAGTTCGATTCCCCAAATAGCTTCTTTATTTTAATAATTAAAAATGAATAATTTGGAAAGCATTAAAAAATAAACAAATGGTTAGTGCTTTCGATTAGGTTTGATCCGTTGTTGTCTATCAAGAGATCATTGTTTTTTGGCGAGTCAGTTGTGCATAAGAATACGCAATATTTACAAGTAATGAATAAATTATAATATTACAATTATAATTATAATCATAAAAACAATGTGGGATAAATAAGCTTCAGCGATAATAATAATAATAATAATAATAATAATAATAATAATATTCGATATTAAGAAATTTAGAGAATTTTGTAGTGCAACCGTTCTGTGTCTGTTATCGTTATAAGTATGGATAAGTGCGGATTAACGGATAATTGAAAGAAATATCACTGCATCATCCATTTCTGTTTTTTACACGATTTCATAAATGATTCGAATCAATCAATCATTTAGTTGTTGAAACAACTAACAACTAATCTTTTTTTAATTCTACAACTCCCACATGCCAATTCTTAAGTTTTTATTGGCGACATAAAATCCAACCAGATTTATGATAGTCTGTTTACTTATCGCTAAGAATGCAACAAAATCAGTCTCAACAAGTTGAAAGATTCAAAGAAACCCACAAAACTTAGCCGATTAAGTTAGCTATAAATTTAATGGAAAAGTGTGGGTGAAAAGTGATTTGTTTATGCAATAATTTCAAAGCGATGCTCGAGATTTTTGGCAAAATTAATTTTTAATGCGAAATGAACTAAAATAAGTCATCGAAATTTTTAAATTTAAGAAACTTTTCATCGAATAATTTGATTTTAATTTAATTTACACACTTATTATTGCAAAAGCAAAAACATAGTGGAAGTGATCAAGGAAAACTATCGTTGAATCTCATTTCGGTTAGCGGTGCCCTCATTCCTCTTTTATATCAAAAAAAGGACCCTAAATATCTCATTAAGGAATGAGTGACAAAAAATCCCACAGCAGATTCATTTGTTCGATTTTTAGGCGACGAGTAAATCGAGTAGTAGTGACGTCGATGATCTTATTGCTCATGGTATTGATATATCGCTATATCAAACTGGAATTAGTACTTCGTCAAAATCAGCGCCTGAAATAAGTCCAACAGCTGCAACCACTAATGCAAATGCCGTTCCGACGAGTAGCTCATGGACTGATAACGAAACCCATCCGAATGGTCTTGGTTTGCTGCATTTTTCATTGCAACATTTTCCAGTTCGCAAACGACTTCGAATATCAATTCTTAAAGCCGAAGGTATTATATTATAAATACATTCGTCGTTAATTTTTGCATGATTTTTCGAATTCTGTAACTTTTCTTATAAAGGAAGACGTTTACTTTCCTTTTAAAAACCCGGGTAACACTGGCGACTCGTTTCTAGTTCTATCGATAAACGGCTCTGCGGCAAAATGCTTTGTTCATAAGCTAGTGAGCGAATTTAAGCAGAATCGGTGGTGAACACTAACTAAATGGGAAAAGAAATGTAAAAAATTCGTAATTCGTAAAAGAATGAAAGTACACATCCATCTCGCCGCAGTCGCTTATTTCTCAATAATCTTTAATTAGACGATTTTTTCGCGAAAATTTTTTAAATTTTTTATTATTTGTTTTTGTGAATTATATAATATTCATTTAAATAATTGAAGCTATTAATTAAATTTAACAAATTTCCGAAATTTTAGTTAATTAAATTAATACATTCGCCAGATTTCCTATTGATTAAGGAATTTCTTCTTTTTTCATTGTTTCTTTTAAACGAAAACTTTCGAATATCCATCATCCATTATTTATCCGATAACATTTTATCTAACAAATTTTCCTTTTTTTGCATAATAAATTCGCTCTAAATTCGTGAAAGCAAATGCTATTCCTATCATTCAATTTATAAAATTTCATGCGAACTTCGCTTTTTAACTTTTTCCCCGTTTGAAAAAATCGGAAGTGGAATGGCTCAGTAGGTTATTTCGGTGCGGATAGTGGCTTTGAGAACCAGGATTGCTCTGCGATCCATCTGCATTTCTACCACTAAATTTTATCTGATTTTTATCTGATTCGACTCAACCTGTAGAACGAGCCTAATCAGAACGCTTTTCAAAAGAAAGAAAGAAAATTGACTCATGGAAGGGAAAAAAGCGCAAACGGTAAAATAATTTCGGTTTTATAGACTTCAATTGAAGAAGTTTAAAGTAAATTCTCTTTTTTGTACTAATCTCTTCGAAAATAATTTTATGAAATTTCTTAAAATTTAATTCTTTTCTTTCGGAAGAAAAGAAAAAAGGATTTGTTTAGTAGAAGAAAAGATTATATTTATTATTTAATAATTTATGACTTCTTTATAAACTGGAAAGATTTATTGATGCGAGTGAGATTTTTTTAAGTGAAATCCAAGTGAAACAAAAAATTTGAGCAGTTCAAATCCGTCATTTCTGCTTATATTCGCTTCATTAGCTATTAGCTAGCAAAGCAAATCTACTAGAAAATCACCTAAGGATAGAAATTCACCGAGATCACCCAAAAATTTATTTTTTTATTAATTCTGATTATAGGCAACATCTACCACCTACGCATTGCTGTATTTTTTCTTATCTTACATTAATGATTCTTCGATAAAGCAAATATTTCTTTGACGAATGATAAAAACTTTTGATCTGAACGATTTTAATGAAATTTTTCATTTTTGCTAACAAATTTAATAATATAAAATAAGGCATTATTTAATCGTTTATTAATCGTATGATCAGTAGTCTGTGTTTTTCATTCTCATTAATACCATTTGAAGGACTGGCTGGACAACTGAAGCCTGAATTGGAGATTCATGCCTATTGTAAACTGGTTTTGTTGCCTGGAGGTAAAACGCAGAATTCTATTGTGAGACGCGGACGCGACGTTGTTTTTAACCAGGTTACGCTTTTTTTGGTAATTCGTTAATAAATATAATAATATAAAATTATTGAATTAAAAATAAAAAGTGCTGTGCTAACTCTTTGCTGTAATAGTAAAAATTTATTTTCTCATGTTTACATTTAAAGAAATAACGAAAATAAATAAATTGAATTTTGTGAAAATCTTCTCGAAAATTAACTAATTTTATTATTAACTTTCTCCATTTTAATTTTTATTAGTTTTTCAGTTCTAAAAAAAATGGAAAAAATTTTAATTTTTTTTACACTGAATTAACAGTGCAAAATTTTTTTATTGATAAGTTCTCATTGACAATTTTAGGAATTTTTCTTCGATGGCATTCTTAGCGACGAATTAAATGATAAATGTTTAAATATCACTGTTTGCCATCAATCTACTCAAAAATTGCAAAAAGATCCCGTAATTGGTGAATTATTTTTACCATTAAAGAATCTTAGCGAACTGCAAACAAAAAAAGAAATTAAAGTTATTGAAGAACTGAAACATCACATTAATCCGAAAGTAATTATTTCCTAATCATTTTTTCTTTATTCTTTTGCATTTTTTACATTTACCTTAAATTTTCATAAGGGTTGTTCGTATTGAAATATATGCAAAATATTTTTATGCAATTAAATATTAAATAATAAAAATTATAAATTGAAGAATACGGGTTCATTGCCATATATAGCTTTATGGCCAAAGTGATTATTATCATTATTACGTGCTTATCAAATAATCTTAATACAAATAATTTTAATATGCTAATATAATTTGACTTTTAGCAAATACGTCACAACAAAATTTTTGTGGAATTTTTGTAGAAATTGTAGAAATTGACGAAGAAATCTTTATAAATTTTGCATTTAGCCAACTGCTTGAAATTTATCGAGTTGCGTGATTGTTGAAGCGGAATTTCTATTAGTAATACTATTATTGAGATAATTGTTGTTTACAAGTTGCTCATGAATTAAAATCCATTGCTGTTTGATCCTTTTTTGCTAATGAGATGCGCATTCATACACATACATAAATACACGCATGTATTATTTTAAATTCGAGCAATAAATTAAAGCGAAACAATGGAAAAAATAGGAAACAAAAAATGGCATAGTATATCAAAATTTTTTGAAAGAATTTTAAATTTCCGGTTAAATTTGGTATTTGTCCGTGTTTATTATATGCTGTTTACCAGTGAATATTATATGCATCATAAATCAAACGACCACAAATGAAAAATTTATGATTTAGAAACTGGGAAGGCTGTCAATAACTTGTTGCATAGAGAAAGATGCTCAACGATTAACAATAAATATTATCAAAGCGGAAGATCTACCAAAAGGGGGCATTACTGGACCACCAGGTGAGGATAATTTTTCTGAAATTCGTCCATTAAATAATCGAATTCGCTATTAAAGAATTCATAATGAATGATAGATTAGAATGATATTGAATATATATAAATATGTATATTTATTTCTAAAAGCGCTGTAGTTTCGCTGATTTCACTTGTTTAGGATCAGAAATTTTGCCGAGGAATCGCTTGGCAATGGAAGTAAGGGTGGATCGGCAATAGCGCTCTGATTTTTGAAAGATCTTCCCTGCCAGTAGAATAACTGCAGCGCTAATGCTCTGAAATGAGCTCTGAAATGAGAGCGACAATCTACTGACCATGCCATCGCTTGCATAAATTAAAAAAAGAATTAAAATATGCCTTATCATATAGAATTTTATAAAGACGATAAGGCATATAATTTTCTGCAGTAAATTAATTCATATTTAGTTGATAAATCGTTCAATGAATGAATGGCATTTCGTACTTCTTTAAATAATAAAACGCATGTTTGAGAAGTGCATGAAAATAAATAAAGTTTTTTTCTTATTATTTTAATCATCAAATCTATTTTTATAATTTAAAAAAAAAAATTTATTCAAATTCAAATAAAATTCAAAAGTATTCCAAACATTTTTATTGAATAAGAATTGAATAATTGAAAAATTTATTTAAAAAGTTCAAAATTGAATGAATGAATAGGACGACAATTATTTTAAAATATTTTCTTTTTTTCATGCATTTTGCAAATTTATTTTTAAAATTTTGATTGGATTTTATTGCATTTCTTTTTAATTATTTTATTTTACTATTTTCATTTTAATATTTTTCAAATTTTAAATATTTTTTAATATTTTTTAAAATTTTTCTTAATCACTTAAAATTATTTAAAGGGTTGGGGATAGAATGGCTCAGTGGGTTGTTGCTCAATTGGGAGCACCGATGGTGAGGTTCGATTCCTCGCAGGAGTAAACCTGCATAGAAATCAGGGTGATGCTGGCTACTCACCTGTATTTCTATCGCCAAGAGACTCTCTGGCGTATTTGTCTAGTGCAACAAGCCAGTGGAGCGAGTTTAACCAGCAATGGCGAGGTGTCTTTAAAAAAAATTTAAAGGATTGATTTCGTTAAAAAATTTTATTATATTTCCATATGGATTTTCTTAATTCGATTTCAAATCGTCGTGTTTAATGATATATAAAAGAGAAATCGAGAATATCTGCATTTTAAATCTTTCATAAATAAAACGCAATTGGAGAAGACATAATAAAAGAACGAATTCCACGAATTTCATAAATTTTATGTTAACATTTATTTTATAATAAATTTTAGAATTTTTTTGTATTGCATTTGTCTAAAACTATCTGATGCATCGATTTATTATAACAGTACTCTAAGGATCTTAAATCTTCTTGGTCCCCGGAGAACCTATGTTGGTTCCCTTGGAAGCATTGCGATTAGCAATCATTTTGGGTTCTTGAATATATATATATTGAAAATTTTCACAACGTATGGTTAAAATATTTTAATTTACAAAATCACGTATATCCGCAATATTTTGATATCCTTCTTTTTACATTAATCTCAATAATTCAATTTAAATTCTCCAAAGTTTGAAAATTATGACTGATGTCAATGCACCTCATCAAATTGAGAGAATTAATTTGTTTTTTATATTTCTCAGATCGCATTCAGCTTGTCGGAAATTCATCAAAATCCTATCCTGAAATTATTTCATAAATAAAAGTCGGAGATTTTTTTAAACGGTTTTCTATTTTTAATTCTTTATCAGGCAATCATAAATCGACAATTATCTCCACTAAAAATAACATACATTTGCGTAATTCATCATATATTGTCTGATCTGATAAGGCAGCGGAACGAGGAGGGAACATAATGGTGAGTATACTTAGAAAAAAGATCGCTATGCTATACAATATATATGTGGAGATAGGCTCACAGTGGATTTCTATTTCCCACCACAGAAATAGTAGTGCAATTCTTGATCGAAGTAATTACTAAATAAATATAAATAATAATAATACTATATTAAGAGCCGTATCTGAATCTTCTTCTAATCGCATCCTAGACTTGGATCACTCCAATGCTTGAAATTCCTTTTTCATGGAATTTTGCGGGCAAATCAACGTCGAACACCCCGTAACACCCTATGCAATCAACTCATCCACGCTGTTCTCGTTATAATGTTTTTTATAATTAGAAAAAAAAGCGGGAATTATCATTTATTAAAAAAAAATTTTAATCAAATTTTCGATAATTTAATTTAAGGAAAAAGAAAAATTGAATTGTGGTTTTTCAACTAAATTCATAAAAGTATAAAATGAAATGTTCATTTGCTTAATTGAAATAATAATATTGCGAAAAATGCAAAACAAATTTTATTTTTTAATAAGAGTATCGTTAATAATAATATTTCTTATGATAATATTTATTTATTTTTTTTAAATAAATAAACTATCGTTAATTAGTCGATGAAATGAAATTTTTTGATTTTTCACTTTTTTTAGATGTTTGTGTTCGAATTCGCTTAGAACAAAAAGGAAAAAGTCAATTAAAGCAGAGCAGAATTATTAAAGGAACATGCTGTGCAGTTTATAAAGAAGCTGTTATGTTTCTTATAAGTCCGAAACTTAATGATTTATATGATACGAACATAACGATAACAGTTCATGACCTATCAAGGTTAGCATTCTCTATATTTTTCAATTAAAATCGCGAACCTTTTTCTAATTAATTACTTATTTTCCATGTCTCTTACGATTCTTTCGTTGCCTCATAACCGAGCCCTATCTTATCATATCAAATAATTCTTACCTTATCTAAAGCCAGTTTTAATTAGTATAAAAAAATTAACTTAGTTCGCTCAATAAAAACAAATTTTTTTCAATTATTGAAAAAATAATATGAATTAAAGCATACAATTTCCCGAATATTTCATTATTAAATTCGATTGAATGCGATTAATAAATAATAAATTTATTATTATATATTATTTGATTAAGTTTAACTAAACTTCAATTTTAATTCAATTTCTTTCGTAATAATATTTCTTCATTTCAAGAAATTTGTAATTTTATTATTAAAATATTTATTTGAATATTCATAACAATTTTTATTTATAATGTAAATAATCAACAACCATCGTTTTATTCCATAATTTCCTTTTGATTTCTCTCTTTTTATTAGAAAGAATTCAAAGAAATTTTTTTAAAATCTTCTAAGACTTGCACCGTCACTAGTTAGGCCATCTCCGAAAGTAAGGTAAGGTAGCGTGCAATAAGGCTTTTGCAAGTCGCTCGACCAGATGGAATAGTGCATTTTCTCAGCTCATATATCGCTAGGGTACCTATGTGCCCATATTCTCCTCTCTTCTAACTGCTTCAAACCAGATCCTTCTTGCTTTTGGATCTATCCAGTATGGAGTTTAACAATTACTATCACTAATTGGCTAATTGAATTATTACAAAATTGATTTGAAAATATTTCTTTCATATAATTTTTAATAAGTTTTTTATAATTTCCAAAATATCCTGGAGAAATTCACCAAACAAGAGATGCTGAATAAGATTTTATGCTGCTCTATCAAAAATAATATGGCTGCAGACCAGTTAAAATGATATTTATAGTAGCTTGATTTAATATTTATAGAAAAATTTTGCAGAACAATAACAGGCGATGATTTAATTGGGTCGGTTTTTTTGGGAAAGATAGCAGTTGATAAATCCGAAATTGATCAATGGAAGAATGCAATAGAACATCAAGGAAAAGAATATAAAGGAACACATCATCTCAAGCCATCATTACGAACACCGGATGTCGTTGCTGAAGCTCCTTCAGATTCTGAATAGCCAAATATTTAAGCCATGGTTATCATATTTATCACTGAAGCATAATCATTCCATGCATTCCAAAATCTTTTTCCTTTCTAACGATTCTCTCGTTTAATTCATTATTTCTATTCAAATTTTGAAAAAATAAAAAATTCTTAGAAGTTTAATTTGGTTATCATTTTTTTTTCCTTTCTTCTTTGCGTTTTGATAAGTACAATTGAGAAGAATGTTTCGTGTTTGATGATGATGACGCTAATTGTTAAAAAAAATTAGTTTGTATCATAAAAATATTTCTGACAAGCAAATTCGCATTGCATAGATTATAATTCTGCGGGATTATGATTTTAAATATTATACCAGGAGCAAACCTGTAATTAAAAATCTCGGTTGGTGTAAAAGATCCATCTTTATTTCTATCTTCAAATGGCTCTCACAGGCAAGTGATACCACAGATATACAAATATAATAATCAGTGAAAACAGTGAGTCCAAGTAGAAATGCTGAAAAATATCTCTGAGATATCTCTGAGATAAATATCTTTTTTTATTTTCTCCAATAAGCGTTCAGTATTTTCTTGCATGAGGTAAAGCGAACTGTTTTCTATGTTTTATTTCAGATTTGTTGAATATAAATACATATATATGTATATTTTTAAATAGCGCTCTTAATTTCTGGCTCCCTCACTGGATTAGTCTGATTTTGTTATTTGGCTGAAGTAGGCCAGTACTTTCAGAATTCTTGGAAGGCAAGTTCACTCGTACCGAAAGTAGGAACCCAACGTCAGCAACAATGCAAATGCAACAACCTACTAAATATATATATGGTAAAAATAAAAATATTTTTTGTGGTCGATTGCATGTCAATTCTTTTTTTAATCGAAAAAATATTAACCAATTATGACATCTCATTTTTATTGCTCAGTTTTTTTCGGCTGTAAAAATTTATGGAAAACAGCTGTTTTTTTCATAGCCATAGAAAAAATTCAATTTCCTCGATGAAAAATATTTTATACGATTAATGGAACATTTTTTTCGGAAATTTTATAAGCTTTATTTGCACTAAACAAATTAATTGAATGAATAAATATGAGAATATAAATAAGTTTTAAATATTCATTTAACAATGTAAATAAAATAAACTATTTGTGAGAATTAGAAGTTAAAGCCGTTTACTTAATTATTTAAATTCTTTTATTGCATCATTCATCTAAAATTTTTTTTCTTTGCTTTCGAATTTTGCAAATTAGATTTTTAATGGATAATTTAGTAAATGAAGCGCGAATGAGGAAAAAAATTTTTTTAAAAACAATCAATCCACCAATAAATCATTTAAGGATAAAAACACCATGTGTGAGGTGAGGTGGCCGCTAATCGCTACTGGTCTTATCATAATTATCATCTATCAGTTTAGACGACTAAAAAGTGCGATAAATTGATAATAATTGAAAAATATTGAAAACTTAAAAATTTTTCATGATGTCTAGACGATAATTACTGAGAACGAATTAATTGCATGAGCTGAAAGAGTTGATTCGATAGAAATTTTTTCTTTTTCGTCGCACCATTGTTGACCTAAATCCACCTAAATTCAAAAATTTGCAATATGAAATAAACTGAAGAAGTTATTTAGCAATTTAAAACTCTACGCGATTATAAAATTTGCCCGTAACTTTCAAATAAATATGAGAAATAAATAATATTTCTTATGGAAATGAAAATAATCTTTAAAAAACCGAAAAATTTGCAATATTTCTGGATAGCAATCAATAAAAAAGAAATATTCTAAAATATTTTAAATTAAATTAAATTTTAAATAAATTTTTTAGAAATTTTTTTAAAATTTCGTGAAAAATTTCATTAAATTGAATATTCCCATCTAAATTTTTTGGTCATAAAAATTCAATTAATTTGAAAAGAAAATTTTCCAATGCGATTATCTTAATGGAGTCTTGAAAAATGCATTTTTTTCTCTTGAATTTCAAATTTAAAATTGCCTCCGAAAGTAAAAAAATATATTTATGGTGCGAGAAATTGGAATAGAATGGTTCGGTTGGCTTTTGTTGTCATTGGAGCGCCGATGCTGAAAATTAACTCCCAGCAGTGCAAATGTGTTGGAAAAACCTGGGTGTTACTTCTGCCGCCGAATGACGACTGCCTAAGAATTTTCTTTTTGTCTGACAAGCCAGCAGAGCGAGGCTAATAGGAAAAAAAGCAATAATAAAAGGTGAAAAATGCATAAATAAATATTGAAGGGAAAAGAATTGGAAATAAATTTGCTGTTTGTTCGTTAATTTGCTTGAAATCGAATAAAGCTGAAAAGACAAATAAATCATTCGAAGAAACAAATCTTCAACGATCTTCCACTATTCTCGTTAACTCGTACGCATCAAAACCGCAATTTTTATAAGCAATTCGGTTTCGCTTATATTTTTGCATTTCGATAAATAATTCGAAATTTCCAAGGAAAAGCATCGAATCTAAAATTTTTATAGTTAAGCGAAAATTTCAATTTTTAAGTGAACTCAACGGCTTTTATGCAAATATCGTTCCACTAACTAATTTCTAAAAACATCAAAATAATTCTTTAGAGTCCAAAAAAAGAAAAATAATTTACTATTCGATTAGTCATATAATCTTTTGTATCACCCATTGCACAGGAAAGGCTCTTCGAAAAAAAACAATTTTAATAGCCAATAAAGCCTAAAAAGAAATGGTGCATAGCTAAAAAGAGGGAGAAAATTGTTAGGTTCGCTTCGCTTCGCTGTCAGACCAGAAAATTTTTATCAGGGAGCCATTCGACGGAAGAAATACAGGAGAGTCGCCAATCGTAGTCAAATATTTGATAGGTTTATTGCAGCTGAGAGCAGAACGCCAGCGAAAATAAGGCCAACAAAGCATTGAGCTATTCGACTACTATGAGGTGCATTGTAAATCGTAACACAATATAGAAATATTTACCCCAAAAAATTTTGCTGAGATTTTCTTGAAAAGCTTATAAATTTAAAAAAAATTGAAAGCAAAATTTAATTTTTTCATTAATTTCATTTAATTTCAATATTTCAATGCTTTTTCTTTCAATAAAATCGATATATATGGCAAAAAATGGCAAAAAAATAATAATTTTAAATTAATGAATTCAATTTGTTCAATCGAAAATGAAATTTTTTGAATTGAATTTTAGAAAATTAATTTCGTTTTTGTAGAAAAAAATAAAAAATTTCAAATTTCTAAATAAATTGTTACAAATTCGCATTAAAAACTTTATCAAAAATTCATTTATTCATTTTATTAATTTATCAATCAATTAATTTCATTTGAATTTGAATGAAATTTAAAATTTCCATTAAATGGTTGATTGAAGCGTCGTCGCTTCGCACGAGCAGAACCATCCCTCAAAAACGCGGATGATGCTGGTGATCCACCTGCTGCTCTATCGTTATATGATCGATTTTCTGGCAAAATCGAGTTGATCAATCGAACAATTCAGCAATTCGGAATGAGTTTAACGCAGGAAATGATAAAGTTTTTTCGAAAACATCTGCGAAATATTCTGAAATATTCGAAAACTTTCATTTGAATTGATTTCAAAGGTACTTTACGAAGAAAAAACTAATATAATTTTTATCGCAACTACGACATTATTTAAATGGATTTTATTAAAATTTATATCAAACAAATTTTAATAATGCATCACATTTAAGAAGAAAAATTTTCTCCATCATAATTATTCAAGAACTCATTTTTAATTAAAATTTAATTTTGAATTCGTATAAAAAGAGGTTAAAATTGATGGCTAAATAATGGTAAATGGTAAATTAAAATAGGATTTTAGTAACTTTTTCTATAATCGATAGCTTAAGAAGCATCTGCTCAAAACACTCAATATTTCTGGTTCGGATGGCGCCACTGACTGGCCACTGGACCCTCTCGCCAAGGGCTACTTGCCGATAGAAGTATAGGTGATGTGCTCGACAGTAAAACATGGAAATAATTTCTCGCTTCATTGATATCGCATTGAATGCAATAACTATAATCAATAACTTAATTTAAATTATTTTACTATGTAAAAAAAGTTTTGAAGTAAATAGATTAATTTTAAGAAAAGAATCCGAAGAATTAAATAAATATATTCTCAAATAATTTCTTAAATTCCCTAATGGTTTTTCTGGATTAAAACCCTCAATATTTGCGTCGAAATAAATTGAAACAATAGGAAAAAATCTTCAAAATTGATTCGTATAAGTGATGGTTTTGAATTAACGTTTTTCTAATTTGAATATAAATAATAAGCATGCGAAGCTCCCGCTGCGTAAATTATACAAAATTAAGAAATAATTATCAAGAAACTCAAATTCAATCACCTGTTGCAAGATAATTGCATAGAAACATATACATGCATGGTTGCTTTATCAATTATCGCTCTTAAACTTCTTTTATTTATCACTCTCATCCAAACACTACTGATAATTCTATTGTTTTATCAACAGGTTTTTTGTTCAAATTTATTTTCCAGTATTACAATCATTTTTTCGAAAATGTTCATAAAAATTTGTGTATAAGCTTCATTAATACTTGGTACTCATGTAATTTTTAGTTACAATTCATTTTAAAAAATTGATGGAAGTTGAAAAAATGGACAATTTTACTTAAGTAGTTATCTTTTTAAGAAAAATTTCGGAAATGATAATAAATCTGGTCAAAATCATCATCGAAATTTGATAAGATCACGACGATCTGCCAGTGAAAAAAATCAGCAGTCAATGAATGATTTCTTTCTTCCAATTTATGCAAAATTAACGGTATAATTTTTAACCAAATTAGAACAAATTTTTTGTGGAAAAGATTTATATCTAAAAAAACTTAGAATAGAATAAGAGAATAGAATAGAATAACTTAGAATAGAATAACAATTTCGATTCATATCTGTAGGGATCAACGAGATGATAAGTTTACCATGAAAACATTACATTTCGGCTTTACATCGAGGCTTGCAGTATTCTTGAATTGTGTATTGTTACGAAGAATTAATGAGCGACCATGTTTCCCACAAAGATAAGCACAAAGAATCAAATTCCAGAGACAGATGAATTCAAATTTTTAGTAAAATTTCTAACATTAATGAAGAAATTTTTATTAATAAACCTCATTTTTGATAAATTATCACGAAGTATTCGATTGACACTGAAGTGATAAATTTCAGAATGAAGATTTATGATATTTATGATTGATTTATGAGATTTATGATTATAATTTTAACTTATTGTATGTTACTTCTCTCTGCATTTTATGTAAAAATTATAAACAAATAACTGAATAAAGGATGAGATGACCTTGATACCTTTTTTTTTAAAAAGTCCTCACCATTACTTGTTAGACTCGCTCCACTGGTTTGTCGCATTGGACAATATGCCAGGGAATCCCTTGACGATAGAAATACACCTCAGTCGCCAGCATCATCTGGATTTTTGTACAGGTTCACTCCTGCGAGAAATCGAACCTCAGCATCGGAGCTCCCAATCGAACAACAACCCACTGAGCTATTCTATCTCCGTATACCTTGGTACCTTAATTTAGGATTTTTAAAACAGAAAGTATTGGTCCTTTTGGCCCCAAATTTCTGGTCCTTTGATAGGCCTAGTAAAAAAGAATCTCTAATATATAAAAAATATTGTGAAAGGTGATGCGAAAGTTCAAATTAAACTTAGATATGTAGAAATTTTTAAACTTTTATCGTCAAAAAATCAAATCAAACATTTAAAAAATCAACAACTTAGGGGAATTTATTCGAAACAATGTGCAATCAAAGAACTGTTGAAAAGAAAGTTACTAAGGATCATAAAAGTGTAAATCTAAAAAATTATCAGCAACTAACCGATACAGGTAAAAATTCTGCTTCTAGCAACAGTTAGCATCTCTTGTTTGGCAACCTCAGTTATTCAATTATCTCATTAAAAAGAGATTCTTTCACCAAAGAGTGGTTTAGAGACGCAATATATATGTGGGGTGCTAGCGCTGGCTGGATATTTTTTGGCATTTTTTGATTCGAAAGCATTTCGTCCTCATTGAAACCGCGCGTCCTATTCGAGGTGGACTCCTTATTGCTACGGTCAAATACCTAGATTGTCCATTCACCACTGATTTATTTATCGATAAAAATTCAAATTGGTTCCCAACAATCTGATTTCTAAATCTCCTCAAAATTACTTCTTCTGAAAGCCATTATGCACGATTATAATTGCTTAGAAAAGGTAGTTTCTCATTGTTTTCTCATTGTTTTAGGATGCAATTACGTAATAAAATCAATTTCAAAGCCAAAAATAATTGCTAAACGACTTAATAAAATTGGTGGAATAATTCGTAAAGATAATTATTGGTACTTAACTGAATATGCGTTTGGCTACAATATATTTGAATATAATTCGACTGAAGATTTACGAATGTCACAACCAAATCGAATATATCAATTAGATGGTACTCATTATGACGGTATTGATAATACGGTTTGTGGAAAGGCTATCGTTTTCTTCGATTCATCGAAATCTCGCATAAATTTCTTCTATATTGATCATAATGGAAATATAATTAGTATGCCTTTCAATACTTCTAAGGTAAGATTTTAAAAAAAATAACTATGACAACTGAAAAAAACAACAAATAGTTCAGTGGGGCGCTCCCCACATTTCAAAATGTTGACGCTGGAATTCGGATCTCAGCAGAAATAAGCCTGTCTTTCAAAAATCCGCGCGACACCAGCGACTCTATGGCAAAACTTGACTCGTCCGGCAAGCTAATGGTGCGACTTGATTTGGCGATTTATAAACATCTTATTTATTTAAAAAAGACTTAACAGTGTATGCAGAGTATGCAGTTTTAATTTATGATGATTATATTGATAGAAATAGATGCTAGCATCCAAGATTTTGAAATACAGGTTTATTCCCGCCGGGCATCGGATCTCCGAAACGAGGGCAACAACCCGTTGAGCCATATATTTGATTAAGGACATACTATATCATTTGAATTCGAATTTCTTCGTTCTTAATTTGAATCGACCACTCATTGTATTGCATTATTTTGTTTCAGTTTTTGTTTCTCTGCCTGATTTTTAGAGGTTGCAGTTTAGAATAAATTAAATAATTTAGGTTCCTTTATATATGAAATCCGGGTCATTGGTTGATTTTGAAAGCTCATCAGAAGATAAATTATGGCTGTTGCATCGTTCAATTGATGATTATCAATATCCATATTTTGAAGCGATATCTATCGACTGCCAAAGTTTAATTGAAGAAAGACATTTAAAATTAAAAAAATTAAAAAACTTAAAAAATTTGATAAACTCATTCGTTGCGTGCAATCATCTTTATATAATTACTGTTGAAAACAATATGAATGTTATAAGAAATTTCTATGATTTAAATAATAATAAATATATAAATGATAATAAAGTAATAGGAAAATGGAAAAGAAATTCATTAAATTATCATCCATTAAGTATACAATTCGATAGTTTTAGCAAAACAATTAATATTTTTGATAACGGTTTTATATATTCGATAAATACTTTTATTAATTAATTAAATCTAATTTAATTTAATTTAGAAAATATATTTAATTAATTAATGAATGTTTTTGTTAATTAGTTTGTTATTGTAATTTATTTATCATTTCGAATCATTTAATTAATTCATATTTTTATAAAATTTTCATCTTTAAACTTTATTCAAATTTTATTAGAGTGTTTTTATAATTTTATTTTCGTTCCACTGAAATTATTCTTCGTTAATTAATTGTACTTGGATATTTGATGATTAAATTGATCAATAGTTGTATAAGGCTTAAGGAATTAGTCCAGTCACCAGTGGAACTAGCCAAACCAGCAATGGCGCAAGAAGGCATATTTAAGGAACTTATCGAATTTCTTAGTCATTTATTTGTTTTCTTTTATTTTGTATTATAATGTGAATGTTCTAATTGGTGTTAAAAAAGAAATTTTCATCTCTCTTTTGCTTTATTCGATTCGATTTAATAAATAAACAATGATAATGGTTGGTTGCAGTTGGCACTTGAAATTTTATGCAGGTTTGAGAAATATGCCGGGTCAAGGGTCACTTATTTGAGATTAATTTGATAGTTGTTGTTTGCATTTTCGTTTCATATATTCATTAGCCATTAGTCATTATTTCACAAATTGCTAAAAATTATGAAAAAAAATAAAAATGATTCATTTTTTCTTCTTTCCCTTTTCTAAATTTTAGTTTTAAATTTTTTTCATGAGAATCGAATAATTTTTAATTAATTAAAAGAAATTAATTTTAAAAAATCAATATATTAATAGATTTTATAATAAAATTGAAATAAATTTTTTAAAAAATAGAACAGAATGACGCAGTGGTTCATTGATCTTAGTTCGGCGCGCCGTTACTGGTTTTCAATCGAGCCCACTGGGAGAGAACCTATCTTTCGAGTGATATAAGCGATTTTCGCCAAGTGGTACCTTGAAAAAATTTATCCAGTCCGATAAGCCAGCAGAACAAGTCTAACCAGAAATTAGCGCTTTTAGAAAAAATAAAAATGAATGAATAAATTTGATTAATTTCGAGAGAATTACGATAATTAACAAATAAATAAACTATTTAAACCATTAATTTTTATAAAAAAATTTGTTTCAAGGAAATTTCTTATTTTTATTAGTGTTTTATAAATCGAATTTTTTGTTCATTTCAAATAAAATTTTCATAAATATCGCCAACGCAGTTCGTTAATGAATATTTTTCTTTATTTAAATCCATTTTTTTCTCATCAAATTTAATTAAAATATTTGTTTATTTTATTATTTTTAGGAGATTTTCTCGAGTTTTTTAGCTTAAAAACAAAGGAAAGCGTTTCGTTTCTAAGAAATCTCTTCGATCGATGAAATGATCGCTTAATGATGTTAACGATTAATTTTTATTATATCGCTTACTTATCTTAATTATTATTTAGGAATTTCATTATTATCATTATCATTGTTATCATTTTCACTACTAATTACTATTATTCTTCTTCATCATCTAACAGCTCGGTTGCTGCTCCAGTTAGCTCATTTGCCGAATAAATTGAAACATTTCCAATCAAAGGCTCTCGACTTGAGGTCATTCCTGAAAATAACTAAAACTAACCACTCTTCTTTCCATTGTCTAAGCCTATATATATGATATATAACTAAGCTACATATATTATTAACATTATTATTATTTTACTTGTTATAGCGAAAAAATTTTGAATAAATAAAACGAAAAATAAAATCGAATTTTTTGGCGATCATCAAAGAAACTTTTTTAAAAAAATTTTTCCAAATTTGCATATTAATAATTCTTAAAAGAGAACAATAAGTTTAAATGTCATTTAAAGTGGAAATGGAAAAGAAATTAAAAAATAATTGCTGACGCGATGCTCTAAAAAAATTTGCTTTCCTATAAGCAACAATTTTCTTTTCCTTATCATTTCCTCTTATCACAAACTCCTATTTCTTATCACAAATCGAATTGGTTCCATCAGTTACAACTTTCTCGATCCAGTACTGTATTTCAATACTCCAATGCTCAAACTTTCTATATTCTTACGCATCACGCCATTATAACTGAGTTAATCGCGACAGAGACAGAGGTGTAGCTCTGCATTTCATTTCCATACAGTGATTGATATTTACATTTTACAGTGTTTACAATATTTGGAATGGATTCCTCAGTGTATTTGTCCATAAACCTTAATATAACTGGAAATAGCTGAGCGCTATATAATTGCAATAAAGCAAACAAAACGGCTTTGAACGACTCTCTCACAAATTTCTCTCAGATTTTTTTACATTTATAACTTCGATTTCTCCTTTTTTTTCGGTGAAATGAAATCGGAATTATTCAATTCTATTCGAGTCGAATGTATTGCAGCATTAATAAACTCGTAAATCAGATTATTTATAAATGTGGAGTTTGCGAAATTTAAGTCGCGAGAAGTGGCAACAAATGCATTTTCGAGAAGTCCTCTTAAACATTTCAATTGGTTGGCTATATTGTAAATTCTATTAAAAAATTGTCAATTCTAGAAAAACTTTGCATAGAAATTTAATTGAAAATGCAATTAAATTAGCTGAAAAATGCTTAAATTTGGGAAAAAAATTTGCTATTTATTGAATTTTCGAAATCATCAATTTTTCTTCTCATTGAACAAATTAGTTTTGTAAAATTAAAATGAAAAAATATTTGCGAAGAAAATTTGTAAAAATTGTTTCAAATATGAAAATAATTCATAAAAAATTTTAAACTTATTTCTTTTAACCTTATTTCAAAAATATTTAATGGAAAAATTTTGAAAAATGCATTAAATTTACGGAAAAATTTGGTTTGCTCAGTGTTGCTCATTGCAGAGCAGCGGTGGTGAGGTTTCACATTTGGCAAAAGTGAATCTTACCTTCAAAAACCTAGGTGACGCTGGTGATTACTCATATCGCTAAGTGGTGATCTGATAGAATTTGTCTGGCTCGATAAGCCAGCAGAGTAAGTCTAACCAACATAATGAGCGCTTTTAGAAATAATAACTTGTTTGATATTCAAAAGAATGAAAAGAAAATAATTTTATTATCATTAACACCACTGTTAACATACGTAATGAAGTGGAATGATATTATATAAATAATATGAAAACTTTTTTTTCAAAGATTAAAAATTCTATTTGCAAAGAATTTTTAGATTTTTTGGCAAAAGATAATAAAAACAAAAATGATTCGCTAAATTGTTATTTTTATTTTTATTATTCATATTGTTGATGCTGATAAAATACCTATTTTTATCAACTGATTTCATTGCCGGTTGATGCAGTGCTGGACTTACCTTGGATCCACTCTAATCCCAAATGGCCAGGCAAATCGTAACCCGGATAACGGCAGCTAGAAATATATTTTTCCGGTTGCCCTTTATGGAGTCGTCATGAAATCACCATAAAAACGGAAGTCCGCCTCTAGCCGCGATCCGTTCGATCTTGCTATATTGCTAAGAAACATGGTCAATGAGAATGGAAAATATTAAGAAGCTATTAGTTTTTGACCACTCATGTCTAAGGTACATTCTACCTCCGAGCAGATAAAATCGCACATGATTGTATACACCTTTGCTCAAATACCAACTGCATTAATAATGTTATCATAGAGCGTAGCCTTCGCTGGTTAGGGCACGTTCTCCGTCGTCCATCACAGGAGTTGATGCATATTTCCTTACTTGCTAAACCGTGTGATGAATGGCGTTAAAAGCGTGGTGGGCCAATCAAGACCTGGACTGATATAGTCAGGAAAGATTTCGAACGCATAGGGGGACCAGCGATGTATGGACTTAGACGATGGAAAAAGGAATAGCTTCTATTACTTTATTACTAACGATGGCGTCGGACCGGGCAGCTTGGAAATGTCTTACTCTTATAGCCAGCGGGGCCAGCCAGCAATGGTGAAAGATGGCTCTCTTCCTAGAAGAAGAAGAATATTCATATCGTAAAATTTATTATTTTTTGTTTTTTAGTTTTATTTATTAATTTGTTTATAAAACAATTTTATTGAGATATTTTAAAAATTTAGTTTTTATTTTTGTTCTTTATTTTTTTCTATATTTTTGTTGATTCTGGCATTTTGGATGAAAAAAATTCCATAATTTAGTTCGCATGCCTTTAGCACTGTGCTCACGCTCTTTTTCTTAGAGTCAAAAAAGCGAATTTTTTTGAATTATTCAAATTCAAATTTAATACGGAAGGATGTGGTGTCTGGTATGTTCGCGCCGCTTGGAAGCGTCTTACCCTTGTAGCCGTTGGAGCCAGCCTAAGCAGTAATGGTGAGGGCTGTTAGAACAAGAAGGAGGTGCCTGGCATGTGCTACCTTATGGACCCGAAGTGCAACATCGGAAATACCTCGAAGAATATGAACGAAGCGTCTTAAAAAGAGTGAGTGACCCGCAAACTTATGATCTGGAAGTATGGGTTTTAAAGATTCTCCAAGTGACAAATCTCGCGAATCAGATAATCTCATGCATAACGCGAGAGAAAAACTTATGCATTTAGCGAAGAACTTTGCTGCTTTATATGCTATCGTATTGAATAATCATCAGCGATGAGGGAAATTATGAACGAGAAACGCGAACTCCACTCGAAGTTATTGTTCGAGAACTACTACTGCTGGATCGATCCATTGTAGCTTTCTAAGCCTTGGTGCAACAACAAAGTAAATTAATAAATAAAAACTAGTGTGTCAAAAAGCGTCTATCATCGTTCCGCAAGGCAAAGCTAGGCCACCTCGCATGGCTGCAAAAATCTGCCCAGCTGTCTATCGAAGTCCTCTTTCATTCATTACCTTTTCTAAGTCTCTAACTGACTGACAGTTGTCATTTCTTTCGCTCTCATGGCGATTTCCAGCAAAAGAAACACTTGGAAACGTTTCGAAAAATATTGAAAATTTTTCAGCAATTCATTGGTTGAGAAACTCGAAGCAAATAGAATAGAAGCATCGCACTGGTAAAATTGTGTTCAATCCAATGGTACTTGTTTTTTCATTGCTTTTTTCAAAATCGTTTTATCGTTGTGATTTATTATTGCAAAACATAATAAAATAACAAATAACGTAATAATCTAATTATAATTAAAATTAATTAATCAAATATCGAACAAGGCGATCGATGTTACCACATGTGAGATTATCGGAAGGGCCGCATTTCTCACGTTGGCGGCCATAGGGCCACGTTATCGCCAGGGAACTCTTCCTCGACCCGCTCATTTTATTTAAATTTGCATTTTTACTCGTTTTAACTTTACTCGTTTGATGGGATTGCGTGTGGTTTGTTTTGCGATTCTTCATGCAATCTTATTTTTTGTTGTTGAAATATTATTAAAGTGTTTTTATTAAACTTCGACTTTGAACTCTCCAAGCGTTCTATTTTAAAATTGATCTATGAACTTTGAACTTTGCTTTATTCTGCATTCCAAGGTCCTGGTGGTGGTGGGTCCTCGTGGTGACTCACCTACACTTCTTTCGGTCGGTCCCTAGCATAGTTTCAAACAAGCCAGAGGAGGGAACCTAACCAGTAGTTTCCAAAAAATCCAGCAGTTGGGTTGGTGAAATTTGCTATGCGGGATGTCCTTTCGGATCGTTGCACATTTTTCAGAGACTTGCCTTTTCCCCAGTGGTATATTCTAACATTTGCTAATTTTCGTGGTAAATATTTTAAATGATATTTGATTGATAATTGATAAGTATTTTAATGCTAATCTGCTAATTAGAGACATCGTTGATATTTTTGATAATAATTTGTCTCCAAACTTGAATTTTTCAACTTAATAATTATTTTATAGTTATCAGCAGAGGGAAGTTACTGAATTTCTTCGCGCTTTATTATAATAAAACAGCGATGAGTGCTTTTGTTTTGTAATACTATATATTTGAGCGTAGAATGCTTGTGAATAGCCATTCTTTCATGTCTTTTAAATTTTCTCTTGATTTTCCAAATTAATTTGTGGGAATACGACGACGTTTATTTCAATTAATTATTTATTATCAATTATTCTAAAATATATTTAATTGAAGATGAATGCTGAAAGTAATGTAAGCGAAAAACCGTTACTTTTGCGCATTAAAGGAAAATTATATGATGTGGCACTATTTGCGAATAAACATCCTGGTGGACGAAAAGTCAGCAATTTCAGTATTCATTATTTCATATAAAATAATAATATTTAGTTTAATTATTTAATGGATAATTCTGTCCGAGTCAATGAATTTTCGCGGAATTTGTTCAGTTTTTTTCTAAATTATCAAAGATTCATTGTTATGGTACGGGCAGTTCTATTCCAGGGGCGCTTCTTATTTGACTAGTTCCACGAGTACAGGGGTGAAGAATATATTTTTAAGCTTCTCACTCCATGCGTGAAATCATTTAAAGGCAGTAAAATAAAATATTTTATTTGATTTTAGATTTTTATCTGAAAATTTGATAAATTTGGTAATTATAAGTAGCACTGTTGCCTCGTTCCCTTTTGCTTATTTTTTTATTTATTTTCAAAAGGAATTAAAAGAAATAGAATAAAAGTGGATTATGATTTCTTTTTAAAAAAATTTAATTTATAAATTGCATTATGGCTTGAAATATCAACAGAGAGTTCAGAAATATCAACAGAAGAGAGTAGCATCAGGATACAAATGTCTAAAGAATGGTAGAATTGTAGTTAGGTTCATACGAGGTTGGGTTTAATAGATTCAGTTTGTCTCTTCAGTCTGTTTGTCTCTCTAAGGTATAATCATCAAATAATTGGTGGATAATTTTATTATATTTTAGTTTTTTCCAGGTGCTGGATCGATTAGCTGGCGAAGGCGTTGATGAATATATGGTTGGGATTAAACGTATTTTGGGTGTTAAGCATGAACATTCTGATGCTGCATATGGTTTATTGGAGCGATATTCGATAGATAAATGTCATGCGATTACAGTAAATGATTACTTCAGTAAACTGAAAAAAAACTAAATGACATCGTGCAATCACAGTTTTAATTACTTATCCATATATTTGAAACTATTTTATATTGGAGCTGTTTAGATCCACCCATCTTTCCAGTATCATTGATTTCTTTTCATTATTGATGTTTTAAGCATCAAAATTAGAATCGATTTATTGAATAGGAGATTTTTTAAAAGAAATGAAAATTACAGAATAAATAGGTATATATTCATTTGATAAGACATAAAACTCGGTGGATTGTGATTTCGAATCCTGTCATTGCTGCCTTTTTTTTCTTTCTTTTTGTTGGTTTCGATATTTTGATATTGATATTAATATTTGAACAAACTATTTTCCTTATTTTACAGGACGTTGATGAAATGCTTACGGGTAAACCTATGTTATCGAAAGTTGGTACTTTAGGTGATCGTTATTGGACTTGGATTCATCAACCATATGATGGAGTTCTTCGTCTTTTTGAATCAGATTTGTTAGAAATTTTTACAAGAACATATTGGTGGGTGATTCCAATTTTTTGGATGCCGCTCGTAATATTTTTTACTATAAAGGCTTATGCAGTTCTGTTTCCAAAGTATGGTTAGTATTTATTTATTTATGTATTAATGTAATGATATAATAATAGTATAAATTAATTAATAATAACATTTAATATACCATTTAAACAGATGTGCAGCGAGACATTTGTAAAATAAAAATCATAGGAATCATAACAATAATTTATTTTCCCTAAAAAAGCATTTAATTCAAAAAATGAATTTTTTATCTATAATTTTTAAGGCATATTTTATGGACTGCTTTTTTGGATGTTTTTTTTTGGATTAGGTATTTTATTATGGACACTACTGGAATATATTCTACATCGCTTTGCATTTCACTGGCAGCCTGATCCAAAATCGCCAAATCAAATCATCTTTCATTTCTTGTTACATGGTCTTCATCATAAGGTTATTTATTTGTTTAATGTTTTGCATTTCCTTGGAAATTATGGAAGGAATTTATTTATTCTTTGCAATTATCTTTTATAGAATTCAGAACTGTCTGGGTCTTTATATATAAATTTATGTTTGTATTTTTTAATATTTATAGACACCAATGGATGGACAACGTCTCGTTTTTCCTCCTCTTCCTGCCATTCCAATTGTTACCTGCTTTTACTTTTTTTATGTCTCGTTTTTGCCCTACCCCATTTTTAACTGTTTTGTTGGTGGGAAATTGTTTGGCTATGTAATTTATGATCTTACTCATTATTATCTTCATCATGGTAGTCCGGCACCAAAAAGTAATCTGCATTATCTTAAAGTATACCATTACAATCATCATTTCAAAGATTTTAATCTTGGTATGTTTTCAAGATGGTTTATACTTTCGAATTTTTTTGAATATTTGAATTTTTCTGTGTATCGGTTTATTTATTTTATTTGAATTTGCAGCTTTCGGCATATCCACTCTTTTATGGGACCACATATTCGGTACAGTTGGAATGGGTCCTCTTTGAAAATTATCATTTATCATTTATGGTATCTTCGATTTTCTTTTCTCTGTAAATTCTTTCTTAGAAAAAATTGTTACCAAAGACATAAAATGATGATTGTTTATGATTGTTTTCGTCGTATTAAGCGTTTCATTTTGCAATATCTCTTGTTGCTTGTTGTTTTTATTAAAATCTATAAATAAAATCTTTATTTCAGTCAAACTCTTAGATGAAAAATTATTCACATTTTATACTCAACTATTATATATTTTTCCTTATATTTATATTCAGATTTACAATGTGTTTTTGGTGTTTGCTGCTGGTTTATTTTTTTGTGGCGAAATTAATCATATTTCATCATCGATTTTTTAAAATTGTACTTATTTTTTTGAATCTTATGAATATTTTAAATGGAAAATGCTTAATATCGGCTATAATTTCACCAAAATTTGTTTTCTCGAAAAATTCTTATTTTTTCAATTTCAAAGGTCTTTCAATTTTATAGTGTCTTTTTTTAGCTGTAGTGGTTATAACGTTATTTTAGGAAAAAGCATTGTATTGTCTTTTAGGTTGTCAATTTTATCTTTCGCAGTTTTTTTTTGTAGGAAAATATAAAATTTTTGGCATTGTCAAGTTTTTCATCATGAGGAACAATTTTTCTTCAGTATTCAACGGCAAAATAATGCAGTTAAAGTCAATGATTTAAGCATTCGATATGTAGAATTTTAATTTCGAGTGATGCTGGTGACTCGTTTACTGTACCGAAATGTACTGCACCGAAATAGCTCTGGCGAAAGCTGCTTATCCTAGTATTAAGGAAGTATCGAATATTTGCGTAATTATAAGTGTTTCCGGACCCGCTGGTTTATGCATATTGGGGATAATGCCATAATGACAGTAGAATGAATCATAAAATGCCCCATTGTTTTTCAAATCATAAATGTTATTCAAAATAAAATATGGAATTTCGAGAAAAATGTTGATTTTACTAAAATAGTAGAGAAAATAATGATTATGATAATAATGAAAAAAATTATTTTATTAAAATACTAAAATAATATTTATTAAAATAGGTGAAATGAAAAAATGGTACAAAGTTGTACAACCATATAAATAAAATTTTCTGATCTTTTTTCGTCAGTTTTAATAAGCCTATCTTCAGTGATTTGGTAGCTCTATACTACTGAATCTTCATATATATTTCTGCATCACGAGTTCCAGCACCACAGATAACTATCAAAGTAACTTGTTAACTGAAATGATTTCAGCCGCTCGCTTTGCTGGCTTATCAGGTCAGACGAATTTTGCCAGAGGTTGCTTGGTGATAAAAATACAAGTGAATCGCAAGGCCCTTCGATTTTTGAAAAATAAGTTTGCCCTATCGGGAATTAAATTCTGGTGTCGGTGCTTCGAAAAGCAATAATGTTCCATTGTCTCATTCTTCCTCTCTTCCTTTCTTCTCAATTGAAGTATTGAAGTAATTGGATAATTAAATAATGAAATTAGAAAGTATTAAGGCACCGATGGTTGAGCCATATATTCCACCGAAAATCAAAGGTATATTGCGCAATGAACCTGTCATTTAAAGTGAAATAAGGATAGTTGAACTAGCAACCTCCATTCATATTCCCAAATGATTCAGTGATGATAAAATTCTCATCTAAATGTCTCATCCTAACTCTAAAATTAACCAAAGAAGCCAGAAGTATCAGAAGACGGCGATGAACGATGACTTTGGCGTATTCATGCGACATAAGTTGCTGCATGCTATTTAAATGCAAATATTTTCATAAGATAACGTTTCGTGCATAAAAATTTGCAATAACTCGGAACGTATCATTTCTTTATCACTTGACTAATCAGATTTGCATGAAATTTTTTCCGTTTATTTCTTCTCCAAGCTTGCGCATAACAATTACTGCGATATTATTTGGCAAGTGCCGTGGATATTTATTTATAGAGAGCTTGATTTTTGCTTGCTCCTTTTTTAATTTATCTGGTTTGCTTAATTATTTTATTTTAAAAGTTTATCGTTGTTACCATGGCGAGGTATCGATCTCTCTCCCTCTCATATTCATCATCACAAAAAATATTTGAATAATAAATACACTAATACATTTATCGGATTTTCAAAGTTATAGTTTTTTAAGGGGTTAAGATTAATTATTTTTAGAAAATCCTTCTAAATCTCATTTTATTTCATTAAATTTACCATAATTTTATTGTCCTAAAATAATAAAAATATAATATACTATACTTATCGTATAAAAAAATTTTATTTTTTCAACCAAATATCGGAAAAACCGAATAAGCATTTTTCCATGCTTAAAATCGTGAACAAGATTACATCCGGTATTTTTGAATGCAAATTTTCTTTGTGGATACTGCCAATTTGTAAAGAAATTATACATATAATTACGATTTAAAATCTTTCTTTCCTTAATAAACAAAAATTAGAACGTGTTTATTTGGCTTTAGTTTTGTTATTTGGGCAGTTTGTGATTCGGTCGATTCTAAGATTGGGTCGGTGAGTTTGTCAGTCGGTTTACTGGTCAGTCAGTTAGTCAGTCATTTTCTGCATCAAATATTAAAAATTATGCAAATAAATTAATATTTTTTCATGGATATGACGGAATTGTTGCAAATTTTCGAAATAAATAAAAATACTTTATGAAAATACAAATTAAAAAAAAAGCAAAATATAAATGCAAAAAAAGAATCCGAAAAATGATTTTCATTTAAATTTTGGAATTTAAAATTTTTTTAAATTTAGAATAAATTTTGGATTTAAAAAGTAACTATGAATTGGACACATTCTAATCCATACTCGTATCGATGGTTGTACCAAATAATCAAATAATCTAAGTAGCATAGGCAGTTGTTTTTTGGAATGTCGACCAGATAAATTTCAACCGTAAAAAAGAACTTTTAGCGAAAAATTAAATTAAATTTGTGTTAAATTTAAAAAATTTCTTTGTTTGGCTGATGACTGTTTGGTTGAACCCCAGTGGTGTCAATGGTGTGTTCGTATCGCAATTCCATCTTCAAATTTAAAGTCTTTGATAGTTTCACGAGGCGAATTAGGTTGTGCTGAACAAATAGATTCAACACTCTCTGCCAAGTTCATTGTCAATTTTTAATTTTGTAGTGGCGTTCAGATTTAAAAAAAGATGAACGAAATGTATTCGAAATGTATTAGCATAATTTAAAATTTGCCCTTCAGCGAAGGTTGATTTTCCAGAAGAAGGTTGCCTCGAAATTTTCTGCCAATTCTGAATCTCTTAACATGATGAGGATTTAGAATAAAAAAACCTACCTCTCTTATCATTTATATTGTTTTATTTAAGTTCGGTTTCAATCGAGTAACTTTCACTAAAACGAGTGAAATTTGTGCCCGACGGATGCAATGGAGAATAAATTAAGTTTTGAACTGCTTGATGGTGAATTTGTGCAACAAGATAGAGTGTGCTAGAACGATGTGAATAATGTCCAGCGAAAATATATTTTTCTGACATGAGTTATCGAATGTTTTTCCATGTAAATTCTCGGAATTTTTTCTAATTTTATCAATTCAAACATGCTAATCCACAAATATGCATCTCTTCATGCAGCATTCATTCAAGCAGCATATATTTGCTATATTATACTCTTGTAAATCAAAGTCACAAATCTGGAGTTGTCGGCACGTAAATTTGGGTGAATAGTAAGGTGTGCATCTTTGAAAAGTAAAAGTCCTCGTTAATCAAATTTCACCGAACTAGGTTTTTAAAATGCATTAAGCTAAGTTTTTTTAAAAATACTTGAAGTATTTCAAAGTATTGAATCATTTTTCTTAAATTATCAGATGGTGTTTGTCTGGAATATAAATGGAATTGCGAATAATTCAGCCGTTTGGGTTACTGCACCTGCTTCTTTTTCGCTTCGGAACCACATTTTTAATTTAATATTTAATGATCTCTGTTAATGGGTTTTTTCGCTGGTTATCCTCGTAAAAAACATCGTAATAAAAATCCCAATGTTCGCTCAATGATTTAATTTTTTTTTAAATGCTAATCCTTACTTAATATTTCTGGTTGGGCTGCGGTGTTTAATTGTGCACTTGACCATCACGGCTCTTCCTAAAACACCAAAACACGCCAATACTTTCATGTTTCGTTTCATTGGTGCCTCTTGTATTTTTGTATAATCGTTTGGTGCTATTTATTACTTTGTAAACTCAAATGATACTCCGTATTTTTTCCTTTGATCCATTTTTATAATCTTATTTCTAGCAGCATATTTCACACTTTCAAATATATTTCTTTAGCTCAGTAATTATCAGAAAAGTAAGTAAGATACAAAGTAAGTAAGATACAAAATTGAGGACTCAGCACAAATGATGACTTACCGGAGAGTCATTTAAAAGAAAGAGAAAACAAAGTGAATAGTAACAATTAATCGGATTTAATCGCATTTCAGCTTTAAAAAAAATTACTTCACCTTTTTCAGTGGCATTTTAAATAATTTAGCTTAGCATTTCATGAAAATTTCATGCAACTCGATTTAAAAACAAAGTTAAGTTAGATTAAAGCAGGTGATCACCAGTACTACCCTAGGCTTTACTTTTAATGCACCAAGAAAATCCAAGAAAACATTATTTTCGATAAGTGAAGCAAAAAAATTCTAATGAGATCATTAGGAATTTCAGCATGATAAAATTCCATGTGAACTTACTCCATCTGGTGATATTCCTCATTTTTCACAACAAAACTTCGTTGGAAATGAATTTTAATAACGAAGATTTCGATCCGTTGAATGCTCATGGTGGAATTTTTCGGTCGTTTAAATGGACACGGGAAGAGCTAAAGCAAATCAGTTTGCATCATGCTGTCGCTGAATATGATAAGCTTATTAATCTTATGAAAGTAATACCTCTCCACAAAATGATTTTCCTTATAAACAACTGATATAAGTCAAATTTTGAAATTTTAGGCAAAGCTTCAGCAGTCAAAAGAAATTCCAACTAGTGGCAGATTGAAAATTGAAAAATTTCTTGCTCAAAATGAACCGCCACCAGCTGTTATTCGCTTATTAGATCCATATGACAAAAGCAGTGTACGGTTTTTAATAATTTTTCATCTTATTTAAAACGTTAATAAGCAAAAAAAAATCTTTCGGTGCGTGAATGATTTAGTGGATTGTTCCTATCACTTCTCAGCATCGATGCTGTGGTTCTACCCTTAATTGTTGCAAATCTATTTTCCGAGAATTCGGGTGGTGCTGGTGGCCCACCCGCAGTCCCAAAGCTGCTGGAAAAAATTTACCTGATCTAATAAGCAAGCCAGAAATGGTTCTCTTCTTCAGAAAACTCTTCAGAAAAAAGATTTTCCAAAATTTTTTGCATTCTTTATTTCATCATATTATATGCGGAAATCACAGAGCTTTAACAATTTATTCAGATCAAGGCATTGCACGAAATTGGTGAAATTGGTCGCGCAATGGACTTTGTATTGCATAGGCTTCGGATGCTTTCGCCTGAAGAGCAATCTATTGTACTTAAATATTTCACACTTAAATAATTTCTTTGTGAAAACATAGTCATTGTCGTGAAAGAGCAAAAGACTATTGGGTCGTGCCGTTTCTGCTTCTTGCATTCATAAAAATTACCTTATCAATATTCGTTGATAGGGTAGACTGCTTGCTGCAATTCAGACCCCATAGTATTCTTTAACTTCCGCCGTTTTGCGACATTTTTTATAATCAAAAGATTTTGAATTAAAATATTTCATACTTGTTAAAAACACTGAAAATACTTGACACATATGCTGGGTACAAAGTAAGCAAACGAGATACCAAAAAAATGTAGGGGAGAATATTAATGACCAATTATTCTACAGTTTTGAACTTCCATTATTAGCTCTCTGTTAATAAGTAAATCATTTTCGGCTCCTAGTAGCCATATAGATCACCGAGGTAATCTATTTTTGATCTTTAAGTGTAGTGGTGAATTTTTCATCTCTCTAACTGAGCCTGTCCATCTTGTTACTGGTCATTCCCCATTTTACTTTCACTTTACATTTTCTAATAATAATGCTTTTTCCAGAGAGTCACTAAATCGTCGCATAATGCATTTAAAAAAGAATAATTTGAGCAATTGTGGACATTTGTGCCCGAGTAAAATATCTGTTGGTCTATTCGATAAGCCTTCTGTTTTCTCGGCACTTTATGATATTCTCAAGAGTTAAGATAAACTCCAATATCAAAATTCAAAAGCAATACTTTTCCTCTGTTGCTTATTTTAAACCCAAGTCCCGCATAAAGTTCATAAGTTTATAAAATGTGGCTTGCACGATTCTAATTTTTGCCAAATTGTTTGGCAGATGAAGGCATTGATTATCCAAGACTCTCATACTTTAAATAAAATAAATATCAGTTTGCATATTCCGTGACAGCTTATTCTTTTACTTTCGTGGCTGATCCCAAAATATAGAATTCTAGGGCTGGTTATTTTACCTAATTGTTGTCATCACCTTCTTTATATTCTTTATATTTTAGTTTGCATTTTTTCACTGTGCGGTTTTCACTAAGGCTTGGAGATCTTTTGCATTTTCCGGAATATCATTTCCATAGCTTTTTCCGATTTTTTTGAACATCTTTACACTATTCTCTTATAGACTGAATAAACAATGAGAGAATAAGAATCCTTGTTAGATTTTTTTCCAAATCGGATCCAGTCTGTTTCGCTATGTTTTGCCCATATTGTGGTTGCTACGCATAAGTTTTCCAAGACAATGAAATATTCCGCATTTTTGCATTTGCATTTGCATTTTTCCTACATGTATTCCATAGTTTGACATATTAACCAATGTTTTATTATAGTGTGAGCTACTGGAAGAAATATGAAGAAAAATTTGAAATTTTTATTAAGATAGATTAATTATTCTTTCTAAAATAACTTCGTATTTTATGATAAATAAAATTCCTTTAAATTCTTTCGAAGGAATTTAACAGAAAATGCAACATTAGACTTTTCTAAGAACATATATTACTTGCTCGATTTTAGTGAAATCAATCTTGCCTTCAAATACATTTGTATTCATAGGAAGAGAATAATGGAAACTTCCAAGAAATGCATCAATCAGTTCAAAATCTGCGATAAAATTATTTCAAAAACCTTATCCCCGAATCTGAGCTTTAATTAAGAAAATAAAAATGTCCGACCCATACGCCTCATGCGGTTGTCAAAGCTCCATTAGTCTCACGAAAACGATTAAATATTTCACTAGTTTTATGCATTTTATATAAAAAATAAATGGAACTTTTTTTAACTCAACTAAAACTAAACTATACATTATGTTGTACGTAATCCAAGACAGCTGCTCTTCTTCTAATGCGGTCTACGGAAACCAAGATTGGATACTCTTACTTCAAGGATTTTAAAAAAAAGAAAAAATTTTAAAGCTGTCTACTTGACAGCTAATATAGAACCCTAAAATAGAACCTTCGAATAGCTAATCTTAACCGACCATATACTCGATGAGCATTAAAGATAAGCGCATCTTGTCCTGTCGGAATGCCAAGATATAGTAGTCCGCCTTGTTTTAATAAGCAACGCATTTTTTGAACTTCTCGAATATCACCAAATTGTTTTGCCATTGTCAAAGCATGATAAAATGTTGAGGGTGGTTAGAAATTATTTTATGATAATCAACAGTATAAACCTAAAATAAAACGAATTCTCATCAAATTTTGCTCTATGAATGCAAGTCACAAAAGTCGAGGTTAAGATGATATCTGGATGAATACTGGCTATTTTTCATGATCTCAGCCTAATAAGTTATAAGGCAAACGTTTATAAGGCAATTATATTACCCCTCTTATATTCACAACTCCCTTATTCATATTTTGCTGCGGTTACTTAATTTACTTTTTTAGCTCCATTTCGAAGGCATATAGTTCAACCCAACTGGTATATTGGGATCTAATTATTATCCCTGTTAAATCATTAACGCTGTGTAGCAATGTTGCCCAGTGCACTGCTCCTATAATAGAAAATTAAATATACTGTAGTAAATATATTGTAGTAATTTGCATGCCATGCATCTTATATCTATTCTCTTAAAAATGCGTTATGATGTTGTAGGGAAGATTCAGATTCTTTTCTCATCACAATTTGGTTTAAACTCAGAGACTCGCTAGCCTTCATTTTCGATCCATCTCTTCATGAAGGAATGAACGATGGTAAAGTGGTTTATAAGAGAATTCAAGTCGAAATTATCGTAAATTTTGAAAAAAAACAGTGGAATTGAACTTCTATAATACTTAAGAAAAAGTACGATAGGTAGGAAAAAACATGGAGAACTAAATTAAAACAGCGTCAGCAATTTGCCGATCTGAAACTCGATAATTACTTATTTTCACGAATATTTTAATTATAATAATAACGGTTCTTTAACCACTAAATTTTTATGGTACGCAGCTTCCAAAAGAGCGCATTTGTATGAGGTGATATGCTTCAAGTTTGAGCTTTTAAGCCTCAAATAAATGAATATTTACCTCCTTGTGACCGTTGCTGGGGGTGGATGTGATTTCAAATCATTTTTAATTTTTTTTCCATTCCAGAAATTATCCTCTTTTGGTGATTTGTTATCAAAATACCTTCAATAAAATTGCATTTAAAATTAAGAGAATCTCAACATTAAAAACATTTAGAGAATGCTGAGGATTCATCTGTTTTTTTACCTCTAAAATATAATATTGTAAAATGTACTTATCTTAGTAGCCTATGGAACCATTTAAATCTAGAATAATAATGCATAGAAGTCGAAGGAAAAACATTTATACTGTTCAGATTTTTTCAGAAATTCTTTTTCATAAATTAGATCAAGTTAAAACTCGGCTGAACTAAATTTTTCATAAATACCAGCTCCCAAAGACACTGTGGTTGTTCTTGGTGAATTCATTCCAAAGATTAGATATTTCTGAAATCGGCTTATAACTTTCGTTATAAATCTGTGTAATAGCCAACCATACGGAGAAAACCTGAAAATAATCGTTCATATAGGAAAGAACTGATTTATCGCCGAGTCACAACAAAACGATAATACCGCTCAGTAATACCGATTCCTGCTTTCCTGCTATTTAAATGTCGATAGTGGGGTTTTAGTGGAGTGAACCTGTTCAAGAATCTAAGCTGATGACCCAACTGCATTTCTATCGATAAATAACTCTCTGGCATTTCTATCGATAAATAACTCTCCGGCATTTCTATCGATAAAAATTTGTTTGGACAAATAAGCCACGGGAACGAGCCTAATTAAAAATGAGCGCTTTTAGGAAAGTACTTCAATGATGATGAAACGGTAGCATAGGATGATTCAAGTGCTAGAAAGATTGTCCATTTTTCTGAAAATATTAGGAATTTTGGAATTCCTTCGCTTTGGAATTCCTCATTTTCCTCATTGAATTCCTACTCATGTTTCATATTTCATTTAATTTATTCGGTCAAATCATCCAATATGCTCACATTGTTGACATTCCACCTTAAATTATCCAATTTTTTAAATTAGAGATAGTTGTAATTATTAATTATTATTTTAGATATAACCGCATAAGAACTTGGCGATAATTTCCAAAGAAAAGAGGCTTAGGTTGTCGAGAATTTTCTCGAAACTATGAATCATTGTTTATAAAAATCAAAAGGTCATTTTTGGCTTGCTTCTTCCTTTTAAAACGTTGTGTGGGAGTGGGTTTTTTTTGCAATATAGTTTTTTTTTTTTAAACTCACGTTTTACCTAAACCATTGTCCCTATATTCGATAAAAATAAAAAATTATCATATTGTTGTGGTGTGACAGCCTTACAAACCCCGTTCAGTCTAAATGAAAAAGTCACAACATAGGTTTCATTATGTTATATTTTCATTGCGCTAACACCATTTCTTTCAAGCTATTTATAATCGTTTTTAAAATAATGATTCAGTACTTTAAATCATAATGAAATTATTTCCTTGATTCGCATTCTAACGCTATTTTGTTGCAGCTTCATGAAAACCAACTTGTTTTCTTACTTCATCTCAAATTCAGTTCTATGTTCTTGGTACCCTTTCCAAACTCCCTTGTATTTTTTTATCACTGCTCTATTGTTGCTAACACCACTTACTTCCATCTACTGTCACAAATTTCTTTCCATATAACCCCTTTAAACTATCGTACTTAAATACACCACTGTGAAAGCTATCAATTAAAATATTTCCTTGTATTACCATACATCGAGTTCCGCGTCACATCGTCGTTCTATTCTCGGAGCTGACCGCAAATACCGTCGAGGAATTAGTATAAGCTGAGGTCTAAATCTTTTAATATAATTATTTTCTTCTATCTATATATATTCATATTGTACTTTTCTCCTTTTACTTTATTTATTTTATTTTAATTTTATCATTTCAAGTTTCAGAAATTTATTTAACCTTTTTTGATAAAAGATATATTTTATCCACTTCTAATTTTTTTATCAATTTTTTTCATTTTTTCAATAATTTTTTTTTACATCGAAATAACTAACCTTTAACTAACCTTTCATAGTTTCACAGTAAGTTTCGGTTTATCAATTAAAATGATAGCAAAATATTGATAATAATTATATAAGAAAATAAATAAGGTTATGGAAATAATGGTAATTTTTGAAATTTTATCAACGTTAGAAATCGATTTTAAAAATTTCGCCATTTATATAACAATTCACAAGAACAGAACGATTGAAATCCACATTAACAAAAGAATAATGATGATGCATGTGAACGAATCTTTGTTGAAATAATCTTATTAGCACAGCTGATAACTTTTTTATCACTTTTAATCTACAGATTACCATTATACTTTTTATTCGAATTTTAGTCGTAAATTTTGTAATTTATTGGTCATTGGGAAAATTAGATTGAACGAATATAAGAAGAGTTACATCCTTTTTTTTATTTTTTTTCACTTCCTTTATTTCACAGTTTTAAAACAAATATTGTCAGTAAGAAAATGCTGCTTGATGACCACCACCAAGATTCCTGGCGATCATATACACCTCCAAAGCAATCTATTTAACCTAACCTGAACTTTCAAGTCTATCGGCTGCTGTGCATTTATTTCCACGCTTATGGTCATCCTCTCCTTTTCTTTTCTTCCATTTTTTATAGCAATAGAGCCTTTTCAAAGTTTTGGATTATCACATTAGTTAGATTGTCATATTCAATGGAAAATAATTTCACTACGGTTATTATCGAGTGAGATCTGTGGGAAATATTTCTTAATAAAAACTTGAATATTTTCTATTAAAAAATATGACCGAGTTGTTTAAGCTATGTTCCGTCGCTCATCATAAGAATTGACTCTTATTTCTCTAAATGTTAAATCATCTTACGGTAGAGATTCAGCCAGACCTGGACAGACAAGAGTATAGGTGGTATAGTATACTCGCTGAAGAATGCGCTCGCTTCACTTGTTTTTATGGAGTAGGATCGAAAAACTTGGAAACATCTTATTAGTCACCAGCGGAGCCACCTAAACCACCTAAAATGCGATTTACTGGAAGAAAAAAATGAGAAAAATTTCGAGAAAAACGAGCTTTTGTTAAATCAACATTTATCAAATTGATTAAATATTAACCTACTTTAAATGCTTTTTAGCTGATTAAGCAATTAAATAAATAAAAATAAATTTTTCTTTAAATATAAGGACGATTTCTTGATTTTTATATGAAAAAAATCTAATTACAAAGACGAAATCAAGTAAAAAGCGTTAGATTTTTTTAAGAACATAAACAATTTGCTCGGTTTTAGAAAGGTCAATTTTATCTTCAAATATATTTGCACTCATAGGAAATGAATAGCGAAAGTTTCCAAGAAATGCATCAATGAGTTGAAACCCTGCAATAAAACTGATAATTAAAATAAAAATTATTCCAGAATCTGAGTGAAAGGCCTTTAAAGTAAAGGTGTCCGATCCGTAGGCGCCTTCACAATGTTGCATTATTTGCACAAGAACAAGGTCAAATATCCCGCCAGTTCTTATATTGAAATTCTATATAAATGGAACTTTTTTTAACTCAACTAAAACTAAACTATGCATTATGTTGTACGTAATCCAAGACAGCTGCTCTTCTTCTAATGCGGTCTACGGGAGCCAAGATTGGACACTCTTACTTCAAGGATTTTAAAAAAAAGAAAAAATTTTAAAGCTGTCTACTCGACAAAATAGAACCTTCGAAAAGCATAGCTAATCTTAACCGACCATATACTCGATGAGCATTAAAGATAAGCGCATCTTGTCCTGTCGGAATGCCAAGATGTAGTAGTCCGCCTTGTTTTAATAAGCAACGCATTTTTTGAACTTCTCGAATATCACCAAATGGATCTATAAAAGCAATCATAAGAAAAACACGAGAAAATTAGTTTGAAAAGAGGATCATGGCAACTTCCCTCCCGTCCAATTCAGCGATTTCAGCATCATGGATCCTATTCTAATTATTACCACGGATGGACAGTGATGGTTAAGTAATGATTCTTCTTCTTTTAACAGTTCTCATCATTACTGGTTAGGCTGGTTCCACTGGCCACAAGGATTAAAAGGTTTCCAGGCTTAGATTATTTTGATTAGCATCGACCATAATTGGAATCACTCCCTCTTTACAGAAGTAAACCTATCATAAATCTAAATCTAATTTAGATTTAATTAAATCTAATTTTTGTTGATGATACCATCAGTAGTTATACTACCATTAAATTCAATAATCCAAACAGGAATATTGGTAAACGAGGAAAAGGAATTGGTATGGTAGCTTTATGGAAGAACTAAAAATGAAGGTTACAATCCACGGAAATCAGGAAATTTGCTCGTCGGTTGGATAAATAAATCAATGAAAGCCCAACCGATAGGGTCTCCATAACGTCCAAGTCCACTATGTTCCAAGCTTGAAAATGTCACTACAAAATCAATCTTCTCAAAAAACCTGTAATATAAATACTATTAGAGACTAATGGTTAAATGTAGATATATATATTGTTTTTTCAGTTGGTGAAAACTCTAATAATAAGTAAGTTATTCTAATAATAAATCTAATAATAAGTAAATAATTTATATATGTTAAGTGGTTCCATAAGTGAACCAATCCATAACGTCAAAAACTTACTGTTTCCATCGTTTTGCCATTTCCAAAGCATGATAAAATGAATGTTGAGGGTGATTAGAAATTATTTTATGATAATCAACAGTGTAAACCTAAAATAAAACGAATTCTCATCAAATTTTGCTCTATGAATGCAAATCACGAAAATCGAGGTAGGATGAGATGTGGATCAATACTGGCTGTTTGATCATTGCCATATTATCATGTTATAACCAGGTGATTGCTTATTGTCGGCCATCATACTTCCACTTATAATATCACATCTCTCAAGATTTGCTATTTTTTCTACACCACTGCTAGTTAGGTTCGCTTGCTTATCAGGCTAGATAAATTTTGCCAGCGAATCATTTGCCGATAAAAATGCAGGCGAATCCTATAGCATTCCTATTTTTGTGGAATAAGCTTTTAGCTAATAAGCACAGAGCCCCAGCGCTGGCGCTCAGAATTGAGCAACAACCCACTAAGCCAGTCACTTTGGACACTGCAGTCGACGAATTAGATGCATTGGTCGAAATTATGAAAAAATTCTTAATCCTCGGTGGATATCACCTCGCCACTAAGCCATCATCGGACCGATGTATTGTTTGATACTTTAACTTAATTTACTTTTTTAGCTCCATTTCGAAGGCATATAGTTTCAACCCAACTGGTATACGATCCAATTACTATCCCCGTTAAATCATTAACGCTGTGTAGTAATGTTGCCCAGTGCACTGCTCCTATAATAGAAAATCAAATATACTACAGTATATGGCCAAACCATAGCTCTCGGCCTCTTTAAACCGTTCAATTCTCTCTTGTAATAAGCAGTGGTTCAATTCAATTATTATCATAAAATGGTTGAAAATAAATTTCCATTTTTTTTTGAGATTTTAAATTTTTAACTTTTATGGCGGAAATTTGAGATTAATTTTTAGGGGATTTGATAAATTTTCTTCGCGGCAATTACATAAATTAAACTGATAAAACCGATGCAAACCTTGAATTTTGTATGTGGAATATTCCATAAAATTCAGTTGGTCCGTTGAATATTTTTAAATTCTAACAAATTGTGACATTTGCTGACATTGAGTTTGGCCCTCTCTTACTACAGTAATTTGCGCTTAAGCCTTATACCTATTCTGCCTCGATGCGCGTTTTTGTTCATGGGAAGATGGCGCATGTTAAAATCTGTCTCCTTTCTCCATTCTAGATGCTTGTTGCTTACATTTTTGGTACCTTTTGGTCCACACTAATTCTTGTGAAGAAATTTTACCGAAATATGTAAGTTAGGTGGATTACAAAACAGAGTAAGGCGAAAATGAATTGTTGTAAATTTTCGGGGGAAAAAAACAGGGAAAGGATCTTGACGAAGAAAATAATAATTGTTGAGGGGAGAAAATAGGATAGTGGGCAAAAATATAAAAAGCTTTAGTAACTCTAAATCGAGTCAGCTTCGGACGTGAATTTCAACAATCATTCATATTGTGTTTTGCTTATATTTTTATTTTTATTTTTTTCGCCACTGAGTTCTTCTGACGTGGCATTTCCATCTAAGTGCAAGCACTGTTTTCTGCTTGTTTTCGGGGCCATAAGCTTTAAATTTTTTCGGTGTATTAGCCAAAATAAGTATTTACCTCCTTGATCACCGTAATTCGTCGTTGAGAGCGGGTGGGATTTTACTTTAATTTTGATTTCTGTCCCATTCCAAGAAATATCTTCATTTGGTGATCTGCTATCAAAATACCTTTAATAAAATTGCATTTTATAATAAAATGGATCTCATTTAGTTCGACTGTCACCGTGATATGTTGAGGATTCTCTTTATTTTCAAATGCGTTTAGTGGCCTGTGGAGCCATCAAGATCGGAAGTAACGCATAGGAGACAAAGGAATAGCAATTGTAATGCTCAAAATCTCTGCACTCATGCACTTGTAGAATCAAATAAGTAAATTAACTAAATTCTATCATAAATACCAGTTCTCAACCACACTGTGATTGTTCATGGTGAAGTCATTCCAGAGATTAGGCGGTATTTCTGAAATCGGTTTAAACTTTTCGTCATGAGTTAGTGCGACAGACAACCATTCTGAAAACACCTGAAAAGTTTCCCTTATTTATTTAATAAAGGTCTGATTTGATATTGTCTATATGTAACAACAAAGAGGACGCTTAGTGGGCTACGGTTCTATTTTAGAGCACCAATGTGAAGTTTATACTACCGGCAGAGGAACAAATCCTGGCTATCCATTCGTGTGATTCTCACTGTGATTCTCTAGAAAAATTTTTGTGTCCGAAAAGCCAGCCGAATGAGCCAAACGTAAATGGTGTGAGCTCCCAGAAATGAAAAAATCTTGATGAGTGAAGAAGCAAGCAAATGATTGAAAATGGCTATAGCGCAATAGCTCTGTAAAATATTTGCAAAGAATGTTTCCATTATTTATTATCAAACGATCCGTAAAGAATGAAATAAGAATGAGTATCTTAAACAGGAATTTTGTTACATGAATCATTAGACCGAAATGCATTGGACTATTGGACTATAGTTCGGCTCCATCCTCTTAGCTTAAATCTATGCGGTGTTGGGAAAACCACCTTAGAAATATTGTAGAGCCCGATATGGTTAAGAATATTTTCATATGTATTTTTTATCTCAACCATATTCCTAAAGAGAAATGTGGACAGCATTTGCTCTCGAACAATTGCCCCTAAAAAATAATTAATTACTTACTTAACACCCCTTATCTCTTACTTCATCACCTTTTGCTGGGACTCCATATTGTGATCAAATGTTCCAGCTTGTATTAACTATGGTACTTCATCATTTTCGCTTGTTAGAAATAATTCTCCTTTCTTTTCAAATTGTCGATTATATTTTTTATGAGGGTATACTTAAAAGAATCACCAAAGAATCACTCTAGTAATGATATGTCAATAATGCGGAATAATAGATGATTTGATTGAATTAATTGCACGGTAGGGATTCAAAGAGGAAAATGAACCAAGGGGATCCGAAATTCCACAAATTTTTCCCTGAAGATCAATCCTTTGAATCAATTATTGGTCCTGCACAATTGCTTTACCACCATTTCTTTGCGCACTCACCTTTTCCGCTTAAGCTCGCCTTGCAGGTTTGTTGGACTCTTACCAGAAAGTCACTTAGCGATAAAAGTAAAGGTGAATTGCCAGCACTTTTCTTTTTTTTCAAAAACGGATTCACTATTAGTGGGAAACCCAAATATCGGCGCTCCGAAATGAGAACAACCCACTAAGCCTCGACCTGCCTCTCGGCATTGTTAGATTGTTTGTCACCTTTTTTTATTTTTCTTTTTTTTCGGCTCGCAGCCTTTCTTATTGATATCAGTGCATGTGGCGCTGTGCCTTGCCCTGGCTTTTTAGTATGAAATAAGTAAATGACAAACTTCGTCACATGTTTGCGATATCGTTCGTTTTACTGTAGGAATAGGTAATTTATAATCTATAAGTCGATAGCCAAATTTCTTATAGACATCGGCTTCTATCTGCTTGCATGACAAAATGCCTTTGGCCGTTGGCATTGTACAATTTTGCCCACTTTCTATGAACTCCAATTTTTCTGTTATTCTGAAAAACGATATTACTTGTGAAAGTAATTCATGCAGGAGTTTGCTATATCTGCGTCCTTTCGACTGTGAATATTCTCCTTGAAACTACTCGAAATCCTTTCTTTTCGGCCAGAATCTACTATATTTCAAAATCCTCGAGCGTTTTTACATCCCTCTGTCTTTCTCGCCACAAAACCTAGTTTCAGTCCTAGTCTTTTCTGCTGTTTTCTGTTTCAAACTTCTCTCTCTATTATACTCCTTTATCATAATCTTTTATGACACTACTATTCTCATACTATTTACAATGGATCCGCAACGGTGCTTTAAATCTCACGATACCATTGTTTCTTTAAATGCATTGCTATTCTAATGCTGTTTATTACGGTCAGTTAAAATTTCTTGAAAACTTGTCATGCCCTCTATTCAGATATTCTGCACACACTTTCTAAACTACAGTGTTATAGCTTTAATCTTACTGAATCCCATCATGCTTCATTTAACGCCACTTTCTCTTTATCACCACCACGTTTTCTCAATAATCACACAGATCATACTCCATTTTCATGGAACTCGTTCGTACGAAAAACTTGATTTTCTCTTTATTTAATGATACAGGAATATGCTTCCATTGCATGTTCGAGTTCTGCCTCCATTGTCTCCATGTTTTATCTCTTCACTATCTTTACTATCTCCGAATGGGCGCAACGACTATTACTATTACTTTAAGAACTATTTAAGTTTTATCTAATTCTTAGGCCTTTTTATATATAATTTATATATTTATAGGTACTTTCCTCTTTTAACTAATTTTATTGTTCCAAATTTTATGGTAAATTTTTTTTCGTTCAGTTTTTTTCACCAAAGCAAACAATTAACTAACCTTTCATATTCATTACGCTCCATCTTGAAAATATTAATAGTTTGATAAACATTATATGAAAAAATACAAAATGTCATCGAAACAACGGCAATTTTCAAATTTTTATGAGCATTATAAACCGTCTTTAAGAATTTTGCCATTTCACAAATAACACAACGGTCGAAATTCGCATTAACAAACAAGTAATGATGCATGCGAGTGAAAACAGTTGAATTTATTAGCACAGCTGATAATATTTTTTATTGCCTCTCATTGATTATCAGCAGATCATTAACATCCTTACATTGAATAATTTCAGCATTGAATAATGAGATTTGGTAATTTGCTTTAGGAAGATTCAATGAATAGGTCGAAGCATGATTGCTATAGATAATAGTCCTAATCACTATAGTAAATAAGTAAATAACTGATATCCCAATTGCTAAATAGGTTATTTTCATTTAATATCTTTTTTACAATATATAAATTTATGGGAAATTTCAGTGGGATATTTCTTCAAAATATTCCATTGCTTATTAAAAATAAACTTAAAAATAAATCTCTGCTGGGAGCATTCATTAAATTTTTTGTTAATAAAATATTTCGTTATATGCTAATCCAAGCATCATTTCAGTGATATGATATTTTTATTTAGAAGAATATTTTAAGCGTAGATTATTTATATTAAAAAATTTAGAAAAATCAGAAATTTTGATCCAGAAACGCTAGTCGCGTTTAACGAGGAGGACAAGGACAATATTCTGCGTTACTACCGACAACACCGACATCACCGGGCTGAAATATTAGAAATATACGTTTGCATAGAAATATATAGTAAATACGATATCCGATAAGTATCTGTCATCTGCCAAAAAATATATTATGATGATTTGATTGTTTCTTAATTTTCTTTTGAAAAGAGAAAAATAAAGCAAGTACGTAAAAATTCCAATACCGGTCCTGGAATTCCTGGCTGTCCGGGCGTTCCTGCTCTCCCTTGCAATCCCGGTGGTCCTTCCTCACCTTGCTGTCCTTTTCTCCCATTTTCCCCTCGTGCTCCTGGTTTTCCTGGATTGCCTGGAGGGCCGGGCGGTCCTTTGTCACCAGGTTGCTGTATGTGCACTACAGAGTCTCTTCCTGGTAAGCCATCTGGACCATATTCACCCGGTTGTCCTAAAAGCTGCTTGATTACTATGAATTTTTATTATATATAAAAAGATATACGCGTCATTTTTTGTTTTTTTGTAGACTCGCCTGGTTCTCCATTGTCACCCTTTGAGCCGGGTCTGCCGGGTGTTCCATCTCGACCAGGCCTTCCATCATGGCCGGGAAATCCTGCAGGGCCTGTTTCTCCAGGTGCACCATTGGGTCCTCTTGGACCTGGAGGACCAGCAGGACATTTAATACAGCGACCTGCAGGAAGATTTAGAATAGCGACAATACCAGCTGCACCGTGAAGACCAGGTATGCCTGCTTGACCAGGTTCTGAAAAAAATAGTTGATTTTTACTGGTCGAAAGTGACAAGAAAGTTCAAAATACCTCCTCTTTCACCATTTCGACCTGGCGGGCCTCTTGGACCTCTTGGACAATTTTGTTTTCTCGATGCACATCCTGTAAACAGAAATTATAAAAAATGTGACATATTCAATTTTTTAAATTTTTCAGTGGGAAATGTATTAACAAAATCTTATTAATAAATATATAATATTAATTTAACAAAAATTTATATAATAAAATCATTAACGGCAATTGCTATATCCCGTATGGCGCTTGGTTTTGGTGAAAATTTTTTCGAGTGGACTATTAACTGATGCTTCCTTTTGTAAATCCATCATGCCATGCCATGCTTCGTCATTAATGCGCTAAAATAAAGATTTTTAAATCTTATTTCTGAGAAGCGGAGTAGAAGGTTGTTGTTGTTGCTTATTTCGGGAGGCTCAATGAATTCTACTTCGTACAGGAGTAAATTCAGGTGATGCTGGCGATTCACCTGTAATTATGACGCCATTGAATTCCCTGGCATATTTATCTAGTCCAATAATTCAGTGGACTAGATTAGCCAGCAATAGTGAGGGCTCTCTAAAAAAAATTTCCGAATTTTTTTCTCCTTTTTTAAGGAGCTCATAATTTATGGTTAGGTTAGTTCTTCTGGCTTGTTCTGCTCGGGCAAATTTTTATCATTTAGAAAGGCCAGCATTATCCAGTTTTTTGAAATGCAGGCTTATTATTTCTTCATTTAATATTTTTATTCACCACGAATTATGGTATTTTTTTAATGATAGGTGAATTTTTAACAATTACCAGGTACCTTTGGTAATTTCATAAATACTTACATTAATTTTCCCCATATCATCTAAAATTTCATCGTAAAGCGAATTGATATCATTGATTAATAGAATTACTATCATCGTACACGTTAAGATTATTCCCACAGAGACTCCAGCAGCAGCAGTAATTACGGCCAATTTAACCGTCATAATCTTAAGATGATAAATGATACAATTCTTTAAAAGTATAAAAACTACTTTGAATAAAAAAGTTGCCGTAATAAATAAAAGAAATAATAAAAGAATACAAAATATATAAATTATAGAAAATAATACAAAATCAAGAGCCCAGGTTTATGGCATGGTGCTCTTCTACTTTCAATCACCGCAGTGACTCCTAGTACGAGACTCCGTGTTCGAGGGATAGAAGATAGCTGAACAGGTACAGCTGAATTTCTAGCATTAAACTGGCCCATATCGACCAATTAATAAACCAAAATATTCAATGTTAAAATGGGGAAGATTTCGGTCACCATTCACTCTTCGATTCTCATTTTTCACATTTCTATTCGCACCAGTTGCATTATTTAAAATTCCTATCCATTCCCGACACATCTTTTTCAGCGCTTTCAAAACAGAAATAAATCAAACTTGACGGAATTACGAAAAATTAAACGATGAGATAAATTCTCATATGAGAATCGAACTGCCTTGAAATCTTTTGAGATTTCGAATCTTTAATTCGTTTTATATAGTATCGCAACAAAATAATTTTTTTGACAAAATTTAACGGAATTTTCATCATTATTTCAACGAAAACAGGAAATCAAAAACGTGAAAAATATAAAAAAAAATATTTTTCAACGATTTCTCGTTTATGATTTATACCAATCTTTTTATCAATCTTTCCTTATCAGTTATTAATCTTCATTTAATACAAAAAACATAGGAAGTAAGAAGATAAAAAATTCCATATAAAAATAAAAACACAATGAACATTTCGATAACTTTCGGTTTATTTATGTATGAAACTTTCATTGATCATATTCAGCACTCATCGGTTATGTGGACAGCGCCTGCTCTATTTACATCTTCCTTTATCTTTCTCTAGTTTTTTTCCTCTTTCATTTTGATAATATATGATTAAAATGATTTGCGATAATTTATTTTTCCCATATTCCATAATAATATAATCGTTTCCATACTTCCACAGTTATGATTAAAATTTTCTAGTATTACCGAAAAGCACCATAGATTGCAACGTTTATTTATTGGTAATTATATGGCTATGGCACCTAATAAGAACAAATAGGAAAGAAATGCGTAGCACTATATTTTTTGTAGAACAAATATCACTTGCGTTAACTGGCCAATCTCTTTTTCAAAAATTGCTACATTCAAAGGAATCGAGTAACGTACCATGGATTCGAAAGCATCAATAAGTTTAAATCCTGAAATTTCCTTTATGTTATTGAATGTGAATGCATATTGTCTCATGCAATCAAATTTTCTGTAAATATTGCCAAGGCTCTCGAACCTTTAGGACAATTTTTACAATTTTTCAATTTTATAATTACTATGAATTTCGATGTTTTTTTTTTAAAGAAACATAAAAGGAATATAAAAACTAAATTGTGAATTGCTGATAAAGCTGATAAGTTGCTGATAAGCAGTAAAATTAAACCAAAAGTTGGAATAACAATTTGGAGGGCAAAAAATGCAAAATTAAATGTGTTCTATCGAATAATTCGAACTGGCGTTCAAAACAATTCAGGATTTATATTTATATTTTTAAACATTTTTTTTATGAGGTAGATGAAGAAGCAAAGTCGTTTAAAGTGTTTTAGCCTTCAAAAAACCTTTAAAAAAGCAAAAACCTTCAAAAAGCATGGCAAGCCTAAGTTGACCATAAATTCTATGTGCATTGAAAACCAGCGAATCTCGTCCAACAGGTAATCCAAGATGCAATATTCCACCTGGTTTCAATAAGCAACGGATTTTATGAATTTCTCGAATATCTCCAAATGGATCTGAAAAATGAAGAAAATTAATGCTGAAAGATAAAATTTGTGAGAGATTCTCAACATACTAATGGTCTTTTGATAAAATTCTTTAAACATTATTAGTGAAAAAGATAAACTATATATAAAAACTTTTCTCTATTTACCTTAACCGTAATATAAAGAAAAACGAGCAGCCTCAATTAATTTCAGGCAAATCAAGGAATTTAGAAACTTCTCATAGAATTGACTAAACTAAACCAGAAAATGGTGCAAGTTTTAGAAGGAAAGGGAGGTATGAAGATTGGATTTTTTGTTGCTCTCGTTGTTTAATGCATTTTTATCTTTAAGTACCAACCAATCGGATCACCATAACGTCCAAGTCCACTATGTTCTATACTTGAAAATGATACAACAAAGTCAATCTTCTCAAAAAACCTGAAGTTAAAATTATTAAAAATTATTAAATGAAATAATCATGTGATTATTGAGTTGTCAATGCGCAATTGTGCTATTAATAATAGCGCAATTAATAATTGTACTAAAATATTCCAAAATAACTGGGAAATCTAAAAACATGAAGTGTCTTTCATGGTACCAACACTTTAGAAGACTAATAACAAGGAATAAAGTGATTCAAAAAACATACTTCCTCCACTGCTTTGCCATTTTCACAGCATGGTAGAAAATAATTTGAGGATGATCGCATGATATGTTACGATAATCAATTGTGTAAACCTAATATTTAATTTTTTTTATAATTTAATTAATCTGATTTTATATGGAACTATATTTCCTTGCACTGTTTATTTTAATGGAATAAATCTGCTAAATCAAGACTAAAATAGTGACGATCTGCTTGATTTATACTTGTACTTCTTTCCCAGAATATAAAGGAATGGTGCATATGAGAATAAAGTGGCATAGGGGATAGATGAATTCTAGAAAATTAAAGAAAATCACCAGGCTCTTTGTACATGCGATGGTGACTACAGCTACAGCTGCGTGGGACATCAGAATACTTTCGGTTGTTTGGAGCCTGAAGACGTCCATGCTCTTACCAGGAGAGTATAATACACTTGCTTTCCGAAATCCGCTTTATGCACTCTTGACATCGACCTGTTACTATGGTTGATCATTCCTTACTGGTGGCTCCAACACGATACCGCACCTTATAGTAATTGAAGCCAGTCTTTTTTTCACCGCATCATCGGACCGTATCAGATCAGACTTTAATCAAGAGATTACAAGTAGCGAGATATGAGAAATAATAAGACTTCCTCAATTCTTAATGCGATGCAATGGAATGGATTAAGGGCAATACTTGCTAGCATTCGAGAAATGAGCAAGTCAATCCGCTTTGCGGAACATTACGGATCGTAAATATAATGCAGTCGTTTTTGTTGATATTTATGAAATGCAGTACCAATCAAATATCTTTGATTCACTCTCATATCGCATAATCAAGCAGAAGACAAAATTATAATATCTCTCTAGCTGCATTTAAAAATATTCTTCCATCTTGAGAAACCACTGAAACCGCTGAAACCATAAAATCAAAACGAGAGTTCGCATCTATCTTTTTGTGGTGCACACATAATACATTTGCAAAACACGGCCAAGAAAAAGAGTTTGAAAAGGTAACTGACGCTGTCTAAGTCCATCATCGCCCATTTCAGGAATTGATATCTCGCTACATACCAAACCTCATGACGGATGGCAGTAAAAGGGATGCGATCAAATCAAGATGTGAATGGATTCGTTAAAAAGGTGTTTAACTGCACAGGCAGCTCAACTATATTGAAGCTTAGGAAACATTGGTAAAGACGTATTGGATCGAAAGATATATGGCAAAGCCTTAAGCTTGAAAAAAGTATAGTCAATCTAAGAGGTAATGGTGTGCTGTTAGAAGGCATTAATCTAAGGAAGTGATAGCTACCAATATTAATTGAAATTTAGGAACTTTTCCTTCAAATTCTTTGAAATTCTGCAAAATTCTTTTCAAATGATAAGCACCTGATATATTTACTAAATATCAGTGGATGGAAATCTCTCCTTAGCGCATTCTGTATAACAACTTTATTAACCTTTCTGGCTCCATTTCGAAGGCACATTATTTCAACCCAATTGTTCTGTGATCCAATCACCATTCCTACCTTATCACTAATACTATGTAGTAATGTTGTATAGTGTACTGCCACTGTAATATGAAATAAGTCAGCAATGAAAAAATTGATGATATAAAATTTTCTTGGGGGAAAAATAGCATTTTTGCAACATTACACTATAGAAACTTTTTCCAAATTTATTGCTGTAATATGGAACTTTTTCTAATGCCTCCCAAGACGACGCCAATTGCATCCTCAATTCAAGAGCCATTATTAAGTACAATGGAACGAATATTTCTTTGGACTACATTTTTTTTGTCTTTTAAGAGTGCTCACTATTTCACTATTTCAGATCCGTAATGCTCCTATGACTTATCAGAAAGAATAAATTTGCCAGGGAGAGTCACTTCGCGACAGAAATTGTGAACCAGTTTTTTCTTCTGATTTACTTCTGCTGGGAGAATAGTCTCAACTAAGTTTAACCTCCACAGTTATCATTAAAATTAATTCATTTCAAAATAATTAACATATTTTATTAAAATAATTTGCACAATATTACTAACATCCTTCATTTCCATATTTTGCTATTGAGAGTGGGTGAGACTTTACTTTACTTTTGATTTTTGTTGCATTCCAGTAATCGGGCTTTGCTGGTGATCGTTCGTCAATGTACCTGCAGCCCAAGCTATTTTGAAAATCATGTAAAATATCGTCTAATTCGATTTTTACCATAATAAACAAAAATTTATAGTTGACAAAAGTTATAGTTGACAAAAGAAATAAATAGCAGTTTATCGCATGTTGGTGGTTCACCTATATTTCTATCACGAAGCGCCTCCTTGGCAAAATTGTTCAGTCCCACAAGCCAGTAGAGCGAACCAAGCCTAATCTAATCGGAAATGGTGAGTGCTCTTAGAATAAAAAAATTTACCAGCTTATATAGAAGCTTCGATTATACATAGTAAAGTTGTTCCAAAGATCGCTTGGAAACTTTGAAACTGGTTTATTACTTTCATTATAGGTTTGTGCAATATTTAGCCATTCGGAAAAGACCTGAATGAAAAATATCGATATTTTTACATTGATTTAGCTTCCATAATCTAGGGCAAAAAAGAAGGCAGCCAGAAATTCGAAAAGTCTATGAAGTAGCCTTGCCATGGGCAAAGCTTGAACTGTGGTGCTTCAGGTGATATTCTAAGCAATAGCCAGAGGTTCAGTCATATTGCTCTACTGTTAAATTTTATTTCTATTATTGGCACCGAATATTGTATCATCATCAGCATCATCGTCATATTATCATAATATTCTCATTCTATAGTACTACTCAATTATTACCACTCAATAGCGAATTTAACCGTGATATGCAAGGCAAATAGGCCCATAAAGTCGATCAGAATTTGTAAAAATTTAAATTTAAAAAATAAAAAATGAAGTTTAAAGAAATAGGGACATTATCGCATATTAGTTGGTCCATTTTCTGCAATGTTGGTATAGGTGGTGTATATTCAATAATTCGATAGCCAAATTTTTTGAAAACATCTGCTTCTAATACATCGTAAGAGAAATTGCCTCCGGCGGTTCGAATTTCGTAGAATTGTTTAGTCGTAGAAAATTTCATCACTTTTCTTAAATTACTATCTATTTGATAAAATTTTAAAAAAATTGATATTAAGTGGATTGAACTATGAACACGATTTTTTAATAATTTACAATTTAGATAACGCCTTAAGATTCATTCTGAAGGAATTAAAATGATAGAAGAGTTTGAGAGTATTAATGGATTGCAGGAAAAGAGAGAAGCCATGAAAATCCTTCACTCGAGAGGATGCATCTCATAATATATGACATTTGAGGGAACATCACAGGTCCAAACGTGGCTACCTAATTTTTATGTGCATATTGGGTCAGCAAAAAGGAATTATGAAATTTGGCAGTATTTGGGCCATGACAGATTGGCATGATTGGCATAGGCTTAATATAAGGAAAAGAACATATGGTTTCACTGAGCGTTGAAGAGAATCAAGAGATTCTGACAGACGTGCCAAGGCACTCTAATGCTACCAGGAGAATATGAGAGGAGTAAGGCAAGGATTACTAATGCCATATGGCAAACGAGCCACCGTAACTTTAACAAAGCATTAAGAGACAGCCATTTTAGTACAATTCATTATATTCTCCTATCGCCACTCTTTCTATTATTTTTTCACTGAAAGCTATTAGGAAAGGTTAAAGCAGATTTGCTAAAAAGGGAAAATGTTAAGGTAAAGATTAAAAGATGTGGAATGATAGAGGCAGAAGATGGCATTAAGCGAGTACCCAACACGATAAGTCTGTTTCTTTCGATTTTCACTAACTGAAAAAATTTTCCTGCCTTTAGAAAGGGGTCTTTTTGGGAGTTTGAAAAATGAAGGGAGCTTCCTACTTGAATTAGACAGTATTGCCATAGAGTTTACAGGTAAATAGCATCCGATAATAAAATTCCAACACTCGCTTGTACTATATAAATAAATATATATGTATACATATAAAACACAAACCTGTCATTTAAAATCTGAAGTTTTGATTTTATCAAATCAATGTCATAGTGATAATAAATGAGAAAGAAAATAAAAAAAGCTATCAAAATGCCTAGTATTTTGATTATACGATAGGTATTTATCAATTCTCGAAAATTTTGAGCCATTTTTTATTTGCAATAATCAATGAATATTTAGGATTGTATACGATGAATGTAAGGAGAAAAACGGCAATCTTGGCAACTGAAATAACAAAAATTCAAGGCAAATTTGCCATAAAAAAATTGAAAATTTAATTCAGAGAATCCCAGTGGGATTGATGTGGATTCCTTGAATCCAAGTCAGTGGACCCTGAGGGGCCGACTGGGGAGCCGACGAAGAAGGTTAGTTCCAACTAAATAAAGGACACTTCTTAAGTTCTGATTATAAAGCAAAAAAAGCCAAAAAATGGGTATAAATCTCTCCAATCCTAATACTCAAAAAATTTATTCAGTGATTTTCCATAAAAAGCGCCAAATTCATTCTCAATTAAATGTGATTGAACAGCTGTAAATGATTGCTTCTGCGGATGAATTTCTGGATTATTCCACGAATTATAACTTTCATCTTAAAGCCAATTCATTTTCGATAATTTAAGGATGTTTCATGGATATTTAACAAAGGAGCATTGGTCCTTCGGATCTTTGCGTTATTCGAATAGTATGATAAGATTTCGCCTTATAAAAGCAAAAATAATGTAAATTATCTATCGATAAAATGTAAAATCCTATTAACCGGTGCTAAGTAACCGATAAATATCGGTGAAATTTCGGTGCACTGATTGTTTACCTATTCATCTATCGAATAAGTGATTTCCCAAATTTTATTGTTGAACTACAATGAAAATCGTTGTTTTGTTTTAATGGTTACATTGTAAAGTCTTCTTGATGTGTCGGCTGCTCACTGGCAAGATGACTGCTGCCACGAATCGATGCTTGGGTTCGAATCCGCCGGTGCAACCCCTTCATCTGGCCCCAGTATCGTTTAACAAAGAACGACAAAAAAGCTCAGTATGAGTAGAATGGCTCAGAGCCTTATTGCTCAATTTGGAACGCCGATGCCGAGGTTCTCCTCTTGGAAGGACCAAACCTGCCCAAAAATTCGGACGATGCTGGCGATATAACTATACTTCTATTGCCAAGAGACTCTCCCTATTTGTCTAGTGGCACAAGTCAGCAAAACAAGAGTAAGCCATAGTGAGTACCCTGAAGAACTGTTAAAACATAAAACCCGCTGTGACTTTAAAATTTATGCGTGAACCTCCTCGAAATAAAACTCATTTCCCTTTCCAACATGCAGAAAATATTCATCACAAGTTACACAAAGAAGCGTTACACAATATCTCCCAAAACTTTTTAATATTAATTATAAATTTGGATCAAATTTAAGCATAATCTATCAATATTTCTGCGATAAACTTACCGAAGGCATTGCATCTTAGTTTTCAATGCTAATCTTAAATTTGTGCCTATGGAAAAAATGAGAACATTACTCGCAGAAATTTCACTTTTTGACAGAAATTTCCACATAAAACAAATTAAATTAATAGTGTAAGCGAATAAAACTTTATTAGCATAGAATATAAACAATGTTTATAAACAGATCGCATGCATTCCTTTTATGTGGAAATTAATGCTTAATCCTGTTAAACTAAACCTTTCATCATTTCCTGACCTATCTGAAAAACAGAAATTCACATTATTACGCTAACAGTAAGTTATCACCAATCCACGTTTTGATGTAAGTATCCGAACATAAGCAGATGATATATGATATAAATGTTCTTCATTTTCTAAGGCAGAAGTATATATAAGGATTATATTTAAAACAGCAAAGGTTTAATTAGGCAAGTAATTTGAATTAAATTGAATTTTGTAGTAATCAAAAAATTTTAAATAAATTTAAGAAATTTGCGATAAATATTCTAGAGCAATGATGCATACATTACAATCTGCCAACAATTTTTAATATAATTTATAAATCATTGTTTCAATTCATTTTTTGTTATAACTGCTCATATCCAGAAATACATGGTAATTAAATTAAATTAACAAAAAAAACAAAGTATTTCAAGATAATTTTCAACCAATTGATGCATACTGATGCATTTTGAAATCGAAAACAAATGAATAAATCAAAAGTGGCTGATAAAATCAAAATGATGAAGCGAATGCTGAACCACGACGTCTGCAATAATCAATAAATATAAAGTGTCTAAATCATAAATGTCTTAATTATCGAAGAAAGTCAGGATATCCTGAAATTATCCTAAATCCATGTCAGGATAATTCAGTCGGAAATACGCTGAGCATCGTTAAGCATTGGAAAGAACAGTCCAATTTTTCTAAAAGATCATCAAAGGCCATCATATAAATCACGAAATCCTGACTATCAGATGGTCCAACGGCAATCATAGTAAGAAAAGGCCCTCGATATGGATGCTCGAATAGGCGATAATGGAAAATTGTTCTATTTTCTTCATAAAGCAATTATAACGTTTGGAAAAGGTTATCAAAATGATTCCAAATAATGTCAAGATGTCTCTTAGAATGATTCTAAAAGACAGAGTGGCTAACGACTCACCATTTCTGATAAGACAAGCTGGATGCTCACACTTTAAGAAATTTTTTGAAGATAATCGACAAAAGTAGAGATAGACTGCCAACACGGTAGTTGGAACTGAACCCTCGCCTCTCAACATGGTAATCCAAAATCCACTTGGCTATTTCGCCTCCATAAGAGTAATCGTCTTCTGAAAAGGATAGTTTCCGGATTGATCCCTTCAGATGTTGTACCGTCACCCTTCATAATTCATTTTTAAAGGACGTATTCACTCATATGGAGAGAACAAATACCAGATGACTGGAGCAAAACAATCTAATTGACAATCCCTACGAAGGATGTTCAACTAGCTAAAGGCCTCTGGAAAAATTTTCACCACCCTTGTTGAATAGATTTGAAATAGCACGAAACAGCTGACCAAATATTCATTAGGATTTCTTTCCTTTATAATATTCTACAACAGACTGGATTATAGAAATAGCTCGCAAGTAATATGCAGAGTATATTCCATTGACAATGAATAAGCCGATGAAATCTTTCTTCTCATAATTTATGATGGATGACCATAGAATGCATTGAAAGAGCACTGAAACTTGAATTCTTGTAAAAAACAAACACTTTTCGTCCTATACACCAAGCAAGCACTGGGAGAATATCTCTTTTACAAATGTTGGATGGGGAACTGGGAACGGATGGGGAAAAATTTTTAATATCTGTTCTTGTATCGAATGACGAAATTAAAGTGAGATAGTCACAGGTAGAAATATTTTTTTATCTGAAGAGAACTCCACGGAATCGCCATGAAATCACCATCAACAAGAACGCTCATATTTGATGGTACTTTCTTACAAGGTTGCAAAATAGGGCCAACAAGAGTAGGAGTATCAAAAATCAAACTAGTTTTGAATGATATTTTTATGACAAGTGGAAACACAAAACTTCATCTTCGCTACCATCAACACTAACAATAACAACGAAAACCATCGCCTAAATTGGTTAGGTTTCATCACAGAAATTAAGGCGCATCTCGCTGTACGCTAAGCCCAATGATCACTTTAAAAGCGAGGCAGATAAATCAAGATCTGTAATGATAATAGAGAGATTTTGAATACATAGACTATCCAGCGACATATGAGCTTGGGCGGTGGAAAATAGGAAAAAGAAATCATTTTTAATGTGGTGAATCACTCATCTAGAAATACCTCATTCAACACAATTCAATCAAAATGTAATGGGTGGCTTTAAAATAGAAGACAATTTAAAAATTAATAAAGTTTAACAAGACGTAAGGTTGGAGGTTGCATTAAAATTTTATTAAGCAAAACAACCTTGGAGGACGAGATCGTGCACCTCGATACCCACCGCCGTAAATATATTTTACTATGACACGAGCACCACTGCGTCCTCGGCTTCTCGGTGGTCGATTAGTTGTACTTACGCCAGGTCTATTTGTTCTCTTTGCACAGACCTATAAATAATTTTTAACCCAACAAAAAAAAATGAAAATTCATTCATTTAAAAAAAAGAATATTAAAACTAAAATTTCTTTACAAATTTACAACAAAATTAAAATGAAAATACGCAAATGAAATGAAACCTAGAAAATGCAAAAATCTGAAAAATTTTATTAATTTCCTAATCTCTCAGGAATGAAAATGATACTCTTTTTTTTTCACATTTTTTTCCATTTTCGAACCTTCATATTGAATTAAAAAACCTAATCAAAAGCATACATAAAATCGACGATTAATCATTGCTATTTCAATTGTCAAAAGACTTTTAACAAAATCACCTTTATCTGCCGACCACGAAAAAGAGATTCATCCAGTGCTAATGCTGTTGCCAATGATTCTTTATCAGCAAATTCTATATATGCATAGCTGAAATTCTATATCTGCATAACATTTAATTGAAAAATTCTTAAACAGAAAACACTAAGCCATAAGCAAGGTCTGAAACAAATAATAAATATCAAAAAAAAGTAAGGAATGATGCGACTGGAAAAAAATGACAAGAGGATCGAGATTATTTTGCAAATAATTTATTCAATTTATTCTTAAAACTATATACTATTAGAGACTAAACTACGCAGAATTAAAAAATTAATTCATAATGTAATATTCCAAATATTAAGAGCAAAGAAGTGAATTATTAAATTTTACAAATAGGTTTATATACGATCCATTGCTTTTTGTTGCATCAAAATTTGAGGACAAATCGTATTATTTGCAATATTCAATAAAAAATTAGAAAAGAAAAATTTAGTTCAGCAAATTTTACCCCTTTGGATGGCCCGAAAACTTATCGGTGAGGATAGTTACTCTGTTCACAGATCCACATCCATGAAAATGAGCTTCCAGTTCCTCTGCCGTTGAGGAATAATCTACCTAAAATATAAAAATTTTAAGGACACACGAAAACTTTATTACATACGAAAACTTTATTTCCACTTTTCCATTTTCTAATCTATATTGTGCGAAATGATTTGAAATGATTGGAACGAATGGCAATACAAATATTTTGAAATTTTGAAACTATATTTCCAACAAAACAAGTGCAAAAAAAACAACACTAAACAGAATGAAAATTGACCATTTTCTTATTCTAAACATGCACATCCAATATTGAAATTCCCATTGGAAATTTGAGCGAAAAAAGTCGAAATCATTGGATTTATATAAAGATTCGATCAAAAGGAAATGGTAAGAATTCAGTTTATATTGCTTTATTCAAATTTATAATCTAAATGGCAATTTATAAAGGACACATTAAGTATAACAATCCAACAGATAACTTACATTTCCTACATAAACTGATCTAGCATCAGCCTCAATCTTTTCTTCCAAAGATAGAGCAGTAGGTGAAGTAAGCCCACTACTCGAACTTAAATTCATCTGTTTCTCGACATCATTTTGCATCCTACGAATCAGTTGAGCTTCTTCTTCGATCTCCTTCATGCGGCTCGTTAACGCCTCCATGTCCTATAAAAAAATATGGAATTGAAATACTTCACCATTAGAACAGTAGCAGAGCATTCAGCAGACTGCAAAAAAATTTGATAGGAATTTGAAAGTTTCTTACAGGTTCTTCATTCAGCGTATCGCTTGGATCTATGAGTTCATTAGAACCATCAAGAAACTCCATCTCATCCAATCGTATTTCGTTGTCTTCCCTCTGAACTTCGGCCATTTTATCTTAAAATTATAAGTATTAATATTAAAACTATTTTTTATAAATGTCTTGAAAATGATAGTACGCTCGACTTGACTCAAAATTCATTTTTTCAAAATTGCAATATCTTATTAGCGTTTTCGAATTACTTTCCTTCCCAGCATAAATTTTGCAACCCTGTTTCTTTTTTGAACAATATAAAAACTTCTTCTATTTGGTTGGATATATTGGCTGCAAAGAAAGACGAGTCGTTTTCGGCAAAGCTGTCTACGAATTCAGATAGGCACTTTTAATCACAACTAATTGGCTCTTAAGGTGAAGCGTTTACTATATTTTTTATCATTTATGATAATAAAGACGATGAATTATTATTTATTTTCATTGTTCTAAGTAAAAGACAAATGGGAAAACAGAGAAAATAAATGATATATGAACAGAAATAATAGTCCAAAACAAAAAAATTATACAAACAAAGAACATCGATTCGAAGATATTATAAAATATTCATGGAAACAATTTATATGTATCATAAAATGTTAAAAACAACGGAAAGAATTAGGACAAGACTGGTCCGACTGTACCAAATGTCCAATTTCCTGGTCCTGGAAGGAATAAAACATTCATTAAAAGGTGGTGGCCATGCGAAATTTACTAAACTAGAAATAGCGAGCACTACGTCTTCGGATGTTTGAGCATATTCGACAGAAAACAAAGTATAAAATTATACCAAATTTGATTAGTCCATTGAAAAAAATATCGAATTATCTTGAAACGATTTCGTCCCTATTTTATTAAAATATTAGAATAAAAAACCACAAATATTTATTAAAAGTGGCTAATTTGAAAAAAAAAACAAAACATTTGCGGGTCCATTAAAGCAAAGTGGATAGACAGCAGAAAATTTACCTCTCCAACACAAATAAACCCAATGAAAGACTGACCTTGGCAATTCACCGTAACAACCAAACGATATCAGCCAAGACCAGAAAGGCGCGAGGAAAAAAAGGACTCTAAAAAATTGAACCTTCCATATTACTCGACAAGCTTCTTTTTTTGACAGCGACCACTAGTTCGCATTTGATTTACTTCACCACTGCATCAGAGAATCATTTCGGGGACAAAAGTACTGTTGGATCACCAGTATTACCAACCCTTTGCCATTGATCGCACATTCCTTTCCACGAAGCACGAGGACCGAACCCATGAAGCTCCCTCAGTTACTGAACCAAAACCCCACTTCACTTCCTCATCACTAATTAAACCTGGTTTAAGCAAAATTAAACGTCAAATGATCTCTAAATAACATTTAGCCAGTTTCCATCTTTCTTGAAAAGCGACCAGAACTAATGGCCGCGCTTTACAGATTCACAAGTGTCGGCAGAACTTCGACGAGCTCCCCCTAACTCGCTCCCGGGATCCGCCGCCCGCCTCTTGCAGCGCAATATCATTCGTCAACGGACACTTCCTACGCCCCACCGCCACTCTTTATCGTGTTCCCCACCTCTCCACCAATCATCTATAATTTTTAACTTAAAAATTTGCATTTGAAATAACCCGCAACTTGCTCTGGAACCCGCAGTTCCCACCCAGGCCATTTGTTTTTGTCCAAAATGATGCATTTACTCTTGAAAAAGAACCAAGCTGTATTATGCCTAATGCCATCTAAAAAATGACATTAAAAAAGCCGATGTAATCGAATCACCGAATTTATCAAAAAAGTACTGTGTAAAGATGTAATTTTCGAAGCAAACTTTTATTTACGACAATAAGACAAATTTAATTTTAGATAACTGAAAAAAAAATTGAAACATATTTACCTGTCTTCACTTAAATATAAATTCCTTTAGCGAATCTCCTTCATTCTGATTTCGGTTATCTCCTGAAATACGACTTTAAACACAACTCGACACCTATTTGCTAAAACTTTATTGGAATAACCCCCACTGGTATCCAGAAATATAGCTAAACTTTCTGCAAATTTTGGCACTCACAGCTAACAATATATTCTTAATTTCTCAAATTTAATTTCAATTTAGACACATTTACTTCCCCAATCTGACCTCGTAACTACTGAAATACAGTCCTCAAAGCTTTTGATATGGCCAACCTCATCAGTAATATGAAACGCTTCACCCTTCCATTAATCAGTTATAAAGCCTTCATTTTAATCCAACGCTTTTACCAGTAATTTCGTGTAATTCACCCAAAACTTTTAGTTAACCAAATGGGAACGCCTTTCCCTATCAAAAAATCATATGAAAAAATCATTTTGACAAGAAAATGATTTCTGCGCATGATGAAATAGACCTACATGGAGCAATAAGGCGAGAAATTGGGCATCCCTTGTCCAATAAATATTTAAGCTTTTCTCCCTCTTGAAATCCAATCTTCATTATTTAACGCCTGAAAAGATTATTCAAGAGGGGTCTTAATCAACAAATTCATTTTTACATAACAATTGAATTATGCTAAAACTGTAGCAACAGCTACATCCTTTAATAATTAGACTTGCTCTACATTATATGGTCCACCAATAAAAAAATACAAGTGATACTGGATAATCCACTTGTACTTCTACTGCTAAGTGGTTCTCTGGCAGTTTTAATGTTCTTTTATAAAGATGAAAATAAAAGTAAGTCAATCTTCAGCATTAAAAAAAATAGAACAGTATACTGGTTATCCAATATTATCTTCCACAAATATTTTCGAAAAAAACGCTTAAAACCAGGATTTTACCTATTAACTACAAATTGCTCCGCGGTACTCTAAGTTTGTCATAAGCTGGCACACGATTTAGCAGAACTTAATAAAAGAAATAAACAACCTTAATAATATATTATGTATTTGGAACTACCCTAGCTAACTAATGTTCACAATTTAAAATAAATAATATTGAATGCTTATTTATTATTGTTTATTTTAAATGCTGTAACATTAATTAAATATTTAATAAGATATGAAATTTAAAAAATTGAAATTAATACAAAATTATTTTAACGGCGGCTATCGAGCGATATGACATTAAAAACAAATAAAATTATATAATAAACAAAATTTAATATATGGTTGCGGATGGCTTTCTTTTACATTTGTAGGCATGAACACTTACATTGAGCAGAAGTCGTCCATCGTCATACACAGCACCATAAACGCATGAAAACCATTTAGCGCTCTCCGATTAAAAAAATTATCACATTTTATCTTATAAAAACACTCTGTTGCAAATTTAGCCACCCGCAACCGCTCATTTTATTTGAACAAATTGTTATATTTTAATTCGTGTTTTAATCATTATTTAATCATTATAATTATGATGGCAAAGCCTTTTAATTGGAACTCGAAAGCGTTTTTCGTCCATAAACTGTTTTTCAAATATATGAAGATTGCCGTATTTTAGAATTATTTATTAATGACTCGAAACCACCTGAAGACATTTCTAGTCAATATTTATAAATACTTATTTCTTTATACTGCGATAATTAAGAATATAATTTATATAACTTAAATTTTATACTTAAAAGTTTTTGACCCGAATGAACTGCATGCAGTAAGTATCAAAAAAAATACAAGAAATAACTTACCGATTAGGCGAAAGATTACCGCCTCATCGACGAAGACAAGCGATGAAAAGATAAAAACGATGAATTATTATTGTATTAATGATAAAAGCAAAAATTAACGCAAAACTGTAAATCTCACAAAACTTCAAATTGAAGAAATTGTGATGAGACCGCCAAGGATAATGAAACGATAAATTACTTCATTTAATACGGCCGAAACCTGGAATTAAGTAAAATATGTACACAATAAAAGTTGAAAAGTACCTCAACCTAATCTAAAGCTATTTTTTAATGAAAAACTAATCACCCTCCACGTTCAGTGCTACTTCCACGCGCCCCTCTGCTGCCTCCACGAGTAATTGCTGTAGGACCAATACCACGATTAGCAGCACCACGAAACGCTCCACGATCATTACCTCTTCCACGTGCTCCTCCTCTCCCGCGCATTGCACCACCGCCAGCTTTATCAGAGTCGTCTTCCTCTCCCGCATCTTTTTCACCTTCTGTGCCACCTCCTTGTGCAGCCATCATTTTTTCATAAGTTTCATCGCGAGTCTTGAAAATGTATCTATGATATAATCTAAAAAAAAGTGAAGAAAAAAAGACAAGAGACGATGAACGCAAACGTATTATTCACCGGTTGTAAGGTGGTAGCAAGCACTTCAAGAACTCCAGCTATTCGCTGATATGCTATGTGAGCCGGAGCAATTGTTTCAACCTTGACATGCAAAGGTCCTCCATAATGAGCGTACTGTGGATCTCCGCTATTCATCAGTTCTTCTTCCTATAAAAATAAAAACTCATTAATATTAACAATCGGCTAAATTGACCATCGGTAAAAATTTTTAGCTACAGAAATAGAACTATACTACGATACTTTAACTCGATCCTTTGTTGAACCACGACCAAGCACGTATATATGACATTTAAACTGCTTCGCCATGGCCTGTAGAGTGGCACCTTTTGGGCCCAAAATTTTGCCAACAAAATTGAAATGTGGATGCCTAAAGCTCGGTATCAAAACCTGAAAAAATTAGAATAATCCTGCACTATATAATATTTCCCCTCGCTTAAAAATTTCAAATAATAAAAAACGTAAAAAAAACCTTTTTAGAAACTTTAATCGGTTTCGCGATATCAACTTCAAGCCACTCGGGATCGATGCTATTTTCCAACTTATCTAATTCAGCTGCTAGCAACCGCTTCGCATTCTTGAACTGTTCACCCCATTCCCCTCCCTGCTCCATTAGCTGTTGTTCATTATGAATTTGTCGTATTACAACCTTAAATAATTGTTTTCCCAAAATGTACAATAAACAAAAATGTAATTAAAATCTGCAAAAAAAAATTTAAAACTGAAGAAGGAAACAGTTGTGAAATCTATATAATATCTAACATTCCCCAAAGACCTATGTTAAAATTTTAAACAATCACTTGAATTTCGGCCTCAAGCGGACTTTGTGCTTCCATTCCCGGATAAGTGCCATAACCAGCCGCATAACCGGCAGAATAACCAGCAGGACAGCCATAACCTGCTCCATAACCCGCTCCACCATACTGATTTGCAGCGTATCCTGCTGGAGCCTGCCAATTAAAATTACTCTAGAAAATTCTATATTTTATCGCTCAAATATATTTTAGAGATTTCGCCATCTGGAATTATAAATTCCAAATTCTCTCACTATTCCTAAATTGAAAAATTAAAACTATATTAAAATAAAAAATATTCAGCCATTTAATTCAGCACAGAAACTAACGGTAACAGCGCCATAACCACTTTGCTGATAATAATCATTTGGATTTGTGACCATCTGTGAATCCGCCATGTGACCGTTGCCAGACATATATTATTCCTGCGTATAATTACAACTGGAAAATTACAGTGACACGGAATATCATTGATTCAATTAGCACTTTTTACAGCTAAATAAACGCTAAAAAACCACAACTCAAATACAAGCACTGAACACCTTCCTTCTAATATCAAACAACCCTCTCCCCCACAGATCTGAACATCACCTCAAACGCAAAAAACTAAGGTTAATCCGACGACATCTCTTCTCCTTCACCCACACACTACGCCCATTCATCGCACTTCGTCATCGCCACGCATCAAATCATCGATAACCTCTTGAAATGGATCATCGAATCTTCCTATTCCAAATTTTTCTTATTTAAATTGTTGCAGCACAATATTAAAATTTTTTTAAATTTTTATTTTTTTATTTTAAATTTTTTTAAATTAAAATTTTTTAGTACAATTTTACACCAATAATTACAACAAGGTGACTTTGTTAAAAGAAAATTCCATTAGAAAATTATCACTAGAAAAATCTGGATGTAATATGTCTTCGACACGTAATAGAAACATGAGTTTCGTGAGAAACGAACAGAATATGATTAAATACTCGTTAGTAGAGAAAAAGAATGGCTAATTTAATGTTTAATGTAGAAGCTCACTGGAAAGATAAATGCCAATGAGAACCGAGGATTGGGTTCGAATCCAGCCGACGCACCACGTTTCGTCGAGCTCTGTATCGTCTAATGCAGATGAATGCAAAGGAGAGTAGAATGGTTGAGTGGGTTTTTCGGAGCGCCGATGCTGATGTTCTACTGCTGGCGTAGAAGAGTAAAACCGTTCGAAAAATCCGGGTGGCGCTGGCGACTCACCTATATCCTGTCGCCAAGGAATTACCTAGTGTATCTCTCTCCGACGAGCCAGCGGAACGAGTCTAACCAGCAATGATAGGTCTTCTAAAAAATAAAAATTTAAAATTCAATTTTTAGCTGCGAGCCTTGAAAACACACTTTTATAGTAACCAAATTTTCTTCAAAATTTATCCATTAGAATATTATTTCTTTACTACAAATGTTCGTAACACGTTACCATTCATCACTTAATTATGTATGGTGATTTATGTCAGAAGATTTGACATGAAAATGTGAAAGCACTGTAACAACGCTTATGATTTAAGGTATTTAGCAGTCAACTATCATCCACCAAGTGTGGCTCATGCACATCTGAGGTTCCACGGATTCTTACACGCCGGTGTGCATATGATTTCCGAGTGCTTATTCTGATTTTTATTTGCATAATGCTAATTATATTAAAATATTATTTGCCCTTTTTTTCTGATCCGCTCCACTAACATCCGCAAAACTCCTGATCCGATGCATTCCTAAAAATGACTGAGCCACTTCTTCCATGTGCACGTCTATGCCGTCTTGTCGGCTAACCATCCATGTGCACAAAGTCCCCTCTGATTGCACCAATCCAGGTCTTAATTGAACCTCCTCGTTTTTGACGTATGACAGAGTCCATTGCATCTATCACAGCTTTCAGCGTCTAAACCACCACTATATAAATCCCAACCATTTTGTGCTCGGATTATGGCCCTATCGGATGATGTAATACCATTACTACTTTGCAGTTCAACACATCAATGCAATCTCTATTTTCTTCAACTCATTTTTAGGCCGCAGGCAAGAGCTGTAAACTAGTAAAGAAATCAGGATTTAATTATGTGCTTTGTATTTTCAGTAGGTTGGAGGTGCGGGTTATTCCGTTCATCTATTATTTAAGTGCTGCTTCAGTTCAAATTTAAATTTTTTTCTATTTGGCCCGGAGGATTCCACTTTTAATTTCTTTTTATTTTCGACTTATTTTTGTTATTTTCTTATTTCATTAATATTTTAAATCTAAATTTATAAAATTGTAAAAAATTTATAAAAATTTCAGTTAATAAACTATTAATTGGATTATCAAAAAATTCACACGTTCAAATGACCATTTCAACTTCTTCAGGTTTTTTCCGCAGTTATTTGTTTATTTTTATTTATTATCTTTTTTGGAAAATAAAAATTTTGGATTTTATTTATCTAAAATTTTTTATATAAATAATTTGGCTTCACTTCTGACTTTTTGACCTTTTCTCTGCCTTTTTTTGGAATTACTTTACCAGCAAAATTTGAGCTTATATGTGGTAAACTAAACTTAAAAACTAAATTATTATTATAGATGATAAATCGAACGCAATCGATATAGCAAATAGCAAACTAGCAGTTCAGGATCTTGACAAATTGGGTGTTTCAAAACTCACACCACTCACTGAAGAGGTTCGCTTACTTTTTTTCAATGAATTTTGCAAAAAAAATTGATTTGTGAAATTTTTAATTTAAAAATTTCCCTGTTATTGTTATCATTATTTGTTGTTGTTAAGTTCGGAATGCTGGCAATTTACCTTTTATCGCCAACTCACTCTATAACAGAAGCTTCTAACCGTACAAAAAGCCAGCTGAGTGAGCCTAACCAGAAATGATGGCCAATTAGTTTCTTAAATAATTAGTAGTAATAATAATAGACAATAATTAAAATAATTATTATTATAATAGTTATTATTTATGATAATTAAAATTGTAACATTAATAGAGAGTGGCTCACTGGGTTATTTATCATTTTAGAGCGCGCTATATATTCTATTCCTTGGAATTGCAGGATGAAGATTTCAAAAACCCAGGTGATGCTGGAGATTTGTCTATACTTCTATTGTCCACTGATTTTTTAATAAAATCTGATCCGATTAGCTAACCGAAATACCCTGAATTTAAGCAAGTTTAGAAAGAAAATAATATTATTATTAATTAATAGTAATAACAAAGATAACAATGATAAAACAATTGTAATAAAATAAATAGTAATAATGATATTGAAATAAGTAATAGTATCAATAATAATAATAAAATAATTATGATAATAATTAGAACAATAGTGATAAAGTATTAATAAATAATTGATAATAACCAGTAATGACAAATAAATAATGGAGTAATAACTTGGTTAGTTTGTGGTAATATAATAATGTGGTAATGATAACAACATATTCACCACTTAATTAAGTTCGCCAAGCTAACTCCAATCGTTGTTTGTTCGGTATTTTTGCTAGAAAATAACCTGGTGGTTGCTATTTATTAGACATCTCAGTTTTTAATTATTTGTTAGTTATTATTTTTTATTTTATTGCTATTTTTAACTTATTGGTAATAATAACTAAATCATTCTAGAGTTTAATATAATAATCCAAATACTTTTTGTCAAAATAATTTTCTTATTATCATTATTACGATTATTAAACAGGTAATAAGTCGTCAAGCGACTATCAACATTGGTACTATTGGGCACGTAGCTCATGGAAAATCGACACTTGTAAAAGCAGTTTCTGGTGTTCATACTGTGAAATTCAAAAATGAACTTGAGCGTAATATAACTATTAAATTAGGATATGCAAATGCAAAAATCTATAGGTGTTCGAACGAAGAATGTCCTCGACCTGGATGTTATAGGTTTTTTTTCTGAATTGTAAAATTGTAAAATTTGAGGAAAATTTTAAAATTATCTGAGAAAATTTTGGGGTATTTTTTAAAGATTATTTTGCAATTATTTAAATTTTACTATTTTATTAAAATGTTTTAGCTGTATAATATTTTAGATGGTAAATTAATTTTATAGGTCGGCTGGTTCAAGTACACCTGATAAATTTCCTTGCCAAAGACCTGGTTGTGGTGGTGAATTTAAATGTGTTCGCCATGTATCTTTTGTCGATTGTCCTGGCCATGATATTCTTATGGCAACTATGCTTAATGGTGCTGCAGTGATGGACGCAGCTTTATTGCTTGTTGCTGGCAATGAATCGTGCCCACAGCCGCAAACTTCCGAGCATCTTGCTGCCGTAGAAATAATGCAGTTGAAGAATCTTTTAATTCTTCAAAATAAGATCGATATTATTAAGGTATTTATAGATTTTCAAAAAAGTTGACTGTTATGCGATTTCTGAAGGTCTTAATTTATTTTGCACTTGTATTTTGCTATTCCTTCGTTCCGTCTTACGAATATAGTATTTCTATTTCTTCTTCTTCTAGCCCTCACTTAGGCTGGTTGTACTGGCTGTAAAACGTAGCTGAGCGATTTGATACCATCATCAGCAGTTTTTTTTTGATGTGCTCACCATAATTAAACTCGCTGCGCTGGCTTGTCTCACTGGACAAATATGCCAGGGAGTCCCCTACAGAAGTGCAGGTGAGTCGCCAGCATCACCCTGATTTTTGGGCAGATACTCCGAGAAATAAAATCTCACCATCGGTGCTCCAAATTGAGCAATTTCCTTATCATCCACTGACCCATTCTCTCCTGCAAAGATAAGACTTAGCTGTGATGATCTGTGTGATCTGACGTCATCGTCGACAGCAGTGGAAGCCATTCCTTTTTCCATTGTTTAAATCCATATATTGCTGGTCCATCTGTCCATCTGTACGTTCTTTGACCACTTATGTCTAAGATATATTTTATGGGTTTTCCGAGTGGACAAAATCTCATGATTACATCCGCTTTCGTTCAAATATCACATCAAAGCGTCGCTTTGGCTCGTTAGGACACGTTCTTCTGATACGGTCAAGAAAATATTTACATAATATTCAGGAAAGTCAAGCAAGGGAACAATACGATCAAATCAAGAGTTTTGTTCAAGGAACTGTGGCTGATGGTGCACCAATCATTCCAATTTCTGCACAGCTCAAATATAATATTGATGTTAGTCTTTGTTATTTTTATTTGTTTATTTTTCTTTTTTACGATCACTTACTATTTTTACTTCTACGATTACGATATTAATATTTTAGTTGTTTTTGTCATTAAAAAGGAGTGTGGAGTGAGGAGTGTTTTAATCAATCAATTTTGATTGATTTTTAAAATTTATAACTATAAAAATTTTTTGTATTTATAGGTCGTTTGCGAATATATTTGTAAAAAGGTGCCTGTACCAATTAGAGATTTTACTTCTCCAGCTCGACTTATTGTGATTCGTTCTTTCGATGTGAATAAGCCAGGTTCTGAAGTTGAAAATCTGAAAGGAGGTGTTGCTGGTGGTTCAATACTTAGAGGTGTTTTTTTGTTTTTCTCTAAGGGACAACCAAGTACATAAAACATCTAATTTATTCTTGGTACCTTATTTCATTTTTTCATTGGAAAGTTGGAGTATTTAATCGGTTGTTACCAATCAATAATAAAATTAAATATTAAATTTTTAGGTACATTAAGGATTGGGCAGGAAATAGAAGTTCGACCTGGTATCGTTTCAAAATCGTCTGATGGACGTGTGCAGTGCAGACCAATTTTTTCTCGCATCGTCTCATTATTCGCGGAACAGAATCAATTGGAATATGGAGTTCCTGGAGGTACTGTTAAAATTTATCGGTAAATCTGAAATCTGAAATTTCTTCCTTTAAGGTTTAATTGGAGTTGGAACAAAAATCGATCCAACATTATGTCGCGGTGATAGACTCGTTGGTCATATTTTGGGTGCAGTTGGTACTTTGCCAGATATTTTCACTGAAATCGAAATTGCTTATTATTTATTACGTAGATTACTTGGAGTACGTACTGAAGGCGGGAAGAAGGCAGCAAAAGTACAGAAATTAGGCAAAGGAGAAATTTTGATGGTGAATATTGGATCGCTATCAACAGGTGGACGTGTAATTGCTGTAAAAGGTCAAACTTTTGTTTATCCTTTTCATCCTTTTCATTTCTTATAGTATAGTAATATAAAGCATTGCAAAGTTTGTTATTTTTTTTTGTTTTTGGCAATTATTTCGACATTTTAGGTGATGCAGCGAAAATCTCACTAACTGATCCAATATGTACTGAAGTTAATGAAAAAATAGCCCTCTCTCGACGGATAGAAAAACATTGGCGTTTAATCGGTTGGGGAACGATTCGACGAGGAGTTACAATCAAACCAACTTTGTCAACTTAAAGTTCGTACCTTTTAACGAAAAAGTAATTGAGGAAAATTATTTTGATGTTTCATCTATATCTTAATTTATTTCAGGTCATCGTGAAATGGTATTCATAAAATTTGCTTGAAACCCACTGAATTGTTTTTTATTCTGTAGTTGATTGAATTTTGTTATGGACAAATTGTAAGATTCTTAATAGAATACGAATACGAAGTGAAACGCTCAAAGCAGTCGTGTAGGAAGCACTTCCTTCAGAGATTTTATTTATTCTAACAGATTTATTCTAACAGAATGCATTATTTCGAGTTTGACTGACCACATTGTTAAGCATTTCTAAGGTTTTTGTCAAACTTGAAATAATGTGCCATTTTACTGGTAATTTTTCCACGCTTTTTGTTATAAATCAATTTTTCAATTATTGGTTGCAATTTTGCATTGTTTGTTAAAAAACGATATATTTTCTTGTTCTTTTTGCAGTTAAGCCTTGTTTTTTGTTAGAATTTTCTTCGAAATGACTCTTTAAAGTTTTTTTGTTTAATGGTTTTATCATAAATGTACATTACTATTATTCTTCATTTCGTTTTATCATATATTTTTATTTTTCAGTGATTAGAAAGGGTTTAAAAGGAAAATATTTCATTGTTTTTCTTGGTTTTCTTTATTCGCCATTATAAGTTGGAAATTTTTTCCGATACGAACATTAGCTGTAATTATTGGATTTTTGAAAATCGCATGGGACGAATTCAAATTTTATTAAATATTTAATTATTAATTTCCTCGACAAGATTGGAGGGATTATGAATGATTATCGACATCATTTAAATTCATCTTCTTTTAAGATACGAATTCTCATTGGGAATAAAACTTTCGAGGAAAGGAAAAAAGAATTCATTGTGGTATGAAGTGAAATTCCCTGTGGGGCAGAAATCGGTTTGAATCGCCTATGGTGCTTCTGAACCACGGAACACCTTATGATATTGCAACATGATTGTGGAACCACTTAAACTGAATTTCTGCTTATTTGGGGATTTCAAAACATAAAACTCGTGAAACAAAATGCACCTTGATTTGAATATAGCAAGTGAAAAAATTAAATAAGACAAAAAGTAAAGCAAAAATTAGATTAAATTAAATGAATGTTGCGATATGTAGTTTGGGAAACTCAGCTGAGCCATGACGGTCTGAATTTTAGGAGGCCGATTGTTAGTCCTTCCAAATAAAGCGCGAAAATTTTGATTTCACTTTAATTTTTTTCGGAGATGGTTAAGTGATTTTAATATAGAAAATAGTTTTAAATGTTAATGTAAAGTCCTTTTCTTCAAATGGCTCTCGGCAATGCTGGTTAGGCTGGTTCCGCTGGCTAGATGGTAGCCGAGCGGCGCGGTCTGGTGTCGACAGTAATAGAAGCCATTCCTTTTTCCATCGTCTAAATCCAAATATTACCAGTCCACCTATACACTCAAAATCTTTTCTGACCGTATCAGTCCAGGTCTTGATTGACTCACCTCGCTTTTGATGCCATTCATCACGCAACGATGGTAAAATGCTTGATGAGTCGAATGATCTTTTCTGGAACACCGCGTTCCTTCACTCTCCATAACACCGTTCTATCAATTGAATTGAGCCGCAAAGTCGCTGAAACGGTGGGTTGCCGACATTTAAAACAATGTTCTAACAATCTTCTTAAGGTGAATACCGGGTCACCACCACCATCTGAATCCAGCTTGATTAGAATGCATCCTGGTGTCACTCGATAGTTGCCACAGTATGTCCTGTGACCTTTCTTGGAAAATGGAAGCGGAATTATTTTGCTACAGTCAACTGGTATTATTTTTTTCTTCATTGCCAAAGAGTGCATTTGTAGGTGCGTTCTGGAGAACGATGGATAACATTTGAAGAGCTCGGAGTTTGTTGGCCTTAAGCTTATGGACAATGAAAATTATTTACTCTTCTGTTGGCAGTTTGAGGTTGCAGCAATGTCCACAGCCACAGATGGTGCATCAGATGGTGGTGGTGGTTAAGTTTGGCTTCAAAGAATTCTTTACATTTTGCGAGGCGATTCATAATTCTATCAACAGACAACCATTGCTGTCCTGTACCATTTCGTTGAATTATAGTTGGAAGAGTGTAGAATAATTTCCTATTATCGCTTAATCATCGTTCTCAAGCCATATCGCTCCAATAGCGATTTTCGTCTCGTGCTCTTGTCGTTGTAATTCTTCGAAATATTCGGAATCTCCTAACATTTATGCTTTGGCAACGTTTTCAGCTGGAAAGAGTTCCGTACTAGATAGTTTTTCTTAGTTTTCTAGATTTTCAGACAGTTGGCAGTTGATTCTGATGCGTTGATTCTGACTTCCTGCTAGTATAATAGTGGTAGACTTTGGAGATTCCTTTGCGATATTCATTTGCCGTTCCAGAAAAATCGTTGATATTTATACCATTGAGAAACTTCTATAATTTGGTTTGAAATCGTCCATTGTCCATGAATCTTTTAGTTTGAGGTAATTGAAAGACCGTGAGGGATATGAGTTGTCAATTTTATGCCAACCTTGACTCGAACCATAACATGGTCAAATCCGTAAAGATCGTCCGTTTCAGTGCTGCGATAAGAAAAACTATCTAGTACGGAACTCTTTCCAGCGATAACTGATTAATCAATCTGGCTGGGGTATTGGTTATTTGGGTAGTTCCACATGACTAATATCTTCTGCGATGCTGAAAGCATGTAATAGAAGGCTTTCTCCATTGGTGCACTAGATTCCGATGCCATATTTACCAGTTGCTGAGTTTGTCGTGATGGCGTCATGACTTACGCGTACATTCCAGTCTCCTCCGATTATATAATATTTCATATTATATCATATTTCGATGGAGATTTTATTAGCAATTGAAGTTCCTCATCGAATTTATCACAGTCATCTGCAGACAGAGTTGGAACATTGATGATACTGATGACCGAGATATTGTTGAATTTACTACTAAAGTGAGCATGCGGTTACTTTCCGGTTTCTGTTCAATCAAAGCTGAATGGGCCTTTTCAGATATGTCGTTTCTCTTCGAGTTATCCGAAACACCACAATGATAGCCAGTATCTCTGCTGGGAACCAGGTTTAGTAATTATTCAAAACCCGTAGAGAGGAAGGCAGACAAGCAAGCGACATCAAAACGATATTAGAAAGAGTGTGCACAATCATCACTTGGCTTGCAACGTACATAAGCGTTCTGATATTCCACGCTACTGCGGCTAATACGTCCATGTGCGTGCACAGAACCGTTCCCGTTAACAGATTTCGAGCAGTGGGTGGCGTGGCTTGCGAACACATTTTATTTACCAGCCTAGGGATCGCCTGGATTTATACCTTATAATCACCGAGTTGGGAGTATCATGTACGTCAGAGGACATCCTTTCACCATAGGGTCATCTGGGAATTGAGTTACATTGGTTCTACCAATTTCTGTCCTATCGATATCTGTTCTATCATTATCTGATCAATTAATATCTGCTTTATCGATATCTGGTCTATCAATTTCTGGTCTGTTAATATATACTCTATAGCGATGCAACAGTTCCAACAATGTCTATGCGAATATCATTCAGTCGTGGCTAAAATAAATATATCTTTCAAAAAATTAGAGTGGTGCTGGTGATTCACTAATATTTCTATCGTTAAATTGCTGGTAAAAACTAGCCTGTTTAAGCTGGCGGAGCGAGCCTAATCAGAAATGATTAACGCTCTTAGAAAAAAAGGGAGTTGAGGATTTACATATTTCATATGGTCGAAATAACTCTGACAGTTCAAAAATATTCTTGACATTGCACAATTTTGAGGTAACAAAATTAATGACACTGATTGATTGAAGGAAAATGTCAAATGATCCAAATGAACACTCAGAAAGAAGTAATGAAGAATTGATGATGGATTCCCAAGGCGATGAAAGCATTGATGAAAATAATCGAGGTTTTCACTTTTTTTTTTTTTTTTCAGTGATTGCAAATTGGAACAGTGCAGTTGAATGTTCCGTTACTTAGACATACCAAGCATAGTGGTGACTCAATAGTTGTCCTTTGACGAGGATAAATATGTGCAGGCCAAATCCTTGTGTCGCCAGGAATTCGCTTATGCTCGCATCTCTAGGGCTCTTTAATTAAATTAGAAGCTATAATTCCAATAGTCAATGAAATGAGCCAAATCAGGAGTAACGAATGCCACAAAAACTATTTGTATTATAATTTAAATATCCGAGAATAATTAAATTTTTTTCCCATTCATTTGATTTATTTTAAAAAAAAATTGAAATTTTATCATTAAATTCTATAGACTATATTATTTCATTTATCAGCTTATTTCGGCCATTATTCTCGCTTTTTTTCAATAGAAAAACGAAAACATCGGTCTTTTTTTCCAAAAACTTTTTTCAAAACAGTAAATATAAATAAAACCATAGCATTGGCTTCAAGCGGCCGTTCTGCCGACTCTGTGGTAGAATATAATTCTGCTAACCACAATGGTTTATCTACCACATCGTTATATGAATCATATTGGTTTATTTATTAATAAAACTACTTACGTGACATATTTAAATGAATGAAAAAAATTCCGAAGGTCTTGTCATATTTTGATGTTTCAGGTTCAACGATGAGGTCGACAACAGCTTCACCATCAGCTCGATGTATTTTGTATTTATTTCATTCATGTTATTTCAAATTCAACACAATTAAATATTTTAACAATTAGATTATTTTAAATTTTAAATTCGGGTAGAATGGTCGAGCGGTATATTGCTTCAAACGAGAGTAAGGTGTATGGTTTCTGCGCGCTAATGGTAGTAAAGTGAAATCTAGATGGAACCTTTGTCTTTATCCCTTTGTGGTATTTTCAGCATTTAGTCAGTGCTGCCAGCCAAACGGGATTACACTGTGGTTTATGCTGTAAAAAAGATTGTAAGTTATTGACATTCCCGATATTGCTTCTTTATTTTATTTAGCGAATTCCTTTTGCTTAGACTTTTTGAAGAGACAAAATTGTAGCTTCAATCTCGGACGAAAATTCGCCACGAAATGATTCACAAATAACTGACGATATTACTGCTCCACAAAGCAGTTTGTTTATCAATTTTTTCCAATTATTTTTGTATTATTTAATCTTAGTTTAATCTTTAGTTTAATCTATTTATTTAATCAAATTTCTTTAAATGATATAAATTTCGCAGGTGAAATACGTTTTGATATAAATTTCGCAGGTGAAATATATTCTTTGTTTTAGCTCTAAGTTTACTTGAATATGGATCAGAAATGGATATGTCAAGTCAGGAAAATGTAGAATCACACGCGCCGAGAATTCGTCGACCTGAATTTAGCGGATTACCTTTTCAAAATCGTACTATTCGAATGGAATCGGGTCTAATGCAGGTATATTTACTATTCTTATTATTCTTTTGTTCTCATAGATTTGACCAAATCACTAGCAATGCAATGTTCGTTCAAACGAATTGCTGTCCTTCGATTTTGCTTGAAATTAAAGCGTAAACTCGATTGAACTTTTGATGCTTTTGATGTTATATAAAGTAACTTCAAATATCAAATATGTTCTAAAGCAAATAAGAATTTTTTATCGAAGTTCTGTCTAAAATTGTTTTTAAGGATAATATTAGCGAGGAAACTGGAGAAGAATTGGATGTCTATATATGGGGGACGAGAGTTTGTATTTCAGCTGTGCAAAAAGCATTCGAACGTTTCATTCTTTATTTCAAACCAGAAAGTGCAGTTGTTGAAGGCGATTTAAGAAGCGGTATGTTTTAATTTTATAATTTTTTTAAATTCTAATGAATTGATTATTTGGAGTTCATTTTTTTAACCGTAAAATTTGCAGAAATATGGAATTTTTCAGCTGAAAATCTACTTTTTTTAGTCTTTCTTTTATCCATATTTTTTCTGCTATTTGTATCTGCTATTATATAAATTTTCTACTATTTCTGCTATATAAATTTTTATAGCCCATATTCGGGGTCTATTTTTTTAAAAAATCCCAAGATTTTCAAAGTTTTAGCTAGAATTCGTCACCCAAGCGAAGAGCATTCATTCTATCTCGATTTAATTGACAATATTCAAGTGACTCAAAATCCAGTGCTTGATGTTAATTTGCAACATATATGGTGTTTTAACCGCGCTCTATATCGGCAAATTATTTGTTATCCATCGGTATTGTATTTTATTTTAGATCTCTGGATTTTTTAATATTCATTTTACTTAATCATTTATTTTCTCCATGAATCATTTTTTTATTGAGATATTTAATACAAATGCTTGAATAAAATGGTTTAGTGAATGAATTAAGAGTTCGCCTAAAATCTCCTAAAGCACTCTTTCCTGTGTAATTTCTTCATTTTATTATTCAAGGAAATCATTCCCTATTTGGATATTGTGGTCAATAATATCTTTGCTGAACGGTTCACGCAGAAATTGCATTGTCCTATCGAAATTCGTCCATTTAATGCGGAACAGACGCGAAGCATGCGTGATTTAAATCCATCTGATATAGACCAGTTGATTTCCATTACGGGAATGATTACTCGCCTATCGCCTTTGATTCCAGAGATGCGACAAGCATTTTTTCAATGCTCAGCCTGCAGTTTTTCGGTTTGTTGTCAGCCACTTTTTCATTTCATTTTTTATATTTTAAATTTTATATTTTAAATTTTTGTAAATTTGTTTTTAATGGTTTTTAATCGATTTATTTTAAATTTTTCATAGTTTATTTCGCGAACACTTATTTTCAATGTGAACTATTTATTAAAAATATTTCAACGCTTTTTTTTTTTAAATCTATATCGTTTCATTTCCAGGTTGATGTGGAGGTAGAACTTGGTCGTATAGAAGAGCCTACTTTATGTGCAAATTGTCAGCAACCTTTAACATTTCAGCTAATTCATAATCGATGTCGTTTCATCGATAAACAACTTATTAAGCTGCAAGAGTCACCAGGTCTCCTTTTGATCTCAGATTCTTTAGGTCTCTTAGCTTAGCTTCTTAATCAAGATTTTTCCTTCTTTAAGGTTCTTCATGTTTTTGATTTTTTCTTCTTTTTGTTTGTGTTTTTTCAAGAACTGAAGTAAATGAAAGTGTCTTAAACAAAAAATTTTCTAGATGATATGCCGGCCGGACAAACTCCGCATACTGTTACGTTATTTGCATATGGTAGTCTTGTTGAATCGGTACAGCCAGGCGATAGAGTTAATGTTACAGGAATCTTTAGAGCGAAGGCTGTTCGTGTTAATCCACGGACGAGAAATACAAGTGCAGTTTATCGTACTAACATTGATGTATTTCACTTTAACAAAGTGGATAAGAAAAAACTTCGGATTGCTGAGAAGTACTTTACAGTTTTTGCTTTAAATAATAATATGGCTTCAGATTTTATTTGTTGGATTGATGGTATTCGGCAGGTTTCTTGTTAACTTCGATTGATTAAATTGATCATTTTTAATTTTTCCAGTGTGACTTTATCGTCTGAAAGAATGGAACAGATACTGCGCATAGCACAACAGAATGATATTGTCGAACTTCTATGCAATGCTATCGGTAGATTTTATATCATTTTGAGGTTTAAAATTCAAATAAATAATATTTTATTCTTAAAGCGCCTTCAATACATGGACATATGGATGTAAAACTTGGTATTCTATGTTTATTATTTGGTGGGACTTTCAAACCAGAAATGAAAGAAAGAGGACGAGTTCGAACTGAGATAAATATGCTACTTTGCGGCGATCCTGGAACCAGTAAAAGTCAGATTCTTCAAGTCAGTCTTTTATACAAGCGTCAGTTATATTAAGAGCAACCAGAAACAATATATTTTTTCATTTTCATATTCATTTTTTAAGTTAATAAGTAGTTCCCTTATCAAGCGGCGTTCTCATCAAAGAAACTTGGTTGGCTGGTCGGAAAAAAGTGGAACGATCAAATGAAATGAAATTTTTAAATTTAATTTGAGTGCCTGTGGGTATTCGAATATGGAAATATTAGCGGTTTTGCAAAATTTAAACAAGGCGGTTAAGTTTGCGACGTAATAAACAACTAAAGAAATTTGTCGATGAAGATTTTCGGGCATTAGCAGATTTACTGCAATCGATGTAGTAAATCGTATATAGAATTTGATCAGTTAATCCACGATACAATCTGCGTATATAGAAAGATATAGAAGATATAGAAAGTCATTACTTGCATGCCTCATAATCAGATCAGCATAGGTGAAAAATCACCAAGGAAATATTTTTGGATCACTTCATAATTGGTGGCTCTGTGCGAGAATTATATTCATTGCAGCTGGGTTTTACTGTTAATAGTTGGTCCTTCTTAGGGATGCTATTATACCAAAAACGTTCCATTCTGATCAATAGGAATGGATTTGCTATATGGTAACCATGAATACCATAGAAAAAAGAGCAATTTCGATTTGTATTGATTTAAAAAGGCTTTATTTTTGTATTTTTATATAGCATTATTATATTTATCATATTTTTTGTATCTTTAGTTTTATAATTGGTGTGGTTTCAGTACGTATATAGACTAGTTCCTCGAGCCCAATATACGTCTGGTAAAGGATCATCAGCTGTTGGTTTAACTGCTGCTATTGCACGCGATCCCGACACCAGAAACATGGTTTTACAAACAGGTGAGGTGAAAATTTAATTAGCATCTAAAATATATAAAGTAAGCATTTTAAAATGAATATTTAAATTTAAAATATTGGGAAAATATATAATTTTTTTCATCTCTTGAAAATTTGATTATATAATAATCTTCCATGAAATTTCTACTGGTTTTTTCTGTGAATTCTAATATGTTTTGGAACAATGATTATAAATGTTTCATGCAGGGGCACTTGTGTTGGCTGATAATGGTGTTTGTTGTATTGATGAATTCGACAAAATGAGTGATAGTACTCGCTCAGTACTTCATGAAGTAATAAGCACAAATTTTGTATAATAGTTTATTTTACTAGTTTATTTTGTTAAAAAATTTTGTAATTTGTAAAAAATGATAATCTATATAGGTTATGGAGCAACAGACATTGTCAATTGCTAAAGCAGGGATTATTTGTCAGTTAAATGCACGTACATCTATACTTGCGGCTGCAAACCCTGTCGATTCGCAATGGAATCGGAACAAAACAATTATCGATAATATTCAGCTACCTCATACATTACTTTCTCGGTGATCTTAATGCATTCAGAAACATTCTACCACAATAGCTGGATTAATGCACTATTACTATTTATAATCTGAAATTTGTTTTAAGATTTGATTTAATATTTCTAATGGTGGATGAACAAAGTGAAGCACGTGATAGACAGTTGGCAAATCACCTTGTTTCATTATTCTTTGAAGATGCGGAAAATACCGGTTATTTTTGTTATTCATTCTAGTTATTTTTAGCTTTAGGAAATTTTTGAAAATATAGTTGTGGATTTTTTAGAAGGCCAAATGCTTGATGCCGGATTTTTGCGTGACTACATCGCTTATGCACATAAATTTGTTCATCCAGTGATTAGTGAAGCGGCATCTGTATCGCTGATCAATAAGTATTTGGAAATGAGACGAGCTGGATCTCAGTTTGGACAAGTATTTTTCTTGCTTTTTCAAAATGTTTATCATACAATATATATTTTATTAGAAGTTAAAACTTATAACTTTTTAGATATCTGCTTATCCACGACAACTTGAATCACTTATTCGCCTTTCTGAAGCATTCGCAAAAATACATCTTCGTAATATTGTTGGTGTTGGTGATGTAGAAAGTGCCTACGAGTATCGTTTCATTATTTTATTATTTTATTTTGCGTGAATTGAGTGGCTTTGAGAAATTTGTAAGTTTTAATGTTCCTTTAGATTGTACCGCGAAGCACTTCGTCAGTCTGCCGTGGATCCAACAACAGGGCGTGTTGATGTTAATATTCTTACTGCAGGTGTTACTGCTAGAACTCGGAAATTAATTGAACAGTTGGCTGATGCAATTCAAACGGAATTAATTCCTCACCATGGTATTTCAATTGCAGCAAATATCGTTATGACTCAACTTCGACAAAAAAATTTTGTTCGTGTTTTTATTTCATTTTTTACAAGTGCGAGAATAGTAGTTTTTCAATGGAAATAGATTTAATCACTGATGCAAAATATTATATTAAATACAAAGTCAATATGATTATTTTTTTCATTACTTATGCTGATTGGATTTTCTTCCCTTTCTACTGGTTCATGACTAAGTAATGAATGTCAAGAGCATTCATCATATCAAGCGGTTTTTTCTTTTATTTTACATTCGTTACACTTGTTTGTTATCAGTTTTGTGAGTTTTTATTATCTTTTAATTATTATTGTTTATGATGAAATCACCTGTTTTTGTAAAAAGACTAATTTTTAATTTTTAAGACAATATTTTATGAAGTTTTTCAGTCTTTCACTAAGGAATTATTCGATGATGCAGTTGCTGAACTTATAAAGAAAGAAATGCTCGTTCGAATCGGTGATAAACTACGGTTTGTTGGTCCTAAATAAGTTTGATTTATGTGATTTGATTTATGATTTCTTGTTCATATTCACTCATATAATTGTTTCCATGTTGAAGGGATTGCTCATATACATTTTCACTGCTATTTTTGTCAAAATTTTGTTGAATAAATTGAAAATTATTTCTATGACTTTTGTAAATATTCTTAAGTTGCTAAAATTTTTGTTTTTGTTTTTAATAAAAATTATATTTTTTTATAGCAATGGTTGCTGTTAAACATGGTCAGAAACCAGTCATTTTGCAGTGAGAACTAAATGAAGAACTCACCTAAACTTTTCTTTCCACATGATTCTATGGTGACAACCATAGTCGTCTCGCTTTGGAGTGAATAGAGCTTCAGCTTAGGAGAATGAATCAGATTAGAAAGTACCTTATTACTCGGAGATTAAGAAGAGAGGAAGAGAAATATGAAATGATGTGACATAATTACATTGGATTTTTGCTCAAATTTTAATACTGATTATGGTTGATGGTTCCACCGATGGTACAATGCTCGAAGATTTTGTGCTCGAAGACACGAGAAGTGTGCTGCTGGTACTGCAAAACCATGGAAGGCTGCTGGCCGCGGCTGTGAATTGTTTTGGGAATTTGCAACTGCAGATTTAATCTTATTGTGTGGTGAGACTATCTTTTGTCGAAGACAGTTGTGATTGCTTGCTTATCAGTAATAAGAAAATGGTTCCAGGCCTGATGGAGTATTTGGAAGCTGCCTGGGACCATTTCCTCCTCCACTGTCTAAAGCGGTGTCTCAGTGGCAATCCAGCATGAATAGAACAGTATTTAAATTTATAATATAAAATAATATTGAAATTTACAGATGAAATTGTTTTATTCGATTTTATTTTTTATAATTTTAATGATAATCAACGCAGAACGTGAGCAGGTGCAGCACGGTGCAGCAAGTGCTAAATTTCGCTCTGAGCATATCTCACATGGAAGGCATAATCTGGAATCGGATCATCAAGCAGTCTTAGGTTGATATTTGAGAGAGGGAGAGGAATGGCAATTGCTCGCGCTGAGTTATTCTCTATTTCCCCATACTCTGTTTTCAGGATCTAAGAAAATGGCGAGTGAATTTGATGAATTACCTCAAGATGAATCAAAAAGGCGACTTGCAGTTATTGCTCATCGGATGGACACAAATGGTGATAATTTCATCGATGAATTTGAGCTTAGCGACTGGATACATAGGTTTTTATTCTTGAATTTATATGGTGGTGAAGAGATAGTTTTTTTGTTATCATTTATCACTTTATTATTTCCTGTTGTTTTTAAAAATTATAGCTAATCATTTTACGATAATAGTTCTATATTTTTCGTCGAACTATTTGGGTCTAATTGAAAGAGAAACCGAAACTGTGAAATAATCAGAATCGGTAGGTAAAATTCACATTCGAAATCTGCTAGCGTCGATGTTTTTTATTATAATTATAAATTTATTTCAACCTACCTTTTTATAAAATTATATTAAAAACTTAAAACCACTCTCTATTGTAGTTGGTACTGAAATTTTAATAACTTTATCCATGAAATCCATGTTATGCATGTGTTGAATTTGTGTTGGACTGTGAATATGTTGAAGTTATTTCAGGTCAATGTTATCAGTAGATAAGGAAGAAACAGATGAACGATTTGTTGAGATGGATTCGAATAGAGATGGATTTATAACTTGGGAAGAATATATTGGTGATGCTTATGGTGATTTGAGTGGTTCCTATGCGGTATTTCTTTAGTGATTTTTTATTCTGAATATATTTTCATATATTCTTATTTTATTTATTTTTTCTATAGTTTCTCTTTACAGTTTATTTTAAGATGGATGTAGAAGATGAACGTTTAATGCGCGAAGATAAAAGTTATTTTGAAGCGGCCGATCGAAATCATGATGGAAAATTATCGGCTGAAGAGTTCGACTCCTTTAATAATCCGGAAAATCATGAATTCATGCATGATACTCTCATTAAAGTACGGTTTTAAATTCATTCATAATTTTTTTAAGCATTCTGAACGTATTTTTAACCATTCGGCATTGTTTTATGATATATTTATAGTACATTTTATTGCATCTGTTTAGTAAAAATTTATTTTCTAAATTATGTGAATCGTTTCGCGAATACAGATGACGCTGGCTGATAAAGATGCAAATAATGATGGAAAAATCGATCTTTATGAATTTCTCGGTGAAACTCGTATAGATTCGAATTCTGAGTGGTACGTAGTTGAAAAAAATCGCTTTGAAAACGATTATGATGTAGATAAAAATGGTTTTCTTGAAGGAGTCGAAATTACAAATTGGTTAATTCCTGATTTAAGGGCTACCGCTCAACAGGTGACTTTGAATTTTTAAGCAGTTGATTTTTTAATTTTAATTTTTTTGATTAATTTTTTTTTGAACGGTGGGTAAAAAGAAAATTAAAACATTTTTTTACAAGGAAAAAATGAATAACAAATAAAAAAAAGTGGTAAAACAAAGAATAAAGGCAATAATTCAGGAATAATTTATATTTCGGACTTAAATAAATTCATATGACTGAAAAAAATGATTAATTTTTACTGCAGAGTATGTAAATTATTTTTATTGTTAGTTATTGTAACATTAACGTTAATATCAATTATCAATTATTTGTTTGTTGTTATTTACTAGCTATTATTTATTATTATACTGCCAAGAATAGCTAAAATAATATACAGATTTCTCAATTTCCCAGGATTCTGGTAGAGGGCTCGAGGATGAGGATGATCCTTATTATCCACAGGGGATGAGAAAGAGATTTTTTTATTATATAGCCGAAAACCGATGATTTTGTGGTTTTGATTACTTACTGTGTAATCTTTGTCATTATTATTTGTTATTATTATTACTTATTATCGTAAATTATTTTTATTACTTATTTATATAACAGGCAGGGCGTGACGCAGTGCGCTACATTTGCATTAAAAAAGAGCATAAGTAATAAAAACAATATAGTACATTTTCGCGCGATACAACTACAGCTGACCTAACTAATTTCAAGCGATTTGATAGCATTCTCTTTGATAATTTTCTATTTAATTTTCTATTAATTTGTTAAAAAGAAAATTAAAACATTTTTTTACAAAGAAAATGAATAACAAATAAAAAAAAGTGGTAAAACAAAGAGTAAAGGCAATAATTCAGGAATAATTTATATTAATTTATATTAATTGTATAATAAATAAATCACCGGTACAATACCTAAAAGCTTTATCGAATTGAATAATTTACTATGAGAAATTGGTTCAGAAGTTTTAGCAAGTTTTAAATAGCAATGATTGTTTTACCCAATTCCTTAGATTCAAATCAGTAGTACAAATCGAAAGTTGTGAGGCCTTTTTTATAAAAACCATGTTGATAAACTGAAATTAAATATTATGAATATCTTGAATATCTTTCATGGTGATCAAATAAATTATGACAGATTCTTTTATTTTTTTTATTAGTTAATTATTATTCTAATTATTGTAAGATATTCATGTTATTTATTAATTACAATTATTTTTTCTTATTTTTAATTATTTTATTGTGAAAAATTATCATTATCATTGTTGTTATTTATTACCATTAATAATAATAATAGATGATAATAATAAATAATAATAACAGTAGCAACTGCTCTTAAAATTTTCTTTATAAATTTGAAATTCAGGAAGCTGAACATTTGATCTCTAATACTGATAAAAATGGTGATGGTCGTTTAACGATTGATGAAATCGTTGCTGAATATGCGTTATTTGTTGGTTCAGAAGCGACAAATTATGGAGAGAAACTCAATGAAGTAAGCCATGATGAACTTTGAAACAAGTGAACCAATTTTAATTTGTTTCAGTTCAGTTTTATCAGTTTTATTTTCTTCCTTTTTTCGTGTAAGTTTAAAGGATATAAAATAAAGAAGGCATAAAAGCTGTGTTACTCAGTCACCCATGTGCATAAATGACAAAACTTCTATGGGTAACAAAAAATTTTGAATTTTGCTGGTTAACATTACCATAAATCTCATTCTAGTCACTAATCTTGAAAACCAAAAAATCTCTATTGCAATAATACTTTAATTGTACTTATATACCTTTTTTACCCTAATTACTACTTATTTGTATTTTTTATAATGATTGTATGATTAGTCCATTCATTTTTTCGCTATTTTTATCTATTTTTCTAATATTTTTATCAATATTATGTGTATATTCCACATATGCCATTTGTGTCATTTTTTAAAACAAATTTCAATGTTTCTGTTTTCATATTTTGATCATTTAAAATGAATTATTAAATATATATATTATTTATGAAAGACTCATAAAATACAATATTACCATTAAGTGTGTTGAAGTGTGTCCAAATAATACAAAACACAAATTCCTAATCAACACCACAGAAAATATCCGAATTCTCAATTGCAGTGGTCAATTTTTCTCGTAATTCTTGAAAAGTATGATAAGGTGGTAAATCCATACGATTGAAACTAAAATATAACATGAGTACTGCAGAAAAATTTGAAAATTTTAAATCTACAAACTACAAACTAAAACTACAAACCAAGTATGAGCCCTTGGCAGCATATCTGGATTGCCCCATTTTTCAATGGTAAATTTTTGAAGACCATTTGATCCGTAGAGTTCACAAAAACCATTCATTGGTACTCTTGATGTGCCAGTAACAAATTGTAAGATGCGGGCTCGCATTTCGTTGTCGAATAAAAGAATACATTTCCAAAAATTATAAATTACCTGAAACTTCCATTTCATGCCATAAACATTTCGACACAATATCGTTCTGAAGTGATAACAAAATGCTTTTTGAAATTTAAAGTATATTTTATTTAAATATTAATGAAACTGCCAGAACTGCCCCTATAGAAGGAAACAATTTTTATATATGGCCAAGATTTTGAACCAGAAAACCAAAAACCTGAGTCACAATGGACTGCTCCCCCATCTAATCGATTTTAATTATTTTCCTTGATATCTCTTCATACCTCGTCGCACTTTCTCTTTAACATTTTCGAATCTTGCTGTATATTACTTCCATTTTTATCATCTCCACTATAAATCCTAACCTTGCAGTTCTCTTTACCTTGCAATCCGTTACCTTGCGATACAGCTAATAGGATCCAAATGAATTAAAATTTATAATAAATTATAACTAACATTAATACTGAATAAGAAGCCTATCGTAACAACGGGGCTGGAAAAAGAAATATTTTAACGAGTTGATCTGGATAAGTTCTAATAATAGCGTCAGAAATTTAAAAGAGTTTATAATATTTAAGGAAGTGTATAAAGCGGTATATTTAAAATGGTGTTTAAAGCGATGTTATTTCGGTATTACGATATTTCAATTAACAGGAATACTTATGAAATATGAAATATTATATATCGAAGTAGAATGAATGACAACAATAGCTAACAGTGGGAAATTATGGCAAAATATAGGAAAAAATTTATAATTCTATTTATACTGTATAAGCCTAATAGGCTTAATAAATATCTAAAATAAATACGCCCTCTGGTGAAATCAAACACTGTGCAACATTTTCTCAAACAAACAATATGTTGGAGATTCATAGTACCATGTATCTAATACGATTTCCCAATCTGGTGGGGCCCTAATGACTTTTTATCGTAATAAAAATATTACAATAGAGTGGAAAATTAATCTGAAATGAAAATGAAAGAATTCTATTGATATCAAAGTGCTAGATGGTTTATTGCTTTCATTTAGAATCAATAAGAAATACCAAAATTTTAATTAAAGACTGTGAATTTCCCTTATTCTTCTTTATCTTGGTAATGGCTAGGGAATCATGTGTAATATCTTAATCGCAAATGAACTATTGAGAATATTGAAGATTATTTCATCTAACTTCAAACTACTAACTGGATGATTCGATGAATAACCTCCTTTATAAAGAGTGTTATCTTTCCAATCTTTTACATCGATATCTTGTAAACCGCACATTAATAATTCCAATTCATTTGGATCGAAAATTGATAACAAATTTGAAGGAATAAGATCGTGAATTCCTTTAACTAAACTATACATTTGCTTTTGTACACGACTAACGAATCGCCAATAAATTATCAATTTTATATATTCGAGTTTGTTTTCCTCAGTGACTTTTTCCTCAGAACCACCTTTACGAAGTTCCACAGTTTTTGTCTGAAAAACAGGATTATAAAAATTTAAAAAATGCAAAATTCTGTTAATGAATATTTTTACAAAAAAAACTTACTTGACCATAAATTTCCTCATCAACCGCGAAATATAAATCTAAATCTGTTGGATCATTTTCTTTAATATAGATAAGCGAATTAAAATATTCATTATCTACAGACTCCATATCAGTTAATGCGATAGGTTTTCCCAAAATCATCTTATAGAATGGTCTGATAAAAAATGCTGGAAATAAATAAAAATGAAATGAGATGAAAAATGTTGACTTTAGATTTTTCGCCTGTTTTGGTCTATAGATAGATGTTGAGTTTTTTTAGAGCATTGCTCACAATTTATGCTCATTCCGTTCGCTTGTTGGACGAGACAAATACGCAGTCCCTCGGTGACAGAAATGCAGGTGAGTCGCTAGCATCATCCGAATTTGTGAAGAACAGGCTTGTTTCTGCCGAGAGAGAATAGAACTCAGTATCAGTAATCTCGAACTCCACTCTTCTTTGGTTTCTCAGCGTGGTGCGCAGGTCGGATTCGAACCCATGCCCCAATTATCAGTGGATTATCTTACCTCTTCTCTCTCAGCCACCAAATCACAAATGTTTAATAAATGACTTTTAGCAATCGAAAAAGACAATGAATACCGTCAAGAAGCTTTCCGTGGAATAAGGCGATACCAATTACTCGACCGATGAAATAGAAATATGAAAGATGATCAGGATTACAAGTCTCGGAATGAGGATTCACTTGCAAAGTATAATTATCACTGAAAATTTGATTTTCAAAGCATAATATAATTTTTCCAAAATTTGAAGAAATTCATTGATTGAGCCATAGAGTCTTCAGGATTTAAGATTTACGTATTTTTTAAAGAAAAAGAAATTATTTATTTATTCTTCTTCCAATAACATTTATCATTTCCGATTGATTCCATTAAGTAATAGAATGAGATCCTTATGCAAGAAAACCATACAGAAAGGAAGTAGTTGGATCTCCTCCACCATTTCATTGTTAGTGGAAAGTTAACACAACTACAAAAAAAAAGTACTAACGTCGCTGAATATTCGAATAGACCATAATATGGATTAAATATGTGGTGCGAAAGGAGATAGAACCATTCGCGAGCAACACCACCGTAATCCAAACCCGTTTCTCCATCAAATTCAATCCATAGTTTTGCTTTTAAATGATGCGATGTTGCCTCCATTATTTGCCTGTATCAAATTTATCGAATGTAAAAAATTGAAAATTAAAAAAATTGATTTTTAAATGCTAATAAGGAAGTTTACCTGAAAGAATCTTCGAATACGTGGCTCCTACGAATAGAAAATTCACATTTTCCGCTAGAAATAGCTTTAGCTAAATGTACTCTAAAATACTCATATTTTCGCTTATAATCGCGAGAATATGGCACTGCAGGTCCGGTCATTTTTGAATTCTCAAAACGAGGATCCTCCCACTGTGTATGTCGTGTATTATGATCAATAAAAAAAATTCGACCATCAACATGGACACGTTCTTCCCATCCATCTGGTAACCTGCCTAATTCATCGCTAACTCGGCCTGAAATTCAAATATAATTCAAAAAATCAGACAATTATAGCTGATCTCTATAATGAATCTCCATAGAAATTACTCACCCGTAATGAAAATTGACGAATTTTTGCCACTGCGTGGATCGGTCCAAGTCGTAGTTTTATGTATATGATCAATAAAAAATAGTCGACCATTTGGTGCAACTTGAATATCCCATCCTTCTGGCAAAGGACTATCATCATCATCATCATTATCACCATTAGTTTCATTACGACCACCGTTCAAAAAATTTTGGCTCAAGCGCTTTTGTAGCTTAAATATTTGAAGATAAATACTCATAAGAATCAATTTTTAAAATATTATTTTCCTCCATTTCTCTTTTTAAACTAGAAATGAACAACTTTAACTACCGATTTAATCTGCCACCTATCGACTTAATTTACAGAAATCATTTGGATCAACAAACACAAAAATATGGTTTTTTGCAGTTATTTTAAAACTTACATTGTTAATATCATGTCGTACATTATTCCCAGATAAAACGTTTTGTCGAGCTTCATATCGCTGTCGATTCATATGTTCTCTGATAGTATCATCGATCGATTCATTCGTATTTGATCTTGTTTAAAATGAATTAAATGTACCAGAGTATACGATATATACGATATTAAAAATGAAGTCAATTAGCATGACTGCTACAAAACAGCTCTATCCAACGGTCATAAACCTAATAATTACTAAAAAGGTGGAAACGCATTAAGTACATTTTCACAGACCGCATGTTATAGTACAGGATCTATCGTACATATAAATTTTTGAATGGAAGAAATTTTATATTCTAATTCGAATTTTAAAGAATATTTCGAAATTAAAGATAAAAAGAAACGACATACTGGACATCAGGGCGATTCCACTGAATAGTACGTGTTAAATGGTTGACATAAAATGATCTCCCATTGGCATCTTGCCTTTCCTCCCATTCTACCAAAAAACAAATAAAAACATCGAAAAAAATTGAAAGAAACATCAATTTTGGCATTAATATAAATTCCTTTGAAAATAACTAAAAAGAGATAAACATACCGGCAGGAAGTGCAGATGCTTCATTTAAATTACGAGGAGTGTTTACAAAGGAATCCGAAGAATGATTACTATCTTCATCTGGTGAAAGGCTAACTGAAGAATGGCTTGTGTCGCGAAAAAGATATGAGAATGATAAGCTAATAGAACCACTGACATGTGATCTTTCCGAGCGTGGCTGAAGAGGGAGTGATTTTTCTGGGACAAGGACCTGTGGGTTCTCCCGAGGAATATGAATACAAGAAAGATCGAGCTCGACCATTCCAAGAAAATCATCGCGAGTCTGAAATATACCACCGCTTAAAATATTTAAGGAAAAACTTGTAAAATCTATCAAAAATTATTTTAATTAGTTAATAGCCAGAAATCTGTAAAAATTGAATGTTTACAGCATATAAATACAAAATATACAAAACGCACGAGCAATTTGAAAAGCAAGACTAGAAAGTTCAAATCGCAACCAACATCGACTCTTTTCTTGAAGGAATTTTTCTGCAAAGATCCCCTAACGCTTACCGCTTTGCCTTCAAGACGGAGCCACATCTTAGAGCATACTCATTCACTCGCTAGCAAGATCTATCTTGGGGAATCAGGAGAATATAAATGTAAGTGGTTCTCTGAGATTACAGCAAATGTTGGATAAACAGGTTACTCTGATGACAAGTGAGCTATTGGTTATAATGGAAGACAAATATGACACCTAACGGCGAGTTAAGAACATTAACAGCTAGAAAGTACATAATCCAGACCAGATATCTAATGGTTAAAACAACAGTGCATAAACGTCTAAAAGACCAACGGAACCAGCAAGTTTCCACCTAGATTTGCTAATACAAAGAAGGACAGTACTGATCAGGAAAACATCTAAAGAAAAAATCGCATTACATAACTGCTGGTGAATAACCTGTCACCTGTCTTCTTCTCACAACCTTACCAGAACGCCATACTATGAGAATAATTCAAAAGAGCACGGGGAATAATACCAAAGGCTCAAAACAACAGCAACTGGAAAACAACCAACAAGACAAAACCAACGCAAAAGAACTTGTATAAGTGACCACCAAGAGCAAAATACAGAAAGTGATGCAATATCCCGCTGTTGTTCTGCATACATTTAAATTCCTTAGCAAGGCGTAAAAAGTGGCATGGGTACAAGTAGTACAACAGTGGAACCACTGTTCTCCTTTTCATATTTCTTTCGCAGATGACATTAAACTGCATGATAAAAATGAATCGATTCCCCTCATCCATGTAATGCGAATCTACAATAAGAGGACAAGGATACCTTTAAGATCGAAGAAAAATAGGACTATCAGCGAGCACAAACCAGACATATGGACTAGCCACAAATATTTGATGATATCCCACAGCCACGTGAGAACACCATGAAGAAAAAGCAAAAAACAATATCTAGACACCACCAAAGGACAAGACATTCTCGAAAAGCCATTTCGACAAAAGAATAAAGGCCGATAATGCGACGATGCACACGATCATCATAGTATATATAGATTGCGCCCCAGGTAGCCAGCTAGACATTGAACCAATAGAGAAAATGGTAGATAGAACTTGGTGAAGCCACTATCTTGAAAGAAATGTGGAAAATGAAGAAGTACAGCAGTAAGATGGTGTCCAAAGATGAGCTACTGAGAGAATGTAGCAGAAAACATAGGAAAAAAAGTGCCATAAGACCCTGAACTGGATATAACATCGAAAATTGTTGACGAGATTGAGAAATCCTATCAATAGCTAGAATGGCTGATGGTATATGGACTAGGACTTCTCAAGGCCAGATGGAAGGAGTGAGACAATAGAGCTAATAAAAGAGATTTGTAATAAAACAAAAATAAGAGACTGGAAGAAACAAAAGAATGTAAAAATGTCAAAATGGTTTGAATGGTGATAGGAGCGCACTCGGACCTTTCTAAACTATAAAAGGCTTCAATTTCAGGAATATCGAAGATCTCTAGATATCGAAGATCCAAAAGGGTAATAATGCAAGAACTCAAAACAGCTGCTACGACGGGTAGAACTTTCAGACCAAGAACGGGAGCCAAGGTTGAAGAAGATTCATACCATCATTTAGAGATAGGAAGAAAATTTTTTCATCAAAATAATCAAAAATTTTTTCAGTAAAATTAAAGATAATGATGGACAATTCGATTTTCATCGAAGATTTGTATTGAGAGGAAACAGTTACGTCGCAGCACTCGAAAAATGAACTCTTCGTTCCATATTGGGTTTCTAGTCTAAAATAATAATCTTGAAGATATAAAAAAATATTAAGTATTATTAACTATTAAACAAAAAAGTAAAACGACTGTACCTGAATCTCTTAAAAAAATTCTTTATATCCAAAACTTTAGCGGCTGTCAAATGAGTCAAGTAGAGAATTTAAATTGAAATATATATATATATATATTTGATAACTTTAAATACCCGCCTTTTTAATGGTCCTCGTTTGTGCTTTATCCACAACATGGTCATTTTTATAAAGATATATTCGGACATATGGATCACTCACACCAAAAATATCCTTCTTCATTAAGTTAGTTCCACTCAAAATTTTGATTCGTAGTAATTCAGTATTCTGGAAATGGGATTCATGAATTTTTTATGGGATTCATGAAGATATAATTTAACAAAATAATTCAATCTGTGCAATTTATATTATTTTAATTAATATTAACATTTAATTAATTTTTAAATAACAAAATGATAATTAAAAAATAATTTAAATAATATATTTTATATAATTCATTATATAAAATAATCAAAATAAATAATTTTATTAAAATCCAATTCTATCAATATTTAAGCAAAGAAAAAATTTAAAAATCAAAATTTAAAAATTTTTATAAGATTCTCTATTTTCAATTTTAAAAAATTATCAAATCACCACACAATTTCGAATTAAACGAGACGAGTTATTTTTCGGCTCTTTTGCGATTTAATTTTACCTATGGTACCTCGTTGGTTGAATTTATTAATTGACACTCCCCACCGAAAGAAAGGATCGTTGCCTAACATTAAGTAAAGCTAGTTTACCAAAAAAATAAAATGAATAGACCTGATTACCAGCTGATTCATTAGTAATTCCGTAGATATGCGTTGATGGATCGATTTCATACATCCACTATAATTTTATGATACAATTTTTCCTATAAAACTTTACAAGAAATTTTAAAAAATTCAAAAAATTATATAGGGAAAATTGTAGAAAAAATTTAAAAACAAAAATTTTTTCCATAAAAAATTTCCTTCTGATTTAAAAACTGAAAATTTAGAGCAAAAATGGATGATATCGCATGCGAGTAAAAGTAATAGCAATATGAAAGAAAAATAAGACATTCTTGATAAAATATGAAAAAAATCAAAAGGTTTTCTATGACAACAGTGAGGAAGAACCTAATTATAAGCCTCTCGGAATCGTCAGTGCACGAATGAATTAGTTTTATAGACAAAACAGGGCGACATGAGACGAGAACCGACCATTGCTTCGAACTGTTAAGAATAGAACAATTTACTGCAGCCAAGACTAATAAAGCCAAATAACAAAAACAAGCACTATACATTTTGTATTATCAGATTCTTAAATAGTCTATGCAGAACCAATAAAAATATATATTCAAAGAGAATTTGAAGAACAAATCTTCGGATCAGTCAATACGTAGGACCTAGAATATCTAGGAGAGCAGCAATGCTATTTTGGGTAAGGTTGGACAAGTACCATGACCCTTGTCTCCCGATGAGAAAGAAAGATTCCCTTTAAAAGTGATTGGCGCTGACGGTTCACTTATGTCTCCGGCAAAAGGGTTAAATAATTAGTTCGATAACAATTTTTTTAGTAAAACAAATGAAAGCGAGCAATGAAAACAACAGAAAATGAACGGAGAAAAATATTAGTGGAAAAATAGGAGATATGAAAAAAAGATACCCAAATAGTGCAATCAACTGACCCAATTGCGACGGTAATATAAAATGTTAGGCAATGAAAGCTCTAAGGCACTCAAAGCTTGAGCCAAGAGACCCAATAACTAAAATTATCAACTTAACTAGCACAAACGACCAGCAATAATTTCCATTTCCAGTCGAAACTTCCTAATCCTTTGAAAGCGTTCTGGCCATCTTTTTTTTATAAATTTCATAAATTTCGCAAGCAAGCAGCAAGTCACTCGGCGACAGAAATACTCCTTGGCCACCAGCATCACTCGGATTTTTGAATAAGTTTACTCGTTCGGGGTAGCAGAAGCGCAGCACCCTAATTCCAGAACGAGAACAACAATCCTCCCTCAGCCCATTCTCTATTATTTAATTTAGTTCATTCCATTCACATAGACACATTTTGAAGAATTATTTTAAAAAATTATTGCAAAAAAACTTTCATATTAGACGAAAACTAGAGAATTAAAGAATGATTAAAGCAAAATTTAATTATTTACAAAATAATGAAAAAAATAGATATTAAATCTTCCTAATTTAAAAACATTTGAAAAAAAAATTTCCTTCAGGAAAGTTCCATCAAACAAGATAAACATTTTCAGCAAAAATTTTAATTCAAAAATCGATATTTTTATAAAATAATTTCAAAATTATTTTGATTTTATTGTATCGGAAAATTGAATATTACAGTCGAAAATATGCATTTAAATCATAAGAGGTTTAAGAGGAAACCTGTTAAGAGCTTAATGAGCCAGTAAAACAGCATGAAAGGATTTGATGATCTGCTTAAGAACGTTTCGAATACCAAATTGCTAATCACAGTTTATAAGCAGAATTCTAAATAAATAAAAATTCGTCTCTTTCTAAACAATTATAAACCATTAATTTCTTCGATAGCGATTAAACTGAGACAAAGTAAACGTTTCATAAATTTTGTAAGAATTCTTTTGTAAGAAAAGAATTTTGTAAGAAGAAATTTTGTAAGAAATCGCCGTAATTCATTATTTTTTAGGGAAAAAGGAGAAATATTAAAATAAATACACGTGAATAAACAAAACATAGATAAAATATATAATAAAATGAGCACAATGTCATAAATTATTTAGCGATACTGACAAAAAAAACCAGCCGATGATTAACATTAAAATTACAAAGAATGAAAATAAAAAGGTTAAAACTTTTTTAATTTAATTTAATCGCTGTCTGAATCCACGATGAACGTTTGTCGCTTTCTTTTTGCTTTTATATCATCCTGAATATTTTATTATGAAATACACTAGAATCGCAAGATTAAAAATTTTCGAGTTATTAAACAATAAGAACTGAGGACAAAGATGTAAATATGAATCAAAAATGAGAAAATAAAAAAAAGATTTTTCCAGAAACAATAAATCACAAAGGAAATAGAAAAAGTTCTCTGGTTTTATTGCATTTGTGTTGAAAGATTATTATTATATAAGGTTATTATGTTGAAAACCAATATTTTTAGCCAAAAGCATCATTATATTAATTCAAGAAAATCTAAAAAAATTATTTATTTATAAAATTATGTATTATATAAAATTATGTAAGAATTGTTTATAAATTAAAAATAAAATTATAAAATTATTAAATTTAAAATTTGTTAATGTAGTACTAATACTTTAGAAGTAACAAACTACTACTAGAAGGTGATTTTCAAGATCCTTTTATTTTCGAAGTGGTAGATGAAGGTAGATTTCAATATAAATATAAATTTTTGCGAAATTTGACGTTATCTTACAGCCTTTTTTACCAGCCCTAATCATAAAATTATTTGGCCCAGCTATAATCACTGCACTAAATATTTGGAACGTGTGGATGAATCCGAATAAAATAAACATAGATTTCATCGAGTAGAATAGATTTTTTCACCTAAGAAGCCACTGCTCAAATTTTTTTATCATTTATAGATTCGTTAAAAGTGAAGCAGAAAAGAATATATTTTTACGCCGCATTGGCAGAAAATATATTTCTAAATATATGACAGATCCATATCCTCACTTGCCTTTAGTCAATTCGTGAGATGCTCATTTGTAAAGTACTTTTTTCCTTTATTTGAAGATTCCAAATGTTGTTCCATATGCCACTGCTATGCTTTATGCTAAATCTGTTTCCTTCTGCAAATCCCCCACTTCTTTCTTCCAGAAGACTGCCTATATGATTTGAGGGCCGATAACTACTCGAGACATCTTGAAAGTCCATATATCCGGACCTAAATTTCTCAAACCATCCTTGCACCTTTTTTCTTACAATGCAATAATTTGGATTAACAATAAAGTGTCATACGTCAAAAACCATATTTTCCTATGCGAAAATTTAAGATGAGAATAACACATGAAAAAAAACGAAATTCGTTCTTAACTAGGACTCCGAAAAATTTAAGCACAAGGAGTAAGTTAAATAGATGAGTGCTGAGAAATCTCAAGAAACGATATACAACACAGGTTCTGTAACTGAATAGGTTAATGGAATATAATCAGTTCAATCAGTTCAAATCTGTGGAAAAAATGGAGCGAGATGGAAGTATGGAAACGAAATATGGAAAAAATAACAGAGATGGGTTTGAGATTTTTTCTAAAATGCAACAAGAAATATCGCAGTATTTCAACTTATAACGACGAGAAGAGTTTTCTATGTTTGAATATAGCAATTTTTTTTCTTCGAACACGAGTCTAACCATGCATTTTATTGTATAAGTACCACGAATGTTGTTATTAATAGAGAGGTTTATAAAATATACTGATAAAAATATTGATAACATTGAAAATATGAAGTAAAATAAAATTTAAAAAATACTTCGGGTGTATCAACAGGCCTTTTCTGCGTTTTTGCTCTTCGTAATGAACGACTACTCTGAGTTGCATCATCACTTAAAATTTCCATAACAGCGAAAAGCTCGCTGTATCGTATTCGAAGTGACGAAACCTAAAGAAATCATAAGAAATAATAACATAACAAGTGTCAAACAAAAAAAAAGATCATCCGATTCAAAATTTTAAAAAATCCTGCCTTATCGGTGGCTCTAGCCGATGTAAATGCTTCTTGCAGAACAGGACGAGCAAGGAAAAGTTCGGCAGAACGACTATCTTTTGACAAACAACTCTGCCGAAATTTGTCAAGATGTGCAAATAACTGATCTAAGCAAACATACCTGTAAAATCAATGAATAAAGCTGGTTAAATAACGAAAAATTTTGTTAAACTGTAAACTATAACTGGTTAAATCGCAAATATAAATAAAATTTAGAACGAACTTGCGAAAAATTAACTCCAAGCAACAATCAAAAAATTAAATCCTTCCCAGAATCAAAATAAAATCACCTTTGATTTGGACGCTTGCCTTTCGTGGAAGAGGCTACCAAATCACCAGACTGAATTAATTTTTCCATAAGATTAGCCAAAAGTTCAGCAACACGATTTGTATTTTCAGGATCTCTTATAAGAAGTTTTAAACAATTCACGGTGAACATATCGGCAGAAGAGCGAGAGAGAAGATTCCGTATAAGATTCATATTTGGCTCCCTATCTAATCTGGAAATATCATACAATTCAATCTTAATTCAAATCAAAGCATGTTCATTTATAGTCAAATATATTATCAAAAAAGAATCAAATAAATTCTATGCTATCGAAGAAAAAGAGAACGATCTTTCTTTAAAAGTTGGATTTTATCCAAAAAAAAGTCTAAAATTTAGAAAAACCTCTGCAACAGAATATAGATATGCGTAATCGCTTCTGAGTGCTTTGGATATTGTAAACGAGGAATTATATACACAATCCAATCGAAAGGCACATTTTCTCCTAAAACGATCTGCCAAAATATGAACTGTGCTGTAGTTTCCCAGCTTAGTGAAGCAGTTAATATCGAAGGAAACGAATCTTTTCTTAAATGAATATTACAATTAATCAAATTTTTAAGCAAAAAGTTTCACGTATAAAAATCTATTGATAAACCTGAATATGGAAATGTTTTCGCGAATAAGTTCACCGATTAAATCAGATACTTGACGAGAATCTAGTGAGTGCGCCAACAGTTTGACCAAATCCACGCTAGCCATCGCTTCATTCGCAAATTTTTCATAAACAAATGTTACGAGATAGGCAAATAAATTATAATCATCGATATGACATTGCTGAAAATATGAAACTTCGTGAAATGAATATGTTTTGTTCGATCAAACTGAATTTACCATGCTTTCTTAAGTTTCTATAAATGATATGACAAAATATTTCCCTAATTTGCAACAAAATAAAAAATAAACTTTCTTTTAGGAAAAAGCAAAGAAAATAGCAAACTTCCAGATCAGCAACAATTTGTTGAATTATGGAGCGGTCGAGGATGTGACACATATCTGTATAAGATGATGTGCTGCAATCATTTTGATCACCCTGACCACAGCAAACAAATAATAATAGTAAATATGATATCGAACTGCACCTACAAAATCCATTTCTATAACAAACAAGAAATTTCTTAAGGATTTTAATTTTTTTTATCGAATAAATAATACAAAATATAAAAAAAGCTAATGAAAACAAAGATCTGTGAATTAAAGCTAAACTAACTTCTCGCTCATTTCAGCGATAATTGATAATAATGGTTGCCTAGTTGCATCGCCGTCAGATGTGAAACAAAGATTTCGAAAAATTATAAACAGAGGTTGATTGAATAATTCTTGGAGAATGCTATAATATAAAATTTTACTGAATAAGCCAAAAACAAGAATTTAAAGTAATTTTTCGTTTTAAACAAATAATTCCACAGAAAATTCACAAATTCACAAAAACTATTGCTAACTCAGGTGACTGCGCAAAGCCCTCTGGTAGTGGTTTCTTCAAACGCAAATCTCTGCCAAATAATATCAAAAGGCATTCGGATATTAATTCAATTTGTTCTTCATCCAATAAATCATCCTGAATATTACCATACCTTTTTGTAAAATATTTTTTTGGGAAAAAAAGAAAAACTTCTCGACAAAAAAAATTCAAAAATTAAAAAATTAACATTTTCAAAAATATTTGTGAGTAATTTTTGCATCATTTCACATCGACTGTCATTATCAGTAGATGGTACATTCGACAAATTTTCGATTGAATCGCGAAATTCTTCTTTGATGGCGGCTAATAAAGTCATTATTTTTTCATGACATGAATCATCGTCTTCTCGTATTTGTTCTTCCGAGATATCAATACTTGGCAAAATACCGCTGCCGACACCTTCTGCTGATATGATTGACGTGCTATCTGACATTGGAGCGGTGGATGACTCCGCTTCCAAATTAATTATCGATTCTGGTTCATGATCATCTGGAAAAAAAAATAATTTGAACATAGAAATAATTTGCACAAAATATATCGATGAATGAATAAATTGTAGTTTTAGTCAATCTTAACGTACGACTATCAAAATACCTGAAGAACTTGGCAATTGTTGTGGAACTGACTGTCGATATAGACCTTTAAAAGTTTCTCGAAAAATATCTCTAACATTTTTTTGAAACAGTGCATTGTCGATAACAAATGATATCGGCCTATAAACTGATGAGAGCGAAAACATAAAAATCGTAAAATCTTATAAAAAGTTAAATATATAATGCTAGAATTTGCAAAATTTTTAAAAAATGAGAAAATTTATAATATAATACGCGAAAATTTAAACACCACAGGTAAATCTTTGACAATGCTCGAAATTAACCAACCCAAGTACATGATGTTCACCGATAATTTTAAAAGCATTTGTCACTGAATTGATTATACGATTTTGTAATGGTGGATGCAGCTCGGTGCTCATCTCAAAAATTTTATTTAAAATTAAATCAAGGAAAAGATAAATTTCTACCAGCATGATTTATTTAATATTTTTCAGTGATTTTCGACAAAACTAAATTATTTTGATAATTAAAGAAAATAAGAATGAGAAAAAAAATGATACTCGAACTAAGAAGTCTAACAGAGAATTCGCAAGCATGGGTTGTACGTGAAAAAGATTGCGAAGTACTGCGAAACCAGGTTCTAAATTTAAAAAGTAAAAATAAAAATAAAAACATGCAAGGTAGTCTCTATATATTATAAAAAATTATATCAGCGAAAAAAATAAATAAAAAGAAATAAAGAAATAAAAAATATTAAAAACCTATTAGAGCTTGACCTCCAGTTGCAAAATCGAAACAAAACCAATCCCAAAAGAGCTGTAGTTTACACCACTGTAAATCCACTAATCCCTATAAAAATAGTCTTAAATTCTTGAGAAATATGGACAAAATATGTATCTTATAAAAAAGTTCCGGAAAAATATTGATACTTCACTCTTACAAATATGAAAATAAAAATAAGGGTAAAGCAACTTCCCCGACAACTTACACTATTCTGATGAAGTAAAAACGTGATAAATAATGCTTTCATGTCAAGCCCATGCGGTGAATCTCCCCATGATGTAAATAAAGCAGCTCGCACCAATTCAGCACGAAGACTTCCTGAGTCTGCGTTAGCCAAGTGCTAGAAGATTTATTTGATATTTATTTGATAAACAATTGCATAATTTAAAAAATTCTGGGAATATGTGTATTAAACGAATTAATAAAAAAAAAAATGAACCAAAAATCAAAATGAAGCAAATGAAGCAAAAATATTATTACCTGCTTTTTGAACCATTCAAAATGCTTTTCATGCATACCGGGTTTCATTTTACCAAATAAGAAGTCCATTTTTCTTTGCATTGTGACACATATTCGATAAGTTGGAAGATTATACGCGCAAGGACGAGCCATTAATTCTTCAACACCTTTAAAATAAAAAATTAAAAAAGCATTAAAAAACAGAAACGAATAAAATTTTCGAACGGAATTATTAATTTTTACGAAAAAAAATTTTGTCTAAATTCTAATAATAATATTCAGTTTAAGTATATAAAATATATATTAAATATAAAATATATATTTAAATTTAAATTTAAATATAAAATATATTTTTACCAGCGAAATTATGCAATAATTTTGAAGGAGAATAAAGAAGGAGCCTCCAAATGGTAGTAAATTGAGGTATTTTTGATAATCGCATCAGAACAAGAAGAAGATCACGGCCAAGTTGCATGCAATCGACAAATCTTTCTTTCAACAACCAAATACATAAAGTTATCATTTGTATACGCAGTGATTCATATTGTTGATGTACACTTAATTCGCTGATAAACCTATAAACTTATGCAACTACAAGATAAATTTATGATTCAAAATTGAACCAATTTGAATTTTGATAAAGTTTACTACCTTGCGAAAGTATTTAATGCAACAGGAATCATTGAGGCTTTCGGTTTCAATCCACTCAGCCAGGCATAATTATCGTTAAGAATCCCAACGGCTGCTGATAATGTTACACAAATATCCTTCAAATCAGCACCTAAAGCTCATTCATCAATAATTCTATATATCTGCACATTTCCATAGAAAATAAAGAGATTTTTGTATTATTGCGCATAAACAAAATTTTTCAAAAGAATTCAAATTAAAAAAATTAACTAACCATCATTGGCATTTCTAATCAAATTTATAATAACATTATCAATTTTTGGAACATTTGATTTAATAGCTTCACGAAAAAAGAAGAAAATCTGTTCACGAACTTCAGTTCGTAATTTTGGATAAAGTTCAAATAAAACCATATTAATATTGCACAAAGCACAAAACCATCCATCATTTGTAACAATGGAAAATAATGAAAAATACTGAAAATTTTTTTGTAAGAAAGTATCGATGGAATAATTCAAACAATTTAAATAATATTCTGAGATCGAAAGCAAAAGACGAAAACGAAAATTTAAAAAAAAAAAACCTTTTGACCATTGTGAGGTTCAGTTAATAAACCATATATAAGGCCACAAATTACATGATCCATCGACTGCTAAATTTTTATTTATAGCAATGAAAATAAATTTTTACTATAAACGATATACCTTAAAAGGCTTGTGGATAATATATAATATAATAATATAAACCACAAATAATAACAGTTCGAAGTAGATCTGAGCAGTATCTATACCTATATGAATAAACGATGGGAAATGGAGGGAGTTTCGGTTTAAATCATTTTCACTGCCAATAGGTGTTTTCACTATACTCTAACAGTCAACTTTCTAATTTCTAATATTTCTAATTTACCATATACTGTAATGAAACCATTTTCTAATTTCTATAAAAAGACATAAAAATTATTTCTTTAAATAATAAATGAAATAAAATTGAAAAATGAAACTAACAATTATAGATAATTATAATGAAACTTATTCCCGAGAGAATCACCTGGGAAAATAGTTTGGATTCCACTTTTACCCTCCTATTAAGGGGCACAAATCGAATCCTTGCCTTTTAGCGGAGGCCATATACGACTCAACTACGACAGCCGAAGTAGACCATATATTATGGTAGCACTCATATTATTCCTCCCAGTGGAAAAATTTCCGATAATCATACACTAAGATAAGGTTTGAAATAGTAAAGTAAATAATATTAACTACGTACGATTTAAAAGAATGAAAAGAATGAAAACCTTCTGTTCGGAAATATATTGCAGTAAACTATCGTATGCTTCTTTTTCTGATAAATTAGCAATTCGACTTTGGACAATATTGAAACCATTTTCTAATTTCTATAAAAAGAAATAAAATTATTTCTTTAAATAATAAATGAAATAAAATTGAAAAGTAAAACATTTATTATTTAATAGTATTTTTAACGGTGTTTTCCATCTAAATATTTAGTTTAATATTTTCATGCTTAATTTACTCAATACTTTATCGCCGCCAAAAGCAAATCTGTTTAGGGAAATTCTGGAAAATGACGCTGGCGCCTCACTTCTCTCGCCGGGCAAACTTTGTGGCCCGACAAAGGCCACTCCGAACGACTCCCCGGCCAAATTCTCCTGGTTAGTTAAGCCAGCGAAGCGAACCGCAAATGGCGAAAGCTCTTCGAAAAAAATTACAAAACTTTAAAATTTTACTTAAATGAAATTCTGAAAATGAACCTCCTCGAATTCGTCCTTTTGTTCAAACCAATTGGAATTTAGCAATTTGGACTGTTTTCTTTGTCGCACAATTGCCATTGTCCTCCCAAGGTGAATATATTTTAAATTAATTTACATTTATTCAAAAAAATTAAATAAAACGAGAGAGAAAAGTTTGGATGACTTTTGACAGACCTAAATTTTTTTGCTCCACCTACAAGAAGCATGCGTGTATAAATGCAATTCAGTGAAAGGGGTTTGTTTTTTGGAAGAGCCCTGGCCATTTCTGATTGGTCTCGTTCCCCTGGTTTGTGGTGCCAGGTTTCCCAAAATTTGTGGTTGTGGTTGTGGTTGGTCGTGGTTTTGCAGGAGACTCAGCTGCTGACAGAAGTGCCAGTATCACGCGGGTTTTTGGAAGGTAGGTTCGCTTTTGCGGGGAATTGAGCCTTGACATCTGCGCTGTAACATGCGAGCACTAATTCACCAACCATCCTCTCTCTTCGTCTCTTTCTGGAGGAAACGATCTCATTTGTCGCTTTAATTTTTTATTTACATTGCTTGCAGTTTTTATTTTTAATAATTAATATTTATGAATATTTGTTTGATTCTTTTCAATAATTTAATATTTTATTAAAATAATAAAGGTCCATCAATTTTTGAAATTTTACTTGTTTAGTTTTCGTTTTTTTAATTATCTTAAAGGAAATTATATTTTAATTATTTTTATAAAAATTTTTATAAAATAAAAATTTTTTAAATTATTTTCGCTTCTTTTAATTATTCTCTTTCGTTCTATTAAAAGTAATTTTTAATGTTGATTTTATTAATTATGTCGATAATTGACGATCTAATGAAGATAACTGCCATGAAGGATGGTTCGAATCGGCCGGCGAAAAGGGGATTAAAGCTCGTGGCTTGCTCAGTTTAGAGCGCCGAATGCTAAGGTTCTCCGTCTGACAGGAGTAAAGCTGTCCTTCGAAAATCCGGGTGGTTTTGTCTACTCAATAGTATTTCAGTGATTGCCCCATGGCAAAATTTGTCTAGTCTGACAAGCCAGCGGAGCGAACCTACTAACCAGCAGTGGTACTAGCGTTTAGGAGAAAAAACTGATAATTCTTATAGTTAAAACATCTTGCAAATGAGACTTTGAGGTAAATAATCTACTTCTATCCTCGACTTTCCGCCGAATGGGATAGGAATCGAATTTTTGGTACTTGATCTGGGTTGATGTTGGCGAGAGAAAAAAAGAACGATATATAGAGATTGTCAAATTAGTAGCTAATCCTGATCCTAAGATGTGAATCGAACTAAAAATTGGCCAGTTCTTGATACTCTTTTGAAATCCCTTTGATTTTTAATGAAATGTATGAGAGAGGTTCATGAGATTTCAAAAGGGTATTATGGTCTCGATTTGAAGAATTAAGAAGCGATAAGTCAAGTTGTGATTTTCTTCGTTGTGGTTGCGATTTCAAAAACTCGTTCTTTTTCCGCGAACACAAGTATAAGCTAACCCAACGAATTGTTATATAAATGTCGATATTTTTAACGCGTAAGAAATTTCAGAAAAGTAAGAAAAAGGTGAAGTTTTTCTGAACCGAAAATTTCTTAGATATTATGGAGCCTTCGAGTAATAAAAAGCAGCTTTATCAGTAAGTTTAAAAATTTTTTTGCTGTTCATTAATTTCGTTTATACTCAATGAAATTGATATCAGTGATAAGAGGTAAGACATATCTTTAATCAGTGATAAGAGATAAGACTTAAGACATAAGTGATAAGACATATCTTTCTTCTTCTTCTAACAGCTCTCACCATTACTGGTTAGGCTGGCTCCAACGGGTAAGACGTTTCTAAGCAGCGCGGTCTGATGTCATCGTCGACAGTAATGGAAGCCATTCCTTTTTCCATCGTCTAAGTTCATATTGCTGGTCCACCTATACGTTCAAAATATTTTCTTACCGTATCAGTCCAGGATTTGATTGACCCACCTCGCTTTTGACGCCAACCATCACATAGTTAACATAAAAACAAATAACAAATAACGAAATATGATAAGAGCATATCAGTTTTTTGATAATTTCAGGGAAATTATGGGGTATTGTGATGAAATCAAAAATTTGTTAAAAAATGAAGATCTTCATTCACCTTTAAATTCTGAAATACATACGTTACGTTTGAAGTAAGTTAATTTGTGATTTAGCCAAATTTAGTTCGTGCAGATCTTTGGTGCAGATTCGGTTTGAAGGATTTTTTTTTATTCAAGTTGAATCCTCATTTAATACGGAAAAGAATAAATTATAAAAGAAGAAAAAAAAGAAAATCGAAAATGGATACCATACTTAAGCCTTTTGCACCCTAGTATAAAGGAGTGGAATGGTTTAGTTGATTACTGCTTTCATTTCGGGATGGCAATATTGGAGTTTCAGTTCCGGCAAGAATGCATCCAGGGTCATGCAAGTGCAGCCACCCTAACCAGAAGTCTCATCACAATTTAAATTTATTCAAAAGATATTCAGCGAAGTTATAAACGAATTAAATTTTCTTAAATTTTTAATTGAAAGGGCTCTAACCAGAAGTGATGAGTCCTTTCCAAAAAAAAACGACACTGGCTGACTAGAATAATTATTTCTAACGGTGGATAGAAATTTTCAAACCTTGTTTTCCATTTCGGTATTTCCTCAAAATTCCTATCAGAAATCTTTCGCTATTCCCAGCCATGAAAACTCTTATTTTATAACTACGGCATATATCTATAGCAAGAATGCCTTAAATATTGTGCGAATTTTAATGGGTCTTTTAGAGAATTAAATAGGGATGGATAATATAAAATTGGGTTTACGAAATCAAAATGGGTTTACGGACTTTTTTCCGAAACATGGTAGTTTTTGGCTAATGCCGAAGAGTTCCGATATGGCGGACCGAGTTTGGTTCGTATTTTATCGACATTTTTGAATTATTAATGGTATAGCATCGTAACAAAATTTGTTAAAGTACCATAGATCCTGTTGCAGTTAGCGCATTGTAAAGAAATATTGATAAGGTTCTAGCGAAAGAATGCATTGGAGCTTGCTGGAGTACCATAGCTACAAACTGCGTTAAATATTTTCCTCATATTTTAGTAGTATGGAGTGTTATAAAAGGTTGCTGCTTCTTTTTTTTTTCTTCTCTTACAACTCTTACCATTACTGATTAGGCTTGCTCTAGTGGCTACTTCGCCGCTTCCAAGCGATGCCACTGTCGACAATAATAGAAGCCATTCCTTTTTCCATCGTCTAAGTCCATATATTGCTGGTCCATCTGTTCGTTCCTGAGCGTATCATTCCAGGTCTTGATTGGCCCATCTCGCTTTTGACGCCATCCATCACACGGCTTAGCAAATAACGAAATATGCGACAATTCTTGTGGTAGAGAACGCCTTATGCTTTAATCAGGGAAGGCAACGCTCTATGATAACATTATTTATGCAAGTTGGTATTTAAAGGTAGATGTGATCATGTGATATCTCATCCGCTCGGCGGATCCGTAATATGTACCTTAGACAAGAGTGGTCAAAGGCAGATAACTTCTTAATATCCTCCACTCTCATTGGCCATGTCTCAGAACCATATAGCAAGTATGCGAGCTTTCGTTTTTATGGTGATTTCATGACGGCTTCATAAAGGTTTCGTCAACTGGAGGAAAACATTTCTAGATGCCGTGATCTGGCACTGTAAAATCGTCTTTTGTTTGGCCATTTGGCATTAGAGTGGATCAAAAGTATTTAAAATCGGGCACTTCTTCGACCGGCAATGAATTACAAAAAGAGGCATTTTATCAGCTTCTCGTATATAACACGAAAAGACTTTCGTTTTGTGCACATTGACCCTGAGTCCTTTTTTTTTGCTGCAGTTTCTGAGTTTATTTAAGTATTATGTATTATCTAACAGTTTATTTAAGTATTTATACCAGATGGTAGCTTAAGGTAATGTTTTTAATGGTAAATGGATATAGTAAGGTGTGATGGGGCATTGAGAAGATAATGAAATTTCAGTGGAGTAAGAACAAATTAACAAATGTTGCATATTTTATACATGCGCAATCTTGTTTTGAGATTGTGAAAGAGTTTGAAATAAATTTAAGGATTATGATTCGAGATTATGAAGTTTGTTAATTGGGCAGCTGATGAAGCTTAATATAATATAATATAAATAGTAGCATAAGTTAAAGGGTTGTGAGAAAGGATGATGAAATCATTTTAGTGTTTTCACACACTTCCATTACATTTTCAACTTGTTCAAACCGATTTAATAGGCGATGATGAATAACAATAACAATTAATAAGGTTAATCAAAATTCCGAGAAAATTTTAAATTATAACGGTTTTTGCGGTAGGTTTATAAAAAAGGCAACTCAGACAATGTGGTAGGCTTTGGGCTATCAAATGGTTTCGGTTTCAAATGATAGATTTCTTAAGTATTATAAAGGATTTTTAAATAGTATCAACGAGGATTGTTGAGGGTTATGAATAGATTTTAATACCATAAATACTCTGTAAGATTACCATAGCGGAATCAATTTCATATGAAGACTCCAAGCGTATTATAAGGCATTTTAAAATTTAAAGAAGCGTTGTTATCTGATTTGAAAAAAGAATTTAGTTTAATAGTGTATTAAAGGTGGTTAAAGAGTTCTGTGGTCGTGGTTTATAACTTATCAGTTAAAGGTTTATAAGGTTTACTAATGGTTTATGACAAAATATGGCAGCGAAATATTTTGATGTTTTAAGTGATATTGATGGATCATTAAAGTTCCAAGGAAATTGCTAGAAAGATTATTAGATGGGTGTAAAACATTGGAACAAACATTTTCGCTGGATTTGAGAGGATTATGTTTGAGTGAAATGGAACTCTAATGAGGGGCAGAAAATGACATTTACCGGAGATTGGGAAGAATTTTTAATAAAATTGGGCTGATTTTAGAGAAAATTGATGAATGTTTTGATTTTTTTTTTTTTTTCTGACACGCATATACATGTACTAATTAATATATTCAGTCTCAATAGCAATTCTATTTTATGCTTAGAGATTCACCAATTACGGCATAGATCGTGTACTGAATTTTCATTTTTTATATAAATTTCGAAGTGACTATAATTTTCGATACAGTGGGCCTAAGTTCTTTTCTTTATCTGGATTCTTCATGTAAATCGGTGACCTAGTTTTTTTATTTAATAATTTTTTGTAATTTAGAGCATTGAAAAATCTGAAATCGCTGATAAATGATAAGTTCTATCGCCTGCAGAGTATCGACTACGTTTGGAAACATATTTATTATGAGATTATACAATTGGCTCGACGTCCGATTGATAACCAGCAAAATTTATACATGAATATGTTGATATCAGAATTTATAGCCGAATTAACGAAAATAGCAATCGAATTCCCATCAGTGGAAGCAAGAATTAATCTTTACCTTGGAGATTTGAGAAGATATTCGTGGATAATTTGTAAAAAAGAAAGAAATCGAATACTTTCAGCCTTATATTATCGGTATTTTTTATTTTTGTTAGATTTTTATTTTTTTCTTATGTGCAATTTCTGGTTTGGCTAGTTACATTTTGGTTATTAAAATAGAACCTTCTTACCACAAAGTCGTTAAAGGATAATATATCGCTAAGATTTCAGACCCCTTATTCAGCCAATTAGATAGCTGAAATTTTGATGATAATGGTAAATAAGTTTGATTATCATAACAGAAGTGATATATCTGTGCAAATTTTTTGATAAATTATAGTTTGATTTTGAAATGATATTTCTGGTTTGTTCCATTTTTTAAACTTAAGAGATAGTTTTGGAAAACCCAAACGCGAAAATCTGTTAAAAAGAATGATTCCAGGAAAGCATTAGAATTGGATAGCGATAATGGTACGATTTTAAATCAACTGGGATTATTGTGGCAAGACGCAAATCCACAGCGAGCATTACTATATTATTTTTTTGCGTCTATAGCAAAATATCCTTATCAGGGAGCTGGAGAAAATGTTTTGAACTTGTTATCACTTTCACTCAATGCTGACAGCCTTATCTTAAATATTATATATCATTGTTTAAATTCGTTTAGGTAGTTTTTTTCAAGAATTTTGATAGCTCTTTGTTATCTTTGACATATCTCTTATAAAGATTAAATAAGATCTATTCCTCATGGAAGACAACAATTAAAAATTGTTCCCATTCAGAAAAATCGAATATGAAGATTTATCGCGAAAATGGACTGAAGATTTATTGCCAAATTATTTAAACTCGCACAGAGTAGACGATATTTCTCTTTTCATTCATCTTCTAACACTTACAGCTGTTTTCCCACTTAGCAAAGGTTTTTCTTTTTCAAGCGCTACAAATTACAAATTATTGAAGCATATTTTTCGGTTGTCTTAGATTTAGAAAAAAAAAGTAAAATGAAAAAAGTAAAAATATTTTTTTTTTAGATGAAACTCTTCGATCGTTATTTTACTCGCTAATTCGTGCTTGTGACTTAATAATGTGTTCATTCGAAAGTTGGAAGACATCAGATACAGAAAAAATTTTTCGACGTCGGCGAGCTTCACTTTCTTCGACTGATGATGACAATGATAACGAAAATGATGAAGAATGTGATAATGATACAGATAATGAAAAGGAAAAGAAAAATATTGGCAGTTTTATTGATAATAATGATAATGAATATGATGAGTGGAATTTGTCAAATGATCAAAATGAATATAAAAATCAAGTTAAAACATTAATGGTGCCCTTATTACATTTTACTATCCAGTTGTCAACATATGTATTAAGTGATCGATCTTCATCGGCTTTGAGATCGGTATTGATTTTTGTCTTTATTTTTATCATTTTTTATTATAATTTTGCAATTTTCAGAATAAAAATTTAAATAGGGTTCTATTTGTCATCAGTTAATTTTAATAATACTTTTAATTCTTAAATTTGATTTTGATTTTAATATTTCTAATTTTTATAACATTTTGTAATATTATAATATCAGTGATATAATGTTATCACTTGACAATATAATGTTACTATTATATTACAACGGTTATAATGATTTGATATTAATAATAATGATGTTATTCTTTCAAAATTATCACTTTAATTATTTTTTTAAATTGTTAACATTTTTAAAAATAATATAATTGGTGCTTTTTTCAGCTGTTCGAAAAGCATTGCCAACAATTAGTGGATGCGTTAAATTCATTTGCATTGAAGCCAGCAAATTTTGAAATACCAATATGGAATATAATTGAAACATCACCAGTGTTAATGTTACCTTATATGGCAACAACGCTTGTTAACTTGCCGAATTCTATAATAACATACGATTGTTTTTTTAAAATAACTTCAACCGATCTAGGAAAAACGACAAATTTAATGAAAAATATGGCAAAATTACGTATTGATTATGAGAAAAACGAGGTTTTTCGTAATTACTTTCATTTTCTTCTTGAAATTTATTTTGAAAAAATAACAAGAAATAATTTTAGGTTAGTTATCAAGCATCGTTACCAATTTATGTCATACCGGAAGAAGAAGTATTATTTGAGCGCTTAGATATAATAAAAAACATTTTGTTGAAGAATAAAATGATAGTGATAGTAAATTATGAAATAATACAAAATGCTGATAAAAGGAAGAAAGATGATAAGAAGTCGAGAAAATTGCTTCGTTGGATTGAAAATGAATTGCCAAAATCATCTAAGTATCTTCGTCTTCGACCATCGACATCGACTTATCAGTTGGCAAAGGACATAATTAGTTCAAATATTAGCAGCAATACTAATTCGATTATCGCTACCATTCTTTATCTTTCTACAAACAATTATCAAGAAATTAAAAATCCTGTTAAATGTTAGTTTTTATCTCCACCACTTTTTTTAAATTGGATTTTACAATAGTTGATAAGTTAATGATAAAGTTTCTTGTCATTAGCCGAGCTTACTGTTTTCAGTTTATATACATAAATGTTTAATTTACTTACTAATTTAAAATAAGTTATTTATAAGATATTTATTACAAATAAACAAATGTAGTTATGGAATTCTTTCTATATTGAATTGTTACCCTTGCTCTTACCTTTAGTTTTTTTACATCGGTTGTATAGTGGTTTATAATTTGATAGTTATAAGGACATTTTTGACATTTTAATTTGGTATATTTTTTGTTGGATGAAGTCTTTTATTCGGAATTCTGGATAAAGTAAATGATTAGCCTCACGTTTTCGGTTAAGCTCATTTCCACTGGAGATCACTAGACCATGAAAGTAAATTTTCTAATGACATGTTTAATCTTGTCGAAAAAAGAATCTGAACGTTGAGGCGATAACTTGAACAATTGTTCAGCTCGGTTTAGTGGAGATATTCGTATATTCATAAATCAAAAATGTCAGAAATAAATTTGGCAAAATGAATGTGATAAATTATATCGAGAAATGCACTTATCAAATTGAATTAAATAAATTTGTCAATATGCTATTTAGGAATTAATACAGTTTTTCCCAGTGATTTCTCTTTTTTTAAGAAATCTGAATTTTCTGAATCTGAATTATCTGAATTTTTTTGAGAAAATTTAAATGGAAACATTTCAGAATAAATTGACAAATATTTTTTGCTTTATATTTTTAAATAAATAATTCATTTTTTATTTTTTACGTTTTTCAGCTATAACAATTGAAAATGTTGATGAATTTGCGAATCGATGCAATATTACAAATTTTCGGCGAGGTACGACACCACGCTAAATATTTTTTTGCACCGAATATGCGATATGGTACCATTATTGATTTATTTGAATAAAACATTGGTCACTTGCCGCTGGAATGTCAAGGGAAAAGAAAAAAATATATCGGTACATATTCAAGGAATAGCATAACATCATATCGCGTGGTTTGTTACTTATTGCTGATAGATGATAAATTATTGCTGGTAGCAACCATACCATCACGTTTTATTGATAGAAGGTCTATTATCTTGTTATTGATAATGATTAGTCTTTGCATTAGGCTATCTTTGATAATAATCTTGACTAAATTGACAGTTTACTGGGCTCCCATTGATTAATAAGCCCTGAAGAATCACAGGTGATTTCCCAGAGATTACCTGGATTACACTTTAATGGCAAGTTAAATGGCCCAATGGCCCAGTGGTCTGTTCTCATTGATAAAAACCTAGCCATCATAATTTGATTTTTTTCTTTGGTGGAGAGAATTAAAAAATACAAGGAACTTAAAAAATTTTTTTATTTTTGTTAATCCCTAAAATTCAATTACTTCCATCTTTTCTCTTTCCCCGTCTTCTCTTCGTTTCTCGTTGTATTTCTTACGCATTTTCCTGCATTCGCAGTACTTTTTGACTGTTTGTCGTCTATCATTTCATCGACAAAAGATATATGCTTTTTCCTCTCTTCACTTGTATCCCCACGTCCTTTCCAGTATACTCCCTTTCTCTTCCTGCTCCCTCCTCGATTTTCATTACATTTTTTCCTCGTCCTCCGTTCTGGTTTCACTGTTTTTATAATGTATAACATGCCATTTCCATTTGTCGTCGAAAAATTATATCATTAATAAAACGCTTTTATCTCTCGGCTACATGTCAATAATGTTAATCAATTTCGTTAAAATAACGTCCGCAATGAATAATCTTTTCAAAAGTAGGCGGAATTTAGTTCGGTGGTGGGCGTGCCCGATGTGCCTTGCGTCACGGTTTTTATCCTAGCATGAGGCGGGATTCACATGTTAAATCACTTTAAATAGGAGGTGGGGCTAGTACGAGTTGAGCGCGTCCGTGGGCGTGGTTTTATGATGTATGTGTACGAGAAATTTACACGCACTGCGCACACACAAACGACGTCAATTGTTATTATTGGATGTTGTGACCACTACAAGTGTGTTGTCGCCTTATCATCTCCTTATCACTGATTGTCAGTTGTTTACGCGTTCGGTTGATTCTTGCATTTGTATAGTCCACTTCTGGAAGGGTAAACGGAAGAAAAACAAGTACGAAAACGCTGCTATGCGGGCTTATTCATGAATTTATCGATTTTCCTTTATATTTATTTTGTTATTTTGTTTGTTATCACTAATTATAATAATTAATAAAAATTATTACTATACTAATAATAGTAATAATTGCGGACAAATTATTTTAAAAAGGAATTTAATAAATAAAGGAAAGAAGACGAAATGTTTAATCCAAATCATCGCCATCCGGTTTGTTTTTTCTTTTTTTTTAAATTTTAAACAATTTTTATTGAAAGAAAAGAAGTACTGGAGAAAAAAGTGCCCTGGCATTATTGTTTAGTAGCGAAAATTTGCTTCAGAAAGAGGAAAATAAAAAAAAGTTGCTACGAGAAAAATTCGGGGAAAATTTGAATTCTGAAACAGAAAAGAGAGCCGCCGCGGCAGAGCTAAATAATCAAAAAAGTCAATCAATAAATTTGTAGCGAGATTAATTTATTGATTTTTTCCTAAAAAATTTAGGCAAAAGATTTTCAGTATTTTCAGTTTTGAGTGATTTTAAAAAAATTTTTTCCAGATTTTTCAATTTTTTTATTTTTTGAAATAAATGAATGTAGTGAATAAAAGTGTTCATCGATTGGTGTGCATTTCAATTCATAGGTATCACTGCTTTTTATTGATCGATTATTTTTCTATTGAAATTCATGAAATGAAGGAGGGAAGAGAAGATCGATATATATTAGATGATGGAACATACGTGAGATCTGTCAAGATATACACACTTCGTATAAGATTATTTGTCAACATTTCTTAGGTCTTAGCTGAGAGACTTGTTTAGCTGGGGTTTGTCACGTACCTGATTCGTCATGGCATTGCAGTCACGTAACTGAGGTTATACGTGAGCACTGTGAGGGAGAGCATGGTAGTTTCTTGCTCTAACTGTGGTATAGTGTAGCGACCAAATCGTATCTTGACGAGATTTTGTTAAAATCGCGATTCATATGAGCAGGAATCCATCTAGCACTGTTTGCTTCTACCACAGTAGCCGGTGAAGTGATTGTTGTTATTGTTATTCGAACAAAGACATGGTATACGTGAGATTTGTCACATAAATAGGAACTTAGTGGTTGCTAGAAGAGAGGAGACACCGCAAGAGGGGCGAATTTAAGGACGTATTTGTGAGGGCACTGAGAATATAAACCATTCTGGTCACACAGCTAAGGCACCCATGGGACTTGTGACGAAAATGTGGTGTGTGTGAAGGAAATTTCTTTATTGGTGATGTCTTGAATTTTTTTGCAAGCAAATTAGTGTCTTTTTTTTCATTTCTTTATTTTAACAAATGTGCAAATAATTTGATACTTCCGATGTAATTTAGTTGACTTCTGACCTCAGTTTGTATATATTTGCAGACGTAGTAGTTCATGGTTCAAAACCTTAGGGCTACGTTTGTCTTGGGGAAATTTATAAATCTAAAAATATAATGTTAATAACAATGATAACAATAATATTATAATAATAATTATAATGATAGTAGTAATGGTAATAACGGTGATAACAGTAATGATGATAGTAATAAATAAAAGGTGACAACTGATGGTATCAAACATCAAGCAAGCCAAATATAAATTAATAACAAATCTTTTCTGTCGATGACCTTCTTTTTCTTTCTAAGAAAGATTAGATTGTTCGTTAAAGATTGTAAATTATGAAGAGAATTACGCATTGGCTATGTAATTAATTTGACCTTTAACCCTCTTATTTTTTGTTATTTCCTAATTGCTGTTTGCCTCATTCTTGTTTCTTTCATTCATTCATCCATCCATCCATCCATTCATTCTGTCATTTATTCATTTATTCGTCGTCGTTTCAATTCATTCATTCAATCCGAGAGTATTTAATCATATAATTGTTATTGATCTATAAATCAAATATAATGAAAGCGTTTGACCCGTTTCTTTATTTTATTGGTCTTTATCTTTCATATCTAACATTTAACTATTTCGACACAAATATATCTAAAAATTTGCCCTTTGACATTGAGCGAGCGAGCGAGAGAGAGAAGAGCAGTAATAAATGATAATTGATAATAGTAAAGAGCAAGCGAGGTGATAATTCTTTTCATGTTGTTTATAATATTTTATGCTAAAAAGAAAATTTGATTTTGAAAGATTTCCAATAAAAATCTTCTAACTTCGTTTATTTGTTAATATTATTGTCATCATTATTATTATTATTATTATTGTTAAAATTGCTATCATCATTAATATCATTATTATTGTCACTATTTCCGATAATTTATTTTATATAATTAGAAATTTATTTTAATAATTTTATTAAAATAATAATTATAGAAAAGTGAAATCGATTTCACTTAAATAAATAAAATCATTGGATTCATTTTTTGTATCGTCTTCACATTTGTTAGTAAAAAACATTAATTGATAAAACATCTAAAAAATATATTCTCAATAAAATTGATTTTAATTAATTTTTGAAATTTAAATAATCCATACTAATATTTAATGAGATAGGCGAGAGTGAATAGTGGTTCAGGTTAGGTTGCGAGGCAAGAGGACGGCTTTTGCTCCCCTCATGAGCAAAAGTCCATTCTAGCGAAAGTGAAGTGAACATAAACGCAGATCCATTTTATTCAGTAAATGAATGAATGATTTTTGTTATTTTATCAGTTTTATTGAAGTGTGCTCTATTCCTTTGATATGATAAATTATATTTTATTACCAAAAAAATTTATTCATTTTTTCATAAATACGCTCAATAATTGTTTTATAAATATTTTTTATAAATTTGTTCGATTAATTAAAACTACTTTAAATGCAATAATTTTAATTTAGAATAAGAGGGAATAAATGACGACACATCTGGTAGAAACCAAATCTGAAGTATAATTTCACAGGTGAATGACCTGTGGAGTCTTCCTGTCGTGATAAAGATTTTGAACGTATAGAGGGATCAGCTATATATGGACTTAGATGGAAAAAGGAATGGCTTCTATTACTACTACCGATGGCGTCGGACTGAGCAGCTTGGGACGTCTTACCCTTCTAGCCAGCGGAGCCAGCCTAATCAGTAATGGTGAGAGCTATTAGAAGAAGATAAAGATGCGGCAAGGGTTATTTAGTTGAGTATTTCGCAATTGGATGTTACCTTCGAAATGTAAAATTTACTTATAGCGCAATGGTTTATCGTAGATAAAGATATCCAATGATGCCATCGGCGATAAAATTCATTGCCTATATTTTTTTACTATATTTTATAGTTTTTGCACTTATAATTTTTTTACACTTCCTTACACAAATATCTTTTTTTGGGAAATTAGTACCATTAAAGATTTAAGGAGTAAAATGAGGGAAAAAAGAAAAGGAAGATTCTTTGAAAATAAATTTTAGTACAAATTTTTGTTTGATTAATTTCAAATCTAAACTTTTTAGAAACATCAGTTTTGCAAAAAAAGGAACTTATCATTTGTCATATCACTCAGTTATTACTGAAAAATTTTGCCGGAATGATTTGTTAAAATTTTTAAGATGATTTTTGAATTCCCGAATTTCTTTTTTTTATGATTCTAAAATTTGGAAGTTTTTTATTTTTTACTTTTTTCTACATTTTATATTTTAATTTCGCCATTTAATTTTTTAATTTTCTTTAATAATATTCTTCAATAATATTTTCAAAAAAAATATTTTTAATAAAATTTTTTGCGAAAAGAAGTGCGTTAGGTCGTTAGTTTTTAGATTCTATTTTTATTATATATACGTGTATATTTATAATCGGATCAATGGAAAATGAGTTATTGGTCAATTAATTTAGCCAGAAAAGCACGTATTAATTTTCAGGTTAAATTTATAAAAGATCTTTCCAAATTTTAAAAATTCGCGCATAAAAAAATGAAAAGCGATTTATTAAAAAAAAAGCCAAACAGCGATTAATTTTCATCGCATAAATTTGCATATTGGTTAATTTGTTGGGAATTGATTTCTAAGAAATTTTAAAAAATATTTTAAGAAATATTTATCAACTTGAGTGATACCAAAAGCAATTTCTGTTGCAGGGTGGGCCTCATCAAGGAGCAATTAAAATGACACTCTTGGATCATTTGGAACGCATTAAAGAAGAATATAATTATTTGCAAAACCAAATTCAGCAGCAGCGAGTCGAAATAGAAAAATTGTCGCAGGAGAAGGAGACAATGCAGCGACATTACATGATGTACTACGAAATGTCGTATGGTTTAAATGTTGAAATGCACAAGCAAACTGAAATTGCAAAGCGTTATAATGCGATTCTGTCACAAATAATACCGTTATTACCCGCTGAACACCAACAGTCTGCATTAAATGCAATGGAACGTGCACGATCGTTGAGCATCGCCGAGTTGCAGGTAATTCATCTAGTAATTCTAATTATATTATATCAATGCCGAATGCTGCAATAGTTTGAAGATTGGTTAAGATTTGTTCAATTCTTCGTGAGAAAACAGTAAACCCATACACATAGCCAAGGCTGATTCGACGAGATGGCTCAACGAGGATTTGGCACTCGAATTCAAGTTTCGCATAATCCAGATTTGCGGTTCGAAGTGTGTAATGTTGTAAAACATTCTGCTCGAATAAAGTCTTAAATAAATAAATATTAGCTTTATTCGATTGGGGTGTCTAAAATTTAAGAGTTTAATGAGAGGAGTTGTGGGGGGAGAGGGGTCGCTATTCTATCGAAATACCCTCAGCTTGCACTTTCCGTGGAACATGGTACCATCAAGCCCTTCATACCTTAATCTACCCATTGGAACCAGCAAAATATATAGAGTATTGCAGAAATTGGTCTAAAAATTTTATAATGGATGAAAATTGTTTCCGCGATTTTTATGCCTTCTTTTTTTTGCATTTCTTTGGAATGTAAAGGAAATATTTTTATGAATATTTTTTTTTTAAATTTCATATTGAATTCTAAACGCGAAAATCTTATGTAATTATAAGACTTTATTGAGTTTTTCTAAGGTTTATTATTATTTTATTCAAGGTCGATTTTAATTTTTACTATTGTTTCGTTCGTTTTTTTTTTTGAAATAATGTGTTTGTTGCAAAGAGGATTTTTAAATGATATATGTAATGCCCTTGAAATTTTTAATTTGATGTTTGGCTTATTTTGTTATTTATTAATAATAATTTATTTGAGATTTAATACTGATATGATAAATGATGTCTAAATAGGTAAATCAGTCGCATAAATCAGTCGCACTTTAAACCTTTCTTTTTTACAAATATTCATTCGATTGAGCTGAAGGAAAGTTTTTTTCAAACAGTTTCAGGCAATTGGTGGTCAAGTGCACGCTCAGCAACAACTTGCAATGTTACCTGGAATGGCGATGGGTGCACCAATAGGTTTGGCCGCACAAGCACCATTTCATCCATCAATGGCTGCGGTTGCTGCAGTTGCTGCTGCGGGTATGGCGAAACCAGATGAAAAAAACGATGAACGTAATTCAAGTCGCACATCAAGACCGAGATCGAGCACGCCTGAGCCAAGTTCAAAACGAGCCAAAGTAAGTTTTCGTTGATTTCCTTTTTTTCACCATATTCTTAAATCTGAAAACGAGGATTCTAGATGGAATCAGAAGATGGTGATGGTGATTTGGAAATCGATGTACAGAATGATGATCCATCAAATGCATCTGCATCAAATGGTGTAAATTTAAAAAAAGATGGAAGAGAAAGTGCGCAATCAGCATCATCAGGTGATTCGACTCCTAATAAAGCTCGTATGGCAAATGCATTAGCACCTGCTGATATGAATGCGGTGGCATCTTCATTACTTGTAAATCCAGCATTAGCATCATTCGCAGGTCGTTCTGGTCTACCTACTATTTTAGATCCTCATACTCAAGCAAGATTTATGGCTGGTATGGGACAAGCAACAGCGTCTATGCCTAATGGCAAACCATCTTATGCATTTAAAACCACTGAAAGCGGTCAGTTACAACCAGTTAATTTCCCACATGATGCACTTATGGGCCCTGGCATACCAAGAATTGCCAGAAAAGTTCATGATTTACAACATGGTGAAGTTGTTTGTGCTGTTACTATATCACAACAAAATCGAAATGTTTATACTGGAGGAAAAGGCTGTGTTAAGGTTCTTTTTTATTTTATTCCAACGATATTTTGGTTTGGCTTATTTAGCTACTGATTAATAAAGTGATGCTTTTCCCCAGAGAATCACTTTAGAATAAAGAGCGCTATTCACTTTCGACTTTTTTTTGACAAATTTGCTCCCATCAGAAGAAGAGATTCCATTTATTTTTTTCCTTTCATTCCTTTTTCAAGTTATTGAAAGGTTTATGAATTTTTCTTTTTCTTATAATTAATTAACTAGTCATAAACTTGTCGCATTTACTTATTGCCTAACTGTTTAATTAATCAAACTTCGGACAAATAAAATTCTTTATAAAATTTTTTAGATATGGGACATATCAAGGACAGATTCTTCAAAAACAGTGATCTCAACATTAGAATGCCTCAAAGATAATTATATACGTTCTTGCAAGCTTTTTAACGATGGCTCAACGCTTATTGTTGGTGGTGAGGCCCCCACGATTACTATATGGGATCTTGCAGTATATTTTTTTTCTTTGTGAAATTTACTTATGAATTGCTGGGTTTTATTGCTACCATAGTTCTGGCATTTTATCGCGTGTTGTTTTAGTTTCGCCTGTGGTCCTTTTCTAAATTTGGTAGAAAATGATTATACTTTTGAATTTGTTTTTTAATCATATTAATCATATTAAATTAATGCTTTTTTATTTTTTAGACGGAGAAAATAAAAGTTGAGTTAGATAGTGAAGCTCAAGCATGTTATGCATTAGCTGTGTCGCCTGATAACAAATTATGTTTCTCATGTTCAGCAGATGGAAAAATTATTATCTGGGATCTTGACTCGAAGAAAATGGTATTTTTCCTCATAAATTAATTGATAGAAGGTTTCTAATTTTATTTATATTTATTCTCATTGGACACAGTTATTCTTATTTTCAGATAACTTGTTTGCCCGGTCATCAGGATGGTGCAAGCTGTGTAGATTTATCAAGTGATTCATTACGATTATGGAGCGGCGGTTTGGATAATACCGTTAGGTCATGGGATCTTCGTGAACGGGTACAGTTGCAACAACACGATTTCGCATCGCAGATATTTTCATTAGGTTGTTGTCCAACAGACGACTGGGTTGCTGTTGGTATGGAAAATAGTAATGTTGAAGTGCTTCATGTGAACAAACAAGACAGGTCGGCTTTTTAATGTTGATATGTAAGAAAAAGGATAACTATTAATAATAATAATCTTTGAAAGTCGAAAGTTTTATTTTTTCAAAAGGTCTGTGTGCTTTTTTTCATTCGATTTGGTGTTTTGGGAACCTTGTTATAATTATCGTGATCTTGAAATATTCTTATTATTTTTAAAATATTTTAAAGAATTAAAATTCTTTTTAATAATTAATAGGTTAATAAAATTGGAATAATTTCAAAATTTTGATTGCAGATACTCATTACATATGCATGAAAGCTGTGTTTTGTCGCTAAAATTCGCTCATTCTGGTAAATGGTTTATTTCAACAGGCAAAGACAATGTTTTAAATGCTTGGAGGACACCATATGGTGCGTCATTATTAACAGCAAAGGAAAGTTCATCAGTACTATCATGCGATATATCGTCTGATGACAAGTATATTGTAACCGGTTCCGGTGAAAAGAAAGCCACCGTTTATGAGGTCGGCTATTGATCTCATTCCTTTTTTGTTGGATTTTTTTTATTTTTTGTTAGTTTATTTCTATAATTATTTATATTTACCAAATTCCTATTTTCTTTATATTTCTTCCTCATTTTTTCCTACATCAAAATTACGCCCATGACACGATATATTATTTATTTGCCTTTACATTCTTATTCTTTTTCTAAGAGCGCAAATCATTTTTAACATGGCTAGCTTTGCTAGTTACTGAGACGTTTTCTCCAGCCAGCTTATACAAGGTTATAAACATTAATCTCGTCGCAGAATTCTAAAATTTTTGAGTTTTTTTAGCTATTTAGTGTAAACCAAATTTTTTTTAAATGAAATTTGTTGAAAGAGAATGAACAATGCGAGATTATTTTCATTACGAATTATCTTGTCATGAACCGAAAATTTATTTAAACAAAATTGTTCCCCCGTAAAACATCGATTTTCCTTAAGGTTTTTCTCGAAAATTTCTTTTTTCAATTTGGAGGGGAATAATTTAACATTTATATCTTTTTTAGATATAAATTTATTTACGAAAATTATTTTTTTTTTATATAGTAGTGTTAATAGATGAAATTAATACATATATAAGTTTAATATAAGGAATTAATATTTTGCGATTAATTTGTTGAATGAATTTTTTCCATTTTCCATAAATTCAGCAAAAATTTTTTTCCACTTTTTTCTATCGCATATTTCATAAATTCATTTAATACTACTATTGGGCCGCTTATTTGTGCAATGTAATCCTATGCGCCTATTTAAATCTTTTTTAGTTGTTTTTTCTTAAAATTTCAGAAATTCTAAAATAATGTATGTTTTTTTATGTTGTTAGCCTTTTATGCATCTTTTTTTAATTTTTCTTGTAATGTCTCGTGTAACGATAAACGTGTTGTAATAAAATTTTTTGAGCAAAAAAACTTTTTTTCAAATTTACTCTTACAAATTTCAACTTAATTTCAACTTTTTTAACTTAATATATTTTTAAAAATCGGGAAAAATTTTTAAAATACCAAATGCAAAAAAGGAAACCTGGGGAAAATGGCGACATCTCGCCGTTTGCATTGGTTAACATTTAATGCATTTTTTTATACGCATAAATGAACAGCAGCACAATCTTTAAAGTAAAACCCATTTAAGAAAAACAAGAAAAACCACAGCGAGTATAAAACAAAACAGCTAAAAGATAGAAAAAAGTTATTCTCTATGTAACAAAACAAAAATACCAAGAGAGCCAAGTACAGCATATTTCAATTTTGGATAATCATTCATAAGGATTGTGACCATACCAACGTATGGAAGAAAACCTTTTGCTCGTCCAACAACATCCTTCCGAGTTAACCAAAATTGCCCAGATGCATATAATCCACGATCATCAACCTCAAAAGAAGATTCATTTTTTGCTCTGGTTGTAGCAGTCGGCGCATCAAATATTATTTTAAAACTTTGGCACAGTTGGAAAAGGCCGCTAAATTGTCACAATTGTCCATTGGTTGCTCGCTTAGAGAAAAAAATGATAAATTTAATTACCTGATTATTATCACCTTTCGTGAGGAACTTCGTTTCCTCAATTGACTTTTCGTGTACTTTTATAACACGATGCACAATTGGGATTTCACGACCTTCAATTTTGAATACAGTTATATCACCAGCTCGAATCGGGTCGTTACGATCATTCGTTAACATTAATAAATCACCCCTATTGAGAATTACAGTATATTTTGTGAAAACAAGAATGCAAAAGAACTAAAACCAATTTTTCCTTTCTTGTAAAAAAAAATAAAGTGATAAAAAAAACCTATAAAACGCAGGTTCCATGGAGCCAGACAAGACAACAACAATTGGACTTTCGGACCCGGTTAAAACCATTAATCCCTTCCATATCATTAATGCTGACGACACTATCATAGCAAAATTAAGACCCTGATAATATAATTGACGAATATTCATTCGACGAACTTCATCAAACATTTGCAAATCGAAAATACCCATTTTGTCCCTGAATTAAACTCTATAAATTTATATATTCAATGGGCTTGACCTCGTGTTTATGGAGAAATTTTTTCATGTAACCATGCAACCATCATTTTCCATCCACAAATAGTTACGATTTTTTTCAAAAATTACAAAGCCTACAGGATAAATGTGTTCTATCGTAAAATATCAAACCTTTCCACAAATTACATTTTTAATGCTTTCAGTATTTAAATAAACTTTTGATCGAAACAAACGAAAACAAACGGCTATATGAAGAAATTCATTTCATTCTTTAATTTATAATAAATTTATGGAAATAAAGAATAAAAAAATGAAGAATTCAGATAAAACCGCTAAATCAACAGCGGTACAAAAGAAAACATATGTAATATCGTACCATATAGTATCATTTAAATAAAAATTCAAAGAAAATAGAAATACCCGTAGATTATAATGATTCTATCAATTGGAGTACAAAAATTGTTAGAAATAAACCAATGTTCCTGCTGGATGGAAAGTTTAAAGAATCCTTTCAATAAATTTTTCATATTCTTTTCGAAAAATAGATTTAGATTTGAGCAGCGTATTGCACCAAGTCCTTTATCATAAAAATAGAAAAGAAATCGAAAATCACCACTTCTTATGAAGCAGAATTTTTCGATATCCGTCATGGCGTTTCATAAGAGAAGAAAGAAATCATTCATTGGCAGATAAACCAAGATAATCATCCATAAGTGTACCAATAGCAAATATATCAGATGCATCAACACGTGTACCAATTAATTTCACTCTTATTTCATCATCTTGTTTTATAATAACACTTTCATCAGCGGTTTTATAACAAGGAGGGTTCGAATTCGGTTCGAATTCCATATCAGGTGGAATACAGTGACGACTTACGAAACAAGAAAGTGGTCCGATATCACAAAATAATCCTACCTGAAAAATCTAAATATTTTTTCATGTAATAACGAAAAATCCATGGTCAGTTATACCTCTCGTTTATTTAGACCATATATGCTCAATTACCTAAGCTATGATATAGCACAAACTAACATTTATTTAAACTTTTTAACTGAGATTTTGGACGGTGAAGCTGAGATATTATTGAACATGGTAGCTTGATCAACTTTAACCACTTAGCCAATGTCTGAAAAGTAAAATTATACCTTATTAACTTGATTAACCACAGCATCTACCACTTGACCTTTAAATGGACGAAAAACAATTGCTTTGTATTTTACTGGATATAGCACAAAGCCACGACCTGAAAAATGAAAAAATTTCCCGAAATGAGAAATTTTAAAAAAATTTGTGCACTATTCAACAAAAATGAGAAAATTTTCCGATATTTTCATTATATAACATTAAAAACATTAAAAAATACAGTATCACACTTAATAAAAAAATCTACTTTGCAGATTTCTTGTTTGGATAAAGGGAATAAAAAAAATAAACAAGCAAACCGGGTTGAATTAATCCAGATCCGATAGTGTCAATAGTTGTTACGGCAACAACAAAACCATATTTACCCGTACACGTTCCTTCAACTTCATTAAAAAGTTTTCGTTTTACAGTTTCTAATAAATCAGGTCCAAAATATTTCGGATGTAAGCATATTTCATGCTCTAATGGTATGTGATAAAACATTCGCTTCCTGCAAATACCTAAGCGAATTTCTAAAGATCTATTCGCATTGGCTTTTGCATTGCAAGCAAATTTATCTCAAAGCAATCCGTACTTTAAGAACAAAAAATCTGTAAAATATTTTGCTAATATTAGATGTTAATATTATGTTAATGTTAGAAGACGTGCTTAAAATTAGGAACAGCATGGTCGAACATTTATTCCTTAGTTTACCATTTTTACCATCAATACTCAATATCTCCTTTTGGCAGAAATAAACTTATCATCAAAAAATTGACTACTTATCCATTTCTACTCCCACAAGTGGCACTATTTTCCCATCTTTCAAATAGCCAATGAAGATTTTAACAAGAAATGCTAATTAATTAACTAACCAAACGTCTCGAACTACTATAAAAATAAATCCTAACCTAAATTCGTTGAAGACAATAACAAAAAAACCGATTCCTACAAAACATGGGAAATATTGTAAAGAAAACCTCTTTATTAGATGTATCAAAAAATACGTTATTGTTGACTGATTATTGACAAAATTTATCAGTAAAAAGAAATATATAAAACTAAAATCCGATTTAAAAAAATTGTATTCTAAAATATGAATTTAATTATTTTTTATCTTTCTTATCAGTAGTTCGGTCGAATACAATCAAGGATTGCAAGTGAAAATAAGCAAAGTTCTTCCAACTAGCGAGGGAAAATTGTAATCGAAACTATTCCGATTTTGGTATTTTGTGCCATTTTGCAGTTCAAGTGAATGCATAAACTTCCAGTTTGTTACTTCAATTTTTAATCAAACCTTGCGAACCTCCGGAAAAAACGCCAAAAACATCTAAATGAAACAGTAAACGTAAAAATAAGGTATCGCTTAAGAGAACCACAAAAACCGCCGACACCACAACCCCACTAACCTCACCGACAAAAAAACGTTGGCTGTCGTCATCGAAATATGAGTGCGTATCTGAGCTGCAATATAGCAATGTTACATCTTGTTAAAACAAATACTCGACTAGTAGCACTATTTCCTCGTAGCATTATATTCGTCTTCTCAATTAGAGGTAGGTTTTTCGGACCGAAAAAAGAAACCTATTTTCGGTAAATTGTCGTTTTTTTATTTGTTTCTATTTTTAGTGGTTTTCGCTTCACCTTTTCGATTGTTTGTTCATTTTCCAAATAACTCATAAATTCTATTAAAATATTTTTTAATAACCTTTGTAGATTTTTGTTTTCTCATTTTATCAATTATTTTTCAGATAAATTTAATGGAATTTTCGATTTTTCAATTAAAAAATTATTTTTTATTATTGTTAATATTACTGAATTTATGCAAAAAAGATTTATCAAATGGCTATATAAATTCACAATTAATCGAATTAAATGATAAGTTTTTACAAGTGAAAAATGAAGGATTGTGGTTTGTTGAGGTTTCTTCGTAGACTTTTTCTTTTTATTCGGTGTTTTGTCGCCTTTTTAAGAGCATTCATATTTGCGGTTGGACTCATTTCGTTGGCTTGTGGGACCCATGTCGGTTGCCGTGGATTGTCTCTCGGCGCTGCGTGATTCGCCGCATCTTAGAAAGGCAGCTCTCTTCCTACTGCTTGTAATCCAAATCCAAGCATAGGCGCCTCTAAATAACGACCTACTGACTGTTTCATTTCCTGTAATGTCCTCTTTCACAATTATTTATAACTTATAAATTATTTATAAGACTTTTATTATTCTCATTTGAAGTAGTAAATATAGTCTTCTGATCAAGAATCTTGGTGGTAAGTGAGGTTACTGATCACCCTTATGTTAATATTTCATTTTAGTGGAACAAATACTATTTCCCTGATGCTATTCAACCACTTGGCCTACATGCGGTCATAACTGTTTCCATCTATGTACCCCAACTATGTGCCATTTTGTGGTGTTAAATTTAGAGATTGAGGCGAAAGTTTGTGTTTTGGCCATTTATGCTTTTTGAAAGGAAATTGTATTTTTGAGAAGAATTGGAATAGATGATGAACAGATGGAACGATTAGATTGGCATTAAAAATTATTAGGAATTAAACAAAATTATGAACTGGCATAGCTTATTCAGATTTGAAATTTCTGCGAATATTTCGAAATACATTTGTATTTATTTTAATATTTTATTTAATATTTTAATATTTTATTTTCTATATCTTTTATTGAAATTTTATATCTTTTATTGAAATTTTATGGAAAATAAAATTTAAAATAAAAATTTTCCAATTTTTTGGCTTATATTTTTGCTTCCATTGAGTAATAGCATATTGCAGTTTTATGCGCCGTGGTGTGCTCATTGTAAGCGATTAATGCCAATCTGGGAACATGTTGGACATGCACTTGCTGACAGAAATTCGCCAGTTCGAGTTGCTAAACTAGATTGCACTCGATATACAAATGTTGCTGCTGCTTTAAATATTCGTGGTTATCCAACTGTCATTTTGTTTGTTTTTTTATTACTCTTTAATTTATCGTTTGTTTTTTTCAGATTTCATTTTTTAAAATTTTATTTTGGATTTTAAATTGGCTTAACTAATTCGAACTTAAGTGATGTTTTTTTTTTCCTTTTCCTCAAATGAAATTAATCTTAAATATTTTCTTAAATAGTTTTCGTAATGGTGTTGAAATGGTTTATGATGGTGAACGAAAGAAAGAGGCGCTTGTGGATTTTGCAATGAAAGCATCTGGTCCTATTGTTTCAATGATTGATTCTGGAGAAGATTTTTCGAAAGTGAGAAGTTTAATTAATGTAATCTTATCTGAAAGATATTCATGTATGTTATAAGTGTTGCTCTAGTGAGAAAGTCCTATTATTGTAATCAGATAAATTTATATGATGCGGGCTATCACAGTGGATGAGGAAGGTGTAGCCCTTAATACAAGTCCTTCTTATTGATCTGAATTTTTCAAACTAATTTATTTGTCTTTTTTTGGCTTTCAGATTTTACATTCAATGAACGAGCCATTTTTTGTCTATATCAGCAATGGATCTGATAGTCAATTATTTGATGAATATAATCATGCTGCTCAAACATTATTTTCATCGACTCGATTCTATCATTCTTCCTCTGTTGAGTTTCTGCCCAGCAACGTTTCTGTATTTTCATTACTTCCCACAGTTGTTGTGTTTAAAGACAATTCATTCCTTGTTTATGATCATCTAAGAGGTTTTATATTTTTCTTTTTTTACCAAAGATTTATCGAACTGTTTGCTATTTGAATGGATCAAATGTTTTTTCTGACGTGAGAATTTCAAGATTTACCATGTGTTTGCTTATTATTGAGTAATTTATACTTTTCAATAAAATATTTTCAGATTCTAATCTGACTGAGTGGATACACTGTGAACGTTGGTCATTAATGCCTTTGATAACTTCTTCAAATATCAAAGAAGTAGGTAAATTCCGTCTACTCGTCCTTTCCGTTATTAATATGGTTGAAAGGAAGAATGATTCGACTAGTGTTGGGAAGTATGATAATTTCAAAAAATTCATCTTTTTTTATCTTTTTGAAGTTTTTGTTTTTTATTTTTATGATTAATTTTTATTTTATTGTTGCTTAATAAATCCGTTAGATTTCAATCAGTTATGACGAAAACAGCTGCATTAGTGCGTGAGGATCCACGTTTATCGTCTTTTTATCAATTTGGCTGGCTTGATGGTAATGAATTGGTGAATAATATTATACTCGGTACTATGCATCAACCAGGTATTCCCAATTTTTTTAATATTTTTCTTTTACTTTTCTTACCCATAAATATCATATTATTTTGGTTCTTTTTTTTTATTTTATAAGACTTCTTTTATAATTCACTTTCATTTTTATTTATCTCAGGGCAATGGTTAATGGTTTACAGGTCTCGTGGTTTTCAATGTTTCAAGTTATGAATATTATCTGAGTGATGATATTCCTATTGAAATGACTGTCCAAAGTTTATTATCATTTCTTGAACGTATTTTAAGTGATGATGTAAAGGCACGTGGTGGTCGATCCCTTCAGCAGCGAATTAAACGAATTTTTTATGAAGTAATTTTTTTGGTTAAAGAAGAGAAATTAGCCTTTATTATTGAAAATTTTTGATAATTTTTCTTTTAAGATAGCGACAAATATATATGATATGTTCAAAGCACAACCTTTACTCACTGCCTCATTGTTTGGTGTGCCAATCGCTTTCCTTTCGTTAATTACTTATTGCTTGTGTTCCACAGATTTTTCTGTAGATCGTGATGAAATTTATCCTGATGAAGACGTTTCAGATACTGATGGATCAGGTAAGTTTTCAAGCTTTTTTTCAAGCGTTAATTTTATCAGTCAATTTTGAAATGAAACATTTCAAATAGTGCTTATAAAAATTATCATAATTACTAAATATTTTATAGATTTTAATAAACTTATAAAAAATTCAAAAAATTCAAAAAAATTTATATAGAAAATTTTTAGATTATGATGGACATGAGAAAGCAGAATGAATTCTGAATTAAATAAAAATTCAGAGCAATTCCAAAAGAATTATTGATTAAGGTTTCTTAAATATCAGATGTTCGAGATTTCATAAAATAAAATGTGGATTCACGTCCGGTAAATTCCCAGTTAAAATTTTTGCATTTCATATTTATATTATTTTTATCTTGATTATTTATTATTATTTCAATAATAATAAATTAATTTTATTATATTAATTTTAAAAATTTATTAAGTAATGAAATATTTTATGATTACATTTGTATTTACAAATATTCAAAGATATTATCGAAATAAAACTATAAACTTGTGAATTTTTTCAAATATGTACTTCTGCAATATTTTGTTCGTTTCAGTTATAGTTTTTATTTTTATTGCCATATTTTTACGATCTCTTTTTCCAACAAGTTCTTGGAATTTTGTATTTTATACTTCACGAAAAAATTTTTATGTTTCATATTTTTGTTTTTTATTTTGTTTTTTCGAAAATGTTTTATCATTTTTTGAATTTATCAATTGATGTCTTTATTAACATAATTCATTTTTAGTTCACAAACAAATAGTTCATTTTTTAACTTCGAGTTAATAACTTCATAAGCTTTAAAAGTTTCAAATTAATTTTGTCTTTCGACTTATCATTTGCGCTCAGAGAATATTATACTAGTTTGATTTACTTTTTTTTGTATATTTTGACGAATGTGTTGCTAATATTTGTCTAGCTGTTGTATTCAAATTGATACAAGCAAATATTACCATCATATCTGCAATTTGCTCTCTTTTCTTCTTATAGAAATATAATCGCACCATGTATTTTTGGCGAAATTTTCATATTTGCATAGTTCTTTAGCAGTTTGATCATTTCGACTTCTATCCATTAAAACCTAAAAAATTTTTGTTAATTTTGTAAATTTTATTTAATTATTAGTGGTGAAGGAAGGAATAGCCAATCATAATAATTCTCTTCTCTTTATCTCAATTATTGAAATTTTTTGTTTGGAAAATAATTCAGATTGTCCTTGAGAAATTGTATTATTGCGAATATGGGAAAAGTTAATACTGTCGAGAATAAATCAAAATTCTTATTTTTCAGTTTTCTCATAATATAACTGAGTAAGGGAACATATAAGAAAATAATTCATACGAACAAAACTATAAAAATTTAATGAAAAATAATCACTTGAAATGGTTCAAGAAGTTTTTTGCAAGATACTGACATCAGTGGTATCGATAAAAGGGGTAGGTTGGTTGAGGACGTTCCAGTTCGTGGAATAGTTGGAAGCAGAATATGAGCTTCACCGATTATCTCTTGAACTTTTGGTGAGTTGTTGCGAAATACGGTGAAACGTAACACTGAACCATTCGTGAAAAATAATTCGTCGTCGATTGTCCTCAAAATTTTTTCTTTCGTTATTTTGATTTCGTCTCAATTGGTACTGGTAATAACGTAAAGCATCATTTGGAGATGGAGATGAAATGAGTCCACGACATTTATTTTTAATGGTAGGTTTAAAGGATATACGAAATTATGCAAAGCTGTGTTCTCTCCCAACAATTTCAAGTTAATATGATAAATAAGATTATGGAAACCGTTTCTCGACGTTCAAGACACATAAAAATCAATTCAGAGTTTAAGCATAACAAGCACCTTGAAAAAACTGATAATGTGGTCCTTTTCACTAACAGCTAGGGGGGAAATTAAACAGACGCTGGACGGAATGTCAGAAGCAATAACGAAAATTGGCCTTCAAGTCGACAATAATAAATAATACGAAAATTTTCTCGTCTTTTATACCAGGCACTGATATAATCCGTCAAATTCAAGAAATACCGGATTTTACTTTAAAATATTTCGGATCTACTCTAATATCCAATGGCCAGGTAAAATTCCAGTTCGCAGCTATATGTGCTTTCTTTTGTTTGACTTGCAAAATCACTTTAGTCTCAAAAATAGTCTCAAAATAAAAATCGCACTTATCTGGCTAAAATAGCCAATAATATGGCGAAATTTGGTCTCAGAAAGCCATCTGATTTTGATTATTCTTGCCTAAGCTGCTCCATACCCGCCAAACCCATAGAATCTCACATGATTGCATTTATCTCTGCTCGAATACTGAATTTGGAATATCGTCACAAAACGTTGTTTATCATGTTCTTCGTTGCCGATCGATTTCTGCATGCTAAATCCTGTGATCATTAAAAGGGCGGAGAACCAATCAAAACTTGGATTGATATGGATTTCGAACACATATGCGGCTAAGCGATATATCGGTTTAGACTAAATGGCATCGCATCGGGAGGCTTGGAAACGTCACTAGTCCCCACTTGAGCGAACAAAAGCAACGATGATACGAGTTATTAGAACCAACTTTATTTAATTTGGCACTTTTAAAATCAAATCTTTCTTTCTTGGAACAATAACACCTTTTTTGCAGATAGCAAATTTAGATCAAAATGAGAATTTTTACGAACCATTTAAATGATTTGATCTTTGGCATCAGATTAGATCAAAAAAGGATAAGGGACATTAAGAAAAAAATGTGTTGCAAAAATCTGTTGCAACATATACTTAATATACGAATAAAACCTGCCGCATATTTTCCCAGTGCATGACAAAAATGTGCCGTGTTCCTGTCCAGCATATGGCGAAAATCTGCCGTATATTCGCCCAGTGCATGACAAAAATGTGCCGTGTTCCTGTCCAGCATATGGCGAAAATCTGCCGTATATTTGCCCAGTGCATGACAAAAATGTGCCGTGTTCTAGCATATGGCGAAAATCTGCCGTATATTTGCCCAGTGCATGACAAAAATGTGCCGTGTTCCAGCATATGGCGAAAATCTGCCGCATTTCTGCCGTATTTCTATTTCTTAATATGCTTTTAGTATTACGATTATAAGCATTTTCAATAATAAAAAAACTTACAAAATAAATTCTTTCTCCCATTTCGGATTTTTATTATTGTACACAATATGGGTTTGCTGCTTACAGTATTTCATTTTCGGAAATAAAAATTCGGGCAAAAGTTCAATTTGGCAAAAGCAATCCATTGATTTATTATTATCGCCTATTATCAAATTCAAATTCAGTGCATTTTTCACTAAAGTAAAATGCAATTGAAATTTTGGAATTGACAAATAAAAATCTATAAAATGGTTGATATTTTATTTTAAGGGAGTTTGATTCTCGTCGCTGTCTTTCGAAAATCCAGATGATACCAGCAACTCACCTGCACTTCTATCGCCAGGCGAGACCCTGGCAAAATTTATCTGGCGAAACAAGCTAGTGAACTCACCTAGAAATGATGAACGATCCTAGCAAAAAATTTCAAGAAAAACCTTAAATCGAGCAAGTGGATCAAAATGGCTCACCATAAATTTTGATGGTAATTTTTCGATTTAAAATTTGTATAAAAGCGATATGTATGAAAATGCATGGAAGACCATCAATGTTTGTTATATTTTGAGTAATATCGGCCAATTGACAATAGTAAGAAAAAATTAAATTTTCGCTCGATAGACGATTTAGGTGAAGTCTTTTCGAGAAATTTTGATTCACATCATCACTTCTGAGTTGTAAAAATCGGCAGAGAATTCCTATTATTACCTGAAAAATTCACGGTTCTAAAAATTATAACCTTGCGAAGGTCTAATATTCGGGCCCACATTTTAAGTCTATGCATATATTTTAAATGGCACTTCGACTTGGAGTTACATAGCCATAGAAGCAGAGATGAGTCGCCAGCATCACTCGAATTTCTGAATGGCAGACCTATCCCTGGAACCTCAGGGTCATTTGTTAAAGTGAATTCACCGTTGTCTGATATCTCTTCTAGCCTTGATCGACGCTACTAAGGAGCGAAGGATGGAGGCAGAAATATTGTTCTCAGATTCCCAGCTTCTAGATTTGACTTTTAACGACCCCCTTCCCCCCACAACATATCATTCGGCGATGTTGTTTCATCAAATCTCTCATGTCTCTTAATCGAAATGAAATCTCAGTCAATGGGTAAAACAAAACCTCAATTTCTTTATAATATTCCGTATTTTCGCCTCTCCGAAGATTTTTATCGAAATAATCTTCGATAATGAAAAATAATTGTCGGTTGACGTCTTTATTAAGTTCAGCCAAAAGAAAAGTATTTGTCAGTGATGAGATTTGCTCGATATATCCAAATAAATGTTCAGCGCGTTCTGTTCTTCTTTTGCTTATCAACCATCCCTGAAGAAAATAGTGTCCTCAGTAGATATTTATTCTTTTTTATTTATTTCCTGTATTGCATCCACTTTTTTTCCAACAGCTCTCATTAGACTCTTTCCGCTGGCTTATCGGACGAGAAAATTCTGTCATAGATCGTCTATAAGATTTCTGAATAAGTCTGCATCCGCAATTCAAAATAAGAGCTACTGAACCAATAATTTTTTTCACAAATCTGCTTATCTATCTATAAAATAAATGTAATATTCATGTGGAATTCAATCTTCTCTTCTTCACTAGCTTTCACCATTATCCGTAGGCTCGCTCTGCTAGCCACAGTGGTAATCTTCAAGCTGCTTGATCTGATGCCGTCGCTTTTTTCACCGTCTTAGTCCATATATCATTGGTCCTCCTATATATTGAAGATCTTCTATCTACTCCATCAGTCCAGTGATTTGCTCATCTCGCTTTTGACGCCATCCATCACAAAAGAACGAAATATACGTCAATCTCTGTGGTGAGCGATTGTGAATGTGTTCTAAAACCAGCGAAGGCGATGCTCCGTGATGGTAATATTAATGTTTGGTGAAGTCTTTGTGGAGCCATCACGAAGTCGCCATAAAAAATCGCATCTGGAGGTGGTATTTGAGCGGAGGTAGATGCAATCATATGAGGTTTTGTCGGCTCATCGAACTCGCAAAATTTATATGACCTGATGACCTGATTGCTACACAAAGACTTCATCAATCGGAAGAATACATTTCTAGCTACCGTTATCCGAATTGTAATTTCATCTATTGGCCATTTCTGACCATGCGGTATTAGAATGAATAATTAAGGTATTTAAAATCAGACACTTCTTTAATCGGCAATGAATTTATAAAATAGGTATTTTATTAGCTTCTTTTACACAAAACAAAAAGGCTTTTATTTTACTTACATTGACTCCGATTCTCGCTGCAGTTGTTGACTTATTATTTAGCATTATTTAAAAGGACTACATCATCAAGGTATTCAAGATCTGTGATACGATATTCTGGACTGATTTGGACACCTCTTGAGTGCCGATAAGCGATGTCCATTATCCAGTCCATCGCGTAGTTGAATATTATAAAGGAAAGGGTGGAGCTTTGACGAACATCAATTCTCATTTTAAAGGATTCTGTCAGTTCCCCATGTACACAGACCTACGCACAACGTACGCTCATAAAATGCCTTTATTAATCGAATGATCTTCTCTAGAACTGTCGCGTTACATCATCCCCAAAGCGCAGTTCTATTGAGCAGTTGCAAAATGGTGAAACATGGTTGATTGTAGGTATTTGAAACGATGACTTTATTTCTTCCTTGATGTATCTGGTTAACATAACTGGGTCCTAGTCTAAATCCAGCTTGGTCAGGGCGCATCTTGCTGTTTCGTAGTAGGTAATTGCCACAGTATATCCTGTCATTTTTCTTGGAAATTGGGAGCAGAATTAGTTTGCTCCAGCCATCTGGTATTATTTCTTTTTTCCATACCAGAAAGGACGACGAACATTTGAAGAGTTCGGCCTGTAGACTATCTTCTCCGGAGTTTTAATGGCCTTAAATTTATGGATAATAAAGATTATTTCTTCTTCTGTTGGCTTTAAATTTTTTTATATTATATAATACTGTATGGCAATATTTCACGAATTGGAAGTTTACAGTTGCAAATATGGCTCGATGAGTGAATGAACTATGTTTGAGACAGCAAATGACGCATTGTAGTTAAGTTTGCCCTCAAAGAATTTTTTCCACTTTATAAGGCAAACAGCCTTAACAGGTGCACCATATCCCATTTCACTGGCCATTCTCCGAATTATAGCTTCTTTAATGAAGAACCGCCGACTCCATTTTTAAGGTGACTCCACTAGGATTTCTGCCCGGCTTATTATCATATACAATTCAATTAATATTTGTTCGTTACATTTCATAATTTATATATCTCTTTCCTTAAAAAAATTGAAATTAATGAAAACTAACCAATCTATTGTTTCCTATGTTTTTTATATTATATAATATTGAATGGCAATATTTCACGAGTCGCTTTTCATATTTTTTGCAAAATTCTTTTAAAATTCTTTCTATGAAAAAATTAGTTTGCTGAAAAGAAAAAATTCGAGGACTGATCATTCGGATTATAGACCTGAAGTTATTTGATTTAAATGCAATGCAATGCTTTTCCCAAAACGAATAGAAATCACAAAAGAACCATAAACAGCCAGCGTGGAGCCTCAGCTTAAAAAGATTTGCAATGCATCGGCGAAAATTCGTTCGTCGGCAAAAAATTTGAGTTTTATCTTTCTTGCTATCATCATCATTATTGTTATTATTGCCACTATTTCCTATTACCATTTTTTTTATTACTGTCATTGTTGTCAACTGTTACTACTTAATAACGCTAACAAGTTGCTGTTATCACCATTTTTATTATTATTACTACTATTATTATTATATTATTATCATTATTATTATTATTACTAATATTATTATGGGAAATACCTTTGTGGAAAAGTGCAATGTATGTTGGATGAAAATTGATAGTGATATATATTCATCGTTTGGTACTTTCTTTACGGTCAACGGAATCGTTAAGAGTTCATTCAGTTTTTTTACAATAAACTTTTTAAGGTGAATTATACTATTCACCGATAGTAATGCCTATAATTTTATAATTTTTTGTTCAACTTCCTTATTTCGAACAATCATAATTCATAACTAATGGTATAACTTTCTCCTTCTTATAAACATCATCAGATCGGAAGATTTGGAAACGTGTTATCCTAGTCGCGAATGGAGCCACCCTTACCAGCAACAGTGCCAGCCACTAGAAGAAGAATAAAACCGTACTATTTCTATTTCTATTTGGCTTACTGAATTGGTCATTTGGCTCTTTCTCTTTATTTATAGCATTTTAATATAAAGGTCGAAATTCAGTGAAAATGAAAAATTATAAAAAATGAACGATATTTAATTTTATTTTAAAGAAATTTTCAAGCATACTTTTACTGAATCGACATTCACTGTAAATAATTTCATCTTCGAATATTGAATGAGATTGTCACTCAAAATCTAGATTAAATATATTATAAATTAGTTAATAATGGTAATAATAAAAATGATTTTAATAATGATAAAAATAATAACGATAATGATAAATAATAATATTGGCAATAATGATGATAATAAGTAACAAATAATAATGATAAATGGTGGTAAATAAATGATAACAAAAATAATAATAATTAATAATAATAACAATAATTACAAATAGTAATAATAACGAAATTAAAATTGCTTTGTTGTTGTCAAAAAATAAATGAAAATAATTGATATAGCAAAAATTACCGAAATTATTTTATAAATGCAAATTATAATAGATGAAAGATTTGTTAAATCGAGATGAATGAAATCCTCATACAAGGCTTTATGAATAGCAATAAAATTAACGGCTGATGGCAAAACTTTTTCATCAGCTTTTATCACACTGCTTTTATCTTCTTCCATGGCAAGTGAAACATATCGTACGCTTAAGCTCCTGCAACTTACTCTTTCAGAAATGTGCAGTACATTTGGGCTTCTGATTTATGTCCTAATTTATACTGTCAAATATTTAAGTAGTCATAGATACAATAAAAAGGTGTTATTTAAAATACCTCCACGTATACGTCCAATAAATAATACAAGAAGTAAACCATTGCTCATACTGATATAATTCGGCATTTTTAATCCTAAAATAACTCGTCTCATCGACTTCATGAAACATTTGCAAGGGCAAGCATTTTGTCCAAGCACATATTTCAGCAATAAATCTATTAATTATAAAAACAAAAAACGAGCAAAACGAGCACTGCATATTTACAATACTGATGTCTTCAAATTTAGACGCTGCAAGAGTTGAATAGATAAATAAGTGATGAACTTCCGGATTTGGTTTTTACAAATTTTATGTTTATATTATTTAAGGCAATAAGAAAATGATAATAGCCAAATGGCCATAATATATTTATATTCATTTTTTATATTTTCAAGTTCATTTGGGAATGAATTGTAGAATTGCTGTCATTTGGAAGCGCAGACGCTAGGACTTAAGCAAGAGTAAAGCTGCTCAAACAGTCTGGGTGGTGTATTTGTAAATTCCATCTATCGCGATATAACTCTCTTTATCTGAGAATTCAATGAAGCCTTAGCCAGAAATGGTGAGTGTTTTAGAAAAAAGATCCATTTCTATGACCATTTTATGCAGTCTCCATTATCAGTCTCTTAAATAACTAAATAATCCATGTATTACTAATTTTCAAACGTTTTTTTTCAAATTAACAAAAACTGTGACAAAAACGACCTCCTTAAATCCAAATTTTTATTTATAAATCTTGTAATCGAATAATTCGATCAAAGTCGATGAAGCAGAATACTTCTTCTAACAACTCGTACCATTACGCTGGCTCCACTGGCTAACGATAAAGCTTTTCCAGCCATTGTCATATTCGAGAAAGATAAAGAAATTTTTCTTCTAAACCCACATATCACGGGTTGCTTATATTCATCTTCTGACTAGATCAGTCCAGGTTTTCATTGGGTCCTCTTCGCTTTTGGCCCCATCATAAGGTTTGGCAAGTGGAAAGACAAGGCCAATCTTACGGTAAATGGTGAAGAAACGATGCTATAGAAATATATTAAAAGTTTGTGAAAATATGCTTTTTCATAAATCAAATTAGAAAATAATTTTAAAAAAATCACCTTGATTCTTTCCCAATTTCTGCCAAATTTTTAAAATCTTCGTATAATTTCATAGTTATTTTTGAAAATTCTTCCATTTCATCGCATTTATGACTACTTAATTTCTTCAATATTTCAGCCACAAAATTGCAACAGATTTTACTTATCTGAAATAAATTTTCTACAAATTTGTTGTCGCCACTACGGAACGCTGAGCTGGTGTTGTATATTCTCGCCAGGATCTGCCTTTCAAAAATTTAAATTCTGCTAGTGATCTATCTCCCCAGTTCTATCGCCAAGTGTGAAAATTTGGCCGGACAAGTCAGCCGAGCAAACCAGCATAACCACAGATGATTAGCTATCTTCATGAGAAAAGTGATGTATTAATTCTAGTATTCTAGTACCTTTATTCAAACCATTTTTATTTAAATTATTAATTATTAATTATTATTTATTATTTATATTATTTATTTATTATTTAATTATTATTATTTATTATTATTTATTTATTTATTTTATTTATTAATTATTTATTTTTTGGATCCATAAGTTAATTTTACTTTTTCGTGAATAAATATTTCTTCCTTGCTTCTTTTCTTCAATTTTAGGATTGCTAATTGACCAATTTAATTGACCTGGTTGTTAAAATATTTGAAAAACTCACTATACCATCGATGGCAGAAAATATGACGAAAATATAAGAAATTCCACATGAACCAAACATTTTCACATAATAATCACTAAACTTTATGAGGGAATTCAAAAAATTTCTCATCGATGACGGAAAATTCATTTCACATTCTGATAGCCAATTCATTATGTCACGCTAAAAGATAGCAGACTTTATAATGAGATAAATGGAAAAGATTTGCCTAAAACTGGATTATATCACATGAATGGACGATAATGGACGATCAAAATAAATATAGATGCCTTGGTGATATATGAGATTATACAATGAAAAGAAACGGTAATTAATTTCAGGCATCGAAACTGCGCAGTCAGATTACTGAACACTAATACTCCAAACGACAATATGACTGAATCGGAAAAGATGATGAATCGGAAAAGATGATAAGCGAAACAAGTAGGTGGATCGGAATACCATACCCTTATAAGTGACTTCAAAATGCCAAGAAATTCATCAATCAGCGAAAACTCGGTAAAATTTTGCCATAATTCAAGGCGAAATAAACGATAAACCAATCTGAAAGAAAAAATATTATTGCATTCAGTCCAGAAATCAACACCTTTAGGAATTTTAGACTATCAACCAACTCAATTTTCCTGCCAAAAGTTGATAATTCTGCTGAATGGTCTGTTGGAGGAAAAAATTGCAAAGAACATTCAGATGCCAAAATTCGTATGTGGTTTTTCAGTGAAAGCTCGAGACGATTTAACTGGAAATTTCATTTATTAATTCACAAATCTACTTAAATCTCGGTTATACTCAACTGAATGATTTAGAATTTTAATGAGAGGTAGGTCAACGATTTTTGGAACAAGAGAGGCGGGCCAGAATTGCGATATGTCGTGTCCATTCCAGTGCTATTTTTGAAGATATGATCCAGCATCACCCTGAATCGAGCATTTTGCTTGATTATATGAGGGAAAAATAATAATAAACCGACTAGCTCGGCTACTTTTAACACATTTCTTATCTGAGACAACTCAAAATATCCAACGAAAATATCGCCCTCTTTTATTAAAATAAAAGTTTACCAATGATCTATTTAATGGTAGGCTTGATTTATTATATTTGCATAATTCAGCCATAGCTTTTGATATAGCACGTGAATTAAGAGTTATTGTGGAATGATCCCATTCAAGCAAAACCATGAGTATCCTTAAATTATAAACTGTTAAGGGTATTAAATATTCATCAAAAAAAGTATGAATTATTTATTAAAATTTCAAATTTCTCCTGTACCTACAAATTTTTCTTAAAAGGCAGAAATAAATTTGTTTAAAATTTGTGTTCAAAATTGGCGAATGATCAAACATATGTTGCAGCTTTGCTTGTTTCCTAAATGCATAAATATCAGCTAAGCTTAAAAAGTTGCAAAGGAATTGGTTTGATTTAATTTCGATTCCGAATATCTCAAACTTAATGCCAAAAATGGTGTCGGAACGGAAAGTTGAACGTGCATAATTTTAGAAGTCACTTAAGCCAAGCGCATCCGTTCAATGAAAAATTCTCAATAAACAGTTGAAAAAGCATTGTTATAATATTGTAATAGGGGATCGAGGAGATTTTAAGCTTTTCTTATTTTGTATTAAAATTGCTTTTGCTCTAATTCATCTTTGAATGGCCCGAACCATCTATTGTTAATTAGGCTGGTTCCTTTGACTGTAAGGAAAATGTGATTCTTTCTGCCTAAGGCATATTTTATATCGATTTTTCTCTGCTTTTTTAGCATATTAAATTTTTCATATTAAATTTTATTATCAGTTTTTCCATATTGTTATCAGTTCTACATAGAATTCCTCGTTAATGCCAGAGAACTTACATAACATGTCGAAGCATTTGTGAATTTTTAACAAATCGGACCATTCTGTGAAGTAATGCATCACTAATATCCTTTAAACATCCATTATATTCATCATGGTTCTGCTGAAGTAATATAATAGGTTTAAATATTACAAAAAAAACACATGATCTTTGATATTTTTGCAAAAGTCTTTTCCGCTGTCTTGTTTAATTTATTTCATAGCCTTAGGCTAAAAGAATATTGTATTGCCGGGTGCAGTAGAGTGCAAATTTTATGAGATAACTGAACTGAACTGAACCTCGGAATGAAGATTTGCGTCTGCTTCTAAAATTGTTTTTGTGAAGTCGAGAAGATCCCCAGCTAGTTCATCGGAATTAAGATTGGTTGAAACTGCTTCAAAACCTTCTGCATTATTCGTTACGCTATCTGGATTTGATTCGTTGGATGAATCGTTTTCATCCGCCGATCCATAATAATGAATTCTATTATAACTTTTTCGCTAAAAAATTCTGTTAAATGCCGCCAAACTATTATAATTGAAATCCCAAATTTTTAACGAAATTTTATATTTGGCGACAAAAAAAAAACATACGAAAATCCGAAATCTTATAGTAACGTTTGGAAGAAATAATGTTAAAGGCAGCTGAATCCACGAATTCATCCAATAATCAGATAAATTTATCTCATAAAAATCATATTTACTTTGCCACAATCTGCAAATGTGAATTATCATTTAAAATATTTTATATTAGCTAATAGAAAAATGGATTGATTTTGGTGATTTTCAGATGTGTTAGAGGACCCGTAAGCTTGGAGAAACCTTATCCTTGTAGCCAGAGGAGCCAGCAAAACTAACAATGGTGTGCATTTTTGAAAGAGACCGCTTTATTCGTTTTTCAAATTGGGCTAATTATCTAAATATTAATTAATGGACTTATCACAACAACAATCTGGTGATCCGTTTCAGAAAAATGGGATTTTTGACATATTACCCGCAATCTCTATTCTTTACCTCCTCAACTCCTTGCGTCCTCGAGGTGACATTGCATTCACAGTTTTGATGAACCCTCCTCCATAAAATTACCATTTTACCATATAGCACTATTTTTCAAATTTTTACACTTCAAACCTTTCGAAACCTCCTATACTCCCTTAAAAGGCTTCGAAATCCCTCTTTGTTCTCCTTTTATCAAACATTGCCGTATTTTAATTTTCTTCTTCAGAATTCAATTTTCTTCAGAATCTTCACACTATTTTAATCTGTTAAACGATATTAAAGCCTTTGATAAGTTCCTCAGAACCTGTTATTCGCTCAAAATCCAGTTAATAATCCTTAAATCTTGCTAAAGCGCAATGCATTCTTTTATTTAAACCAAATAGCAAAACATCAGTTTAAATTCCCTAATACTGTGCAAACTGAGCAAAATTCCATTATGGCACTTTATTACTTAATCTATTATCTTCTTTTGTCGCATCCTATTAATACTTCTATCCACGAATCCATTAATATTTCCTAAAAAAATAATATGAGCCAAAAGCCCATAAAATTCCAGCCTGCGGCGTTGAAACTTTTTGATACCCCCAAGATATCACATCCTCGCCATAATCTATTAACATAGAACAAACTTATTTTAATACCAGACCCAGTTATAAATTTTTTCCATATGCTGTCAAACATCACTGAGTGTTTTTAGCCTCGGCTTTAGTTAAAAGGCACCATGGTAAATAGGAGATATAGCAGGAGAATTAAAAGGTTGTGGGGAAATTTGCTGAGCCTGAGACTGGTGCGTGAAAGCTCGGAAGGTTGGTGAACGAATAATGTAAATAATAATGAAAATATTAAATATCAGTTAATTTCAACAAATCCACTACAAATCAACTAACACAGAATTTGAATGCATTTCGACAATATAAAAATTCATAACCAACCATTGAAATTATCATATTTAAAAAAAAACTAAGAAAAAGATGGCTAATAATTATCTTTATGATTAGATTATGATTAGGCTCGCTTGATTGGCCAGTAATATGGATACTGTTAGAAAGTTACTTGGCGATAGAACCACATGTGGGTCGATAGCACCATCTATTTTTTAATGGCATGTTTAATCGCGTGGAAATAAGAATAGAATATCTAATTCTTAATATAATAGTCTGACCAACAAAGCACAAATCCAATGTATTATAAGGAGAAAGAAAAAGCTAGAGTTATTTAGGATAGAACAAGCATAGAACAAGCTATAATTATAGAACAAGCTAGAGTAGATAGGTTATTTAGGAAATTTTTCACCTATCTATATAGTTGGTAGGAATCAGAAATCACTTATTTACATAATCAGTCACCCTATAAGAAGAAAAAGGAATATTAAAAATTATTTCAGTCTATCTGTTACTAGCACCTGCTATTAGTCAGCATATTTACATATATATATATATATATATATATAATCAGTACCAACACACTGCTGGATTATAGATATTTTTTTAACTGCTCAGCATTTTTATAAAAAAAGTCCTTGATCAAGTAAAATTATTGTTATGCGATGTGGTACGACTGGTTAACAAATGGTTCTGTGAATTTTTCATGGCGCATTTTCTTTGGATTTAACGACATTATACCTTTTTAGAAATGAATCACTCTTGTGCCTTCTTAGAATCTTATTTGGTGACAAAAATTTCCGCACATCTGAATGTTTGCGACGTTTATGATCACCCGTAATACTCTGGTTCTGTGAATAATTTTTTCCAAGATTTTTCTTCTCTTCTGCAAATATCTTTAATTTGCACTGCATCGAGCAACCAATACCACTGAAATAATTTTATTCATAATTTCAACTTAAATGGTCGAAGAAGTAAACTCGCCTCTGCAATTCTTATTCTCGGAAACAAAACTCGTTCTTCAAAAATCCAACTCTTTCACAGTTTCACTCGTTTCAGATGGTACTTTGCATGCTTTTTTTATTCTAATCTATAACAACATCTAACCTATTGGTGCCGCGAGATGTTACCAGACTGCCATACAAATCTGCTTTAATTTTGGGCTCAGTAGTGCAAAATCTATCCATCCATCCAGGCAGACAGACAAGTACTTGTAACTCGCAAAATAATATGACAAATAACTTACAAATAGTAATTTTGTTTAGTGTTGCTGATAACAAAATGTTTTGCTTGAAATTCGCCAGCATTTCTCTCTCTGAAAATTATTAAAGTACTGCGTTTGCTTGGTAGAAATTTATTTGAATTTTTTAAAATGAGAATCTCTTTTAAAAAATTTATTTGATGCTCGAGTATAAAATTTATAATAACAAATTTCATTTCCAATACTCCTAAGGAGGAAAATTTATAAGTGTTTCCTTCTGTTTTTTTTAACAGCCCTCACCATTTCTAATTAGACTGGTTTGTTCCTCTGGTTTGTCACACCAGAGAGTCACATGGCAATAAAGCAAAGGTGAATCACCAGCATATTTGAATTTTCGAAAGACTTTTCATTCACACCAGAAGTAGGAACCGAGCACTGGGCCTCCAAAATGAAAGAGACAATTCACGGAAGTAATTTTGCCTTCTGTTTCATCGTATATATTTCAGCTTATTTCAGCTATTACATAATTTCGAACAAAACATGAATTTAAGCACCCATCCCGAGGATTTATGAGAGAGCAGTGAAGTATGTAGGGTGCCAGTTCGAATGACTCTCATTTTCACTCTTTTTATTCTCTTTTCATATTCTAAAAAGTGCACTAATCGGACTGTAGGCTAATCCCATATAATAAATAAGCAATTTGAGCTTGGCTCACCTCACACATCTGTGAATTATTGCAAAGCAAAAAATGCAATGAAAATCTAACTGCTGAATATGAATGTTGAATGTCTGAGTTGCTGCACTGATGAGGCGTAGTTCAATCCAATATTGAGCCTGCAGTATGATTTGAAAGTTTAGTTAGAGAGGGCCCTCACCAAATAGTCATCTGAGGATAAAGTTGATCTCCAGCAGCACTCAGATTCCACATTTACTCACGTTCGACGTGAGACAGGACGAGAGATGATAATTTGACAAAAGATCGAGCCAGTATGCTCATCCTTTGTCAATATACTTTAATACAAGCAGTATATGGTTCGAAATTTTATTTTTTTAATATTTTTGATGAACTGATATTTCTGATTTAAGATAATAGAAAAAATTTTAGAAAATTTAGGATGCTACTTCAGTGTTTCTATAATAAAACCTGAGTAAGAGAAAAGAACGAACAGATCGATCAAGTTTTTCAACGAGAGCACTGTGTTCATTTTCATCGAAACCAGTTACCTTTAATAAAATGATGAAAAAATAAATAAGAAGAGAGAATGATGCAGAATAATACTGTGCCTAAGGTTAACTTAGTCCTATTTTTCTTTGGGCCCGTTTCGCTGACCTGTCGGACCAGAAAAATCCCTCCATTTGGTGAGAGAAGTGCAAGTGAGTCGCCAGCATCATCCGAAATTTTAGAAGACAGATTTACTTATATTTGCCGGAAGCAGAACCTCAACAAAGCATTCCAAAACGAGAAACAACAGCAACCCACTGAGCGATTCTCATTCTCAGACTATTGTATCCTTGAGCGATATCAACGATATCAATATTAAGAATATTACAGTAAGATTTACGCCTTTTCGGATCGATCATCTCAGTTAATCTCATTTTTTAAATGAAAATCTCGAAAAAAATTTTAATAAAATAAACTTTTTGAAGGTAATCGAGTAATTGCTGCGGTTCATACCCGATTCGTTCATCTTTTCCATAGTCGAGAATCGATGAAACCACTAAATAATAACTCCTTAAATGCATCATTGTCGATAAGCTTATCAATTAGGGTTTATCAGTAAAATAAAAATGAGATTATTTTTTTCCAACGATTTATTGAACTTTAACCGCTTTCATATATTTCTATATAAAAACTGCAGCTGTAATCTTTACGACTTATAATTCGAAAATTCAGCTCGAACTTCGTAAATCTGCTTCAACTCTCCAAAAATTCGAACTCTCGAGATGGACTAGTGGCGATATTTTTGGCTAACGACTCTGCTGTACCTCTGATACTTCACCAGGCTGATAGATAAAAAGCGAGGATGATCACTGAGCTCTTACACAGAATACGCTTTCATCTGGATATCGAACAGGCTTCTTGAGTACTATTAGAGTCGCAAATTGTTTAAAAACTTTCCATTTCTTCCAAAATTAGCCAAATTTTGTCAAAGTTTTCCTGAAATGGCGTCCTATATGCCCTTCGGTCGTTTCTTTTCTGCTCGCAGAATGCCACTTCAGCCTGATAATGCTCCACTCTTCCAAACCTCTCTCTTTCAAATTTCGCTCTCTCTAATTGTTCTATACCATTATCATTAACATTCCATGAACTCCGCCAAGTTCCCAAATATCGCTGCTAACTGTCTTAAGATTACAAATTATCGGAACCTGTAATATGACCCTTCACACCTCCAAATCTTCTTTAACACCCATTTTACCACAATGCACCGCGAAATTTTACTGTAAGAATTTAACGGCTACCAAAACAGTGACCATGGTGTCGAAGAAATACAAAGAATTCCGAGTAAATATCAAGAAATGTGTAAAAATTTGAAGGAAATTCTACTGCCTATAAAACAAGCTTTTCACTAACTTCTTGACTTTAAATAAAACCTGGGACCGCAAAATTACAGATAGGGCCGTGGCCATATTTATTTTTCAGCCAAAATGTTTCAAGAAAATGAATGAAATTTGTTTCTGAGATCTTTTTCTTTGGCTTTGTTGATCATTCTTTGTTATTTGTTTATTTTGGTGCTATTAAGTTGATAAATATTACGATTAAGTTTGGTTCCGCTGGCTCCGTGTCGGACCAAAGCAATGTGTCACCAGTGAGTCACCTCACGGTAGAAGTATGTGTGAGTCGCTAGCACCAGCCGGAATTTTGTTTTTCTTGCTTACTCACTGTTTTTAGCTTAGCGCATAAGCAAGCTTTGCTTCTTTTTAACGCATGAGCACTTCACTTTGCTTGTTTCTTCTTCTTATTTGCTGGTCAGCCGGGTTATTACTATTTCTCCTTCTTTAACCGGTTTCTAATTTAAATAAATTATTATTATTTATTACTCAAATACATTCATTGCATGGCACGAATTTATGCTTTTTTCACTGTAGCAATTGCTTATTTGATTAATTTTTTATTGTTTATTTCAAATTTTTCAAATTTGTTTAATTTAAAATAGAAAATATTTAATATAAATGGATTCGGCGATGTTAACGACTCACCCGCTCTTCTGTCGCCGAATGAATCTCTGACTGATCTGCCAAGCCAGCAGAGCGAAGGTGGTGAGCGCTTTGAGAACAAAAAAATTTCAAAAACAAATACGTGAAAAGTGCGGTAAAAATTAAAATATAAAAATATATTTGAATTGTTTGAATGTTTGGAATAAATTTGAAGCAAAAAATATATTAGTGAATTTCATAATATTTTAATACGTTATATTTTCAATATTATCTTAAATATTTAAATTTTCAAATGTTTTGAAAAAATTTGTTTGAAAAGTGGAAATGGTAGAAAAATATTTATAAAAATAGTGAATACTTGCATTAATTTTTTGTTTTAGTTATGTTATTCAATAGGCGATATTGTAATAAGTTGCTTATTGAACGAGCAAATGGAATAAGCTTGCCAATTATCGCCAATTTTTTGTGCAGCAACAGTGGAAAAGCAGTTCAACGAGAAGAAATGGCCAGGACACCAAAAACTGTTGTATTGTTACTTCATCATGGACAGCCTCGGACATTATTTTATGCTCGCGAATATTTAACGAAAAGCACAAGCGATTTTTTCAAAATCCCTAAATGGTTAGCTGCGTAAGTCATTTTTCTTGTTTTTTTCATTAGTTTTTGAAATTAAATTGTTTGAAAATATTTCCAGTTCTATTATATATAAGTTTTCAGGACATTGATAAATTCAACATGGCGATTTACAAGTAAAACTAGGCGAGCCGTTATGAATTATAAAGAAGATAAGGCATTAAACGGTATTATAGAGAAATATTCAATTTCATTAGAAAAATGCTTAAATGAGGTAATTCCCGAATTCGGACCGATTTCTTGCAAATATGCATTTCTTTATGAAAATCCAAACGTTAATGATACAATCACTAAACTTATTAGGTAAATTATTTAGTAATTTATTATGTTATTTTATTACTTAACTTGATTTTTCATAATTTTTCTCGCAATTTTTGTGGTTCACATTGAATTCTTTCCATTTTTTTATTTTTTAAGAATATTTTTTTCTTTTAAGAAATGGAATGGATCGAATTGTTTTTGTTCCTTTATATCCTAACTATTCTTGTTTTCAAACGGGATTTTTGCTTAATGCAGCCGTCAAAACAATTCGAAATATTACTGTCGCATTGCCAGAAAGTGTCGAGACAAATGATTCACATCGAATAACTCCCATGTCTGGTGTTTCATTTGACTGCTCAGTGGTTGATAGATGGGGTACTCATCCTGCCGCTATCTGTGTGTGTTTTTCTATTGTTGTTTATAAATTAAAGCGGTATTTTCATATTCTATTGAACCTTAAATTTTGAAATTTTATGATATTTACATTGTGACATCGCTCTATTGTAAAATTCGATCTATCTAGTGATCGCAAAGTACCTGAACTGAATTGAATCTATTATCGCATACCTGGCAATCTGGCTTGAAGTAAAATAAGAGATGGATTCATATAGCAAAAATTAGGATTACTGTAGGGTTCGAAGGAAGAAACAGATTGCTGCTAAAATTCATATGGATTTATGTGAAAGAGGTATTTTGACATTTGACATCGCTCTAACACTTTGACTATGATCTTCTGAACACGCGAAAAGTATGTAATATAACTTTGTCATGATGTATGACAAAAAAGTCTGACGAAATTCCCAGTTGTCCCTCCTCAGGACATAAAATAGATTTCATTTCATGTATATCCTGATTTCAGTTCTGGCTGGATCATTTGAATGGTAAATCGAGATTTTTTGACAGTGTATTATTCGTTGCTCCGCGATTGGTATTTTTTCATATTTTGCTCCATATTTTTCTTGAAATTCTAATATTCTACGGCCACAATTTGTGCATATATTGTAGTATTTGTACAATGCAAAAGAATATGAACGCGAAGTTTGGAGCAATTGCCAACGAATTATGGATCATTTGGACAATAAAGTATGGTGTCTCGCATGGTATAGTGGATGGGATCAGTGGATGGTTCCATTCTCGGAATCAATTTCTTCACAATTACAGTTCTTGCAAAAACACGGAAGATTTCATACTGTTGTTGTACCAATAAATACTATATTGCCGACTTTCGATTCTGAAAGCATTCTTCCTTATCTCTTGCAAAAGATGGTTATTTTATCATTATTTTCTTCGACTATAAAAAGTTCTTATCAATTGGTAATAAATATTAAATATTTTAGGAAGTAGACTTGGCGCATCCAGTCGATTTTTCTCTAACATTTCTTCATGCCTTTGCTGAATTAATTAAAAATCATTTGCTTGGACGACCCAGTTCAGCTCAGCTGTCAATTTTTTGTAAATATTGTTTTGATAAAAATTGTGTTTCTACGCGAGAAATTTTGACAAATAGTATTTTTTCGAATGTAAATAAAAAAATAGGAATGGAAAAATCAACAGTAATTGTATAAATATTTACAAATATGCTTCTTTCTGCATTGAATAGTTTGTTAGTTTTTAGGATATAGTAAATCTATGTTCCACACTATTGCTCTGTAGTGCCTTAAGTGCCTTTGGTTCCTCAATTTTTTATTTTTAGCAGATCCATAATTTTTTGCTGGTTTCAATTACGAAATTCGTTTGGAAAATTGTTCGGTTATCACCGTCATTTTGTATTCTCTCTCACCTGATTAGGTCATATCGAATTGATATTCTTGTAGTTTTATCGTCGTTCTAGATAAATATTGTTAACTTGGTCAAGATAATCTCAATACATAGCAAATAACCCGGTTTTCATCTTTCTTATTAAAAATAGATTCGTAAAATCATTACTCATTAATTTCTTCTATGTATTTCTTTATCATTTTCGTTTAATACTAAAACTTTAGTGGAAATATTCTCATCATTAGATTCAAAAAAATTTTATAATTCCATGTAACATAATACTTCTTCAATACAATTATAAATATAAAATGAGATAAAAACAACATTGAACTATAAAAAAAAGAAAAAACGAAAAAATTATGTAATCGAAGAGAGGTGAAGTACGATATACTGATCACAACAATGATAATTTCGATAGTTGGCTAGCCATACTTTTTTTGTCATTTCATATGAAATTGGCATTTTTGTTTATAACGAAGATAAAGTTACAAAATAAAAATCATTGCTTGCATAACTTGGATAGCTTTACCATACCAAACAGCATATAAAATATTCAACCCTGTAAACCATTTCTAATGGCTAATATCTGCTTCACATGAAAAAATTGATTCGAGAAGCAATGTCACTTTTCAGAAATAAATTAAGTATATAAAAACAATCAAAAAAATAAGGTATGTCTCGGAAAATTTTAAACAGTGAAAATAAAATCTAAAACGAATACCATCATAAAAAATTTCTAAGGCTCTGAACGGCTTATAAAAAATAACTGCGAAAAAAGATCTTAGGAAGAATAAAACATTCAATAGTAAAATAATTGTAATAAAATAATAATAAAATAAAATCGTAAATCATAAACTGGTTGAATGAAATACCACAAGAATCAATAATATAGCTTAATTTAAACAAAACAGTACCCGTTATGCAAATGATGTTCACTTAAATTATTGAGGAATCAAACGGAAAATCACGCTAATCTAAAGTTATATACAAATTCTTAAAACCCTTTGTACATTAAAGTCATAAGTTAATAAAATATCACTAAAATAAGATGAAGATCATAACCACCAAATTTTTAAAGCTTTATAATGAAATATTCTAATATGAAAACTCATAAATAGTGAATTAATGTTGATTAAAATGATATACGTAATTTTGCTAAAAATGAAAGATAAAACTATCGCTTGGAAATAATAACTCTTCCAGAAAAAAATAGATAGGGCTAATGACTACCAATCTACTGAACCAAAAAATCCAAGAAGAATACTCGAAAACTGGAATGCCTTCATCGATAAAGACCATTTAAACGAATATATTCCACAACTGAATCGCCTGTGCAATATTTTATTGACTGACCACGACTTACTGCTGCACGTAGACGTGTAGAACTAATATCATTAGGCATTATATCATCTTCGAAAAGAAATACATTGGACAGAAAGTTATCAAGAAAATTCAAATTTTTTAGAGTCTGTTTGGGGTCAGAACCTTGACGTTTCAGCACAACCAAACCTAAAGTATTACTATCTATTAGATATTAAATATTATTAAAGTATTATTAGTAGTATAAGTAATGTGTTATTGTATATTAAATATTACCTATTAAATTAAACAATTTATTAGCGAAGACCATAACTTTAGAGAATATTATGTTAAAAAATTGTTTATCAATTTATATCAAATGAAAATGATGAAAAGGAACGCAAAAAATCGTCTTAATATGATATAATATGATCGTAATAATCTAAAAGTAAAAAGAAAAATATCTACCGAAATCGCGAACAATTTCGATTAAATCATTTGGTTCCCACAAACGTGCACCGTTACTCGTCAACTGTGGAAACGAATCAACGAAATCTCCACCGCACAATAACATCAAACGAGGAAGGTCTTTCCGACAATATTTAACCTCCAAAAGTTCCTTGAAATGTCTCAAAACTAACAGTGTACGCATCCAGTGACCCTGTGAACATTCCCACGGATCAACTCGAATCCATTTAGAATTAAAAACGGATAATTCGGCCATTTGTAATCTAAAATTGAAAATAATTCAAAAAATTTCAATATTTTATATGTGATAAAAATAAAAATTCGTACAACTAAGTTCCACATCTTTCATGTAATAAAAAGACAAACAAGGTGGCTTAATAAGAAATACTGAATTTAAATATAAAAAATAAATAAATATATAAGAAGTCTCAAACCATTTAAAATCAAATTATATAAGAAACGAATATTCAGAAAAAAAGATCTCACAGAAATTTGCTAATTTGGAAATTTCTTCTTCCAGTAATATTCACCATAGCTAATCTGCCAAAAATGAGTTAACGAGGTATAGGAATTAACTCTATAATGCCTCACCTCAGTCGATGTAACAGTTTAATCTATCAGTATGAGGACTTCTTCCTTCTTTTAACTAGCATTTTCTGATTTGGCTGACTTCTGACTACTGGATATGAAACTTCTTTAATTAGGCCATTAAGAATAAATACAGTCCCTAGCATCATAAAATAACAAGAAGAAAAGCAAACAAAATAAGGAATCTTTTATTTGACGCGAACTTTGGAGCTATACAATATTTATTGCAATATTTATTTATCCTATCTGCCAAAAAAAATGAAACACAGAATAAAATAATCAAAGATAACCTATGTTTAGCAGGAACCAAATCCAACTTTTTATATGAATCACCAACAGGACTGATAATACCTTCAACAACTTTATATCCGTGTGTATGTTCCATATAATCACGAGCACATTCAAACATACGTAAGTGCATGATTGTTGGTGGATTAAACGATCCACATGCAAGTAATGCTAACCTTTTGCCTTCCACCATATTCATCTGAAATTTAAAAATGCTCCAACATTCGTTAAAATCGTTTCCGTAAAGAACAACTAAAATAAAATATAAAATATCGATGATTGAAAATTTGAATACGTTTTATTTCGTTCTTTTCTTGCTGTTATCGGATGGATTTCACTTTTTCTATAAAGCCGTGATTCTCAATCGCTCGTGTAGTCTTCATATACTAACTTCTTAAAACATTTTCGACTGAATACAAAAAAAGGAAGATTCGAATTAAAGAAAGAGCTTCTTGTCTGTGAAATCTCTACTAAGCTCGCCCTCAAAAGAATTCTCATTGGCCGCAGCCTCATTAAAAATTTATTTTCAGTTAAAAAATTAAACAATTTTTTAGAATTTTAGAATTAGCTGTTGTACACTAAAAATTTAATTCACTAACAAATATTTGTTTATTTTATATTTCTCAAAATAAATTGGTTATCACAGTGATAACACAATGCAATAGCCTATCTGCAACCAAAATGAGAGAAATATCGGCTGATCTCGCACCGCACTCACCGAACAATCCAATTATAGGCAACGTAAGCAACCAAGCAATCCAAGAGCATCTATCTTAATCAAATACTTAATTATCTCGTACTACTTTTGGTTTATTTATTTCTCACCTAAAAATAAGGCCAACTGACCTCTCTCCCCTTTAAATTTCTACCTTAGGCCACAAAAGGATCAAAATTTCAATCAGTAAAATTTGACCAAATGCAAATTTTGGAGATGTGCCAAAATATTTTCCTTAGAAGGAAAAAATTATACGGCCGAAGCCATGGCACAGGCCGCCTTTTGTGGTGGATACTCTTCTTCAATGATGCGTTCTTAATTATCGGTAGTAAGAGTTGAAAATTGCGTAGGACAGCAGCTTTGCTGCTCCGAAATGGTAGCGACAAGCCGCTAAAGCATTCTATCACTTTTTGCTTTCTGCGACACTGTCGCCTGACGAAGTATGACAAGTATGACGGTCGGATCCGAACTCGAGCCACTCCAGCCGCAGCCATCTTTGCCACTGAGGTCCTTTCTTTTAGGGTGTTAAGCCATTTGGATCGACCGCTGATATTGATTAGATTACCTTACACCTTTATTTCCTTTGCAAATTATTTCTTCGTTATCGCAAACCCAGATGTGCTAGTCTCTAACACTTGTAAAGCATTCGTCCATTCTCCCGCAAATTTTTTAATTCTGGTTTCTAGCGCTGAGCGAGGAAGGTTAGGTTACAACACAATGGGATGACTGAAAATCCGATCTTTGATAATATTTCTCGTTTTAATTTGGTGCGAAGGGTGCCACTTTTGTGGTTTTCTTTGGACTGCCTGTTCGTATTGTTGGTAATCATTCTATCAGTTATTAGTTATCAGTCATCAGTTATCAGTTATCATGCCAGGGCAAATTGTTGAAACTTCGCTGAACTGCTATATAGCGCAGGAATTTCCACGTTGTTCGATATAGACGTAATGGCCATTGGTACTTAATTAAACCTTCATTCGGGTAGAGTTTGGCACTTCACATTACACAATCATATTATCGAATTCATTCTAATCTCAGTTCTAAGGTAAAACAGAAACGGTCTAATTTCACCCTTAAAATAATAAAAATAAACAATAGAAAGGAATGAAAGTCGGGAATCACCCTCCCGCGACTGGTGATCAGTCGTTCAACAAGAAATTCAGACATATATTTTTACTGAATAATCTAAGGTCATTGAATCTGTTTGACGTTTATGTCATCGATCCATTCATTGATCTTTCCTTTCGTCAATCAGTCAGTTTTCTGCTCTATTTTGAGCAGAGACCAGCTATATTCTATGACATATGGAATCGATTTATGGCGCACGAATAAGAGACCGATTTTGATAAAAATAAAGTAAGGGATAGCAAAGGTAAGGGAAATAATTGAGAAAATCCGCATAGCTTATCGCAGAAATGTCTTTTGAAAAGAACAAGCACTCTGCTAACCAACTTAATTAAACCTATGAAACCAATTACTTAATTAAGATTCACTATGTGTAAGGAACCATACCAGGACTTAATACTCACTTAACTGAGCCATATAGGGATGGAATGGCTCAGTGGCTTATTGCTCAATTCAGAGTGCCGATGCCGAGGTTCTATTCCCCGCAGGGATAAATTCTGATAAGCCAGAGGAACGAATCTACCAGGAATGATGAGTGGTCTTAAAAAAAGAGCCACACAGACTTAACATCGACTTGTAAATACAAAACTCTGCACGTCGCATTTGAGTAGACTCGACTCAGAAATGGTAATTTCTTGTCTGTAATGTCCCTCACTGGAATAAAACGCCTGTGAACCAAGTGATTTTAAAAGACTGCTGATTCACAATCCCCCTTAATAACCTCAGCTAATAACAAATTTTCACCGAAAACGGGCAGCAAATATCGCTCAAATAATATTTTCCTTACTTGAACTGTATTTACAATTTGCAAAAGCCATAGCAATCCACTTCAGTAATCAACGATACAAAAAAAAAAAATTTCAGCTCATTAGCTTTACGGTTTTAAATAATTTCAATTCACTGCTTCTGATGGCATTTAAATTTAGACTGAAATTATAAATTTTTAAAGGCCTTTCATATTAATATAATATATATTGAGAACCTTACATCTACCTAAAAGTAGTAGATTTTACAAAGTTTGATTTTACGAAGTTTTACAAAGTTATTGAATCATTTAATTTGTATCAACGAATTCTCTGATATATATATATTTATATATTTATTTTTATATATTATAATAATAATAACGTAGCCGCTCAGACTTAGCCAACAAGAACATTAGAATTAGATAAAAATTGGTAATATATTATCCGAGAGTGAGCATTCCTTATAAGCAGTTCGAGTATATTATTTTGTAATACTCCGCTTTCGTAATCCATGCGTATCAGCACCTCAATCTCTTCAGATGACTAAGCAGCTCTTAATACCATTCACCTCTATTTTGTTTCCTCCAATACCACGTCAAATCTTGCAGTTTTCCCATGGCCGCCAGTTGTAAATAATCGGAAAAGGGTAGAAGAGATAGAATTGAAATACCAGTGCTGAGGGACGATTAAATGCATTTTCGGGTATGCAGCAAAAGTGATGTGAAGCGAACATAATTTAAAAAAATTCTAAGGAAATGTCGATGTATCAGAATTTGAAGACAAACTGTGGGGCGAATTTTTTTAATACAATACAATAAATAATAATAAAATAATAAATACTAGAGAATCTGACAAAGAAATGAAAAAATGCAGGTCAAGCGTGGGACAAAAATTTCAAGTAGCATATATTTTTGTCCATTTCCTCGCTTTCGCTTCAAAACTTTCTTTGTTGTTCAGATAATGCTGCGCAATCCTAATATTCGTCGCATTTACTAAAAAGCCAAATTATTAAATGATCATATCGACTTAAGAAAACTGATTCCTTAAAAAGTTGTAAATTAATAACATTGGCAAATTAAATCAAATTTAACAATAAATTAAAAACAATTAATGAGTAAAGAAAATGAAAAATTAATAAAATAAGCAGTAAAAAAATATTTAAAAAATACCTAAATCGCACTGTTTCATTAAATTACACACCAAATGAAGAATTTGCTTAAGTGAAATCACTGGAGACCACTCAGGCCAAAATTTCTCAAGATTCACCAATCCATCGCCATCGACATTGCAATGATATATTTGCGTTAAAAACTTTACCTATAATTTATTTTTTAATGATCATCAGTTACAAAGGAGAATCATTAATTAAAAAGTTGAAAATTTACATGAGGCGGACCAAAAGGGTAATTCGTAAGCCTGAAATTGATATCCAAAAAGAAAACTCCTCCTTCATAAACGCTTCCTTTTGGCCCTTCAATGACAGCAGCCCAGTGAAGCAAATCGCCAGATGGACCAGCATAACATGGCATGGAATCATCATTGAATATTTCTACATTCTATAATGCCACTATAATCATATAGAAATCAACATATAGTGAAATATGGTTAAAAATATATTACTTCGAATCACTTAATGTTTTTTCTAAATTTTTTTTTGAAATCATCGCCATCAAATAGACCCAAATACAAAAAATTTTTATTTTTAAATTTTTAATATTGCGCAATCAACTTAAAAAAAGTAAATAAGAAAAAATAAAAAAATGGAGAAATAAAAAATTTGTAGCTGTGTTTTACAGAAACTCAAAAAATCTATGAATAAGACAGGTTGAATTCTTAACATAAAGCAATGAGTAGAACTTTAAAAAAACTAAATAATATCTAAATATCTATTAATTTTATCTGAAATAAACTTCTCTAAACAATCGTTGTCTTAGAAATAACTCTCGATCGTATGACCAAAAATCGCGTGAAAACAGCGGTCCGACGCCTTGAGTAGGCCACGATGCATCTGAATATGCCTCCTGCAGAATTAGATGATGATACTATATCGAATTAATCAGATGTCATCAGGTATCATAAAGTTAGAATTTATAATTTTAACAATTAACATAATCAACAAATTAGCAAAGCCATGGATGGGATTTTTTAAGAAATATTCACAAAGACAGTGAACCGCCTTCCCCTTTTTCCAATCCTTTTATTAGCAATAATTAATCAAAATTCCTCTTAACTTAATTCTCCTTTCGCCAACCAGAAAATCGACGAGCAGATCACCTCCTAGCAATCTTAGTGACACATCGAACTCACAATTTCTCTCTCAATCGAAAAAAACACCATAAAACCTTAGCAAAACTGAGTGCAATCACAAAACCATACTAAATAAAAAACCAACAAACACTCTCACCTTATGAAACGGCCTGCAATCCATTAACTGCACGGTTTTTCCCAGTCACAGTTTAACGAACGTAACTGCACGGTTCTTCGCCGCCGGAACAATGTATCGTTTAAAATCTGCTTGAATATTTTTTTTATTTTTGAATAGCTCTCAACTGAAAGAGGCAATCCGTTGACACAAATGCCGTTTTTCAATTATCTGAAATTTTTAAGCAAAAAATAATGCAAAAAGTATAGCATAAAGCTTACCGTTTAGATACATTAGATTCATTAATTACTAAAGAATTTTTCGTTAACAAAAGAAACCTTCAAAAAATGAAAATTTTATTGACAATGAAAAATAAACACAAAAAAATAACAGGAAAAAGAAACCTCAGCTGTGTTTTCTTTTAAGGAAATTCCTTCTATTAGATTGTTTATTAGTTTTTTGTTTAGAAAAGAAAGAGTAAGAAACGATGCAACGTTGAAATATTTTAATAAACCTAAAGCCAAAGTGCCAAAAACTTGAAAAAATAAAAAATATTTTATCCAAAATAAAAATGAGTAAACATGACAAATTATGAAGATCGTGGCACTTTATCGGGAAGGATAATAGCTAACAGCATAACAGCAAGAACCAACTCGATGCTAATTCTCTCGTGATAACTCTCATGAGTCCTGAATCCCACCTCTTAACAATGATAAGATGGTAGCTTGAGGGTAATAAGTCATTAATGAGGAATTTCAGAAAACCCCGTAGCGCGTCAAAGTGGCTCTCTAGCAGAGAAGAGACACAAAAAACCATCAAACAAATTCCATGAAATTCCTATCTATTCATAATTTTTTTAATTCCTATCTATAGAAACAAAGAATATAAAATTTTAAAGTACAGTAAAAAATTTTGAAATTATGCAAATAAGTGTTTCATCGCCAATTTGGACCATAAAATAGATGTAACCTTCTTGTAAATGTAACTTTTTTGGCTAAACTGCAACCTAAAATTACTGTTATAAGCCATTATTTGCATGCTTATGATTATACATAGCAAAATCTCTAATAAATTTAATTTTGTTCAATATTGTTCGTTAGAATAACGTTACATCGAAAATAAAATAATAAAGTGAAATACAGTTTAAAAAATAGAATATAAAAATTTACACATATGAATATTGTAAAAGAATGGTTTAATTCGTAATAATGATGAATTCAAATATCAAACCACTGAAAATAATAAAATATTATAATAATTAGTTTTATAAAGACAATAAATGAAAATTTAATTGTATGATTCCAACAAATGAACGTTAGAACTAAGGATAATCGAAAAATAATATGAAGAGATAAATATGTTATAAAATGTACCAAATATAAAAAGAATAATGGAGGATTCATTCATATCTTTTTTTTTTGAGGTAGGAACCTGTATATAAAATTATTACTGGCCAGAAGAGCAAAAAAAAAAGGAAATGAACTCGCAGCCCTCAGAAGATAATCGTATAAAAAACCTAGATACGGTGAAAATACCATGCTATAATCACGATGCTGTGAAGATCACAAAAATATTTTATTCTTCAAGATCAATTTTTGTAATCAATGTATAATTCATTCTCACCAGTTCTTATAATCAAAAACACATATTCACCCTTCTGTTTGACTGTTTTCCTCGAAATTTATAGCATCCAACATTTCTTTAAAATATCATTTGCAGCAAGAACCTGAACTCGCCCTTTGAGCACCACCATCTTGGCCAATATCGATTCCCTCGCGACCACGACCAGAAGGACCACCACCACTTCCATCTCCTTTTGGCAATTTTTTTGCTATAAGCTAATTTGTTATCAACTCAGAAAGAAAAGTGAAAAAAACTAATGAAAAAATTAGAAAAGGTAAAAAAAGCGTATAGAAAGATTTATAATTTCATTAAAAAAGAAATAAAAATAAAAACGTTAAAAAATGCAAACCAATTGCGAGAAAAATATCGTTTACATTCATTGCAGTTTTCGCTGAAGTTTCCATAAACAAAAGAGCATTATCATCAGCATACGCTTGCGCTTCCTAAAATAAACCAATTAAAATGCGATCAACCAATCACTCTCCTAAAAGAAGAATCAATCAAACATGAAAATGGATATGACATTGATGCGGTGGAATAAAAAAATAAAAGAAACAACATATTAATCTAAATTTATCACACAAAGGCCAAAAATTTAATTTTTACTTCAAACTCCACAACACGTTTATTCGCAAGATCTGCTTTATTTCCTGATAAAGCAATCACAATATTCGGACTTGCCTGTCGCTGCAATTCTTTCACCCAATTTTTCGCTTTCGCAAAGGAATCCTTCAACAATGAAAGAGAAGAAATAAAAATAACAAATAATAATAATCTACATTAAAAAAATTATAATGAGAAAGTTTCACCAACTAAAGGCAGGAAAATATTACAAAAAAGACTGATTCAAAATAAAAAGACCAAAATGAAGGCTTTCTCTTCATAGTTTTAAAATTTAATTTGAAATTTAATTTGAAATTTGAAAATTTAAGATTAAAAGACCTGATTAGTAATATCGTAGACTACAATAGCTGCTTGTGCACCTCTATAATACATTGGCGCCAACGAATGGTATCTAAAAAAAATATGAATATCCTTAGCGGTAAAATTTTCTTACGATTAAGATAAGATTAAGATAAATAAGATTTCATATTCCGTTCATATTCTAAATAGTTTTTGTTTCTGGTACTTTATATGCTATACATCTTAAAGAATTCAGAGGCAAAATAGCAGCTAAATGAATAGCTGCCATACCTTAAAAGTAAGGGCATGATGTGTCTCCTGATAGCGCATTTCCATCAACAAATGACCCTCTGGAAAAGTACTAAAGAGCTATCAGAATCAATCAGAAATGGTAACCACTTTCATACATTCAGTGCACTTTCATCTTCGTTTGGCGACAGAAGTATTGGTGAATCGCCAGATTTGAAAGATTTATTCCTGCCGGTAGAAGCGTCCCGACATTGAGAGTTATGAGCCACTTTTGGTTTTTAAAGGAAAAAAATATTTTGAAAAAAAAACTTTGAAAAAAATAAAGGAAAATATCTCATTAATAAATTTATTTTGTGCGGTAAAGCTATTAACTTCTAATCATTTCCAGAAAATTAAGGATCAATATTCTTCTCCAACACTATATCACCACACTATACCAAATAGATTTTTATATTAACATGATGTGATGATCGTTTTGATGAATCATTTTTCTCGTAAAAAAATATTTCATTTTGGTTATGGTTCAACCACATATGGAAAGATCTAAAGCAATATATTCCAAATCTATTTCAATTAAAAATTTCTTAACAAATCTGGAGGAAGTTAGTGATATTTTGAAAATAAAACATAAAAGAGCTAAATAAAGAATAAATAATATCACGAAATAAAACTGACTTACTAGAATATTTGAAATACAAAAATATCTAAAAATTTCTATTACTCAAGAACCATCATTTAAGTGGCCTCTGGAGCATTAAGAACCAAACCAAAATGAACAGGAAAAGTGACTGAATTTCACGAAGGAATATTTTAATTATTGCTAAATTGCTAAGATTTACTGCAATACCTTTCCTGTCCAGCCGTATCCCAGATTTCAAATTTAACTGTTGTATCATCTAGACATACTGTTTGAGTAAGAAAAGCAGCTCCAATGGTCGATTCTTGATATTCATGAAACTGCCCTTTGACAAATCTTAGTACAAGTGATGACTTGCCTAAAAAATTTTGATAAATATGAACGACATCCTTTCAAACATTTTTTAAATCGACTTCATCTTATGATAAAAATAATAATAATGATAATGAAACATTATTTCAATGTCTATCAAATTCTAGACTAAACATTAAAAGCACTTACCAACAGCACTTTCACCAAGAAGAACAAGTTTAAATTGACAAGTTTTGTTTGGACCACTATTGTTACCAGAACGAGCCACAGATCGTCCTGCCATAATGTCTGAATACGCCTGTTAAAATAAATTATTTTTCATTTAAAAAAATAGGATAAACAACCATGTGAAGCAAAATTAATAAAATAAATATTGCAATTAATTATAAAAAAATTAATTGAAAAAATATTAATACAGATTTAATGAATAAACTTTGCAAAAATCATTCATTTTTAATTAAATACTCGATTTAAAATATCCAATTATTCTTCAGAGATAAAAAATCCATAGGAAAATTTTTTTATCCTTTCAAATAGTATGTGCTACTTTATTCGCTTCAGTGCCATTAATGCTTAGAAACCACTCGGATTTCTCCTTAAATACTCAAGCCAAAAAGAAAAGTCCTCAGTCGAAATACGAGATGCAGGAATAAAATCCATAAACTACTGTTAATTCAACAGAAACAGTGTAACAAATCTTGTATAAATTTTGCAATTATATATTGTAAATTTTAAATATAATATATGTATTATGTAATTATGTATATAGGCATATAGAACACTGAAGAGATTCGCAGAAAAAAAGAAGTCAAAAAAGTCTGCTTAACTTCTCCAAACTGAAAAGTTACATTGAAGTTTAAATATAGATGACTCAACGGCATCTTTGATCCTAAGGTGACTCCATGACAAAATTTATCTCATTCTATTAGTCAGTGAAGTTAGGCAAACCAGAAATAGTGAGTGTTGACAGAAAAAGATGAAACGGAATGAAATACAGATACAATCAAAAATACTGAAAAAACTTTACTTCCCCCGCCATAAAAATTTCAAACTTTTAAAAATTGCACAAAAAAGTTTTAAAAATAGAGAACTAGAAATGAACAAAAAAAATAAAATTTAACAAAAATATTTAAAACATTTAAAAATAATCAAAACATTCATTACCGCACTAAATTTTCGATATTTTAATTTTGCTTCAATTCAAATTTTTTTGGAAATAAAAAAATGAAAATTTATTGATAAAATTTGATTGCTAATCTTGGAAAGTAATCTGATTTCCATGAACTATTAAATACAAAAATTATAGCGAATATTCTTGTTAGACATGGATCCCTCATGGACCTCTCTGGTGACTTGCCTATACTTTTACCGCCAAGTGACATGACAAAATTTGTCTGGCGCGATAGGCCAGAGGAATGAGCTTAGCTGAATTCTTACAGGGAAAAAATTTATTATTATTGTTATTATTATTAAAATTTAATATTTAATATTTAACAGTTTTAAAAAAAGAAAATAATAAACATTTAATTAATAATAAAATGTAATTGTAATGATAACACGGTTAACGAAGTGAAATTCAAAAATATTTTTAACTGCAAAAAACAAATTAAAAAAATCGAATTGAATTTTCAAGCAAACTTTACTTCTAAAAAAATTTTGATTAGCTTTCTTTCCTAAGAAAAATAAAATTATCGAACAAGAAAATTGTACTACAAACGAAAAACGATTTCAGATTAAAAAGAAAGATACAACGTTGCTAAATTAAAACCAAAATTGGAACAATCCACAACCCCCCAAACTGAAGCAAACCCCGCGGTACTAACTGACTATCTGTTTATACAATTTCGCTGCGTAGCTTTCTAGGCGTAATACTCAGCAAATGCGTTATGTAATCATGGTGAAAACACGGTCGCGGCCGTTGGGCTACCGCATTGTTGGTCCACCATGGGATTGTTGTTGATAGACCGGTAAAAAGATGCAAAACGAGGCAAATGAGTATCCGAGTGAAAATAATATGCAAAAATATTTTCAAACCAACTGAATTGGAATGCATCGCCTTGAGGCCACGGCTCTTAAAATTCCTCAAAATCCTCGCAAAACCATCGTTAACAGCTAAATCCTGGAATCGCATCACGAAATTTCCATTATTTCCCCTAAAATTTCCTTAATTCGCCGTTTTATTCCCGTTTATCGATATTTTGTTTCTTTCAGTCTTTAATTTGCAAAGTGCATAGCGAAGCCTATAAGGGAACATGTTGGAGGTGTCAAGGGACTGCGGTCTGAGGAAGCTAAAGTATTATAAATAATTTTAACGAACCAGACGAGGTGTTAAAGGGAAATATTGGCTTGGGGATATATCAAAGGACATAACAAATTCTGGAAAAGTCATTATAGAAGCGTATGCTTCAAAGAGGTTATGCGGGTATGACTAGGCGCTTCTACGAAACGAATAAACCCGAACCAAGCGAGATAGTGAAGACAACTTGATTTTGAAATTTGCAGAACAGGTATATTTTATTTAGTAGAGATTTTTGGAAAATCAGCAGGTTTTGGAGGATCAGACGGTTTCAGTTCATAATGACTTGATTTTCACTGGCTAAAAGTTGAGATAAATTAGACAAACTTCTTCGAGATAAACTATTAATGCAAAATTCAGTTTAATTTTCGTTTGGTCCAACCATTTAGTGGTACTTTTTTAGTGGTACTGAATAATTAATCGGACGGTTTTTTGATTTCTTATGATTTTTCGCTAATTTAATTGCGAAGGGCTAATCAAACATATAATCTGTGCAATCAGTGGATCTGTTCTGATTATGGAAATAATAGAAATTATGTTTTGCAAAAAACTCCTTTTATCTAATAATCGTCTAGCAAATGCCCTGCGGCATAGATAATTTTTCGCCGATTTTGTCTGACGAATTAAAGCCAAGCAAGTTCCCTTCCGCAGAAATGCATTCGCAATATTGTTTTGATTTTTATTCTAATTCTTATCATCTTTTATATCTTTAAAATTGTTTTTAATTTTCCTATTTATTTTGAACAGGAATTTCAGCAAAAATTTCTCATAATTAGTTCAATAAATGATCGCAGAAACAATGTAAATCAAATTAACTGAGACGAACCCACTGAGATTAACTTGAGGAACGAATAACTTACAAAGTCCACTTTTCCGGTGAAATGATTTAATTTCGGAGATATCTTTGTTTTCTAAGCGCTTGTACCACTACAGACGAGGTTCATTGCGTAGGCCGCGAGGATAAGGCAAGGATTTACCAGTCATGCCTGAGATTAACCCCTCCACTCCTTTTTCTGTACATCGTATGTTCTCGCGGCATTTTCCAAACGGTAGTTTGGCCGTTTCTTCCAATAGTCAGCCAGTGCATTTTCAAGTGGCAAATCCTATCGTGAATTAAAGATGTATTATCATTGAAATTTTTTACGACATGCTCTTCTCTTCCGATAGGTTGATATGTGAAATTTGCAAATCTTCCAGTATGAAATTATTGGAAGATTTGGGAGGATTGTTTTCTGCGCGTCAGTTTCATGCGTCTGTCACAGCATATGCAGTGATAACTAAGATATTACGGGTTTCTCCTTTAAAACGGTCATTCCGGTCATTGAGGCTAAGATAATCCAGTTATTAACGGGCCTATACGTAATCAGAGCTGATTCGAGTCCTTTCACACATAGCATTTGCTATATTGTTTCGTCTCGAAGAACGAACCCGAAGTTCTGCAAAGACACATGGAGTTTTCCTGTTCTGAGCCAGATACAGCGACTGTGCAATCTCCGAGAGATAAATAATACCCTTGTAATTTTTGGATCAACTGTGGATTATCGCCTCATTCATAACTTCTAAGTTACGTCGTTCCTGTATAGAGTTCAGCTGATAGCTGTTGGTCTTTCTTATCTTGTTTTGCGTTCGATCCTCGGGCTTACATCGAGCTATGGGTATCATGAACAGACAGTTCGAAAAATAAAGTGATCCTTCAACCACCGAGTTGCTTGATCCACAAGTCATTAGCAGTCAGAGTTTAGATTATAGCAGGTTTACTCTTGTCAAAGGCTTTGAGTGGCTGAATGGAATATTAAATTTTTAATTTCTTTTTCAGTAAAAGACAAATCAAGGCCATTCACACTTTATAACAAATCGAAAAATATTTAATTTATTGCTATGTAAAAATTCTCGAAGTGTTTATATTATAAATATAATTGATAATAAAGAGTTAGCGATAAACAACGAGCCAACCAATATGGCCAACCAATGACAATAAAAATTTAGGAATCCCAGGTTAGGCACAAAAGAAAACGCCCAAAAATTTTTGAAATGACCCGTTGACCTTCAAAATATAACCTTCAAAATTCGTTCCATAAAAAATTCTGCCAGCAAAATGATTTTCGAAACGGTCGTTTTTTTTGTTTCCTTTTGGATTGTTTTTATCTAATAGTTTCGTTGATTAATTGTTTAATTGTAAAAATAATTAATTGTTTCTTGAAATAAAATTCTCAGATTTTTACTAAAATTAATTGTTTTTTTCTAAAATTTGTAAATTTCCATCTAAAATTTTTATGATTAATTCGAAAAATAAAAAATCTATAAAAATTTAATGAAAAATCATTTTCATCTTCATCTTAAACGATTAAAATTTGACTGGTTTTGTAATTTTCGTATGAAAAATTATCTCATTTTTTCCCCGTTCTTCACTTCAAATAAAATAATTTGTACATTGGAATCATAGATAGTTTTCCTTTTTTCTTTCCTTGAAGTTGATTTTTTCTCAAAATTTATGCAAAAAAAATTATATGATTTTTATCTGATAGCGCTCAATTATCAACAATTGGTATATAAACATAAAATTGTATCATAAAATTTAAAATTGCATCAAAAATTTTCTTTCCTCAAATTTTTAAGAATATATTTCTTTATTATCGCTTTTATGTTTCTCAGATATTTGTCAGATAATGGTCTGCAGTTACCGTTTCTGGTTGGATTCGCCACATTTTGCTTGTAAGAATTGGGTATTTTTGCCAGTGAGCCTTTCGAGGATCGAAGCAAAGTTCGGGGTTTAATGCAGCAGACCTTTGGATCTGATCTGACGATTATGCCTAATGTATGAAAGTTGTTTTTCGTGCTGTCATTTATGTGTCATTTTGCCATTTTACATGCCATTTATGTTGTCTTTAACTTTCATTTTTAACCTTTTTATCAACATTCTTTAAATACCTGAAATATATTTCGTTTTGATTACTCTTTCCTTGCCAAATTTTTTCTAAAGAATTTAATAAAAAGGGTTTTGAGGGATTTTAGTTTTTCCCATTAATAAGCCAATTATTGATAACTCAACTGTTAAAAACCGTAGTTTTATGAAATATACAGATAAACAGGAGAATTTTAGTTTTTTCTTATTCTTGGGCCAACAAGCCGAATTTTTAACTGTTTACTTTTTTTTCTTCATCAGAGAAATTGTTTATCAGTTTCACTAAACATTTTTATAATTTGTTGCTTACTTAACGAAAACGAATAATTGTTATCTATTGTCTACTTTTTATGAGTATTCCTAGAAGTCCCCTAGAAGCGATGATAAGTGATAATGATGAAATTATCATGAAACTACTACCATTTTTCTTATGCGTGCTAAATAATACGTTTTCCGTTGGAAAAAAAGAATAATAAATGATTTGAGAGTGGAAACTTGTAGTCTCTAAAAAGCACGTTCGGTGATATATTCGGTGACGTATTAATAGAAATATTTACAATAATCGTAGTAAATCCAATTCAAGCAATGAAACTTAAACGAATGAATTTTAAAATTATTCAAATATTTCAGTTAGTTTGGCCAACATTGGTCAATTTCCATCGCAAATTTCGTTGGAAAATTCGTATAGAAAGAAAATCTCCGAAATTTTTTGAAAAGCTCTCACATTTTATTTTTATTTATTTTATTTTATTTTTATTTTTATTTTATTTTATTTATTTTATTTTATTTTTAGCAATTTTAATTTATTTCCCCTCCCACTGAAAACACAGAATTTTGGCAATTTCCCCATAAAAAATTTTTTTCTTAACTTTTCCCTTTCCTGGCAATAGTTACAATTTCTGTTTTGGCTGCTTCTATTAGCCAATATCGTCATATGAGACTCCTTTGTTAGAGAGTTATGTGCTGCTCCAAGAGCTTGCAGCCAGCGACTGCACAGTTTTTTTGCGGAAAAGTCCATTTAAGGTTCAGAAGCTTATCGTGCTAGACAAGGAATCACTAGATAGAAGTCAACGTGGATTTCCAGTATCACCCGGATTTTTGAAATGCAAATTTGTCCTGTCGGAAACAAAAGCTGAGCATTGGTACTCCGAAATGAGAATAACCCGCTGAGCCATTTTTTCTACTTTTTATCATAATTTATTAAAATTTGAATTTTTAAAATCCTATATTAATTTCAACTTGAAACATCTCGTTAAACGCCTATTCCAAAGTTGTTCCGAATAAACAATTCTTCTAAATTTGGTGATTTTTTCGTCACAAATTGTAAATATCTCGTTTTTCTTTGTTTCTGTTAGCTTTTATTTTAATGAGCAACTGAACTGGTTTCTGTAAATGTCGTTTGGTTTTCGGTTAGCAACCTCCAAAGGATATAAGAAAAATTAATATGAAATCTATGAAAAGATATCATATAATCAAATCACTATAACTAAAATGTAAAACCGATTTAAACGATTTTTTTGATAAATACGATTGAAAAACGAGTTTATCAGTTTAAATAAAGTCGAAGAACATGATTCGAGCAGTTAAATGCTATCATTCATAATCTTTCTTACGAGAACCAATCAGTTATCTTAGACTTTTGGATCAATATGGATCCTACTGATAATGTTACTGATAACAAAAAAATAAAATCTTTTTAAAATTCACACTTCTATATTAAATTACTAGTTATGATAATACAAAAATATTTTTGCGAGAAAACTATTCGCTATTACAACCTATACTATATATAATACATATTTATTTACACTTCGCCTTTATTTATCATTATTATAAGATTCCTTAAAGATTTTTAAGTTGAATTTATGTTTAAAATTGTAATTTTTTTAACAGGGGGTGCTAGATAAATCAAGACCTTTGCCCAAGGACCTTTTCTGGAAAGATAGGTGCTGGTCATGAAAAAGATGAAGATGAAAAGTGATAAAATGAGATTTGAGCAAAACTGAGTGAGCGAACATAAAAATTGCAATCACCCCTTGTTCTTGCCAGGATAGGAGAAAGAATACTACTCACCTTCCGACAGAGTAACATTGTCATTTCGCAAGCACCAAAATTCAAGTCTGGCTGGAAAAAGCTCGGCCATATAATATATTAAGTAATTAATTAATTAATTAACGTAGAAAAGTTGTTCGAAGTCCATTAGTCCAAAAATATTTCTTATTGCTATATTGCTTAAGCGATGATTCTTCTTCTTCTTCAAGCAATGTGCATAATTACTAGTTGTATTGGTTTCTCTGGTTGCGAAAGCCGTTTCCAAACCATTCGATTCGATTTTGTTTGCAAACCACTTGTTTTTTCCACAGTCCAAGCAATTATATCGTTGAGTCACCTATAAGTTCAAAATCTTTTCAGAAGTCTTATTTGGTCCTCTTATGTGATAACTGATAATAAACGTGCATTAAGATGGCTTTAATCTGTGAAACTTTCTGGGAAATATTTTTTATTCTTTAATTTTTATCATATCTTAATTTTCGCTCAACTGTTAAGTCATAATCAGCAATAATCTAGCACGACCATTAAAAATAATGAAAAATTCGCTTTTTATATTAAATGATTTTGTTTTTATTTTCTACCAAATAAATTCTCTTTTCCATTCTTTATGGTTTAATTTTTAATTTTAAACTGATAATAATAACACGAAATGAGCTATGTTCCATTTTTTTCCTGGTTGTTTATTTTAAATCAAATATTTTTGCTATTTATTTGACACTATAAATAGTCGACCAGTCGGACTACTCTGGAAAATAGGAGTTTAATTTCATAAGATAAGCTAATGAAAATGCTCGAGCTAAGATCGACTTTTCTTCATTTTTTTGTGTTTCTCGTAGTATCGGTAATTTCTTAAGCAGTTCTTTCGTTTGGCAATATGTTCATACAGAGGTTATAGTTATAGTTTATCCCTACTTGCACCTATTTTAGCCGACTTGTGCAAAGAGCGCACTCTCTGCTGGTCCTTTGTCTTTGAGCTCAGTTTTCTTCGTCCTTAATGGAAGGTCCAAGAATATTCATGTTACCCATAAGAGTTTATTTAAGCGTGTATTTTCTCGATGGTAATAAATTGTTCACAACTATTCGTACTTTTATCACTTAGTTTACTATCACATATATAGACAGTAAATCAGATTGCTTATCAGTGCTTTCGTATTCTCTTAAGCTTCTTCCTTTTTTATTTGAAAATCCTTTCAATTCCGTTTCTAATTCTATAATATTTTAAATTTTATCTTTGAAGAGAATACTTTTTAAATGTCCAATTATTTTCTGCTACTTAATCTAAGGAGATTTACAGGTGTTCCAGGTGCCCTCGCGTGATATTTGTGTTCACTGATAGGTGGCGAAACAAGGTCTGGCACGCCTGCGAAAAATTCAACGTTTTTCCTTTCAGAATGACTCATAATCAGCACCACAGCCTATTTTATTCGGTAGTGCGACTTTTCCCATTTTTTATTGCAATTTGCTCTGAAATTAAAAAAGATGAGTAAGTTGTATTCCGATTATTCATAATAAATAGACTGGTTTTTGAAATCTTTTTCTAAGAACTTTCTTGCACTCACACTTGCTAAACTCGCTCCACTGGCTAGTCACATTGGGCAATATTGCCAAAAGCCCTTTGGCGATGGGAATACAGGTGAGTAGCCAATATCAATATCCGGATTTTTGGACAGGTTTACTTTTGCAGGGAATAGGACTTCAGCACTCCGCATTGAGCAACAATCCACTGAGCCATTCTGTCACTCGCTCGTTTGTGGTTGCTCCGCTGATTTATAAGATAAATTTTACTACGAGACCCATGGCGATAGAAATATAAATGGATCGCCAATATCACTTGGATTTTTGAATGTCAAATTTACAAGTGCAGGAAGTAGAATCTCGGCGCCCCAAACTGCGAGCAAAAATCCATTGAGCGATTTTTTTGAAAATTGAGCGAATAAATAAAATAAGCATTTAAAGTTCATCAAACATTAAAGCTTGAATAGCGATTCATCAAAAAGATAAATGAGGATAATTAATAATAAGTTGGTTGATAGATCCACAATGAAGTAATAAAAACACGGAAAAGCTTTTTTATAATTACAGGAAGTATAAAGTTATAAGAATTTTCCCCGAAAATGAAGATCATTTGGCGATTCTTGCTGCTTTATATAAAAATTCAACAGATTATCAGGTGTTTTTTTAATTGTTTCGCACCAATTTAGCGATAATTTAAGAAAGTCAATAATTTAACTAAAATAAATATTTTTAGTTAAATTAATTCCAACTATTTTTTTGCATAAAGTACTATTTTTTTATGGTGAAATACTAGCATTCTTCATCCAGTTTGCTCAAATAAACAATGTTTTTGAATCAGCTGGATTTTTGGAAGACACCAAAAAGGGTTGGCGAATTTGCGGATGTGATGAGTGGTCCAATGGCGACCCAACCATTAATTGAACTGCTGATTCGAAATAATATGAAGCACATTATAACGATTAGTGATGTAGAAAAGTTCGTATGTTTTATGATATTTTGCGTAGTTTTTCTAAGTCTCAAATTTCTCCGCTATTTTAAAAATGAATAAAATTAAATTTGAGTTAATTAATTTAGGCTAATAATAGAGCGCGAATCAAGGGAAAACGATAATGCACAACTATCGATGAACAATCCTCTTGAATCATTCATTAGACGACTTAAAGACTATTCGTCGAGTAATAGAGCCAAACTATCACTAAATGAGTACCACTCCTATAATGAAATATCGCAATGGCTTGAAGATATTCAGTTCCATTATCCGAGAATAGCTGCTATTTTTACGATTGGTATAACCCATGAAGGTCGTCCCATCAAAGGCATCAAGGTTAACGTTGCTACTATTGAATTAAGCAAATAGGTAGCATGGGCCAATTTCCTTCGTTGTGATTTTCTAAGATGATACATAGCAATGAGGAAAAATTCGTAGATTGGTTATCCAATTCATGCAACCAATAAACGAATAATTTGGATTGATGGAGGTGTGCACGCTCGAGAATGGGCTGCGATCCAAACTGCTTTATACTTCATTGACCAGGTTTTTAACATTTGAAGTGCTTTTTGTCCCTATTTTAAACTTCTTTTCTTTAAATAGATGTATAAAAAATTTCAGTTAGTCTCAAAATATGGTAGCGATCCACAAATAACAGCTTATATCGACGCTCTCAATTTCTATATTATTCCAGTGGTTAATCCAGATGGATTTGAATATTCAAGATCTGATATTGTTCCACCGGTGAATTTTTCTTTATAATTCATGATCCTTATGGATCTTATGAATGATTGCAAGCCAATAAGCAAATATTTAACCGATAACCGATTTTTTGGTACGCTTCTGGAGGAAAAATCGTGGTACTCAGGTTTGTAAGAAGGATCGATGGAAGAGAGAGCGTTGTTGTGGTGGCGTAGATTTGAATCGTAATTTTGATTTTCATTGGGGAGGTATAATTATTCATCATTCAAACATTCATTAATATCTTTCACTAACTTTCGCTGCACAGTTTCTCAGAACAAATTTTCGAAACATCTAATGGATTCTTTTTTTTCGCCGCTCAATTAAAATTAGTTATAAATTTATGAAAATAAATAGAATATGGAGATACCGATAGAGATATTTGATTATCTTCGCCTGCGCATTCATAATTGATGGCATTTTCATAAATATTCTATTTATTAATAATAATTATCATTCATTATCTCATAAATAATTGCAAGTTATCACTAAATTAAAAAAAGTACTAAAAATAATGAAAATCCATAATTCTAGAAAGTGGTTCAAGTACCGATATTTGTTCAGATATTTATCAGGGAAGCACAGCATTCAGTGAATCAGAAACAAGGTTATATGGACTTCTAATTTTTATCACATTTTAATCACCACTTTAGGTATGAAAATCCATACGTTGCATTTTCTAACATATTGGATATATTATATATTGGATTGGGTAATATTATCTGAGATCTTGAAAATTCTCTCTTTACTTTACTGTGATGTTCAGGGATTTGCTTTTCAGTAGTGATACTTGAAGTTATATTCTTAAAGTTTTAAAATTTCGAGAAAAAATGAAAACATGATGAACTAAAAAAAAGTTTGGAAGTGCGCCATGAGTTGCTATTCTCATTTCGAAATACTAAAGTTCCACTCACGGAAGGGCCACTCTCATCTTTTAAAAATCCGAGCGATGTTAGAGGCTCACCTATACTTCTCTTTCATCCTACCAAAATGTTTTTGATCCAGCAAGCTAGCGAAACTAGTTTAATCAGAAATTCTTAGAAAGAAAATTGTTATTATTTTAAATTATTATGATGTAATTGTATAATTGCCCATTATGCTACAGCGTATAAAAGAAGACAAACGCCTTTAGGGCTATTCGCGATAAAATGTTCTCGCCAGAGTTATACGGCAAAGTTGATGCTTTTATCACACTTCATACATACTCACAAATGTGGCTTCATCCATACAGTCATCAGAAACATACTTTTCCTGATGATGTCGAAGATTTGGTATGATATACAAGCAATGTTTTACCAAAGTTCTAGAAATTGCGCTAATTTTTCTTGAGAATTCCTGTGAAATCTGGAATTAATAAAAAATGTGCACTTGAAATTATTGATAGTTTTTCCAGAAAAGTGTTGCAAAACGAGGAATTCGAACTTTGGAAAGTTTGTATGGGACGAAATATCGTCTTGGAACTGGAGCTGACATTCTATGTTCATTATTTTGAATATTTCAACGAATACTGAATATAGCAAGAAAAATCACTAAAAATTTTAATTGCGAAAAATAGTTAAAATGATGAAAAAATTTAGCGTAAAATAGTAATTAAAGGTTTTATTACAAAGTTTAATTGCTTAAAAAAAAGAAAAATATTTGTTGACGGATGAAAAGGAAATATAGTTGAGAGACATTCGACATTACCAAGAGTTCATAATCAAAAATCACTGGGAGATTTGAATTTCTTTAAAAAAACTAATCAAATGAAACATAACTTAGATCCATCAGCGGGAGGATCAGACGACTGGGCAAAAGCGAAAGCGAAAGTAAAATACGTATATTTGCTCGAACTTCGGCCTGGAGAAGATGGTCAGATATTTGTTTTAGCATTGTAAAGATTACTGGAGATATGTTAGTACCTTATGGTCCGATCAATAGTTATTGTTTTCAAACCTGCATACTCCATACCTATTCGTTAACATATTTCTTCAAAATCCTTTGGATAACTTCTTCGGACGTTGATGTCTTCTCATCAAATTTCTATAATTCTCACTATCCATCGTCTTATTCCCGCAATGCTTCTCCCATATGATGCTGTGATTTTTACCTTTTATAACCATATAATTTGTAATTATACCTAAGGAATTGTATTGGTGAGAGATTTGACTGGGTATTAAGATAATAAAATAAGAATATATAAAATATGGGCTATAATTAAGCCTTGTAGGATTAAACGACATAACAAAATTTAAAATATTTTGACGACGAAGAAAGTTGGACTTTGTGAATAAAGGGCAGAGGTTCAAGACATGATTGGTTTTGAGAAATGATATATTTAAGGAGGACATCAACGGATTTTTAAAACGGATGGCGATCTTGCTTGTATTTGATTGATAGGATACAGTGGGCTTTGGCAGTATAATATATTTGAAGACCATAGAAAAGTTTAATAGACTTGACATAGCGTAAGGGAGATAAAACATTATGTTATTAGCTGGTTTTAACAAAAAAATAAGACGCATATTGGTAGAACGTCGAAAAAGATAAGATTTTTGAGAAGCAAAGGATAGATCCTAAGCACTTGTCAAGCGATGATTTCTAAAGGATTAAGACAGATAAGGCAGATAAGAGAAATGGCTTAAGATAATATTACTTATGAGCTAATGCAAAATACTAAGCGAGGCTTGATGGAGAATTAGAGGGACTTCTTAAGACTTCGAGAAATATTAGATTTTTTTTTGAAAAATTTTTTTATTATAACATAAATTATATAATCTCGACATATTCCTTGATTTCTTTAAAAGTCAGGTTGAACTCTTTGAAATTCTACCCATACTCCGCTAGTTATTGCAATGCAGTTTTGTGAAATTTCATAATTTGCAACTAAGATCATTTCAGAAATACTGCGAGGCTTGGCGGGGTAATAAGGAAATATCATAGGGGAGTGTTCAAAAGCAATAGCCTGATCTTGGAGGAAGAAAAAATTAAAAAGAGATTTAAAATATTGTCGCTGGTGCGAAGAGACGGAGTTTCGCTGGTGTTAAAGGCATATTAAACGAGGCTGAAGAATTTTAGAGGGATTTCCCGAGGGTATTACGGATTTTTAGAAATTATTAATGCGTTATAACAAAGACTAGAATTGATTTTTAAGTGACAGTATGCTAGATTACCACAGAAATGAATAAATTGATAACGAATTTAAAGCTTTGTTTACCAGTAAGGTGTGGTTCTAAAGATTTAAAGAAAATTTGTTGATGGGATGAGGTGAAGTGGTACTTTGTAGACGTAAGAAATTTAGGAAAGAATAAGAGGATTTTGGCGATAGAGGAACTATTTGCACGAAGAGGAATATGTGAAGAGTATAACGGGACAAAAAATGGTGCTGAGCAATGATTTTATGAAAATATAAAGGGAATATATAATGGGTTTTGAGGAAAAAAATGTGCTAAGGCTTTAAAGGCCATTATGCTTGTTCGTTGGAAAGGTCATTTTATTAGTTTAAAATAAAATAAACGATTAAGAATGTGCGATTTATTTAAGAATGGGATGGATTTTTGCTGGATCGGAAGCAGTTAATTCCGACAGGTCGTGAAACTTGGGAAGGTGTAAAAGTTGTTATCGACACAGTCCTCAAACAGCACGGTGCGTAATTTTCTTTGTTATGTCTTTGGAACTCCTAAAGACGTCAGAAGTAAGCGAAATTAATAAATAAATAAATAAAAATAAATTTTTTACAAACAAATCACCGTTTTTCGCTAATCTAACTTATAAAGCTTGAAGCATTAATTTTGAGTTTAGGAAAATATTCCGCTTTTTTTATATTGTTTTGTTTGGATTAAAAATTGGTCCAACTGTATTTATTTGGGCCTCGTTATTTCACTATTATTCACTATTATTTCATGGTGAATTTTAGAAGCAACGACACCTAGAAATGTTATTGTTGATCGAAGGCACCTTGTGAATTCAAACAGTCAACAAAAAAAAAAGCCTTTAAGGGGCACAGAATCGGAAAATTTCGTGACAAGACGTCCTCCCAAACTAATTTCTAGAAATTTTTATCAACCAATCTCAGAAAATTTAAATAATCAGCAATTGAGAATAAATCATTATAGGCGTCTTGAGCTTCTTCGCGCTCGTCAAAATGCTCTTATAAAAGATTTCCAACAGCGTTTAGGAACGAGTAACTTTTTTTATTAGACGTTTAAAAAACGCTACTAAAACGTTACTGCAAAAATTTCCCTCTCAATGGCAATATGCAGAAACTTTGAGCAATATCTTTAATAAATTCGAATTTTTCAAAACTGTTCAATTTCTAGATTCAGGTGCAACTTGTCGCGATGCATCGCCATGGTGTCATAATTGGATCCGATCTAGTCCAAATATCTGTAAAACTTCTATTATATATATGCGGCAAGACTGTTTCAAATCATGCGATTATTGTGTATAATTCTTTGAATTAAATTCTTTCCTTTGTATATTCACTTTTTTCAATGATAAAATGCTTAGCTTTTTCATTAGAACTTCTATATAAAAGGTATACGTTCAGGCGAAGTTTTCAGTAGAAACTAAACTAATGAACCATGCTATAACAATTTTATCCTCTGTTACCACTTTAAATATTAATATTAATTAGTTCATTGGTTTGACGAAGGTAAAGAATAGTCATCTCATATCATTCTACTTCTCGCACTCAGCTCGCACATTACTGATTAGGCTGACTGAAATATATTTCCTTGGCGTTGGCTTTAATTGTTCCATTAAAAAAGTGAAGCAAAAATAAAATGTAATTCATAAAGATTTTCATACTATGGGGCGATGAAGTTTTTGGTTTATAAAAATTCATTTATTTATCGATGATCCAGGTTTTCACAAAAATTCCTGTTACATTAAATCATGTTTTCACAAATTCGCGTCTATATAGCTGCGATTCGTTTGGCCTTGCTATGGCTGCGAAACATGACCAGTGAGAGAGGGACGAATAATTTTGTATTATACAATTAAAACAACAAATTTTTGATAAATTCGAATTCCGTCAACTATGCTTCTTATTTTTAAACGATAAGATGACGGCCAAAGGCAATATTAGATCTAAATTTGTAAAAATACTAAATTTATGTGAAATTTATTTAACGACTTCGCTCTATAATAAATTCTTTTTTGGCATGAGCTTAGCCTCAAAGTGAAAAAAAACATGAAGAAATCCTTCAGAAAGACCAAATCATTTAACCCTCAGCATTTAGTACATAATTCTGTGAATTGATTAGCTCATTTTTTTATTATCTCTTATATAATATTGGTTCACAAATTTATTATTTATTTATTGAACGAAAACAATAAATATTAACGTAGTTTTATGAACAACGTACCTAACTTGCCTTAAAGTTATTTTTTCTTTAAGAGAGTTCATCATTTCCAGTTAGGCTAAACCTCGTTGGCTTGTCCAATGAGGCAAATTATAACAACGAATTAACTGAAGTTGGAAATATAAATGAGTACCAGAAGAATATTGAAACATAGTTTAATTTCTGCCGAGCCCCAAACTTCGACATTGTATTAGAGCAACAGCCCACTGAACGTTCTCGCCCTAATCACTTTCTTCATATTATATATAATTATCCTAAAAGTAATTTTGCTAAATGATATGATAAAAGATATCGATCATATGAAACAATACAATATTTATCACATAAAAAAGCTGGAAAAAATATGAAAATAACATGACAATGTATAATTTAGCAAAAAAGGGTTAAATAATGAGGTGAATCAAAAATACACGTCTGGTAGGAATCTTTTCGCCTTTTAACAAGTAATGAACTGATTATCAGCATATCGATGACAATACCAACTGATTATCAGCGCAAATTAAATGCTTAAAAAATTCTAGAAAACCAGTTTTATATAACGATGATGAATAATGATGACGAAGATTCGTATGACATATACAAATGAATTGATAATCGAATTCAAGATTAAATTATTCCTTTAAGTATACCTACAAGAGCGATTAAGAATCGGTATAAGTGATCGTGATAAAATTATATCAGAAGCGATGTGCAATCCATGATCAACCACTCGGAATTTGATATCAATTAGAGTGATTGGTATATTATTTGTAGGAATTTGAAGATCGATACCTTTGTCCATCGCATCATTCGCTAACTGAAGTTTTTCGATTATTTTAATAGTTGCATCCAAATTTTATGTTATATATTAGATAAAGAATAAATGCAAATTGCATTTATAATTTCTGATTAAGCACATTGAACTGGTTATTGGTTATTCAACCAGAGAGCCACTTGGAAATAGAGTTACTTATAGGTCGCCACTATTCAGATTTTTTTAAACACAGATTTGTTCATGTCGGAGACGAGTGCTGCAGGCGATTTTTTTTTGAGAGTCACCATTACTGGTTAAACTCGCTCCGCTGGCTTGTCGCAATTGGGCCTTGGCGATAGAAATACAGGTGAGTCGCCAGTCACCCGTATTTTTGTAAGGGTTCACTCCTGCGGGGACTCGAACCTCAGCACCGGCGCTTCAAACTGACCAACAACCCACTGAGCCATTCTATCCCCTATTATGCTGCAGGCGATTATCATTAATTTTCCTCTTACGTCAGTAATTAAAGGAAACAATTTGCAAGATCTATGTTGATCGATGAAATAAAATTTACCTTGACTACGGTTTCCTTAGCTAAATTAGCGAGATTATCCAAAGCATCTTGAGGCAATCCTAAAGTGCCGTCTATATCTCGTAGTTTCAACAGATTGAGTTCAGCAGTGCCGGTCAGCCGTTTATAATTAGACATGATGCGAAGTTCAATTATTCCTGCAATCTGTATTGCACCAATTCTTTCATCTGTATCAAGGACAAAAATTTCCGAACTAATCAGTAAATCGATTGTGACAGTACCTGGAAATATTGGGAAAATGAGTGCATGAACAAATAATGAACATTAAACTTAACTTAACTATTTTTATTCATCTATGACTATCGAGAAGCGTTAGCGCTTATATTCTTAAGTAAGTCCCAGGGGAAGGAATCTTATAGTTTTATAGTTTTCGAAGTGAGACGTAGGGGGTAATTCAAACACCAATTTGGATCAGAAAAAATGAATCATCGAAAAATTATTTGTCTAAAACCATGAAATAAATAGAAATTAGATTAAAGCGGTAGTGGAAAAACCAGACCTCCGTTCTTTGACGAAAATAAAACAGAAGGTGCTCTGGATGAGCGGAAAGTTATGTGTAAGCTTTTCTTGGGGTATTTCTCTCTCACTGCCGGCATAATATCACCTAAACAAATTCCAAGACTAGCAAAATCTGGCTCTGGTTTTTCTTCATCTTCATTTTCGCCTCGCTCGCGTTTTTTACGACGTCTTCCAGTCTGTTCATCATCTACTTCATCAATCTTAATTTTAACGGTGTTGATATGATAACATTTAATAAAATTTGAAGCGTAAAATTGTTTTTTAAATTGAAATAGATTATATGCGATAAAACTATTTATATTAATTACCTCAACACCAGTATCGTCAAAATCATAATCTTCATCATCACTACATGTTGTTTTAAGCAAAGCTCCAACTTTTGGTGTGCTCGGATCGATTCGAAATGATATGAAATCCTTTCTGGAAAAATGGATTAAGGCATATAAAATAATTTCGTAATAAAACACGTCAAACACGATCCACGCAGTCCATTCACACGCACCGTGGTCCATGTTTTATAAATCGTAAATTTCTATAAATTGTTCACTATATTTTTATTAAAATTCTATTTATTGGCAAAATTCTCTTTCTCTTTCCTATTGCCATTAATATAATATTTCCATATTTCCATAAAGGGATCATCGCCTTGTAACTGTGTCATTCGACAACTGAAAGCAATACAGATCCGATTTGTTATGAGTTGATTAACGAGGTACAACTTCTTTTTTTTTCAACAGCGCTTTTCATTTCTGATTTGGCTGGCTATGAGATTAAAATGAATGAGATTTTTCTAGTAGCAAATAAAGACCACTCAATCTCAATACCACTCGAATTTAATGACAGGTTTGAGAGACAGGAAATATCCTCGACCACAGTCAAAATATCCATTTTCCAGCAGAACACATCCCGTCCAGAGATTGTGACAATAAATTTATAAAAGTGGAAAAATTAAGAGAAAAAGTTGCACACTCAATTATTACTTATTACTTAAATATTATTTAAAAATTGCGAAAAGATTGTAAATTATAAACGAAAAAAGCGAACTTATGCATATGATAGAACAATGAATTGAAGGTGTAATCACTGATCAAAGTCTCAATCATATTATTGCCAATAAAATTTGGAAATGACATTGGAAAAGGTGAAAATGGTGTGCCACCTCGTCCATATGGACTAAATTCACCATTCAGACTTATTGTGTAATCATTTGGTGTTGCATAGATATTGGTAACTTGTGCTGTTAGAACTAAATCTGATATTTTATCCTGAAAAAATTTTTTGGAACCGTAAGATCCTTGAAAGATAATTATTTAATCTTAAGAAAGACCATAAAATCTGATTTTCAGATTATCATATATTTGAAATCCTAGTATATCGTTGCAAATGATCATAAAGTTTATCAAATCTATGAAATCTTAGATTGTTAGAGCCAAAAGCTAAAAGAAAACTTATAAAAAAAAAATATTCAAAATAATCAAAGTTTTCTAAAATATAATATTTGCACCACGAAATAAAAATTCAACTTATGATTACTTAAACCTTTAAACTTGGTCTTACCGTATCAACATTTTTAAGCAGATCCTTGAAAGAATCCAGTGTACTATCGTCATTTTCCCTACATTTTGAGCAAGGATCGGCTTCAACTTTAGTCGATATTGAGCCATGTACTGTTTGTCGAGCTCGAAGCCTGGCTTGATGGACCTTAAATTTATCGTTAAATTTCGCAAAAAAAGAACGGATAAAAATAATAGTAGTACCAGTGGATTGCTTCTTTTCAAGCGTTGATTGTATCCAAAGTAAATTTTATTCAGTGTGTGTCGTTGCCTTACATTTCGAAGCGGCAAAAAGTTTCTGATATTTCTCTTCTGATCTTTATTTTTCAATGGTTGTTGGCATATTTCAGAATTACACTTAAAATTATTACACCTAAGCACTTTCTTATTTAAAAAAAAAATTCTAAATTCATTTCTGAACGATATTTTCAAGCGAAAATCCGACGAACAAAAGTTTAATGAGAAAATTATGAGAAAAAAAATTTACGTATTTTGGATTTGGAATACTTTTAAATATTCCTTCAGCCAAAGAGCTAAGTTGTGTTAAAGCAATCGACTGCGGAATTAAATCGAATTTGGGATTTATTTTTTGTGGAATTAGTTGCGATAATATAGCGCATAAACGATTTGGAATCATACTTCTTGCTTGTTCGGAAGCTTTGCTCTAAATAATATCAGCTAATTTTAACAATTCAGCTAATTTCTTTAGTATGTATCAGCATTAAACTGGACTTTTTAATAATTAAGGAGCTCTTAAGTTGAAGATGCTTTTCACTCATCCACGTATTCTCGCCAACAGGCTTGTAAATCTTCAGCTCTCTCGATGACTCTCGCAACAAGGAACTTAAGAAGTCCGTCATTGGCTCAGACCTGTACCTCGTTGGCAAAAGTGAGTTCAATGTATTAGCGTTTATTTTCATTGAAAAAATAAGGCGAGTTTTTATAAATGTCATCTTTTATGCAATAAAATTTAATCGAATATTATTCAATACCCTGAATTGGTTGTTGAAAATATCACCCAATAAACCACCGTCCTGTAGAAAAATATCGACATAACCAATCGAGACGAGACATCCAACTATTGATGCTCGTGGTTTACGCGTTTCTCCACGAGTCATTATCATTTGTATAGTTATTGTTAGCTGAAAAATGGAGGGAATGGGCAAAAAAATGAAAAATAAACCAAATTGCTTGAGCAACTGCTTGAGCTTGCAAAGAAGGAGTTTTCTCCTAGTACTTTTAGCATTTTAGCTTTCTAATAATTTAGTTAAAAAATTTTTTCTACCACAAAATTTGCTAAATTTTCTTTAAAAATAGCATAAAAAGTATCTTTATTTTTCTCCAATTCATCAGTCCCAGTAAAAAAATTTCTAACCTGATGAATATGAACGTGGATTATTCCAGTCACAGGTAAAGGCAGCAAAATCTGAACATGTCCGCCTATATTTCCAGAAATCCTGTAAGCTTTACCAGTTTTATTTTGCAGAATTCGCAAAAATTGCAAAACTGTAAAATGAAATAAGTGTAAAATAGCATGACTGATATAACTCATCTGTTACAGAAGTTAATAAAGAATTTTAAAAACAGTTCATTGATCATAATTAAAGGAATTATAGTAATACGCCATACCCAATATCTACATTTTGCACAGAGAATATAAGCCGATTTGCTGGAGCTGGATAGAGGACGGTTCTTTGAGGACATCTGTATCTCGATATGTACTGATTAAATATCTCGATGCAGCCACTGACCTGGAAAAATGTATCTATTTATAAAAGAATATTCACTCGAACACTCGATAACAAGAAAAATTCAAGAAAGATATAGTAAAAAGTCGAATAAAATGAGTCATTTCATTTTTCGGATATAAAAATATTATTAGAAAAGTTTCGCTAAAAAATTCCCGAAAAACAAAAACACTTTCGTAAATTGGGATATTTGAATAATTCAAAATATAAGAATTTTTGGCAAAAAATGAGTGAATTATTAAATAGGTGAATAAGAAAAAACTTCTGTAAAGCAATGTGAGATTGTTGGAATATGAGTTTGTAGAATTTCATGATCAAATAAATGACCGAGAAGAACGCTCGCATATTTAAACGATCGCTGATTTAAACGGAGTTTTATTCCAGGTAATCCTCGAACGGGTGAACGGATTAATGGATTTATGTCTTGTACTGCTCGCCTTAATTGAAATAAATTGCTAAAATTTTGCACAATCCAATAAAATATTAGTACTTAAATTTTAAGCGGTTGCATTTTGTTTTATTGCTTTTACCCTTTTATTCATCCAAAACCTTCCTTTTTTGTGCACAAACAAATATATATTTGTGATTCTCGCGATCGGTCTTATTTATTTTATTTATAGCCTTAATTACTTTGCTGATTCTCGATCAGTGTTTGGCTACCTGTATTTTTCCTTTGCATAATCTGTAACAAATTTGTTTAAAAAGGTCGAACATCAGAAATGTTCACTGAGCTTTGTTACTGCATCCAGTAAATCAGTACTGCTGTCCTATTTTGAAAAAATTCATTGCTTTTTTATTCTTTTATTATTGTTTATTATTTTTTTATTCGTTCACTGCTATTATCACCAGTAATTTACAGGCTATTCGTTGGAATAGTACCTAAGAAATCCAGAGATTGCAATGATGGATACCCTTAAAACCCTCAAGCAAAATCAAGATTTACACTTGATTAAATAGATTTGTTATCGATCATGCAAAGGAAAAAGTGCTGAAATGAAATTTTAGCAGATGAATACTGTTTACACTGAATTAGTTCTCCACACTGGCAGTTGTGAATATCTTGCTGAATTCCGTCTTTCAAACGCTGATATAAATCTTTGCCGATGGTCGCCGTCCACTAATGTAGCACCCAGCAGCGAGATTATCTGAATTTGCGTTTGTCTAGAAAATATAAAAAAAGTAGGTCATAAATTGGTTTAAAATAAACATAAGTTATTGATTTAATTTTTTAAATAAGATTATATTTGTTGTTTTTTGGAAGGCACTGGTCCTGGTCAGATTTACTTCACTGGCTCGCCGCACCAGTCAAATTTAGTCATTGGTTCTTTGGGTCAAGGTAGGTCATCAGTAATACTTGAAAAACATCGACAACGCTATTTCCAAATAATAACAACGCATTAAACCATCATCCTATCGCTAAATTTGAATTTACAATGAAACAGTTGTTGAATAACTTCTCATTATTAGTTTTAGCATTTGCTTAATTATTTAATAGAATATTTTCTTGAATGATAATTTTTTATCAATTATTGAAAATTAAAATTTGAAAAAATTCTGTAAAACTCGACAAAAATAGAATGAATTGCATAAATAATTTGGAAATATTTATTCAAATTTCGTATTTATTTGGTTTATTTGTTTATTTCTTATTTATTACAATTTATTATAATTTTATATTTCCAATAAAAAGAATAAAGAAAACGGAAAAAGGAAATTTAAGCGAATTTTCATGCCAAGTGCTTCAGATATTAAGGCAATGGATTAAACATCCACTGGGAACTCATTCTGGCTACTTTTTTCCAGTCACCGCCATTAAATAAATTCTTATTTTATTGCACCTTTTTCTATTTTGGCAGAAAAATATATATTTTAGCTGATGCATAATTTATTGAAAGAACAATAGAAATGTGATTTTAGAAATGTAAAATGTGATTTTAAGTCTTCTTAAAAAACGGCAAATCGGATGGTTGCGAAGAAGAAGCGCAAAGTCGTATTTCTGTCACCAAGGAACTCCTTGTCGAGCCGTCTTATCATGCTAGGTAGTGATAGTGGAGTAATTCAAAATAGAAATGGTGAATGATACTGGAAAAAAATTGATAAAAATAATACATAAATGGTAACTTACAAAAATATTTACGATGATAAAATCAATTCCATAATATTCATTAGCAACTAAAAAATTTTTAAATTTTTAAAAATTAGATTTTTGAGGAAGAATGATTTGATTTGAATGATTTTATTTGATTTTATACTTTATATTTCGATTAAAAAGCTCCATTAATCAGCCTTTCGATTCTTTAATTATCGTTTTATTGTTTCCATTAATTTTAACTATTCCTGGCTAAGCTCACTCCGCCAGCTTGTTGAAACAGACAAATGTTGCCATGTAGTCACTTGGCCATAGCCGCACAGGTGAGTCGCCAGGATCACCCAAAATTTCAACGGATTTAATTCTGCTGGAATTAAAACTCCAGCATTAATGCTCAAAAATGAGAGCAATTATCGTTTTCTTAAGGAAATTTAATTTTTAGTTTTTTAAAATTTTCCATAAATTTTTCGAAGTTCTCTCGATAATTAACCATTAACCATGTTTAAACGCTTTTTGAGAAGGCGGTTGTCGACTGCAGAATTTCATTGGAATTATTCAAAAAAACCAATCTCTACGCTATTAATTAACCAAGCTCTGTAATAAAATGTTTATCAATTTCGCTAAATTTGCCTTGGAAATTGAACAGTCAAATAGTTAAATTTAAATATTTTTAAAAAAGGATTTGAAGCAAAAATTTCGAAAATTAAATGCTGTGATAACTTGTCCATTTATTGATGAGAAATTTTAGCAATGAGTTGAAACTAATATAGCTAAGCCTCGAATTTCGCTAATCCACTTCATCGTATTTTCGCTAGGTTGGAATACTTGGCGAAATTTGTGGAAACAGCAGATAATCACCAGCAAACCATAAGAAATACATAAATAATCCAAAAATATTTTTTTTATTCATAAAATACTTATTATTTTTTGTGTTTTTATAGAACTATAATAATATAAAAATTGTAATAATAATAATGTAAATTAATAATATAAACACAATTATTTGTTGATGAAATGCATTTTGGTTATTGGTCAAGAGAGTGATTTAAGGGAATTATTTATTTATTATTTGTGGTTCTTTAGACTTCGTGGAGGGGGGCAACGCTCAACCCCGTGAAATTCGAAGCTCAATTAAATTCGAAGCAATGATTGTAAAAAATAAGAATTAAATAAATTAACTCGTTGAACGTACCTATAATCAGCTTGAGAAAATATTATTGCTTATACTATTATTTATACAAAAAATAATATTAATCAAATAATGCATTTGCAAATTAGAGGAAAATTTTTGAAATTAATAGTCATTAACTGAAAATGAATCGTTTTATATTGAAACAGATAGTCAATCCATCGTAAAATAAATAAATACGAAATTCTTAATAGATTTCAATTTGTTTGAATTACTTAAAAATTTTTAAAGAAAATGAGATTTTCGAATTGATAATAATTACGGCATTGAACGATTATACATAACCAGAATAACCGGTAAATTTAATATTAATGATCCGCGTTACTAGCAACATTTTTAAAGGTATACTAAACCGTTTTCGTCATTATTGTTTTTCATAAAAAATGAGAAAGCGAAATTTATAGAGAAAGATTATAGTTGAAAATTAAACGTAACATAGCGAATGATTTGATAAATTATAGAGATAGGCAACTTTTTTTTTCTACGAGCGTTCATATTTTCTGGTTTGGCTTGCTTCGATGGCTTATCAGGGTAGACAAATTTTCGCCACAAGGTTACCTGGTCATAAAAGTGAATCGAGCGGCACTAGGATATTTTGCAAGACAGGTTTTTTTGCACGGAGTAGAAGCCTAACACATCTCTGAAGAAAGCAATAACCACTGAGCCATTTAACCAAATCCTTCGACTATTTATAGATAAAGTTTTGAATAGATTATAAAAATTTCACTAAGGAACGAACAATGTTATTCACACTTACAAACTCGATTTTTTGTCGTTGGCTTATTTTATTTTAATAAAATATTTAAACTATTTATTATATATTATATTTATTAAATTTATTATTTATTAATTTATTAACACTATTATTAATTTATGTATTTATTATATTTATTAAATATTTAAACTATTTAAACTATTTTTATATTTAAACTATATTGCGCGATTTAAATTGCAATTAATTTATCGCTATATTTGCAACCTAGCAAGTGCACCACTACTTTAAAAGGAAAAGTTCCATAGGACAAGCAGATAAAATATATTCAACAGTTTACAAGCGACTTCAAACTCGGTTCTATCATTCGACATTTCCGTTAAATTCCTCTAAAATTCCTTCTAATCTTGCATTATCTTTATACTCGCCGATTCTTTATTATTCCTCCTTCGTTCTCTTCTCAATTCCTGTTATATTCACACAGTGACCACACAGCCATCATTTTCTTCAATGGGATTTTAATTATTACGTTTGTTGGGATATTCGTAAAACATGGTTGGTTAAAACATGCGCTAAGACGACCGTAAGAACTAAAAAGAATGAAGCAGCAGAGAGATTTCAGATTATCGTATTGAATCAGAGCAAAAGAATGTGGAGGGGTTTTAGGGGAGTCAGCGAGGAGTTCTAGAGAATGAACATTTAACGCGATTTGAGAGGATTTTTCATAAATATGACAGGTTTTAGTGAGTATCAAAAAGTTTCGACAAGATAAGCCGATTTCGAAACAGCGCCCTTATTTTTTCGAGCATACATGGATGCACTAACAACAATCACATAAACTGTACCTATGTAAAGCCATGTAATGTCGTCATTATGCCAAGAAAGGGCTTGGATTGACCTAATTTCTATAGAAACATAAGTGATTGGTACAAAATAAATTTATTTTTCATGGCTCTTAAAAGAAATCGAGCTTAGGATGTCGTTTCCAGGCCAAACCAAATCAAAAGAAATCGGTGCCATCTGGCATAAAATTATCAAATAGCGCCTAATTTTAAATATTTATACCATGAACTTTACTCAACTTAGAGTGGAATACAAAGAATTCGACAGGTTAATTATTTCTAATCAACTAGGCGGTATGACCAGAAATCGAAAATATTAGAATTTTCTTATAAAATATATTGATGGTCACCTATTTGAATAAATATAAAACTATGAATTTTCTTTACGATAAGATATATTTAGAAAATTTGCACCTGTGGACTTATCTGAGGTTTTAAGGTATCATAGATAACAATTACTTCGTAAATAAAATATGTACATTAAGCCGCTATATTCTAACATCATACTTTACTGCTGATTGGCTAACTGTGGTGGCTATTAAGCCGACGATTTATAATTCAAAATGAAGTCCGAGGGGGTGTCATGAAGCCCCCTACAGTTCTATCCGGATTGACAAACGTTCAACTATAGTATTTATAACGATTAACTGCAGTGTCCAAGAAATATTTGGTAGGCCAGTTATTTTTCATCACCTAACGATACTCACCACTTTCACTTTTTGCTAGCCCTTAGCTCTTGCGACGAGTAGTCAACGAGTGCTCTATTGGGTGAGTGGGTTCCTAGAATTACCAGAATTTAATTTCTAATGATGGCTGACTTGTATTTATTCGCAGCAGAATACTATTCGACGATTCTACCATAGTCAAATTTTTTTAGACAATAATTCTTAAATTTTTATTTTAATCTTTAATTCTTAAATAATAGCATAAATTGTAGAAAGAAGGAAAATCACTTATGAAATTTTCAAAAATTTCATATGTTCGTGGTACCATTTATTCATGAAGATACTATATATTTTCAGCACTCAAACATACATACATGCA